TTTTTTTTTTTTTTTTTTTTTCTCTCTGGATGAAACACAATACTATCGCAAACGGGAGTGATCCAGTTCTTTCTCGTAGATTTGTTCTTCCTTCTTGAGACTTGGTTTCGTCTTTGGCGTGTTGGTGTTTGCGTTTGGAAAGGAAATTTCTTGCCTTTTTATTCAAATCTCGACAATGAACTCGAGGTTCACTTTCTCCGCCTCCCCCTACCTTTCATGCCTCAAGGTTCCTCTGGGATATTTCTTGAATCGAATTGAATTGAATTTCCCTGTGAAGCGAACACTTTCTCACACCCCAACCTCCAATATCCATCCATCGATCTACCCAGCCTGCATCGACTGCAGGACAATATACCAATCCCCGATTCCACATTCAACTTCCCCATTTCCCTTTCCAGCAAATACTTTTTCTTTACTTTCTTCTTTCTACTATTGTCTCCCTTTCCTTCCTGTTCAGGTTGTTCCGGCCACCTCGTGTACGTCTGATGGTTCGTTCCTAATGTGATCCGTTAATGCCTCAGTAGTCGTCCCCGTGGATTTTGGCATTTCGTAGGTTTAACTTCCGTTACCTTAATGTGTGCAAATCGGTCGGATCTGGAACGTCACTCATGCCATGCCAACCGGTTCACTATGCCGGAGTCTAGTATTATTGTTGAGATCTCTGGCATTTTGGGTGTTGAGCTGTGTTGAGTATTTACGGTCTTATCTTTCCGATCTGGTCTATGCTGTACGTGGATTATGATGGTATTGAGATTTTTAATGTAGTTGCTCTTGCATTTCAATTACGAGTGCTTACTGCTTAGTGTTGAGTGTTTATTACTATCTAAAGGAAAGGGCTTTCAATTGCGGTGCGTGCGTAGTATATATATCCGGGCCGAGCAGGTTCGGGTAGTCGGTTGTCGGGGAACACACCCACATACATACAATCTCAAGTGCCCGCGCTGAGGTCTTTGAACATACAATGGTGATGACCACATTAGCGGGCGTAACATACACAAATAGACCGAGAGATTAAGGAGAGGGGGGGGGGTTTATTTCTTGAGAAAAAAAAAAAAAAAAAAAAAAAAGAAAAAAGAAACAGGACAGAGGAGAGACAGAGAGAGAGAGTGTGTGTGTGCCCCTCGAGTGCCTGCCACCGGATCCATAGACTATAGATAGAGTAAGGAAACGAGCGTTATATATAGATGCCGCCGGGCGCGGCCACAACGCATTCCTATTGAATCGGATCCTGTCTTCCTCGCCCGGCCGGCCTCTGTGCTGTGAATGTGGCGTATACGGCCTAGTCTGTCTGTGGACTGTGCTTTGCTTTTGAGAGGAGGATGATTGGACTCCTACTTGCTCTTTACAAGAGAGAAAGAAGGGAGGGAGGGAGGGAAAGAGAGAGGGCTAGACAGTATACCGAAAAGAAAAGCAATCCCGCTGATTCTCTCCAAGAGGGAGAGTATACCGAAAATCCCGCCGATCCAAATCCTTCTTCTCCGCCAAAGCAGCAGCGGAGCATTCCCGGGAAATGCTCAGACCGTCTCGATTGATTGAATGATTGCCGACTTTTACAAAGTGCCTGGTTGACTGGTTGCTTGATACCAGCTTGTTGTCCCGCTGTTTACGACAGGATGAGAATGTTATGGAGGCTGGAGGGCACGGATGATGCTTTCAGCGGCAGGATTGCTGGTTCCTTCTCCGGCGCAGCAGCGCTCGGGTTAGCGGGCACAGCGGCGGCGACGGGGGGCTTCGGTGCCAATGGCACCAGCGAGGAGGTGCCTTTCCCTTCTGCTGTTACTGCTTGGACGGGCCCTGGTCGAGGGGTTCCGGGGCGCTTGTCCTGCGGCGCGGTGGGCGGCGCGGGGAGCTGTCGGGCCTCAGGGAGAGGGGCCCGCTCGCGGACTGGTTTGGGGCGTTCCACTACGTCAAGTTAGCCTGTGTGTTCGGCAGGATAGAGGAGGAAGGGGCCGGGAGGGGAACCAACAGGATACAACAAACTCGATCGGACCACCGTTGTACCGAACGGTGGTCAGGAGGGCTCCGACCCATAAACCCTCGGAGGTGATACTCTGCGCCTTGCTGCCGAACCCGGTGGTGATGTCCAGCACCTGGATATAGATCTTCTCGGCGGATTTACAGTTCAGGCTCTTCTTGAGATCCTCCAGGAACCGGACATACGACAGCCCGCCTGGCGTCCCGTCCGCCTGGGTCTCGACGTAGTCGCTCAGCAAGCGGACTTGCTCAGGGCGACCGCCCGCGCGACGTAGGTAGATGGTCACGTCCGGATACGCCATCTCGACCGCCGGGAACAGCCCGGGCCTGAACTTGCGGCTGCGCCGCAGCTGGCAGTTGGCGCTGTGGGCGCTCTCGCTCCTGAGCTTCAGGCAGTACTTGATCAGGTGCTGCATGCAGGCCTCCGCGTCGCGGTCGGCGGCTGTCTGCACGAACTCGGGCAGCTCTTTGAGGTGGTGGAGAAGGAGGTCCCGGAGCTCATCCTGCTCTCGGCTGCGGGTGATCTTGTCGTGCAGGAGCTCGTTGGCCGCCAGGAGCTGGTTCAGCTGCTTGTCAAGCTGGGCCCAGTCGCTGGGTAGGCCGCCGGGGAAGGCTCTCATGTACTCGAGCACGGCAGTCTTCTTGACCATTTCGAGAGATGTGCCACCGGATTGTATGATCAGACAGATGGGGACGAGTGCACGTTGCGTAAACAAACGATGGACTTGTAATGAGTGTGGGGAAATGAAGCGGTCAGTAGTGATGCAGCAGGTGGGAAGATTCCTGCCTTTGAAGTTGAGACAATGCAGAGACGAGAGATAACCTACTGTGTTGATTATCAGCAGAGACCAGAATGGTTGTTGAGGCTATTATAGCACAGGCAGGCCACCAAAGTACCCTCGAGTCCGGGGGGGGGGGGGGCGGCGCGCTTTGAGGAGGGGGTGATGGGCAGTGGCAAATCACGGGGTTTTGCTGGTTGCCTGCTTCTTAGGCAGTCAGGCATCCTGTGTTATTGTGCTGATTGCTACCCTGCTAGGTGTGCTTTAGTGGGTGGACAGGTCGAGTCAGTTCATGCAGTGATGGGAGATAGATAGAAGCCGGATGTGATCTATCGCGACACACCTCCAGATTCAGCTGAATAAGCAAAGAGTCTGGCGGGGGCTGCAGTAAAGAAATCCCTCAGTAGTTACAAAGTACCTGCTAGACGGCACCGAATGCTTGCCACTGTAATCCCTGTTGAAGTGACTACTGCAGTCGTTGCAGGATGGTTGCTGAATCGACGCAGCAGGCAACCCAATATATGTCCCGGACAAAGGAATGGATCCACATGCATTGACCACAAAGAGATATTTAGACTAACTTCGAACCATATACATAAAATCCCGATATGCACCTCATTCTTGACACATGTCCAAAAGTGGCGGAACCGAATTGGATCTGGGCATCGGAACACCTCACGGGGTCCTTTTGTTCTAGACTGATGAAGATTGGGGAGTCCTGGCGAGGACTGCCCACCTGGGTAGTGAAATCTAGCAATGGTCATGTCCTCGGCGGGTTGACCTCTATTTCAAGCGGTTGATTTGGGTCCGGATTGCGAGGATGCAACAATGGGCAGTGGTAGGCTTGGGGTATCAAACCCCAGACTCATTGGGTTGGGTCGAGGGCTGTTGCGGTCCAGATACAGATTTGGACTGTGATTCCTCTGCTAGGGGCGCAGGTGCAGGTGCAGGTGCAGGTGCAGATACAGGCGCAGGAGGGGTGGATGCTTTAGGTAGTTGGGGTTCTTGGGGCTCAGGTTGCTTCTGCTGTGCTTGCATCTGCGGCTGCTCTTGAGGCGGGGATGGCTGTGCTGCAGGTGCCGGGGTTGCCTCTGAGGAAGCAGCAGCAGCGGCATGCTGCTCCGGGCTCGACTGCTTTTGTTCCTTCGGTGTTTCGGTGGGTACTTGAGATTGAGGCCGAGGCTCTGAAGGCTGATCTGTGGATGCTGGCTGCTCGAGATTTTGATCAGCTGGCTGTTCGGCCGGGGTGTCCACAGATGCAGCAGTATACTCGGCAGCAGAAGCTTCTGTAGCTAAAGGTGCGGTTTGCTCTTGTGCCGAGTTCTCAGACTGAGGCAGCTGTTGCTTGATGACTGATTCATCCACTTGCTCTGCTGCCGCAGCCGGGGGAGCGGCCTTGTCAGGGATCTGGCCCATGGGCTGCGAAGGGGCTTCAGAGCTTGGTTCTGTGATGGGCTGCTCAGACGGTGGCTGAATAGTCTGTCCGTCATGTTCAAAAGCGGCGGGTTGTTCTACGGATCGCTCCAAGCCCGAACCGGTGGGTTCGTCAGTGGTCTGGGTCGTAGTAATCTCTGCTGCGCTGATAGTCTGGGGGATAGTTTCTGCAGCTGGCTCAGGAACAGCAGGCCGATCAACTGATTCCATTTTAACCTCATTCGCTTGCTCGCTCGGCTGGACCACTTGTGGTGGATTATCCAGGCTCGCTTCTAATGTGCCGAGCAAATCGGACTTCTTAGTCTCTGTGCTTTCTTCACTGGGCTGAGAGCCGACTCTGTGATTAGTCGAAGGCTCAGGAGTTAGTTGGTTAGAGGAGAGCTTGGAAGCATCCCCTGGTAGGTCTGTGGAACCCTCCATGACTATATCTCCACCGTGCTGGAGCTGTTCCGACGACGGCTGCGTAACTGTTCCACCAGCGCCCCCAAGCGGCTCAACTGCTTCCATGTTCGCTGTAGGTGAAGGCGTCTCTAACACCTGTGCCCGAAGTGTGTCTTGAGATGGCGACAGGAAGGCTGCCTTTGCACTTTCTTGGGGCGTTTGTTGCTGTGAATCTGGCCCCTGCTGAGGGGCAGGTTGATTTGTTGGCTCTGAGGGAACGGCGTCTGCCATTTCCACATCCTTGGAAAGTCCAGGAGTCGCGCTTGGCTTACCGACCGGAGCCAGCTTGGATGGATCTCGAGACACCTCTGGAGGTTCAGAGGGAGCCGAGGGCGGTGCTGGATGTTCTGAAGGCGTTTTCGAGGTAGCGACAGAAGCATTGTCTGAGATTAATGGCTGGGGTTGAAGGGCTTCCAACGCAGGTACAGGTACCGGTTCGGGAGCAGCCGAGAGCTCAGTGCTGGTCGGTGGTGCCGAAGTCTCTGGTGTCTTTGCATCGAGCATGGACTCATCACCGTCATCGCTCTCATCAACCTCGTCGCCTTCATCCTCCTCTTCATCTTGACCGGCTTGACCGACCGATAATCTTGAGGGATCTGTATCATCTTCTTTGTCTGCTGCGCTGTCTACGCCGCCTGCCCCATGAACCTGGGAAGCATCCGCGCCGTCACCAGGAGCAAACATAACCTTCTTGCGCCTTCCTTTGCCCACCCCCTTAGCCTTACGCTTGGGGGGAGGAGGCCGTCGTCTGGGAGGGGTCATGACATTCTCCGACCCGGCTTCGGCAACTACAACGCCCTCAGCATTGACGACCCCCACGCCTTCAATGACAGTGCCCGGGGCCGGGGCCTCCGGAGTGACAGTGACAGCGCTACTCGGAGCCGCAACCTGCGTCTCATCGCTAATCTCTCCCTCAATCTTATGTCCCTCGGGCACCCAAGCCTCGTAGATCGAAATGTTCCCCGTGACCGGATCAACCTTCTTGAAACGGGTCCGCCTCATGGGGCCCGAATTGGACCCATCTCCATCTGTAGCCGACGCGCCATACAGGGACTGCATGCCTGGCCGCCTCTTGGCCAGGAATTCCACCTCCACAGCCTCGAGATGCTTGGGGACAGCCGTCCACTTGCGGGCCACGAAGCTGCGTTCCGTGCTCTGGATCAAGGGTTGTTCTTCTCCGTCCGTTGCCTCCTTGTCATCATCTTCAGAGTCCTTCGCAGCTTGCCGAATGTAAATGCAGCCCGCGCGGGCCGCGCGCAGGAGCGCCCGACTCATCGGGGTCAACAAGTGGCTATCTCGGGGCATTGGGTGTTCGGGGATGGTAGGTTTGCCGCCCGAACCTTGAACATCGCTGGAGTCGGGCACGTCGTTCTTAGGTACTTGTGAAATGGTTTGGGTCTGGCGCGTCCATCGTCGTACAGGAAGTCCTTCAAACACGTCGTGATCGATCTGCCCCGTTCGATTGCGGTTGGCGGCATCTCCAAATTGGCGCCCCGAGCGAGAGGACCTGAACTGTAATAAATCAGCTTTAGAGACTATTTAGGTAGTTTTTGACTTGTCTCGTTTGTCATTTCGGAGGCCATGGACGCGCGGAGTCGGTGCGGCATTGGGGGCGAGGGACTTACGGTAGGTGGCATCGTGAGCTTCTGATGCTGCTGCCTCACTCCCAGAACTGGATGCAATTCGCACCGCGAGCTTTCTCATCCATCCACTAGCCGCGAAAACTGTATGCGCCTGATCGGACGAGATATAACCCAAGTGTGTGACGGTGAATTGGAGGTGAGTTAGGAGGTTGATGATTGTCTGATGCCCGCGATGCGACCGAAGGCGGCAACGACAACCCTGGATCCACGTGACTGGATTTGATGGCAGAACAGAATAATTTCAATCGAACTACACCCTACAAGGGGAAAGAAATCCAGGTAAAGAGAGAGAAGAATGGTATTTTCGAAGAGTAAGTACCAGTGCTACATACAACATACGCAGTGGGTTGGCTTCGTTAAAATTACAGAGCACCTCCAGTCTATTCAATCACTCCTTCGGCGGCGCAAGATATCAAGATCAATCCCCAGCAACTCCGTTCTTACGCCGGCAAATCAAGCATCGCAAATATAGTTTGTTTAGTCCCAACTAATACCAGGTCAGTACAGCGTGTCTATATAGAATAGGGAAATATATCTTACCCAGTGTCCTTCTGGCGAACAATGCCACCCTCATTGCCGGTTTGCTTGCCCTGTTTGCATGTCAGCCGCGCTATCGTTTTGAGTATCGCATATCCCCGACTACACTTACCGTCTTTTGACCCTCGACAACCAGTTTGTCCATCTGGTAAAATTGACTGATCACGGTTTGACGCTGGAAAGGATGTTAGCTCGAAACTTTAGCTGAACAGCGGCGCTGTGCCCCGAAGAAGCAATGCTGGGCTCAAATGTTCCCGAGGCTGACCCCGCCTGGTGTCACCAACCTTTAGCATCCGCAGGTTCTGGATTCCATCTTGAATCAATTCCTGTATCCGTCTATCCTCCGTCTCCTTCTGATGCTCGCGGAAAGAATCCACTGTGCGCCGGCGGGCGTACTCGCGGAAGTTGTAGTTCGAGAACTGAGAAGACTGACGCAGCAAGGAACGGAACTACACGGATGAGCGTGAAAAGTTAGCCCCGAGCTCGAGCTAGTGCGAGGACACATCAGGCTCCTCATGGAGAAAAGTGAACATACCAAGGAGCGGACCTGGAAGGCCGTATCGCGCCCGAGCGTAGGGACAGACATGATAACTGGCTTAAGATAGGAGTGGAGAGATGCGATTATGAAGCGGTATAGCTGAAAAGCGGAAGATGAAGTGAAGAGGTTTGCTAAGATGGACGATGCCTAAAAGACCCAGATGCGGCTATCTCCGAGCACGTCTTAATCGAGTTGCTGGATCGTGAAGCGTCTAGACGAAACGGACTCGAGTTAGTTGACTGAGAGACTTGCTGTAACCAGTACAACCAATGTGACCAAATGACCAGTACAGGCAGTGTTGGCCGGTGAATCCGGGATGGCGAGGTTGTAGGATAGCGAGGGGTAGACGTACCTTCAGTCCAGCGCAATTCGAAGTGGCGTCGGAAGAGAAGCTGGTCGGGGCAGGCAAGCCAAAGACCGGATCACGTCTTTAATCCTCGAGAGACTTGACAGGCGGCCAAAGCGATACACAGTGAATCAGACAGAGAAGTAGGTCCAATTCCGAAGGGGGGAGTGAGACCAAGGGAGGGGGAGGCGTGAAGAAAGTCCAGGAACAATGGAGATCTCGGGAAATTCTTTTGGTGTTCGGCGGAGGTTGCGATGACGGAGTTAGTCGCCCGGCCTCCACGGGGTCTCCGCCGCTTTCAAGCTTCCCTCCTCCTCCACCCCAACAATCAGTCCCTGTCACTTCATAAGCACTGTCGATCAACAATCTGATCTGCTGTCTGGCACTCCTTCGGAGTTCTCTTCTCCCTCTAGTCCTCGTAAATCAATGGCGCAGATTCCGACTCCTCCTGCCTCCCGCCACGGTTCACCTTTGCTGGAGGATGAACTCAAGGAATTAAAGATCGAACAGCAACAGCCGACGAATCAATTGCAGGTGCTGGACGAGCTGCTCGAGCGATATCTCTACCTACTAGACCAGCATCAAAAACTGCAAGCCGACCTCGGTGCCCGGCTGTCCTCGGTATGTTTGTGATTGTGGATGTTGACCCTGAATTGCTGCCGGACAAGGGCTAAAGGTTCACCAGGGATTCATCTCTCTTGCGCACGCGAATTATACATGTCCACCTGGGCGAAGATACGGAGCAGATTACTATGATGAACGCATGAAGGCGACAAGGAGAGTGTGAGTTTGGGCTATACTTCGGCTTGTCCATTGAGACCGCCCTCCCTTTTACAAGAACGCTCGGCCAATCGATTGATCGCACATCTGCAGGAAACTACAAGCTGGCCTCGACTCGACCCAGGAGCAGAACTTGACTGAGAAGGAAGAGCCCGCGGAGAAAAGCACTACCTCAAACGGGAGATTCCAGCATACCTTCTCCATCGAACCCATTACAATCGAGCAGCCGGAGGACCAATCCGAGACGGATGACAAAAGCGATTCCTCTTCAGGGGATGAGACTGCGCAGGCACGCGACGATAAGAACGAAGTGACAGGGGAAATCAGCAACCGAGCTGTCGACTCCGCAGCCGCGGCGGAGTCTTCTCAAGCAGGAGCGGAGACAGATGCGAAGTCAAAGAAAGCGAAAAAGCGATTCCGTTCGTCGGACCCAATCTACTGGTACGGGATCTTGGTGCCCCTTTCTTTGCGTAGCGCCCAGAAGTCGTTCACCGAAGCCGTCGAGGGTCAAATCTCGGAATTGGCCAATGTTGTTGTTGAGATGCGCACGGTGGAGAAGCAGGTCCAGCAGGTACGAAGTGCGCTAGGCCAGGCATAAGTGAACATGTTCTCTCGCAGACAACACAAATTCAACACGGACGCCGAAGGATGGAGCAGGGTAAATGGACGAGCGAGCTATGGACTTGTTCTAAAGGAGCTCTAGAAGACCTCTGCTCCACCTTCAATTAACTCCCAAGAACCGAGGAGACATGGTCGGATCTCACCAGTGGTCAGTTCTGTAGCACGGTAGTCCCAGCCTATTTTTGTAAATAAGAATAGAGTACGGTAGGTTGTGTAGTGTTGAGGGGGTCTTCTTGATAAAAAGGGGGAGAGAGGATGATTTGTGTGGCCTGAGGTTCATATTCTGCCTGTTCTGTCCGGCCTTCTCCGCCTCCCTCTTACTTTCTCTCGCTAGTCCTTCGTACTTTCGTACTTTGTACTTCTTCCTCAGTTCATCCTTCCAAAAGTTCGCACTCCTTCATCCTCCACTCGTTCCAGTCCCGCAATAAATGAATAAAGAGGAGCCTGGCACTATACTTACCCCTCTGCTCCTCTTCTCTGCGTCTTTCCCGCGTGGCAGGTCCCTCATATGATCTTTGCCAGCCAGAACAATAATACCATCATATAAGAGATGATGTTAAGCGATAAACTCTGATTTAATCTCCGCGACTCGCTAACCTCAACTGGCTCTGTGCCCGAGCGACTATTCGGCAAAATTGGCCTAAAGAACCGACGGCGCTTCAGCCATTGTTGCTATGATGATGGTTGTTATCATTATTATGACCAGGATCCATGGAATGGAGCCGTCAGCACAGCCGGCTCCTCATCCTCGGTAGGACATGACCAAGTCATTGCACGAATCACACTGGCGAACACATCGCTGTATGGATTCCCGGTGGAACTTCTTATCCTCTGCCCGACTCAGGAGTGAACGCGATTCGTGATTCTTGCCTGCGACGCCCATGTTTCCGGTTGTCTGTTTCAGGTCATGATTGGGTGTTCATACGTGGATGGCCTTCATCACTGGTTTCATGTTGAAGTCCCAGGGCCGCAATGCCGCACTCCAAGGAGTGGCACTTCTGCTCAAGCTGAGACTCTAGTGCCAATCGCCGTACTCTTGGTCCCTCTCGGAGCCCTGGTTGTGACCCGCCCGCCCAATAGTCGTCCAGCGTCCTTTGTAATTCCTCCATTATGGGTCTTAGCTTCGGTCCCTTAGCTCCTCCCGTTTACTCAGGATCTCAATTTCTGGCCTGTCTATGGCCCTCGCCGTCTCGCCTATTCGACTTCCCTGGTCAGAATGACCGTAACATGCATGGTCTTGCGAACCTTGGTGTCTCCATAATCCAGCAGCGGTTTGCATTGTGTGTGCAAGATTATCAGCAAGCGAGGGGAAAGAAGCAAATCGAAACAAAGAAATACTATCCATCTCATATCAAATGATCATCCCCGCGTGAGTCAATGTGTTGCGTCCAGCGCCTCTCCATGAAACGAGGCACCACCCACTCCGGGAAGTGAGTTCGACCACGGCATATCTGCGACGTTGACATTGAAGCCTAGTGGCACTCTAGCTGGCCATCCCAATGCTCCTAAGTATCTCTCGGTACTAATTCCTTCCGTCACAAACGGCCTCCCGTGCCTGTCTCCGCGCTATCGCTTTGGCTCAACTCCACCTTGAACGGGTGCGACTCCCAAACGTTTGCACCGGCGCACCCTACTTTGAGTCCAGTCCCTGAGCAAAGCACGGAAATGAAGTGTCTTTAGTATCAACCTCCGACTTTCAGGGTTGCTGGGTTTCCGGAAACCCCCTGGGCGACTTTCCCGTCCGAGTGAGGCGTTATCGCCCAAAGACCTGCCTGCCGTCTGTACGCGCGCTGGGGTTGATTTCTCCTCTTTTTACTCTGTACTGTCCGGTCGTCCGCTCTTTACACCTGGGAGCAAGGGCTAGAGGCTCTTTTGTTCCTTTTGGACGGTTGTTTCTTTCTTTGCCAGAGATTCTGTAAGTTCACAATCCGTGCCTTGCATGATTCATGGTGAGGGTTCGCTAACCACCCACTTGCTATCTTATGCGCTCAGGGGCTTGGTGACCAGCCGGGGATTCTTCTTAGACTTTGCAAGTCTTATACTATGTTCTTGTGATTAAAGTCTTTGATTCTTTTCTTCCATTCTTTGCGAAAGACCTGTTTCTTGTGGTACGCATCCTTTGATTGTTTCGCTGCCTACAATGCGCACCCAGCGGCTTGTAGCATCCAACTTACTTGTCCCCTCTAGAGGCATTGAGTGCCCCTGCAATCATTCTCATCTTCGACCTTCTTTTTCTTCAATACCATCAAGGTCCTTGTCGTCTCACAACCAACGAGCACGTTTTATCGGTTTACATCATCCCCCACGCAACGTGCCTGCTATCACTCGCTTTTAGACGCGCCAGTTGAGCTACCTTTCGCCGACACTCAGCTCCTAGCTAGCAAAAAAGTACCAGCTCTTGTTTGATGCGCTAGCGAAAACTGAGGTTCTTCGTCGCGATATCATCTCGCGATTGCTGTAACCTTCACATCTCATCAACACATGGAACCTAACCCAGAGAATGCGGGCTCTGACCCCATGGAAAGGAAAGGATCGGTGCGGCGTGCACGAGAAATGTTGGAGGCTGGAAAACGTCCCGAACAAGTCCCAGAGCCAGTGCCTACATCCAGAATCAACCCGGCCCATATGACACAATGGCCCTTACCCAACGGTGGTCTTCAACAAATCGATGCAGCCAACGCCCATGCACGACTGCTAGGCCCCAAAGGACCTCCGCCACAACGGCCTCCCCAACCCGACTGTCCTTCGCCGTCTGTGTATTCTGAATGGAGCGTTGATGTTGTACCTAGTCCGCTAAACATCAAACGGCCTGTTCCGTCCTTCTCTCAACCTCTACCGATCCAACCTGCACCACGACCGGCAATTAGAGTACCCATTCCTCCTAGTCCAAGCAGTGTTGCAGGTTCAACACCTCGGGCATCCATTGCTACCGAAGACCTATTTAGACAGTCCGGAGTCTCGTCTGTCGGCACAATCTCCCTTAATGATTTACAGGCGACCGCTCATTCAACATCGGAACATGGTGCTTCTTCAGCATACCCATTGAAAAAGGCAGGTGGCCTTGCGCCGACGATCCCAGCAGCTCGACCAGGCGAGAATCGTGGATCATCCGTCTCGCCGATTCCAGAGGAGCTACCGGATAGTCCAACGATCTCACGGGAGCTTTCCGCGCCAACTCGACCATATCCTCCTAGTTGGTGCTCTGGACCAGCCGAGTCGGTAATTCTAGGTACCTACCTGGATGGTGACTCCGAAGATAGCGGATCACAACACTCGGTGCAGGCAGCCGCTCCTGCGCTTTTGAGGCAAGCAAGTATTGGAACTCGTGGGAAACCCGCTTTGCGTACGATCCAGAAATCCAGCACAAATTCACCTGTGCCAGTCTTGACAAAAACCCCGGTATCTGCCAGGCCAGCTACAGCTAAAACGACGACAACGGAAGCAGTGCTGAAGGAAATAGCTGTTGGAAGGGAACGGAACGACAGCATTTCCACAGTATCGTCCGGCTCGACACATTTTGGGACGGAGAAAGCGCCAATCATGCTAGACCTCAGTGCTGAGCACCCAGCTGTGGCTCGCCCGCTCAACAATAGCGCTACTATGCATAAAGAGACCGGAGGACTTCCGAAAGCAGCACCAGCAATGAGCGAGAAAAGACCCACTGGCCGTCGACCTCCTCGATTGAATATGACCGCTGTGCGTGATGCGGAGGCCCGTGGAAGTCTAACAAGCTTACCTGATTTGATCCGACGAGCGACCAAACTTGCGTCTAACCTCGAGCATGGTCGGACTGCAAGCAGAAACGACCTACTCAATGGAGGAAACCCTCGCTTCCGTAAGTGGCTTGGTAACCATTATATCATGGCATTAAAGTAACTGATGTATCTGAACAGAACAGAGGCGCAACTCAGGATCCATTCAGAGTATTCTAGCATCGTTTCCACCCCCTGCTGCGGTACAAGATGGTGCTCACTCTTCTTGGCCTTTCTTTTTTCGGAGATCCACGCTCCATCAGATCCACTCCAACGAACCCTCCCAACAAGCGGACCAGGAGAAAGCCCAGCCGAAGCAGGCTCGTCGCTGCTGCGGCATGCCTCCGTGGCTCTTTGCACTTGTTTGTGTCATTATCATCGTCATCATCTTGGCCGCTGTTCTGGTCCCCGTCTTCCTGGTCGTTCTCAAGCATAAGTCGAGCGGATCAGACTGTGCGAAGACTGCACTGTGTGAAAACGGTGGTGTCAGCGTTTCGAGCGGGGATGTCTGCTCCTGTGTGTGCGCCAATGGTTACACGGGGACTCGCTGCGCAATAGCCGGCGACGCCAGCTGCGTTACAGCCAAGATCAACAACAAAAGCGCCACTATGGGTAGTGATCTTCCTGAGTTGTTTGAAAGCGCTCAACAAAATTACAGCATCGCACTTGATGAGACGACTATCATGGCGCTGTTCAGCCAGAACAACGTCTCCTGCACGACCGAGAACAGCCTCGTCTCCTTCTCGGGTATTTCAACAAGCAGCAGCAGCAAATCACGCCGTGCTTTCCTTCCCTGGTACGACCTGACAGAATCTTCCAACTCGAACCTACTGCGATTCAACTACGAGCAACCGCAGCCGACACCGACCCCACTGGACCTGCCCACTCAAGCCCTCGTCGCCCGTGCCTCCGTTGCTACAGAGAACGGGATCGTCTTCGAGGACACACCACCAACGAAGACCGGCGAGACCGAGACAGCCAAAGCCACAGCCACAGCCACGGACCTCCGCCACCCAGGGTCCCAAACGACCTCAACAGCGACAGCAGCAGCAAGTTCCTCGCCGACCGCTACCAGGGCCCCATCCACCAATTCAACCAACAAGGTGATCACAAGCAAAGCCCTGGACTTCGCCCGCATCTCCGTCCTGTACATCTTCCAGGAAACCGGCACCCTCTCGGCCGCCACGTTCGCCGAGAACGACCTCCAGCTGTACCTGACGAACGTCTACACGGAGGAATTCAAACACATCCACGCCATTGACCTGGATCCAGCGGGCGTCAAGGGCAATTTCACTCTGAATTTCGACGAGTATCAGATCACGTTGCCGAGTGGGAATGTCGTCGGCGGCGGAGGATGAATTTCGGGGAGAAAGTGACCATGTCGTTTATCTTATTCGCGCTATCATAATATCAACATCAGCCTCTGTATGTACCCTTAGCATTTGCAATGTCAATCCGAACCTGCCCGACCCGATCTCGATCTGTTCAATCTCTAGTAAGTTATAGCTTGGAAGTAGTAGAGTAGGGAGAATTTGCCCTGGGAACACTGTTTATTGAATTTATAGCCCATGGCGTAGATCAAGAGCAGGAAGTACTTTTCTTCTACAAAGAAGTGAATTGTTCAATTGGGACCGATCAACCGATCAACCCACATATCATGCATGCATGCATGATCTCGATAAATCCTATATTGATTATGTACAATGCAAAGCAAAGCAACCAACCCACCCGAAACTCCAGCCCGCGTGCCGCGCATGCAACCAACGTCCACGCAGTCCAAACAAACCAGCCCAACCGGCAAACAAACAAACAAACAACCAACCACCATCCTAAGCTTAGGTTGGATCCTCACAAACTGCTTCACCGAATAACCTTCATGAAGACGGCTAACTGCTTTTCCAACTTACCCAAAGAAGCCAGACAAACGACATCCCCAACAACCCCCACAAAAAAAAGACGCCCAAAGGAACTAAGTAAAGAACGAAGCATTAGGCGCCAACCCCTCAAAAGGCGAATAATCCTCAACCAGCCAATCGAGTCTAGCGCGACGCTCATTGAGAACCTCTTGCTCGGACTCCCACAGCCTGCGCTGTAGGGATTTCTGTCTGACGAGTTCTTCAGCCTTGCTGGTGCTGCTGCGACTGAACCACGAGGAGAAGGAGGAGGAGGATGATTTGCGAGTAGTAGTAGTGCCGGCGGCGGCCGCCGCCTGCGCGATAGCCTCGGATTCTTCGCGTTCGGCGTGCGCGAGGAGCTGGGTGACCATTTTCTTCCAGTTGGCGAGGCCGACGCGGAGACAGTCGGCGCAGCGGGTGTGGGCATCTGGATCTGGGTTGTGCGCGGTGGTGGCTGCTTCTAGGTCGTGCAGGACGTTTTCGGCGATGTCGACGGCGTCGCGGGTCCATGCGAGGCCGGTTTCTTTGGAGGAGGAGGCGAAGATGATCTCGCCGATGTAGGTCATTAGGGCGGCTTCGTCGCAGATGGCGGCTGGGGTGCGGGCGGGAGGGGCGTTGCCGGTTGGGGGTGCGGGTGGGTACGGGGCTGGGAGGAGGGTGGTTTGGAGCTTGTTAACGAGGGAGCGGAAGGGGTCGTTGGAGCGCGGGAGGGTGCGGGTCGATGCGATGGGGGCCTCGCCGACGTCTGCGGGGATGGAGCGGCGGGCTTTGAGGATTGAGGTGAAGGTCGACAGCGCGGTCGAGAGATCGCCCCGGCGGGCCTGGTGGACGGCCATCGCGGTCGAGACGCGGAGGATGTTGGCGGACGGAAGGTGCTGGCTGTCGGTGTTGCGGAGGAGGCCGGTCTGCGGGTCCGCCACGATTTCCGGGTTGGGCGCGCCGGCGGCGGCGATGTCCATCGCTTGCTGGTACACTTCGTCGGCGTGGCTCTCGAGGCCCTTGTAGTCGAGCCAGTCGGCGTAGGCGAGCGCGGCGTCCACCTGCTGGCCCGTGGTGAAGCCGCGAGTCTTGAGGATCTTGACGTAGAAGCTCTGCGGGCTCGGCATGGCCGGCTCGCAGTCCTCCTCGTGGAGCACCTTCTTCTGCTTCGTGGGCATGGGCTTCGGCCGCGGGTTCGACGGCCCAACGACGAAGTCCGCCGGCGCGGAGATCCCCTGCTTAAGGTCCGTCATCCAGCCCTCCAGGGACTCGGCCGCTTTGGCGGCGCTCATCAGCGCTTGGAAGTAGCCGCGGCGCCACGGCTCGCTCTTGGCCGTGATGTCGTAGACCGGCTTCCAGACCCCTTCCACCAGATCTCCACCCTCGGTTGTTTCCACCAGGCCCTGCCCTTCGATTGCCGGGTCCTCCAGGCGTTCGAGCAGGGTCTTCAGGAAGCTCGCGACCATGGCCCAATCGGTCATCAGCTTACCGATCTTCTCCGGGTTCTGGTGGGCTTGCGCGGACCGGAGGCACCAGCGGCTCTTCCACGACCATTCATCTGGCGTAGGCCATTGATACTCGTTCTCGGCATGGTAGATGCCGTATTTCATGATCTGAAAGAGGGCGAAGATGGCGGTGAATGAGAGACCGAGCTTCAGACTGCGAGAGAACCGTCGGCGGTAGTAGTTGCGGCTTTCGGTGGAGACGAGGCGGGCGAAATGTTGGCGGAGGTGGATGGACAATGGGGGGAGAGGATAGCTGGTGGATGTGGGCGAGAGGAAGGCGAGCTGTGGGCGACCAAGCGGCGGGGAAATAATCAATTGTCGCGAGGTATGTGTAAAAGGTCGTCGAATGAGGGCTAGGGAGCTGTGCGGCACCGGGGACCGCAGCGAGCGGCTGGGTCCCGGTATTCGAGAAACAGGGATGCGAGGAGGAAGCATCCTCGAGTGATTGGGATATTGCGTGGTTGGAGGATGAAGCTTGAATGGACTTGCGGAGGTTTGAATTGCATGTTCAAAGAGAGAGAGAGACAAACGCGCCAAGCCCGTCAGGTGCTTCGGTGTTTTGCGTGTTTGCATTTCGGTCTTAATCGGGTCTAGCGGGCCGAGCCAATTGATGGATTCCTTACTTTAAGCAAGTTGGAGAATACTATTCCTGCACCATCAATGCCAAAGGGGAATCAATAATCATATGCAAAGCCGATAATCTCTATAGACAATAGTCCTTCTAAATCACCCTAAATCTCACAAGCCAGCCTGTATTCCACATGATACAAAAAAAAGAAACAATCACAAAAGTTTTCCGAAAGCGCCTACGCTAATTTAGTTCCGGTCAAAGTAGCCCTCGCTCTCGAGCATGAGGATGATCTCGTGCACAATGCTGCGAACGCTCTGCTTGGAGACGTCGACAGTGAGATCGACGTTGGAGGGAGTCTCATAGGGGTCATCGACACCGGTGAAGCCCTTGATCTCGCCGGCGCGAGCCTTGGCGTAGATACCGCGCTTGTCGGTCTTCTCGCAGTACTCGAGAGGGGTGGCGACGTGGATAAGGAAGAAGTTACCACCGCCCTGGGTGACGGCGTCACGAGCGGCCTTGCGGGACTCCTCGTGGGGAGCGATGGGGGCGGCGATGACGGCGGCACCAGCGCGGGTCAGCTCACCGGCAACGAAAGCGATGCGCTGGATGTTGGTGTGACGGTCCTCCCGGCTGAAGCCGAGCTCGGAGGAGAGCTCGTGGCGGACGGTGTCACCGAGCAGAAGGGTAACAGAGCGACCGCTCTGCTGGTTCAGGGTGACCTGCAGGGCACGGGCAATGGCGTCCTTGCCGGAGTTCATGTAACCAGTAAGGAAGATGGTGAAACCCTGGCTGAAGCGGGGAGGGTTGGACTCGCGCAGGATCTTGACAACCTCGGGGTAGGAGAACCACTCGGGGATGTGGGCACCGGTACGCAGACGGTTGCGGAGCTCGGTACCGGAGATGTCGAGGGTCTTGACACCAGCGGGAACCTCGTCCTTGGGGCGGTACTCATCGGTGTCGGGCAGGTAGGTGACCTGCTGGAACTCGACGACCTCGATACCAAGCTCGTCCTTGTACTTCTCGACAGCGTGCTGAGCATCGTACGGGCCGTAGAACTCCTGACCCTTGGAGTTCTTACCAGGGCCAGCGTGGTCACGGCCGACAATGAAGTGGGTGGCACCGTGGTTCTTACGGATGATAGCGTGCCAGATGGCCTCACGGGGACCACCCATACGCATAGCCAAGGGCAGGAGACCGAGGACGGCCATGCCGTTGGGGTAGCGGGGGAGGAGAGCCTGGTAGGCACGGACACGGGTGAAGTGGTCGATGTCACCGGGCTTGGTGAGACCGACGACGGGGTGGATCAGGACATTGGCCTGACGGGCACGAGCGGCGCGGACCGTCAGCTCACGGTGAGCTCTGTGCATGGGGTTTCTGATTGATTGTCAGTCCAGCTCGGGGGGGCAAGGCGAACAGAGTCTAGATCCGCCACACACATACCTAGTCTGGAAAGCAACAACTCGGGTCCAGCCGAGCTTGTCAAAGTGGACGCGCAATTCCGCGGGGGTGTCTAGAGATTAGGCCCACTAGGTCAGTCCGGCGCCATGCATTATTGTTTCGGGAGTCCGCGCACGGATGATGGTGATGACGTACAGCGAAGGCCAACATAGTCGTAGTGGTTGAGCTTGTTGACAGCCTCGAGCTTTCCACCAATGTAGAATTCCTGAACCTTGGTGTTCAGGTACTTGATGGCAGGGTGATCCTCATCGCCGCCAAAGACCAGCTTGGCTTCCTTGACCCTACATCAGGGGGAAAAATCGCAACACGTTAGCCCAAGCGTCCAACCGCGTCATCCAGACCCACTATCTGCAAGTCCCCGGTACTCTGTAACGCCCGGTTGCCGTAACGGGACGGAACGCCAAGCGATGCCACTTCCGGCTCGACTTGGTTTTGAAACGTCGATCTGGCCATCAAAGCACCGGGAAACTTGTCCCACGTTCATAAAGACTGCATGTACACAGGATTGGACTCACTTGTCAGGGCGGTAGATGTCGTCAATGGTCAGGATGGCCAGGTTGCGGTCGTCACGGAAATCACGGAGAGTGACACGAGAGCCGGCCTGGAGCTTGAGGTCGCTGATAGTTTGCTGGGAGGCATCGAGAGTGATGGGCATGGAGAAGACGTTGCCGTCGGCGAGGCGGCAGTCCTCGCAAACACTAAAAAGCGGAGGTCATGATCAGCAAGCTGGTCGCTTCTTCTGAACTCTCCGTTTCCATCCCGGCGGCTGTGTTGGTGCATTGTCCCGCTCAATGTATAGCAATGTGGGTCGTTATTGCGGCATACCTGTCGAAGTCCTTCTGGGTCATGAAACCTGCGCTGAAGTTAGCTTGCGACTGTTTTGCGATACAAGTAATTCCCAATTGAATTGTAATCGGCGACTAACCCTCGAGGGGACTGAAACCACCGTTCATGATGAGTTCCAGATCGCAGAGCTGGCGCTCAGTGAGGGAGATGGCGGGCAGAATCTCCGCCTCGGCGGCCAACTGGTCGTGGCGGGGGGCATCGCGGGCGAGAAGGTCCTTAAGGACACCACCGTGAGGAGAGTTGGCCATGGTGTATGAGTGTGAGGAGGAGGGAGGAAGGTAGGAAGGAAGGGAGGAAGTAGAGGATGTAAAGAGGAAGAGGAGGGAAGAAGAAAGGGACTCTAAGAGTACACCGGACCTGGGGGGGTGGGAGGGGAGTTTATAAATGGGGAGAGAGAGGGGTCGGATTGATTGGAGAGGGAAGGGAATGGATGGAGGGGGAACAAGTAAAAAATGTCGGCCAGGCCAGGGGAGGGGAGGGGGAAATCTACTAAGTAAGTTTAAAGCCCGCGGAGAAAAGGCTGATTACTCAAACGTGTTGAACATAACCAAGGAAATATTGTATGGAAGACTAAAACTGGCCAGTCAATCTTTCTCTCTCTGTGAGACTTGACTCCAATTGAGAAATCCAGGCTTCGTCAGATAGTGGAGCAGCTGGACTCTTGGTTCGGGGAGCGTCGACGACACTACGTAGTTAGTCCTCCACCACTACGTAGATAGGTTGAGTTGGAAGAATATCGATACTGGGTACTTGACTGTTTCTTGATGCTGGTCGCACGGAATTCTGCCTCAATTGCACCATTGCAGTCATTGAGCATGCTATTGTGTCCTACTTCCAGCCGGCTTCTAGAAACCGTCGCGCCCTCGTTTGCTTTGATATTTCCGAACTATAGACGACAAGTCTCAATCAGTCATTCAATCCATATCTTACCCCCCCCCACCTCCACCCCTGGATCTCAAAGAACACGAATCCCTCGGAGATAAAAGCAGAGCACCGGTATCATCATAGAGCACTGGGAGATGTCCATCCCCGAAAAAGCCATGATAGTCAGGGGGGTGTAGCCTGAATCGACATTCGGCTAAAGTATCACCAGTGGACAGCCAAACGAGGCCCAGGACAGTATACACACGTACTGCACACAGCCTATTGCGATGGTCAAAAGTGATGACACTTCATCAGCCGAAGAGCGATCCTCATGCTTCTTGTGACCAAGTATAAGTATTAAAGAGCCTCCGATCGGCGGGCGGATCGGCTCAGGCTGCGTTCAGGTGTCAACCAGGCACGGGGAGTCACGTGGTCACCAGTACGCCCCGTCGAGACAATCACGACATCCCCAGCCCGGCTTGCGTGATCGCTGACGCCATCGCTTTGGGGTTTTTTTATTTTTTTCAGCGCGGGGCAGGCTGCGTCTTGGCATCTCGCCGCTCAGGTGACCCGCTTGCCCTAACCTGCCTGCTACCACTGCATGGAATGCTAGCATTCGATATCGGAGATGGACAGGGTTAAAAATCTTCTCTATATTATTAATCGTACGCGTACAGAGGCCCTAGGGAGTGATATTAAGCGCACAACCTCAGCTATAGTGAGGCACGCGAGCCACTAAACAATGCGAGAGTAAGCAAGATGTTATATCCCGATCCTGGACTCACAAACAACTCCCTCTCAACCTGGCAAGGCATGCCGTCCATTTAAGCAGCCCCAAGGGATTCCGATGCGCAAGCGGTCCACAGGTGGAACTATCCTTGACGGCCCTCAAGATCATGGCCGCCTAGTACCGGGTCTCAGGGTCCAGCACGGCACACGGCTGGCGCTTGCAAGTTTGCGATGCGCCCCATTTGTCCGGCGCTCATCCCAGTAATCGATGACAGGGAGACATTAAGCCCGGAAGATGAGCATAGCACAGCCCTGAGGCTATGTGCTTGAAGAGAACCACTAGCGACGGGAGCATAGCACGGAGGCTGCCATGTACCACACAGGATCCAAAGCACTATATACTACTCGAAGCCTCGACTAAGAGCTTGGTCCAGCAGTATACTCGGCCACAGTACCGCGCAGTGGATACAAGACCCTTCGGTATACGTCACCCGGATGAACTAGACACATCCTCTTGGGTATTCATAGTTAGCCAATCCTTAATCCAACCCTCTGTCTCTTGCGTAAAATTAACCAGTCGGATTGGCCTGTTTCGCATTCACAACGTGCTTATGTGTTTTGTGGAGGTTTGGTTAAACACCTTCCTTTCAACAGATCAGATTGATAAGATAAGATCTTGGCTGTGTCAGGATGTCTTAAATCCCTTTCGTTGATCGCTGCAGTCAAGACCAACGGACGATCAAGCCTGGTCGCTTCTTCCATCTTAGGCAAAGTTCGATGAAAATCAATGATTTTATCATGGTGATACTAAAAGTTGCGTACTAGCGGTTCACTGCGAGTATTGCCCGCTCCCGCTCCAGGCTTCGCGTGGCCCTGCGCCTGCTCTGATTGAGAGACAGTCTGCAGTGTCCTCGTACAAGGCTATTAGATATAGATCCGGACAGTAGGTGATATGACTTGAAGATGAGATTGGATGTGGGAACGCGAATTTGCATCCGCTCTGCATGACTTTTCTATTTTTCCGTAAATCATAGAATGAGCATTCGTCAAGAAGCGTGACTCATACTTGGCCCGAATATCGGATGAACGATCGGTCTCGGAATGTTTACGTAGCAGACTGTCCTGAAATTGCGAGTATCCCTAATAGTGGTTAGGTAGTAACAGGATTATACGATCACCAACCGCACACTTGATGCCATTCACAAACATCACGTCCAATGAAGAAAATCTCGTAGTAGACATAGAAGACATCTCCATGCTGCTTGGATGGTAACCTCACCGCTCTTTACTCGAGTTTGAAATGTCTCAGATGAAGAATTTTTGTCTAGGGTCCAAGGCCCAAGGCCCCACCGGTGGTCGAAATACAATGGCTTACGGCCACACTGCCTCGGCGAGAAAGTATCGTGAGCATGACCCCCTATTATTGCACATCGATTAAAAAAGTGAAGAACTTGTTTGAAGTATGATCATCTATAGTCATTATTGTACCGAGTGCGTCTAAATATTTTCCTCCGACCCGGTATGTACAGTGGTACGCGAAGGATCGGGACTGGTCGGACGGCTCTTGATCTCGATTAGGTACATGCTGATCAAGAACAGCAACGATCTTTTTAAAACATTCATAACACATGATGCCCCAGAATTCCGTGCCCAAAAAGGTAGCCGGGTGTTTGAAGCAGAAGAATGATATCAAGGCTAAGTGAACTCCGCTAGTCATGAACTCCCAATTAAATGTGAACGCCGTGGTATATGCAAGTCGAAAAAATCAAAGATCCATGGTGGGATCATTGAGCGGTAGTCGTGAGAGAACTCTGGAGGGCTTGCGAAAGGGCTTCCTCTTGGCGCTTACGCTCCATTTCCATGAGGTACTGAGCGTACTTGGACCGGGGGTTGTGGATGCCGCACTCGGTCTTGGCCTGGCCCTTCCAGCGACCGGAACGCTCATCCTCGTTCTCCTTGACGGGTTGGGTGGAGTGGTAGTCGCCGATACTCTTGTAGCCACGGTCGAGGAGTTCATTGTAGGGAACGTTGTTCTCCTTGACGTACTGCTTGACTTGATCGAAGGTCCAGTTGGCGAGAGGATTGACCTTGATCAAGCCAGCCTCATCAACCTCAATGATGTCGATGTCACCACGCTTGCCACCCTGACTACGGCGACGGCCAGTGAGGACGGCGTGGACGTTGAGTTCACGGTAGGCACGCTGGGCGGGCTCAACCTTGGCAGCCCAGTCGTAGAACTGGTCTTCCTTCTCCCAGAGACGGGGACCGTGCTTCTTGGCGAAGTCCTCCTCGGTCTCACAGCCCTGGGGCTTATAGACATGGATGGTGTTCAAGGGGTACTTCTCACGCACGCGGTCGACGAGAGCCAAGGTTTCGGGGAAGTGGTGAAGGGTATCGAGGAAGATCAGGTCAACCATCTGAGGCCGAGGCACGGCCAGCTTGGACAGCATATCGATCGTCACCAGACCAGTCAAGCCAAAGGCCGTGGTCTGGTAAAGGTGAGGCAATGAAGTGACACACCATCTCAAGACGTCTAAAGGGATGTTAGTCACTTGCTTCAGGACTAACTCGGAACAGCGCCCACTGACCTTGAGGCTCAAGGAATTGCAATTGTCTGTTGAGGAACTTCAGGTGTGGCTTGGTGAAGACGATCTCAGGCGAATAGTCATCACTCGAACTGCCACTAACATAGCCAGAGTCTCTGGAGTCAATGGCCTCGCCATCAGAAGGGTAGTTGTCCGACATCTTGGCAGGCATCGTGACAGGGGAGTAGTGGTGCTAATGCTAATACAGGAGGGGCAAGAGAGATAGAAGTTAAGTAATGGAATTGCAGAAGAGACGAAAGTAGACAAGTCTATTTGTATGATAATGAGAAGGGCAGAGGCCAGGAATGGGACAGGAGGCGAGGGATGATGTAGACAAGACACAACAGAGACGAACTCGAAGGCTCCGATATAAAAGAGGGACCGGACAGGGGCAATCACGACATCATCGGCAAAACGGAGCCTGTTCTTCCTGCCCTCTTACCTTCATAGATTCCTGAGCCATTCTGCAGGCTCGCGATCACGACATCGCCCATGACCGCTTGCCACAAGGAGCGATGGGCAGAAAAAATCCATTCTCTCATGTTCCGGGGAAATCACGCAATACCTGCACTCTGGGCTTCTGCGGTTCCCCGGACCGGCTTACCTCAGCCGAGTGCTGATAAATCCGCATGTTCCTTGCTGTCTGACTTGGTAGCTGGAGCCTGGAAGAGAGACGAATGCCCGCGAAACGGAGAAGGGAACCATGATTCCCCGGGCTAGGAATGACACTAGCTGGCTGGTCATGCTTATTAGACTCAGCATGAATCATAATCAATCAATGTCTGGCTGTCGTTGCAGGACAATCCGAGTCGACGCCTTGCGTTCAAGCCACAGACTGGAGCAACCCTAGCTGAGAAGGAGTTAGCGTCGAACGAAGAAGAAGGATGATAACTGCAGGAAACAAACCCAGGATGTCATGATTATCAATCGAAGGATAGTGTACTCCGTAGTATACGTACGTGTATCATGGTGGGAGTGAACTTGACTCTGTGGAGTACTGACTGGGTAGTGTCTCTTCCCCCACATGAGGCGAAGATGATGCTGCATTCATGACCAACAATGAATGCCCGTCATGGTTTCTGCCGGGCGGTCAGGCTATCCATCCCCCCGCGGCTCATGTGACTTTGTCCCCCACGTGCCCGCCGATCCGTCGATGCTGCAGGGGAAAACCAAAAAACGACGAGGAGAACCTCGAACGACTTAGCCAGTTTTCTTGTCTGTCCTCGCTATCTTTGCTTCGACAGGGTTTGTTCCTGGCCGGTGGGCTGCGTTGATCGTCCAGGGCCTTCTATCTCATTTCGACTCGGTCATCTCTCCACTCCGTTCCACTCCCCCCCCATCTCACTTCTCCGCGCATCTAATCGTTCCCTGACAATGGCATCGCCCAACCCCACCAACACCACCAACCCCCGTCCAACTCGGCCAGTGTTGCGACAGACGCTTTCCAGCGGCTCGTTCATCCAGGACCACCAGCAGTACAAGCCCTCTGTTCCAATTCAGACCATTGGAAATGTGATCGGCAACGCCCCTGAGTCCTCGTTCGCATCCTTGTCTCTCAATGCGAATCCTATCAGTCCCGATCCCGAGAAGGTGACTGAGAGCGGCATCATCCACAGCATGTTCCACTCCCACGCGAACCCTCTTCCCACCGGAACCCAGCAACTGGTCGCGACTATCTTCTACAAGTCCGCCAATCCGGTCCACCCCCATCTGCACCCCGACTCGTCTCCTCATGCTAAGCCTGGAGATACGCTGCCATCGCCTACTGTTCCCGTCGGCTCTGCCCCGACCATCGACATCGAGAAACTTCCCCGGGAGCCTCCTGCGCCCGAGCCCGAGCCGCTCGACCATTTGTACGGCCCATTTGTGTCGCAGCTTTGCCTGACAAACTTCCTTCAGATCATCGAGTCTCTCCCGACCCCGTATCAGCGCACGAATACCTCCCACCGTTGCTTGGAGAAGAACGAACACCCCCGGGTGGTGGAAGTCACTTTCTCTCCGCCCCCTAACCCGGAATACCTGACCTTTGAAGACCTCCGCAAACACGAGAGCATATGGCGATTCGAGCGCGAATGGAACGTCGAGGTTGTGCTCCAGAGAGAAAGCGTCTTCCGCCGTCACAAGCGTCTCTTTGTTTTCGACATGGACAGCACACTCATTCAGAACGAAGTCATCGATGAGATCGCCAAGTTTATCGGTGTTGAGAAGCAAGTCTCGGTCAGTCCTTATTCAAGTCGTGGTTTTGAGGGAACTTGTACTGACTGAGCCGACAGGAAATTACGGCCCGCGCTATGAACGGTGAACTTGACTTCTCCGCTTCTTTGAAGGAGCGGGTCTCTCTGCTGAAGGGAGTTCCTGCAGACGTCTTCGAGAAGTTGAAGTCTGTTATCACCATTGCTCCTGGTGCACGCGAACTGTGCAAGGCCTTGAAGACTCTTGGCTGCAAGATGGCAGTGTTGAGCGGTGGCTTCCAGCCTCTTGCGGAGTGGCTTGCCGGAGAGCTTGGTCTTGACTACGCTCATGCCAACCATGTAAGTGACTTGGCGATCTATATGTTCCCCCCCCCCCTCCGTGTCACAATGCTAACCTGGGTTAGCTTGAAATCGATCCCACCACCCAGACCTTGACAGGCAGGCTGGTCGAGTCGTACCCGATCATCGATGCGGCGCAGAAACGCTCGCTGCTGCACTCGATCGCTGCCCAAAATGGAATCCCGATCTCCCAGACTGTGGCTGTTGGCGACGGTGCAAACGACCTGCTGATGCTCCACTCTGCCGGACTCGGCGTTGCCTGGCGCGCCAAGAGCATGGTGCAGCTCGAGGCCCCGACTCGCCTTAACGGAGAGAGCCTCGTCGATATCCTTTACCTTCTTGGCCTCACCCGGGATGATGTCAACGAACTGAACGTATAGATTTGGCTATGACACAGGGCCTGGAGTCTGTCAATACTGTCCATGGCCGAACCACCGACAGTTTACGACAGTTTATCATCCTTCAACGGCTCGGCAAGGAACATATGAACACATCGCCAGGAGCGAAGAACGCCACAATTTCAGACTTCTCGCCCGTCGTTCTCACTCACAATCTCGGTTGAATTTCTTTTTTTTCTTTTTCTTGACCATCTTCTACCAATACCTTTTTCTGATTGACCCGGGAGTTGGATTCAGTAGACACATCAAACCGGGCAATTGTGTCTCTATCACGCGGTTGTCATGTTTTAGAACGAGTGAACTCGCTTACATGCTGGTGTCTGAATGATTGGATCAGAAAGCGGGTGGAGTACATACCATACAGCAACAGGCTGCAGCGCAACGAAGTGATTGAATGAACGGCCGAGCTGGATCATTATGCGAGTCATAATGATTGACTGCTTGATTGATAAGTTGTTGATACGCTGAGATATCACATTGAAATGAATATACATGTTTTGACATTATATTGGAATTTGGTTGAGCAAAGCTAAGCCAACCGTCAACCGATTTATCCCCAACCTTTTCGAAAATCTATGTAGAAAGCAACAGTGCACAACCAGATACCAAAGATAGATATAACCGCAACCGAATCATGCTAACCTACGCCGAGAACCGCACACCAAGCACAGCAAAAAAAGTAGACAATCAAAGAGAGAGAGATAGCGTCAAAGCCGCTCCGCCGGGTTCATCACCGCGCGACCTCCTGAACGGGAACTTTCTTCTCGACGGGTTCCGCGCCCACCGTACCGCCAGCGCGCCTCTTCTTAAGCACGTTCTCAATGAACGCCTCGCCAGCCTTATAACTACTGCGGACCAGAGGACCAGAGGCACAGTACAGGAAACCCATCTCGAGGGCCTTCTGGCGCCACATCTCGAAGCGATCGGGGGTGACGTACTCATGGACAGCCATATGTCTCTTCGTGGGACGCATGTACTGACCGAAGGTGACGACATCGACGTTGACGGCGCGCAGCTGGCGGAGGGCATCACCGATCTGCTCATCCGTCTCGCCCAAGCCGAGCATCAACGAGGTCTTAGTGATCAGATCCGGACGAGCCTGCTTCGCGGCGTCCAACACCCGCAGACTCTGCTGGAAGGTCGCGCGTCGGTCCCGCACAAACGGGGTGAGCGCCTCGACGGTCTCGACGTTATGCGCATACACATCCAGCCCGGACCGCGCCACCAGCTTCACCATCTCGATATCGCCCATGTAGTCGCCCGTCAGACACTCGACGAGGATGGAGGGCGCCTTGGACTTGATCTTGGCGACGGTCTCGGCGAAATGCCGGGCGCCGCCGTCGACCAGGTCGTCGCGGTCGACGCTGGTGAGCACGACATAGCCCAAACCCCAGCGCGAGATCGCCTCGGCGGTATTCTCGGGCTCGTGGGGGTCGAGCGGCGGGGGTCGCCGAGAGGTCTTGACGCTGCAGAATCGACAGCCCCGTGTGCAGGTGTCGCCCATCAGCATGATGGTCGCCGTCGCTGCGGATTTGTCGTTGCCGCCCCAGCAGTCTGAGATGTTCGGGCACCGTGCTTCCTCGCACACGGTATGCAGGTTCAGGCCCCGCAGGTCCTTCTTCAGGCGTTGGTAGTTCTTTGAGTCTGGGATCGGTGTCTTCAGCCATGACGGCAGTCTCGTCATCTCCTTCTTGCGGCCTGCTGGGCCGACGAGTGCTGTCTTCAAGGCGTACGCTTCGTTGGGGTCTGCGATGCTGTCTTGGTCGCCTGAGACGAAGTCTGAGAAGGACGGGCCTGCGTTTAGCCGGTCGGTGAAGGTGGTGCGGCGTCGGGCGTGCGTGGGGGTTGCTGCTGTGTCGGTGGCAGAGGAGGGCTCCGTCGTGGCGTAGGTGCGAGTGAGGTGGAGCGCGGGATATGCGGTGCCGGCGGCGGCGGCGGCGGCGGTTACTCGACGCGACGAGCAGAGGAACCGCAGGCGGGTCGTTGATGGGGCTGCCATGGTGGTTTGTGTGTGTCTTTGTGCTTCGAAGGTGGAATGAAGCGCAAAAGATGGAGGGCAGGGAAGAAAGATACAGTAGTTGGAGTTTCGGGGTCCCGCGGGAAACATTCATGCTGATCTCGGAGTTCGGCTGCGGTTCCGCCGGGCGGCTGACTCAGGCTGATTTGCTGCATCCCGCTAGGCCACTTCGGGACGGATGGTGCATTGCCCTAGCTTGGTGGCGGTCATGCTGATTAATTGACCACTTGCCGGTGGATTGAGGCATTTTGAGCGTGTCTAGAGAGGTTTATTGCAATTTGCAGACACTAATTGATCTACGGGGCCGTGTTCAGGTTGGTAGGGTATCATTAAGGTCTAAGTACGGGTCGCAACGCAACCAGAGATTATGCATCAACCATAGTGGTTAATAGGGAACAGGACGTAGGAGAAAGGTGGCAGACATGAAGAAAGCATGAGTGTAGACAGGCCACAACGTGATGGCAGGATATAACGAGGGAAACAAGTCTGTGAAACGGAGCAAAAGGACGGCAGCTATGCAATTTTGGTTCGCCAACAGAACAATGGCAGAACGAACGATAGGGTTAGGAAGGGTTGGTCAATGAGAGACCGGACAGCAAAACGGGTGATGGGAAATTCAAGATAACAGGAAATTTAACGAGTGTTGAGAAGTCTAGGACAATGAAAGAATCTTTGAAGGAGAGACTGCCTAGTTCTTCGTTTCGAGAACTTCGGCGAGGACAAGTACGGCGCTTTTCAGATGCTCCTCGGCCTGGCCGCATATAGCGAAGAGCATCTTCTCAACAATACGATCCAAGTCGCGGCGTAGATCCATACTGCGCGATCCGAGAACCTGCTCTTTGATGCGGGATGGGTTGGCGTGGTTGGAATTCGTCGACGTTGCGGTTGCTTTTTCAGGAACGGTGTCCAGCCGAGACCGTGGGTTGAGCTGACTCTTCCTCTGGTGAGTAGTCGCCAAAGAGACAACATAATTCCGTGCGATCAGAGCAGCACATAATCCATCCAGTAGATTTTCGGCCACGTTGGGAAAGATCGTCCGGAAAGGTCGTAAGAGGGCTCTCTCATTGTTACGGCGAAGGAACATGATGACGGGTGATGTGAGACGGAGCATGTTACGTGGAAAATCCTTGACCGACAGTTCCAGCTGATCGATAGTCCATTCATGATCCCACCACTTCTCCAGCTCTTCCTTCTCCGACTTGGTTGAGGAACGCCCAGGCGATACCTGGACGGACGCAGCAAACTTCGGCGGGACTCCTGGCTTAACTGGTGATTTCGGAAGCTCGGGGCTGGGCGCCGGCTTAATGTCCTCCACCGTATCACCAACCGGTTCTGAAGTGAGGGAGCTGACGTCTGTATACACATCGTCATCGTCCTCATCTTCATCATCGTCATCGTCATCAAAATGGCCCTTGCCATGCGGATAGGTGTTCGGTGAATAGCATGAATGATGTGTAATATATCCGCTGTCGGACATCTCCAAAGGTGTGTCGGGACTGAAGGCTGATATTTCTTGCTGGCCCTGATCAGGAGTCGAAGGAATAGGATGCTGCGGTGTTGGGAGGCCATAGCTCATAGCGGGGGAGGACTGGCGCGAAATGTCCACTAATTTGGGCTTCGTCTTGGTTGCTACTGCGTACATCTGCTGCGGTGTCAGTAACATACTGTCGGTAGGAACTCCACTGCAAGACTCACTGCTGGTCTGGCTGCCTTCAATTCAACCTTCCGTGGAGGCGGCGGGGGACTCTTCTGCACGATCTGGATTCTCCGTCGATTTAACTCCTTGAGCCTCTCACCCTGACCTTCGGCGCCATCCAATGGAGCACGCTGCAGCCAAGGCTCCCAATAAGATAGGCTACTGGGGGCCCAGCTTCCGTCGCTAGATACCGTCCCTGACCTGCTCCTTCCTGCACCAATGGAAGAGGTAGCAAGATTCCTTTTTCCAAAGGGCTCAAAGTCTGAATAGGGTGCTGGCGATGACATGCGCTCTGAATAGGTGGAACCAGGTGTCAACTGTTTCTGGCCCGTCTCGCATTGTTTAGCCAGGTGTGAGTGTGCCGTATGTACATTTGCGGTTCCTTTCAAGCTCTTCTGGGTCTCTTGTGCTTCGCTTTGAGGAGAGGTATAGCAATCGCGACACAACTCCCTGCCTGCGACGCAGCCGCAACCGTTTGGACTCCGTTGGCTGTAGTCGGATCCTGACTCCGATTTCGGCGAGAAGAAGGACAGAGGCGAGGCGTGTGGTGACCTGGTGTCTGATAGAGGGGGGCTCGGAAGGAGACCGAAAGAGTCAATGCTGTTGACTTTGAGATTCTGATCTGAACGCCATGGGCGAAGCGTCCGAGTCTTAGATGATCTTCGAGAGAGCGGGGATTCTTTGCCACTTGCAGCGAGATTCTCATGAGACGGGGAGGACGGAAGACGCAGCTCGAAGGGCTGTTTCATCTTGCGCACAGAACGGAAAGGAGACATGTACACAGGAGGGCGTTCTGAACTGGTCCGTGGCTGCGCTGTGGTATACTCTGACTGGTCGACGCGGGGCGATGGGGAAGAAACAAATGACAAAGAGCTCTGCACCTGCTGTCTCTTCCAAGGCTGGATATTCGGCGAATAGCGCGGAGATGACGGGTTGTTTCCTCTGGCACTAGTGGTTTGATTCGAGACACTGTAGCTCGGTACGCTTCTGTTCACAAAAGTTGGGACATTTGCAGACATTGCGTGGTGGTAATTGTGGTCCTGCAGATGAAATTGCATTTTGACGGAGTGGCAGTCTGTCGAAGACATGGCCGCTTGGCTGGCAATGACTGGGGAATGAAAGCTGAGGGACCGGATCTCTTGCGATTCCTGATCAGAGCGAGTAGGGAAAGAGAGGGGAAAGAAGGCCTCACAATGATCACGGAAGCGGCCGAGCAGACCTTATACCAGGGAGTTACTTCTGTCCAAGTATCCCTTGGCTGCCTTGCGGTGACAGGAAAGAAGACATGGGGCATGTGTGTTCGCCCCCTTTGGGAGGGTCGTCTAACACTCTGGAACATGATTGAAGAGTGAAGGGCCTTTACGCCCATGTCCTTGCATACCACAGAAAGGTAAGAGCAAGAACTGGGCGCAGTCATCGGGCCAGGGCTCGGATGTGCGCCACCTGCAGGCACAGGACAACGTGGGTGGCCCGCTTGCTCTCTAGGTTTGCATAACATCAATTAGAAAGGAATGAGACATGCAGATTGAGGGCGCCTGTGCCAGTTCTTTGGTGGACGTCACAAGATATTCTGCGCAGCTGTCTGATCAACAAAGACGTTGCGCCGGGCAATCTCAAGGTGCTGCCCCTTAGAAATATGCCCCTTGCAGCGGTTGCCGTAGCGCAGCCCTTAGATTGGCCCATGCTGCCTCAATGCTGAGCGCAATCTAAGTAGCATGTGCGAGGATTCCAGCTTGACTGCGGCGGGCGGAGATTTGAGACGCTAATATGAGCCACAGATACTTTCGAGAGGCCAGCGATTCTTTGGGTGCCACCAAAAGTTCTTGGATGTGGTGAGGTTGTCCGCTATACATGCAACCGCGGCTGTGTTGATACAGGAGTCGTAGATCTCAAGGAGCTCACTGTCTTTGTTCCAGATTCGTCAGTAACGAGGGATACTAGGGGAACTAGGAGACCAACGAAGGGACTTGAACTCACCAAGGATACACCCAGGGAGGGGAAAGACGAGATCATGAGAGGATGACTGAAGACGGAGTTGTCCATACAGGGATGGATGGATGTTTAACTTATGCTGGATGACATAATCACAATGCAATGCATCTTGATGTCTAGCAAACAGTGCAAACCCGCCGGTTATCGATTGGCGCATCTCAAAAAAAGTTCGGAGAAAGAGGAAGAGTGACATCGTGTCTGCAATTGTTCTCCTCGTGCTCGATTTTCTTTCTCTGGAGTGCTTCCGTCATGCTCTCTGAGTGCTTCATCGCGTCGACGGCGGCGTCGGGGAAGACTCCGGCGTCTGCCAGTCTGAGAGATGTGGGAATCTGCCTGCACGAGTTTCAGCCCACGCTTAATCTGCGCTCCACCTTCAAGAAGAGCTCGACGGCGGCCAATTGCCTGGCCGTGAGCCCGTCGCATGTGTTCGCCGCACAGTCCGAGAAGGCCATTGTTCATGTATATAGCAGGGAGAAGGGCAACCAAGAGGCTACCGTCCCCTTTCCGGAGCGCATCCGCAGTATCGCAGTAGCAGGAGGCAAGAATGGTGATGTCTTGGTTCTGGGTACAGAAGGAGGCCGTCTTATTCTGTGGGAGGTGAGTTATGCTTACCATGTTGCAAAAGAGTCTACTCTTCCTTGGACCATTGCTAATTGCGCTATATAAATCAGACTTGCACTGGTCGTCAAATAGCCACCACGGCATCTCACCTGCGGCCAGTGACTTCCCTGGTAGTTGACCCTACCTCCAACTTCATCCTCTCCGGCTCCTCCGATGCGAGCATCCACGTCTGGTCCCTCGTTGACCTCCTCTCTTTCACGAAACCTCCGTCTGGCCGAGATCGCCAGCCCCCGAATTCCCCTATCCGCACCTTCTCGAACCACCGCGCCGCCATCACCTCGATCGCCGTGGGCCACAGCGCCGGCCGATACAATATCGCCGTTTCCATCGCGGAAGACAGCACCGCGATCGCATGGGATTATCGCACCGGTCGTCTTCTGCGCACGTTCCTCTTGTCGGCGAACGCGACATGCCTGACCCTCGACCCGGTTGACCGGGCGTTCTACGTCGGCTACGGCGACGGCAGCATCCAATCTGTCGACTTTTATAAGAGCCAGTCCATCCAGCACCCTCTCCACGACCCCTCTCTGCACTCGACCCCCGTGCAACCCTCCGCAGACGACCGATGGGCGCCTCCGTCTCCCGACAGCGGCGCCGCGCACACGCTCACCCTCTCATACGACGGAATGACCCTACTATCCGGCCACCAGAACGGAAAGGTTCTGTCATGGAACGTGGGAAGGAAGAAGTACGCGTCGACGGTGGCCGACTACACGCACCCGGTCACCAACCTCCTCATGCTCCCGCCCAATGGCCTCTCCCACCCGTCCTTCGACCTCACCCGGATGTCCCACACCATCGTCAAGCCCCGCTACGACCACACCCTCTCGGAATCCTCCCAGCCGCTGGGTACCGTGCCTGCAGACTACACCTTCAGCACGCATCTCCTTCCCACCGTCTCCCGCCCGTCCTCCCGCCCCAACCAGTTCACCGAAGCCTTCACGCACGCCTACTTCCCCGAATCGATGCTGGAGGAGGGTCTCGCGGAACTCGCCGCCTTCGACCAGGGCAATACCAACACCAACGTCCCCTCCCACGCGATGAGCACCGGAATCTCCGATGAAGAAGCCTTCGCCAAGGACGCGCAGATCGCGCAGCTCGAAAATGACCTGAGTCTGCTCAAAAAGAAGGCCTCGATCAACGCAACTGCCCGACAGACCACGACGGACGAGGTGACCAAGCTGCGCGCCGACATCGCCAACCTGCACGACTACATCACCGAGCTTCACGGCAAACAGGAACAGGCGCAGCACGAGAAGATCCTCCGGCAGGCGCGCAAGGAAGAGCGCGAGACCCGGCGCCGCGAGGCCTGGTTCGCGGCGGAGAAGAAGGGCAAGAAGGGCGATGCGGTGCTGAAGAAGCTGGATGCAGAGGACACGGTCATGACGAGTGACACCGATGATCAGAGCAGTGACGAGCAATGATCTCCACTCCCTCGCACTTTTTATCTATTGGAATAACGCTCTATCAAAACGACTAGGCGCATTGGGTTGGTTTTATGGTAATCAAAAGTTCCTTGTTGCGCGAGTGGGTTGCCTGCCTGATCCTGTATATAGATAAGATCGATGCAAGAGCAAGTCTACGCCACCCACACCCTACATTGAAAGAAGACCCCCGTAGAACCAGCCAGCGGGCAAGTCCATCTGTCCTCTGGAATGGTACCCACACCCCCTTCTGGAATGCACCGTCCCAGCACCGGAGATGAAACGTACAGCCCGAAACCCAGGAATGTACCACCCTCCACCCTCAACCCTCCAATCAGCAAATAAGCCACTCAACCATCCAACCAGCAGATAAGCGTCCCGGGGGAGAACCCCCGGACCCCCCTTCCTTTCAGCTTCCCAGCACCTCAATCCAAACAATCGAACCTAATACGTCTGCCCCTCCTCCTCCCCCCGATTCTCCCCGGAATCAAGCATAATAGACACCCCAGAAGAAGACCCAATCCTGTGGGCCCCAGCAGAAAGCATATCTCTACAAGCCCCCGCAGACCTAACCCCCCCACTAGCCTTAACCCTAGTCCCAAGCCCCAAAATCTCAGCAACAGCCCTCATAACCCTCACATCCTCCACCCGGGCCCCAGCCCCGTTAAACCCCGTACTAGTCTTGATAAACTCAGCCCCAGAAAGACAAGCAATCACGCTGCCAGCCACAATCTCAGAGGGCCCAAGCTGCGCCGTCTCAAGGATGACCTTCAGCGCGACGACTGACCCGGGCGCCGCGGCCCGCACAGCCCGGAGATCCTCGTACACGGCGCTGTACTGCCCCGCCTTCAGCAGCGGGTAGTTCATGACCATGTCCAGCTCGGTGGCGCCGGCTTGGATGGCGGCGCGGGCTTCGCGGGCTTTTTCGGTCGGTGGGGACGTGCCCTCTGGGAAGGAGATGACGCAGGCGATTCCGGGTTTGTTTGCTGCGCTTACGCTTGAGGAGGGGGCAGATGAGGCAGTGGTGAGGTTGTGGAGGGCGCGCGGGACGTGCGGGAGGCGCACGCAGACGGTTGCGAAGTTGTGGGTTAGGGCTTCGGTGCAGAGGGTGTCGATGTCGGCTTGCGTGGCTGTGGGTGAGAGCTGCGTATGGTCGATTGTTTGGTTCAGGGTCGGCGGGACGGCGTAGGTTGGGTATGTTGTTGGTAGGGAGGACTGGATTTGCGTGATGAGGGTGTCCCATTCTGCGTTGGTGGTGGGGATGGGGTTGGATTGGGATGACATGGTTAAGTGTAGTTGAGTTGAGGGTATAGATGGTATGCGCTGCTGCTCGGTGTCAATTAGCTCTATTGATGAGGTAGCTGGAGACTGAATACCTGTACAGAAGCAAGAAAGAGATCAGATTGTAGTTCCGAATACCTTGAACTCAACACACTCCCGTAATGCAGTGAAGACAAGACAAGACCAACTGCGGGGGCGGGGTTCTTATCTTCTCCTCTCTCCGCAAACAAACACCACCACCATCACCACGTGATATATCATATCAAAACCCCCTCTCATCCCTTCTACACCTTTCTTAAACTACAACCCCGTAAACCAACCAAACAGTCATCAAAATAAGCCCACTCCATTCCAATCAAAGAAATAAGTCCACATACACCCCCGGCACCACCTACACACCAAACCCCGCACCACAGCACAAACAAAACCAAAACAATCCCACAGTATACTACAAATACCCTTAACCACAACTCTTACACTCCGGCCCCCGAACATCATCCACCCGGCCAATCCTCCTAGGTCCAGATCCCCCAGGACCACCGGGACCACCACCTCCGGGACCTCCACTACCCCCCGAAGAACCCCCTCCAAACCCCAGTCCCCACCGCGACTTATTTCCAGACGGAGTCCTTGCTGAGCGATGGATATTGAAGCTTGAATCCCGCGCGGCGCCGTAGGGGTCCGTCTATGCATTGGTTTGCGGTAAGTATGGGGTATACACTGCCAAGGGAATTGGAATAGGGAAGAGATGGTATAGATGGGGTGGATGGATGGATGGGAAGGGAAAGGGAGACGAGCGTGTTCCATCCGTTCACCCATTCATATAAGTCGAGATAGAAAGAAGAGACGGAAGACTCACCGAGAAAAAGCTCACGATATATAACCCCAGAAACACATAGATACTCTCGAGGAAGCGACTGGCTCGGACGGAGAGTGGGGGACTGATAGTTGGCGGACGGGAGATTAGCAACTGTATGCGGGTCGCGACTCGCAATAGAGGGATAGGAGGTGCATACCTTCCGAGGACACGACCACCGGACACGTATGTTCGGGGTTCCGGGGCCATGGTGAGTATATGCCTCGGGAAATTGGGTTGTATGAGTTGAAGCTGATTGTAAGTTGCCAGCACGGTAGGCGGCTGATGGTGAAGTCGGATTGATTGAAGGTGACGGTGATGATCAGTCCGCGGCCAGGGCGGCGAAGGGAGTACCGGATTAGGCTTAGTCTGCTACCGTACCAAAGCTGCAGGGAGACTAAACCATTTACAGACCATTCTTCGAGTTCTATCTTAAATACTAAAGATATATCAGAACTACCTATCTCTCTAATAATCTATATGTTGGTAGGAACAATATCCAGCGAGCCTTGATTAATAGGGCGCATTGTCGTTTGAAGATTTTAAGGCCTTGTCGGTTTCGGCCAGCTCTCTGACTCTCTGATTGATTACGAATAATATCAAGTGAGAAAAGCAGAGAGAGCGAGCGGACAGCGGAAGAACTATTCAATCGAAGTCTACCCCGCATCTCCTGGCCGGAGTCTCAACCATGGATAGGGAAATGACATCGATGAAAAGCCATAGCTTGAAATGGTACTCCAAACTTTGCTCGGTTACCTTTCCGTAGGCCTTCAACCGATTCCCGTAGGCGGCACTGCCCCATCTCGCAACACGACGAATCCTCGCTACTGTGCAGAGGATATTCACGAGGTGGGCTCTTGGCTCGAATTCAACAACTCCACAATCATTCAGCGATATGGTGTTCCACTGCATTGAAACGGATTCAATCCGAGCCCATCGCATCCCCACCTGCCGCGATAAGAGACGAGCCCCAGTTTCAGCTACACTTTGCCGAATTAATTTGGCCTCGTGTGAGGCGGTCACTTCGGGCTGCTTTCGAGCAGCTTGTACCTGAACTTGCGACGCAACGACTCTCGCCGGTCACGTTCGATGAAGGAAGTGCGGCGTCTATAATAGATCTGTTTCGACCCGATACTGCTTTCACAGCAGTCGGAGGAAGTGCTGCTTCGAGTCCGAATCTAGCTCCAGGGGATCTGAAGGTATCCTAGAAATGGCAGTCTTCATGGCGTTATTCTCAGACTTTGGCGGAACAGCGTGAGTACAAGCAGGTCTTGGCTCAGGTTAATTTCTGCATGCGTCAGCATAACGCCCGGTATGGCTATATTCTGGCGGACACGGAGCTTGTTGCTGTCAAGCGTTTAGAGGGGAGTAGTCGTCTAGCGGTCTCCACGGCTGTGCCCTGGACGCGTGGAGGTGTAGGAGTATTATCGGTACTATTAGCTCTATAGTATCTCGGGATGATTGCAGCAGAGGATGGAAGTTGGATTTTGGATACATAGCGAACCTCAAGAGGCTCTTTTCCTGGCCCTAGCTTTGGAACTGAAGTTTTTTTATGTTATGCTCTTCAAGTCTGAGCGAGATATTCCGGTAACCTCACTTCAAACCATCATACGGAGCCTTTCCACCTTGCTGGAATTTAGAATCAAGTTAGAGTGCCGCAAATAGCTGTATAGATAGTCCAAAGCGCTTGTTAACTTTGTCTTTAAACTCGATACAGTCCTGACAGGGAGGCGAACTGATCAATATGACCGCCTCAGTTAAGGAAGCTGGTGGTGGCGCATGAGTCATGTTAATCAGATCAGCATGTTTGTCGCGTCGCTGATGTAGTACCTTCAGTCGGGCTTCTCGTTTCACGAATCGTCGGGCACGAGTAGCGATTAGCTCGTTTAGGGTTGATTCAACCGATTTGAGCTCCAGCTCCAGTGCCTTGATCCTATCATGTTTCCCGATGAGCTTTTCGTCTCCGTCGAATAGCTCATGATCGAGAGCGTCCTTCCTCTCTCTGAGGGATTTCACTTGACGCCTAATTTCAGTGCCTGAAAGAAACCGCTCCTGCGCCTCCTCTACCCGCTCAATCATTTCCTCCAGTTTCGAGTCCGGAAGGCCATCGCGTGGGAGGAAAACATGGCGGTCGATGAAGTATGCTATCAACTGCTTTTCTGCGTGGCATGCACTGTATCGACCGTCTTTACCCCGATCACAGGGGTTGGAAGGCAAGATATGCCCCGCTGATTCCGAGATATAAAACACATCATCCGTCCACTGCCGACCATCGACTCTGAGGGATTGCAGCGAGCCATGTGACCAGCCGCTCATAGCGCTAATGGACGGAAGTTTCCTCCTCGTTCTAACCGCGCCACCGTTTTCCCACTCCGAGTGACTGGGTACTCTTCAATCGGCCCGTGTAATACAAGCGAGTCTTGCATCGGTGAAGGCGTGAATGAATAGGACTTAGACAATGATAATGTGGGAGGGCTCCCAAAAACAATCTTTGACTTCCTATTCTCTCCGCTGAGGAGCCGTATAATCTCCTGACGGTCAATGTCCCTTCTGAATGTGTCCTCAACATAGCCCAGCCGTTGATCAGATGAAGATGTGAGGTCGCCTCCGACACGCTCGTATCTCTCTCGTCGATTTTTGTGATGTTCTCGAGCGAAGTCGATGGCAAGTCGGTTTTCGCCGTCCTTAGTATATCTGTCTGCATTGTGTGTTAGGAGAACCTTTACATTATCAAGCCGGCCAAAAAGCGCTGCCTCCATGAGAGCACTCCTTCCGTAATTGTCAACAGCATTCACCTCAGCTCCGTGTTCGATGAGAAGTGATATCATCTCCGAACTCTGTTCAGCTGCTGCACTGATAAGGGTTGTTTTACCATCGGAATATCTTCCTAGAACAAATAGTGTCGCTTCAGGAGAAGTTTCTAGATATCTTCGCACCGCTCTTGTATCCCCGTTGACACAGTCGCTGATTGGCCCAAGAATTCGCTTCTGCTCAAATGGCGCAATCCCGTGTCCTGGATTGACAATGATGAGTTCTTTCGAATCTCCATGAATACTCGCATATGTTTCTTCCCTCTGTGCTGCGATTGTAGCCTTCCGAGCCAATTCGATCGCCAGACGATTAACATCCTCATCATCCTCATCATCCTCATCATCCTCATAACCAGTATCCTCGGCATTGGCATCATCATCATTCCCATCGTCATACTCGGTATCCCTATCATGGGCTACGCAAATATTGATATATCGTCCTCGTCTCTTGTCAATTTCATACGCAACCTTGCCTTGATCATTCAAGGGGAAGCAGCAAAGGTAACTCTCCATCTCCTCGCAATGCGAATATCTCAACTTGTTTGCCTTCCAGTTTACGCCATGGCGATGAACTGATTCGCAAAATGGACATTGAATGTAGTAAGAGTCCGCATTCCACCAGATAACATCCACTTCAGGGAAGACTTTCATTGTGGAAGGATAGTAATTGGAGGTTGGACTGAAGCGGGTAGATTCGACGAGATGGTAAGGGTTTCAAACGTGCTTGAAAATAAGTAAAGGAGGAATGTACATCAGCAAAGATGCACTAAGTTGTGACGAGGACGTGCCCAATGTGGGGCACGTGCCTTAAGTCATTTGCCGCTAAAAGCGAACAGGACAGACTTAAATCGGGGAGCCTAGGATTTTCTTCTATATTTGGACTAGCATCACTCCGCAAGAATTCTGAAGAAAACGAACGCCTTTATAACCCTTCTCTCTCCAGGTCACATCTCTTCGACCGTCAAGCCTGCGTGTCGGAAATGTTTTTGGGCGCTTTTCTCTCGTGCGCCCAAATTATCGACACACGATTCTAAAAACTCACGGAAGCCTTGAACAAGGGTCGTCCTCAAAAAAATCTCCAGTTTCGCTTGATGAACGCCAGGTCTGCGAAACGACCAGAGATGTGCGGAAGAATAATATTCCCGTACTATTTTGTATCCAGCCGAGTGTCACATGGCGCGCGCTTCAAGAAGATAGAATTGTCAAACTAACTCAGCCGCTGACTGGACCTCTCAAATGCGGCTGTGCTAGTGTATAAGTAAACTGTTTTGCTGCAATTCCCGTTTGCTTACCTGATTGAGGTGCCGCTGCTTTGATGAGGGCAGCATGTGAACGATTTGTATACACTCTGGGACACTCAAGATTGCTCACGGAGCACGTACCTGGGAAACTCCGGTCGCTTCAGCCATCCCTGAGCAGCCCACTTTTAAACAGTGCGCAACTACCGCTTATCTAGATCAGTGGTACGTACTCATACAAACCTAGGAAATTTGAGGGCATCACCAAAACAAGGGCCGTCAGGATCTCTTGGTTTTCCCGTCTCAAAATATTTCCAACAATGATATTCTCTCCGTTGCACTTGGCTAAGTCTATGATGGACGAGTGGTGATACATGGCTAGAGGTATTTCTCTTCTATTTTGTACATAAACAGTGCCCACCTCAGACTTGAAGGAAACGTTCTCCTGTTCTACATGGCGTTTGTGTTTCGGTATGTTCGCCTTGGTAGGGTCCGCGGAAACAGTATTCAACACAATTCCTACACTATATACATTTAGTTTTGCAGTCCAGTTTCTTCCCCATTCCACAACATATTCAGATCTGCGCAGATCTAACCTTTTATCGCCCAGGAATTCTTGAGCTTCTGCTTGATGTCGATGCTTTCCGAGGGATAGTAGAGTTATGGGCGGAGGGATTGGCGAATGACAAAGGTGCCGACGATGTTGTGGGTGAAGGGATAGAAGCAGTGGTCGAGGTAGGGTGGACGGTGTGAGCGGAACTGTAAGATTCGACTCCATGAGGTTCAAGTTTCTGTGTCTCAGATTGAGCAGTAGCGGCAGAAACAGCGGCCACTGAGAAGAAGCGGTAATCGGAGGCGGCCGGCGAGTGTAGAGCACGAACGGAGGAAGCACGCCCCGGAGATGAAGAACTATGAAGTGGAGAGACAGCAGGAGCTGAGGCACTGTGACTGGCATCAATCGTGTAGGTGTGTCCGGTGGGAGAGATCACATAGGCGGTTGGAGATCGCCGGACAGAAGAAATCTTGGAGAGGAAGGAGCCATGTTGGCCCATGGAGCCTGAAATCCAGGACGAGGACGAAGGTGCTGAGGACAGCTTAGCAGAGCTCGAGATATATCCCTCGATGCTAGGAAACGGGTTGTTAATGATCTGCGCAGGGCCCGTTGTTTTCCGTTTCGCAACCATGAACATAATCGACGAGGTAGCATCGGTGGAGGTGCTAGCAGCCGCTGAAGTGGTTGTATCTGATGCTTCTGCAGCCTCAATGGCGGAGAACCATGACTCAATCGAACTAGCTGCAGCATCAATAACAGCCACTGCCTATGCACACACCATTCAAGCAGTTCGGCACCGAGCATACAACCTTGTGGCACCTTGGACCTCCACATTCGCCGTCCAGGCAGTCAAGTCCAAGGCAGCCAAATGCAACGCAGTCAGGACCGAGGCATAGGCCACTGTCGTTGCAATCGTCGCCATAGCAGCCGTGAGTATGACACGGGGTCGACTTGCAATAGCCTTTTGTGCAGCCTGCACCCCGACAGCCGGTTTCCTCGCAGCTATCCCCAAGGCATACGCTGGTCTAGGCAGTGGTAAATGAATTTTGGCTTGTGTGAGAGGCGAAAGAGATTGTTAGTGCTGACAGGGGTCATGCGATGTACAATACTATACTGATTTGTTATATAGTGATTGTGGGGTGGAATTGATAAGGAGGAAGGGCTAAGCAAGAGCTAAGCACTAAATAGATAGTGGCCAGCAATCGAAGCGGTGCTTCCAGCTAACGAGTAAGGCTTTGAGACTACTATATAGTTAGACCAGTAATTGAGTTATTGTTGGTAAATAAAGGGCGCCTTGCACTGACTGGAAACCTTTCCCTCTTCTTCCACCCCCCCTCACAGTTCTTCCGAAAATTTCCCACCATCATGTTAACTGATCTACCCCTAGAGTTGCTCTTTCACATTGCCCATCTGCTGGATTCGCCCCATGCCCTCAATGCGCTAGTCCAAACCAATCATCGGCTTTACGACAGTCTCAACCCGACACTCTTTCGAGTACATGTACGGCAGCACTCTCCCAGGCCCCCTGAGGCGCTATGGTGGGCTGCGGAAAATGGCCGTCTGCCGACCATTCATCAACTATTGGCGGCAGGGGCGTCTCTCCCCAGCCCACCAGTGGTCAAAGATACCTCATCTCAAGGACCAACGGACTCGGAGGATGAGGACTCCTCTGAGGAAGAAGAAAATCGCTGCCATCCGATCTTTCTTGCCCCCCAAGCGGGCCATGGCGAGGTCGTCGACTTTTTCCTCTCTCAAGGCGTCTCACCAGACATCAAAGATAGATCCGGTAGCACCCTGCTCTGCGCCGCCGTCCGCGAGCAGCAGTTCGATATAGCCGAGTCACTACTGCAACGAGGGGCGAACCCATGGCAGCCCCATGATACTCAAGTCTGCGCTATGGGCTGGGCAGTGACCAAAGATACAGCAGGAACAAGAAACGAGCCAAGATTTGTCCCGCTCCTCCTGCACTACGGAGAAAAACACCAGGCAATCGATCCGAGCCTGAAAGCGGTCGTGCTTCAAGAGGGACTGCTGAAAGCCTTTGCTCAGTCAGGAACCGAGCATATTGCACGGATGTTGTTAGCGGCCGGGGCGGACCCAAACTATCTCGGCCCCAAGGCGCGGGTGACTCCTCTGGCTCAAGCTGCAGGCATGAGAAACTTCGCCATGGTCAAGCTTCTCGTCGAAGAGGCCGGTGGGGATCTCAACCTTCTCAATGACCGGCAAGAGGGGCCGTTATCAGAAGCGGCTGTACGTACGCATTGCTTTTGGTGGAAATGGGATGATGGCACATCTCACTATGGCTTTATGAGGGCGCGCTCGCAGTCGCCAGCATGGAAAGTCCAGGTAGACGCTGAGACCATGGCCGAAATGGTGGCCATGACAGCTTTTCTTCTGGACCTCGGGGCGGATATTCGCCGGGGCGGAGGGGATCTGGCATTGGCGAATGCAATCAAGTCTCACAACGCAGAACTGGCCCAGTTCCTGCAGGTACGAGGGGCCCGTGTTCAAGCGTTGAATGACTCGGATCAGCCGGCTCTCGAGCTTGCGATTCTGAACGGCGAACTTCCGAAGGCAGCAGACTTGGTAGGGATTTCGAGCCCAATGCGATATATGCCGTGATTAACTATTGTGCACTTTCGGAATAAAATGGGACAAATGTTATGGTAAGGAAACCCTGCAGGGCTAAGGGACTGGTTGACCCCTGAATCCCACAGTCCCTGGAATCTGGGGTCTACTTCAGAGTAACTGGTTAGATTAGGTGTTTTCCATACCGGAGATTTGGCGGCACTAAGTCACAGCCCTAATGCACAAGCCAATGGGTACTTAAAGCTTAAGTCCTGCGCCTAGTCGACTAGTTCCCAGGCTCGCTCCACACTATCCTACATTAATTTCCAGTACGACACGCAATAGGATTGTTTTTTTCCTGCACTACTGAGAAGGATCCAAGGCAACTGAGACATCTCCGCGCGTCCCCGCAAGCTTGATTGGCCACTCTTTTATTCTCTAATCTGGAGGGCAAGGACGGATACACCGGATGGCATGTAGGCAATCATCTCACTCATAGTCTATCGGTACTTTTGCAACGTTCTGGGTGGTGAGAAATTATAGCACCAGGCATACCCTCGATTCCTGCCGGACTTGGATTTCAATATTAAAAGCTGAAGTTGCTGTAAGCTCTCTCCTCGCCACACGTCGTTTGGCCAGTGATTGAGGTGCCTACACCCCATTCCAGCTGTTTGAACTCATTCTTGAAAATGAGGACTGCACTTTGGTGGACCTTCCTCAGAAGTCTGGAGCTAGTTGAGAGCTCTAGCATCCACAAAGGATGGGTCAACGGCGACACAGTCGCTGATGCCAACAACACTGATCCCGATGTTACCAGTAATTGTACCTATTGGGCTAATGAGATTGGCCCGAATGATACTTGCGCTGAGCTGGAAAGTTACTTTGGTAACACATTCGCGCAGTTGAAAGCTTGGGTCTATCATCCTCACCTCACCATGCTTACTTCTTGAAGCCGACATGCGCCGGGCTAGAATCCTTCTTTGTTAGAAGACTACTGCGTGTTGATCGAAGGATGGAACTACTGCGTGAGCGGCCCCGATGTTGCGGCCTCCACAACAAGCATCACGCAGTCAGTGAGCGCGACTGCAGCTACAGCAACATCGTCCAGCTCTGCCAACTCAACATTTCCCACCCAATCTGGCCTCTTCTTAACATGCGACGCATACTATCTCGTGGAGAGTGATACTACTTGCTACAGTAACCAGGATCCGTACCGCAACTTTACGTTGGACCAATTCCGATGGCGTCAATGGATAACACGCTAATAACCCAGAATCTGCTAGCCACAGCTAGATCCAGAAGACGGCCACTCAACCAAGCTCGCCTCCTCTGTCTGCGACTTCTCCGAACCAGCCTCATCACCATTATTGAGCCCAACATCCGCTTCGTCGAAGAAGTTCTCCTCAGCGAGGCGGACCGCAGCAACCCCAGCCAACTCCCCGATTGATGACCCGCCCAAGAACCGCAACATGGGTAGTTCGACACCGATCTCTTTGACAAACCATTGGCGCAGCGCGATCGCCACCAGAGAATCTACCCCCATCTCACTCAGGATATGGCTTGGAGTGACAGCTTCCTCGTCGGGCAGGCTCAGTCTCGAACGAACTTCTTTAATGAACTCGGCTGTGATCATCTGCATGGCGTCATCTATATCCCTTGCTGCCTTCAAATGTGCTTTCATGTCCACACTGTCCTTGCGAGTGCATTTCCCACCAGATGAGCTGCCACTTTGATCGATGAAGCCCCAAGCTCTGGGGTTACGGAGCCACACTGCGTCAGGACTTTTACCGGCATCCGTCACCTCAAACCCGGCGATGATGTCGGCGTTTCGGCCTGAGTCGACCCGTCCAGCAAGGATCGCTTCGGCGAACAGCTCATGCAGATCACTTTCGGACAATTTCGGACTGCTGCTACCCATCGTTCTGTCGAGGATGTCACGCAAAGCGGAATCTGCGCGGGCGAGATAGCCCACTCCCTCAATCGATGCAGGGTGAATAATGCTTCCGACACGGCCCTGCGCGCGTCGCCGCTGAATGAGCGCAGACATAAACTGTGTGGCTGCTGAATAGGCTGCCTGACCTATATTGCCCATCGGTCCGGCGGCTGACCCAAAAAGGATGAAGAAATCCAGGTCGAAATGGCCGAAGAATTCGTCGAGGAGAAGGCTTCCTTGCACTTTCGGCCCGAGTACGGCTTGAAAATCCGAAAGACTGACATTGGCGAAGAGCTGATCCTTGAGTACCATAGCACCGTTGATGACTCCCCCAACCGGGGGCAGCTGAGCAAAGAGAGTGGCGTGTGCAGAGGTCACTGATGCACGGCTCGTAACGTCCCTATAGAAGCTTTTTAGCCATAACCAATGGAAAAGGATTTGACAACTGACATTGATAACGGAATCACACGGGCTCCCATGCTTGCCATTTCTGCGATCCACTGGGGGTCAAGTTTAGGAGACCTGCTGCTCAAGACAATACACCGAGCTCCGCGGGAGGCCATCCATTGGCAGACTGACTGGCCCAGACTGCCAGTCATTCCAACCAGGAGATATGTTTTATCCGCATCTAGTGTTATCATTGAGCTTGCAGTCTGGATCTCAACTGGTACTTCATCCGATTCAGTCCAATCGACAATCGCCGGCCGATACAGCTCGCCATGCATGCCGTGCAATTCAGAGAGAGAGATAATATCAAGTCCTTCGTCAGGCTTCAATTTTTGTAAAGCAAATCCACAAGCTGTAAGAATAGTCTGGCTCACGGCACCCGGATTGCCAGGCCTTGTGATGCCCGGTGACGCCCGATAGAAACTTGTCAAGTCAAGCTTGACAACATCCTCCGAAATGGCAGCCGTGATCCGAGAAAACACTTCAGAGCTGCAGTGGCCACACTGGGCAACAACAGATAGGTCAGAAGGTAGAATGCGTGTGAGAGAACGTGCTGATTCATTGCTGTGAATAAACAAAGATTGCTCATCCCAGGATGCAGCCATGTCTTGGGTACTGAGATATACTCGCATGCCTCGAACAGGACCTAGAGTCAGAAACGCTTCTTGTATCGATCCATGCATCGACTCGAGCCCATGGACCAATATTGACGTGTCAGAGAGTCCATGGCTCAGTGCACAGATTAACATAAATGCTGCAGCCATCCTATCCAGAAACGTGGGCAAGGCAGCTTCGGAAAGATGCTCAGGGACGCGAAAACACCAGCTTAGAGGTACTTTGACCAATGATGCATTCTCCGATGATAGTGCAAACCAACGTGTCTGGCCGTTCACATCGCGACCAATCAGCAAGTAGAGAAAGCCCGCACCATCCACTTGATAAGCACTCAATGTAGAGTAGTCCACTGCAAGATAGCGGTGGGCAGCAAGCTTCCGATAATTTCCAGTGCTGACCCTTATTTTCTGGGACAGCCTGAACTCACGACGTCGGCCCTTTGGCGAAAGAATCTGAACAACTGATTGATGCAGATTAGCATGTCCAATCACTCTGCGTCGGCCAGCTAGGTACCGATTATTCATAGCATTGCTAAGATGATAACGTGGAATCTGCAATGCACCGCCGACAAGCTGTAGCTCCGGCTCAATGCTATGTACGCGGTCTGTCAGAGTGAAGTCATTGCCTTGGGCCGTGTGGGACAGACGCAGAAAGATGGTAGCCACCCCGGGCGCGGTAACATCGTCTCGTCCAGGAATGTTCAGATATTGTGAGAGAAACTGCGGGTTCTCGTATGTAACGCAGTTGATTATACCTTTTGTCATTGCCCAGAGCGGATTCTGGCTCTCGAGTCCGGCAGTCACCCACAGAAGCCGACTGGCGTTGTTCACTATTGCTCGGATTCCACCCAGTCGCTCCTCCGTGAGTTCCTCATAACACGGGGAATCAATGTCGCTCAACACTAGAACATATGCTCTGGGCAATTCTTGTAGGTTCAGCGCTTCTAATGTGGATGATATGATAACGCTGTTGAAAAAGCGTGCCAAGAGAGCCTCGAGACCTGATACAAGACTCGCAGTTGCGTTTGTCGCACCGCCGACGATCCAAGCATCCCCAGCAAGCCGGCCGGAGAACGTCCACGGGTTACGCTGCAGCAGAAGCTCATCATCAATAGCTTGCGAGACAAATGTCGAGTCCAGATCAAGTTGACCAGCAGGTGAGATCGCCTCGAAACCTCCAAATCCGGTAAGTTGAAGCAGCTTCTCCCATTCCTGGATGTTGAGAAGTGGAGTCCACTGGCGAGCGTCGCACTCATCCTGCCACCACTTTTCTGTAGCACAATGTGTGAGGAGAACCCGACTGATATTGAGGTTGGTGCTCTCCCGCGCGACTAGATAGCCACCTGGCTTAAGCAGACGACGAATCTTCGCCAATGTCTCGCGGAGATTGTGGGTTTGAGTTAGGAAGTTAGCAGCAACAACAACATCATAAGATCCAGTTTCATAGCCTTGCTCGTCCAAGTCTTTCTCGATATCAAGCTGCTGCAAGATCAAATTTGGGTTGTCCTCCCTTATGAATTCCTCCCGTGCCTCTGAGAGGCGAGTCGCGGATCCGTCTGTGATGGTGTACGACTGATACGAGGGGCCGATCTTGCTGAGAATAGATCTTGTCGTCCGTCCCTTTCCAGCATTCAGCTCCAAAATCTTCACTTGAGGATAGCGGAAGACAATTTGTTCCACAAAGGTCGCAACCTCAGAGCTGTTAGGGTTGCTGTCAAAGAAGTCCACATATGATCTGCCAGAACCATAGACGTCATCGTCGTCGCGACAGAGTGTCTTTATCGGACCTACGGATCCTTCTAGTATTCTGGGTAAGTTTTCTCCAGCTGTCTTCAGGTGGTGCCAGCCCGAGCTAGTTCCAGCGGTGGTCTCTAGCACTTCGTCGATAGTATCATACAACCATTCAGGCTGATATGTTGGGTGTGTACCATCACGTGTCATCTGCAGGACCTTTCCCATCCACTGGACCATACTCGCATGATAAGGACTCAAGCTTTCACACTTTACAGCGTCCAAGGTCTCCCAGACATCTCGTATGTAAAGCAGAGCACAATGCTCAGCGCAATACAGATCCAATTCGGTTTCCGAGTTTTTATCAGTCGAATTTGCCACAGCATGGGGCACGAGTGGTCCCCAGACAATCTCAGAAAAGATGGCTCGGTCCTCCGGAACGACAAGAGGAGCGACTTGGAAGCCTTCGATGATATAGACACCATGCCCTTCGTGGTCGAACGTGTAAATGTCCGCCTTCGCTCCATCGACTGTATCCTCAAGGAGAACGGTATCGACAATCAAATCCTGTCTAATCTCCAGCGACTCTTCGCGGCAGAGTAATGGATTCATGACGATATGCTCAATAAACACAGGCACACTTGGTGTCTGTAATTTCACGGCAGCCAGCATACCATGAAGACTAGAGTCCATGACAGCTGGATGCAACACTGATGATGCTGTGCCTGTACAGGAGACGACACCAGTTGATCCATTCGATTGCCTGGCAACAGCTTTGAGACCTCTAAATGCACCACGGTAGTCCAAGCCGATCCCCTGCAAGCCGGTATAGAAACCATCGAGATCAATTGTTCGTGTGGCTGGAGTGTGCATGCGTCGCGGAGGCAGAGACATTGTGTCCGGCTCGCCCATGGATAGCGTGACTCGACCCGAAGCGCAGGTTTTCAGGCTGCCTGCAATGTTCGAATAGCATGTAAACCCACCCCGAATCACATCATTCTTGTTTGATTCTTGCTCAACTCTGAAGATGACTTCAATGCCCTGGGGGTGGTCAGGGATGCTGATGGCGCGCTTGATGTGCATTTCATCAATCTCGAAGAGACGTAACGACTGTCCTCGCGTCATTATGAAGGCTGCCTCCAGCATCATGACAATGTAGCCCGTGGCCGGGAACACAGCCTGGGATTGAACCTTGTGATCATTTAACCATACTAACTCCGTCCGACTGAGAAAGTTCCGCCATCGCCATTCGTTCTCTGCGGTCTCAGGACTTAGTGCTCCCAGCAAATAATGCGGCGGATCAGTACGGTGCAAACGGGCATTAACCCAACGTGACATGGCCCAGTAGGAACGTGTGTGATCAAATGGATATGTTGGAAGGTCCTTCAAGAACATGCAGTCATGACTGGGGTCAAACAACTTGACAAACTTCTCAATCTCGAGATCTGGTAGCTGATGATTCCAGAATATCCCGATGGCATTGGCAATAGCCTCAAAAGTACCGCTTTCGCGGTGAGCCAGGCCCACATAATGAGACACATTGGGAACCGTTTGGTGAAAGTTTTGCAGGATCTGAAGGACAGGCCCTTCAAGAGTCGGATGTGGGCCGACCTCCACAATCAGATTCGGATGCAACATATCGGAAAACACAGCTTGAACAGCTTCACAGAACAAGACAGGACGAAGCATATTCTCTGGCCAGTATTCATGGCAGAGGTCATCTCTGACAAGGCTTCTGGAATGGTATACACTGGAGTACCACGGCACCTTGGGCGGTTTGTACCGAATGTCACAAGCTTTGATAGCACGAAGATAAATCTCGGCGCAAGGCACCATATGATGGGAGTGGTACGCCGTATCGACCCGCAGAGAGCGTGCGCTGATATTCAAGCTCCGCAGAATCCATTCCAAATCCTGCAACGCATCCGTATCCCCCGAAAATGTGACGCTCATTGGGGAATTGCTGGCCGCCACTACGATCCGCCCACCGAAACCCCCATCTTCACAGAGGGAGACCGCGTCTTCCCAGGACATCGCGCCCGCCAGCATCGCTCCTCTCTGTCCACGGTAATTCATGGCTTGGTTGGTAGCCCAGCCTCGCAGATACGCTAGCCTGATTGCATCCGATGCCGAAACCACGCCAGCTGCGTATGCTGCCGCGATCTCACCGGAGGAGTGTCCAACAACCGCAGAGAAAGTCACTCCCAAAGCTCGGAGCAGGTTCACTTGGACTAGTTGAGTGGCTGCTCTAAGGGTTTGGGATATCACCGCCTCGTGAATTCGGGAGTCATGCATGGGGGCCGAGAGTTCGTCTGCTAGCAAGAAGTCGGGGCAGTACTCTTGCGGAAGGGAGGCCAGAGAATCCTGTAGCTCGTTCAACCAGCCAAGGGCTTGGGAGCTACACGAGATGAGGCCCCAGCACATCTGAGGGTACTGTGCACCTTGGCCGGTAAATACGCCGAAGACTCCCTTAGAGCTCGCTCGGGGCTTAGCGATCGTCAAATTCGAGCTGCGATCGCCAACCTCTTTCTCCAGTTTGGTATGAAGCTCGTCAACCGAAGATGCCGTTAGAATGAGACGATAGTTCAGAAGAGATCGGTTCTGTATCAAAGACTCTGCTAGGTTTATGAGGTCGATCTCGGGGTTTTCCTGTAGATATTGAATGTGTCGGTGAAGCAACTGCACTAAAGACTTCTCTGTGGCTGCTGAGAAGACAAATGGTAGCATTTGCGGTAACAATGCCCTCTCCGGACTTGGACCTACAGGAGTATAGCTTTCAAGAATGACGTGTGCATTGGTGCCCCCGAAGCCGAAGGAGTTGACCGAAACTCGACGGGGTACTCCTGGTGCGAGAGCAGGCCACGGCATTGCACTGGTAGGTACCCGCAGATGGGTTGTATAGGGTGCAATCGTGGGGTTAATATGGTTGAAGAACATATTCGGCGGAATGACCCCGTGCTGAACGCACAGCGACGCCTTGATAACGCCAGCCAAACCCGCTACGCTCTCCGTATGACCGATAACCGTCTTGATGGAGCCCACATACAAAGGCTCCTTAGGCCGAGAGCTCCCGTCAAACAAGGCATCATACAGCGCCGTTGCCTCTTGCGGGTCTCCGGCCTGGGTTCCAGTCCCATGGGCCTCGAAGTACTGGCATCGATCCTCCGGACGAGACTTAGGATCCAGTCCCGCGCTGGCATAGGTCGACTGGATCAACCTCGACTGAGCCGTCCACGAGGGCATGGTCAAACTCATACTGCGGCCATCGGCATTGACGCCTGTCGCACGCACAACACATTCCACGGGATCACCATCCCGTACCGCGTCGCTCAGTCGCTTCAACACCACGGCCGCGATGCCCTCCCCTCGGGCATACCCGTCTGCATCGCGATCCCACATCCGACACCGACCCGTCGGTGACAATAACCGCAGCTTGGATGCAGCGATATACTCTCTAGGACTGAGAATCAGATTACTCGCCGCCACGATGGCGACTGGGCAATCGCCCTTGCGCAGTGCATCCACTGCTTGGTGCATTGCTACTAAGCTCGATGAGCAGGCGGTATCAATTGTGATTGACGGGCCATGCCAGTCGAAGAAGAAGGAGACGCGATTCGACAGCATCGAAGCGGCCCCACCGGAGGACGTGTAGGTCGGGATATCGTCCCAATCGTTTGTCATGATGTTGCTGTAATCCGTGTTCATCAGGCCACAGAAAACGCCGGTGTTGGAGCCTTGGAGAGCTTCTGTGCGTAGCCCTGCTCGCTCGAGGGACTCGTAGATCACCTCTAGCAGTAACCGCTGCTGGGGGTCCATGGCCTCCGCTTCAGTCGGGGAGATGTTGAAGAAGGATGCATCGAACTGCTGGATGTTCTCGGACAGGAAGTACGACTCCGGGGCGTTTCCCGTGCCATGGTGAGTGTCTGGGTGATAGAAGGCATCGTGGTTGAAGCGGTCGCTGGGGGTCTTGGAAGCGAGGTTGTGAGGAGTGTGGAGGAGATCCCAGAGCTTGGAAGGGGAAGAAGTCGAGCCTGGAAAGCGGCAGCCAGTGCCGATGATGGCAACTGGTTCGGGAAGGGACGCCATGCGGTGAAAGGACAATAGCAAGTATAGGTGAATATGTACATACAGTACAGCACTCGAGTTCAAAGCAAGTAGAACACACCAAAGGAGAATACAGAAGCAGTCAACATTGGATTATGAGCGTATATTTAAAGAGCATGTGCTCGACCTGAACTCCCACTTCCGCGACCAATCGATACGATATGCCTTCTTTCCCCTACAACTCGCTAACAGTAGGGTATAGTACCAGAAACCCATCCAGTGAACCAGATGGCGATGCTCCAATACACCTTGGTGTATTGGCCAGCTCGCTTGCAGTGGAGCATACATTGGACCTCCATATTCTTCAGGCGGATGAACGAGTCATCATTCTCAGAACGATGAACAGCCTCATCTGAGTGGGGGCGACGAAATCCCAACTGAAACCAAGCAGATCTCCAAGCTGGACGCCTATCTGGAAGTACCTTGGAATGAGCATCTACTGCCCAGTCAGACATCATTCGCAAGATCATGAGTTCAAGGTTTCGTTGGAGGGATTGAAGGAGGAAGAGAAGGTCTAACCACTTTAGCGGAATAGTGGCAGTCTTAGCACCACCGGGCTATTACTCAACAGTCCCTAGTCTAGTACTTAGCGGGGTTATTCATGGCGAGTCAGTGCCCGGCGCCAGTTCCAAGGAACATTTGTTCCTCCACGGCGTCAGAACGCGGAAGACTGCCTGGTCTTCCATCCAAATTGTCTGCCTGCCATCAGCTTGTGACTGTCTTGTCTCTTCCCAGCATCGGCAAATTGGGAAATTGTTCCGAGACGGAAAACCAACACGAGGGGTAAAGAACTATAAGCCAAGCTGAGAATACGAGATTGGGGAAAGGAACGCAATCCTTCTGACGACTGACGTAGCGTCAGCCCACGGTGGAATCAGCCTGGAGTCAGCTGCAATGGCATTGTTCATTATTGATGGTTCTCCAGGATGGAAGATGATGCTTGTTCGGAGGCGTGGGCTAAGGATGATTCGGGAAGCATTATGCGAAGCAGCAGCAAACAACAGACAACAGACAGCCCCAAGACTCGGACGAGGGGAGAAGAATTGAGCGTGGCGTGGCTGGCTATCTGTTGGGGTTGCAAGCCCTACTTCTGCTCTCTAGCCTACATCCACCCCCCTCAGATAACTTCAGCCACCACGCAGCACGAGTTACTCGCCATTGGTGTGACAGATAACGGTTCGATTCAGGGCGTTCTCTTCACGGGCCTGATAGGTGGCTCGCCTAACTCTTGCAGCCAGCCTCGGTACGGTTGGAAGTAGTTGTGAGGAGAATTGCCCGATTGGTCTCGAGTAAGCCCAAGGCTGAGGTTCGCTTTCACTATGAGAATGAGTATGAGGATGAATGGCTTTAAATCATTCATCGTGCACCCTCTCAATCAGAATCAAGACGACCATGGATATTGTATCGTTCGCATTCAATGGTCCGGTCGAGTACGACCAGACCCGACCTCTGTACATCGACGCTCGAGATCCCTCGCGCAGTCTGAATGCTCAACAATTCAAGCATCTCGTTCAGACTCTAGTAGCCGGATTGAAGCGCCATGTTCAGCCAGGCGATGCGGTGCTGGTCCATCTAGGGAACAGCGTGAGTGCTCCAACTATCGCCTCACACACAGATTCAATCCTGCATGCATAGACGAACCCTCATACTAACCCTCAACACCACAGTTCATCCACTCCGCCCTATTCTTCAGCATCGTGGGAGCAGGGAATGTCTACATCGGCGCGGGACCGGACAGCCCAGCGCATGAGCTGGACAACGTGGTGCAAGCAGGCGAACCGAAACTGATATTGACGAGCAGCGCCACGCTCCAGAGGGTGCTGGAGGTGGCCACCGGACGAAGCATCCCAGCGAACCAGATCTGCGTGATCTCAGAGGAAACCATCCTCAGCTTCCTACAGTCCCCCGACACCCTCACCATCCCCACCACCACCACAGAAACCCCCACCGAACTAATACCACTAACCACACTCCTCACCCACGGCACCAGCCCCTGGACAACCCTCACAGCAGAGGAAGCAGACGCTACCCCCGCCTCGATGTTCTGCACCAGCGGAACAAGCGGACTTCCGAAAGCAGCTATACTCTCGCACCGCAATATGATAACACACCACAGCAGCAGCCACTACGCGCCATCGTATGCCGCAACGAGACGACTGATCGCGATCCCAGTGCACCACCTGTACGGCGCGGTATGGACGCACATCTTCCCGATCCGATACGGCTCACCGGTGTACCTGCTGCCGCGGTTCGAGATCCACGCCTTCCTGCAAGCGACGCACAGGTACCAGATCACGAACACCTATCTGGTACCAGCGATGGTACACATCCTCAACCAGGCCCCAGCGCACCTAGACCTACCGCACCATCTGGCCTCGGTGCGGTACATGCTCGTCTCCGCGGCCCCCATCGACGTCCCCGCGCTCGAAACCCTGCAGGCCTCGCTCCCCCACCCCGAAGCCCTAGTAACCCAGAACTGGGGCATGACAGAAACAGGCCTAGTCTTCCTGTCGCCGTACACCGACAAGACGCACGACAAAGCGAGCATCGGGCGGGTGCGTGGCGAAGGCGTGGAAGTGCAGCTCGTGGAGAGCAGCAGCGGGAGCATCATCGCGGAGGACGATAGGGCTGGGGAGATGTGGATCCGCGGGCCTGGGATCTTCATGGAGTATAAGCGTATGCCCAGTGACAAGGAACCCGGGGGCTGGTTTCGAACGGGCGATATGGTCTTCCGTCGACGGGGGCTGTATTACCTCGTCGGGCGGGTGAAGGAGATTATCAAGGTCCGCGGGTACGTACACTTACCTTACTCCACTGAACTTACATTGGGCAGACTCAGGTAGGATATGCTAACAGCACTCCAGCTACTCCGTCGCCCCGGCGGAGATCGAAGACGTGCTGGTCCAGCACCCTGGTATCAAGGATGCGGCCGTGCTCGGGGTGCATGCCCGCGACGGGAGCGGGACGGAGGTGCCGCGGGCGTTTGTTGTAAAGACAACAACAGTCACGGAAGACGAGGTGTACGGGTTTGTGGCTGCGCGGTTGGCGAGGTACAAGGCGCTGGATGGTGGGGTGGTGTTTGTGAGCGCAATCCCGCGCACGGCGACGGGAAAGATCCAACGTGCCAGGTTGGGGCTGATGAATGCGCAGAGGGAGAAGATTGCGAAGATCCTGGGGGTGGGGAAGGTTGGTGTGAGCGTTGCGGCGTAGGCTTTGGGTCTGCAGGTAGGTGGGGTTTTGGATGGAGTGTATATGTGTATCTGTATGTGTATACTGGCTTGATGTGTTGCTGGCTTTTATCTTGTCTGTTCATTGTGTTGGGCAGGTCTAGCATGGGACTGGAGCTCTTGTGGGAAAGACACTGAAAGAGTGGCATATCCTACGTACTGTACAGTATACTGAAAATCAAATCTATCATCCCAATCCGGGTTCATTCATATACATCATCTTTGGGTATCTATGCAACATGCGAACGTACGTAAACTCCAGCTGCAGCGCATCAAAATCACCGGTCCTCACCACCACCAACCGTCTCCAGACACAACTCATCCAAACTCCGGAATCCCTCCTCAACCACCCACTTCTGCCCCTGTGCAGGATGCAAGATATAGCAACTGGCGCCCACGACCAGCAGACCGGGCGGGCGGGAGCCCTCGGCCTCGAACGCAGCGCTGACGTGCTCCAACGTCGACCGGATGACGCGCTGATCGGTGCACGAGGCGCGCTCGATGATGGCACAGGGCGTGTCTTTAGGCCAGGGAGTCCGCGATGACGACGCCTCACCATCCACGACGGTAGTCAGCGACTCGACCAACGCCGACAAGCGATGCAGTGCCATGAGAAACACCACCGTCTGGGTGGGCACATACGTGGGAGGCGACGGCGCGGCGCCCTTACGGCCCGTGCCCGTGCAGACCAGCACCTGGTCCGACACGCCGCGGTGGGTGGCCGGAATCTCGGCGAAGAGCGGCGCGCTCAGAGCGCTGGTGATGCCCGGCAGCACGATCGGGCGGTAGCCGTGGCCGCGGAAGAAGTCGAACTCCTCGCCGCCCCGGCCGTACAGGTAGGGGTCGCCTTGCTTGAGCCGGAGGACGTGCCGGCCGCGGCGGAGCGCCTCCAGGCCCATCTGCAGGAACTCCTCCTGCGCGTGGTCTGCGTTGCCGGGGAACTTGCGCGCGATGTGCACTTCCGTGCGCCGCGGAATCAGCTCCAGGACTGGGGCGGGGACGAGCTTGTCGGCGAGGATGAGGTCGGCGGATTGGATGGCGTGGTAGGTCGCTCGCGTGAGGAGGTCGGGGTGGCCGGGGCCGGAGCCAGCCAGGATGATCTTGCCTCCGCGCTTGGAGAGTTCCGTGGACTCGTTCTGGTTGCTGTTGGTGGGTTGGTCTTTGCCGGAGGAGTAGGCCTCGAGGATGGTTTCGATGTCCGCGTCCGTGATGGCGGCGAGCTTGCGCAGCGGCCAGTATTCGCAGATTTGGGAGAGCCAGCGCGTGCGCCGGGTTTTGGCGGCCGAGATATCGTCTTCGGTCACAAGAGTATTAAAGGTGTGGCGCTGCCCAGTCGAATCGTCCTCGTCGCCTTCCAGTGCCGTTTCACACAGCCCGGCTGCGTAGTCTTCGGCCCACAGCCGCTTGCGCACGGCTCCCAGTCTGTCGATAGCGCTGCCGAGATTTGATGGGAGCGTAGACGAGATCTCCCGACGCAGCCGAGACGCCATTTTGCATCCGCGCCCGGACGTGGTGATGCCGATATGCAGGGGCCCGTCAGAGTATGTGGATAGGAGCGTGAATGTGCAGAGCTCGGGGGCATCGGACACGTTGACTGGGATCCGGAGCCGGCGACAGAGCTTGGAGATGTGTGCACTGCGCGGATTGCTTCCCCCGAGGGTTACAAAAACGGTGTCAACCACTCGGTCGACTTCTTCTCTCCCCAGACTTGTCAAATCGTCGTCTTCGAATGCTCTGCGGATCCACTGCACTGCGCCATTCTCGATCCGCTCAACAAGCGTATATTGTAAACCTTCCTTGGGTTCAGGAGTGATCAAAATCGGTTTCGCGCCAGCCTCCAGACTCTTCGCGCAGCGAGCCGCAGCCAGAGGATTGGCGCCAATGATTAAATGCACCTGCGACTCGACGTTGACGGCCGTCAAGAATGGTGCAGGGAAGCTGGTATCCGATGCATCTCGCATGGTGATGAGTTGCCACTGTGCACACAGTAGGCTATAGTGGGTGGCGTGACTTCAGTCTTCTTTTCTCTCAGGTCGATGATCGAGCAGCCCTTACACGGACTGAATGTCGCGACTTCGAGGACACTCTCAGGGGTAGTGACTCAGGGCAGCCGATCCGTTTTATAGAGCCTCAATTGATAGTGGCTGTACCTCCGCGGAAATGCTTAGTCGACCCAGCAGCGGAAGACTAGCAACTGAAGATAAGCACTGCAAATTCGCCCACTTGCCACCTGAGTCTGGTCGATAAGGCTATCTGCGATATGAATCACAACGAGAGATCACGCAATATCCGCGGCGTCGCAGTTCTGCGTCTTTGGGGATTTTATAGATTTGTTGCCTGATGCGGTTTAATGCCATATTGCGTGATTGCGTGATCGGATCAAGTCTTAGATAAGCAGTCCGGGGCTTACTCTGCGTTACCGGATTGGGCAGGTCTTGGATTGGCCAGTTGGTGAGGGAATCGTGTGAAGATGGAACTCGGCGCCTCAGGCAGAAGGCTTGGGAGAAATCGGTAATCGGAGCTTCACCTCTCCGGGATGTGTTAGAGTCAGAACAGTTTGCAAGGCATGGCCCTTGAACATCACACCATTTTGCTGCTCGCTTGGAAATCATGAGCCACAGAGCACAAAATAGTCAATCTGAGTTTCACAGGAGAGGTATGGTGTAAACAAGATCGATGCTGTTGCGGCATGATTGAGAGAGACCCCGTCACGTGACGCAGCTGGGAGCTGCACGTCAGAGCTCCGAAGCCCGTCCGTCCATGCCTTGAACAATCCGCCTTCATCATATCTCCCATCCCCCATCATCTCCACCATTTACACGTCTTCTTCTACGTGATCTCACTTCTATCTGCCTATATACCCTTTCCCAAAACTAGTAATTTTCCTCCGTACAGTGACGCCTCGTCACCATGTCCGAAACCTTGTTGAAGCCGGAGAAGGACTTCTCCAAGGATGCTGACAAGCTGATCCCGGAGGCAGAGCAGCTTGCCAAGGTGGACACCCTGACTCTCTCGTCTCAGAGAATAAATCGCTGACGGAGTACAGACCGATGTGCAAGGGGCCATTGACAAGCTTCTCGTGTTGGAGAAGCAGGCCAGACAGGTGCGACGCTCCTTGCCCGTCCGACGACATTCATTTCATTCCACCTCTAACCAATCTCCAGGCATCTGATCTGGCCACCACATCCCGTATCATCGTCACAATCGTCACAATCAGCAAGAACTCGGGCGACTGGACCCTCCTCAACGACCAAGTGCTGCTGCTCTCGAAGAAGCATGGACAGCTCAAGCAAGCCGTAACGAAGATGGTACAGGTGGTCATGGGATTCCTGGACGAGACGCCCAACTTGGATGTCAAGCTTTCAGTGATCCACACCCTGCGGACAGTGACCGAGGGAAAGGTCAGTCAATCCACACGCCTCCCGGTCAAACCAGACAAAAAGGCAAGTGGGCTAACGCGACGTTTTCCGCGCAGATCTTCGTCGAAGTCGAGCGCGCCCGTGTCACCCGCATCCTCTCCAACATCAAGAAGACGCAAGGCGACCTCAGTGCCGCCGCCGATATTCTCTGCGAGCTGCAGGTAGAGACGTTCGGATCGATGGGCCGAAGGGAGAAGACGGAGTTCATCCTGGAACAGGTGGCGCTATGCATAGAGCGCGGGGACTGGACGCAGGCCACGATCCTCAGCCGCAAGATCAACAAGCGGTATTTCGCGCGCAAGCCGAAGAAGAGCGCGGAGGAGATCGAGAAGCTGAAGAAGGAGGCCGAGGAGCGGGAGAAGACCCGCCAGCCCGATGAGCCGCCGATGGAGGTGGACGACGACGTGACCGACCTGAAGCTGCGCTACTACGAGCAACAGATCATCCTCGCCAACCACGACTACAAGTACCTGGACGTCTGCAAGCACTACCGGGAGGTGTTGGATACGGACGCGGTGCAGAACAACCCGGAGCAGCTCCGCGCCGTACGTCTCCATTCTTTTCCCCGGTCCTGTCTGTTACTGACACTAAAGAAAAAAACTATCTAGGTTCTCTCTCGCATCGTGTATTACATCGTCCTCTCGCCCTACGACAACGAACAGTCGGACCTCCTGCACCGCATCCAGCAGGACTCGCGACTGTCCCAGGTGCCCGTGGAGGCGCGGCTGGTGAAGCTCTTCACGATCCACGAGCTGATGCGCTGGCCGATGGTGGCGGAGCAGTTCGGCCCGCACCTGTGCAACACGGACGTGTTCAGTCCGCAGCCGAGCCAGTCGGCGGACGACCAGCCGCACCGGCGGTGGCAGGATCTGCGCAAGCGGGTGATCGAGCACAACGTGCGGGTGGTGGCCAAGTACTACACGCGCATCCAGATGGGCCGGCTGACGGAGCTGCTGGACCTGGCGGAGGACGAGACGGAGAAGTACATCAGCGACCTGGTGACGTCCAAGACCATCTACGCCAAGATCGACCGCCCGGCGCGGCTGGTCAACTTCTCCAAGCCGCGCGACGCCGACGACGTGCTAAACGAGTGGAGCAGCGACATGAAGAGTCTGCTGGGCCTGCTGGAGCGCATCGACCACCTGATCACCAAGGAGGAGATGATGGCTCGCATCCTTCCGTCCCGGGGCGAGAAGGGCAAGGCGCGTTAAGAGGGTTGTGTGGATGTACAATGAGAATCTTGACGTAGAATGGCATGACGATTATCTATAGTACACCTTCTATGTCTATATAAACTAAATCCACCGTCTATCAATCCCCGTATACCCCCATCTATCCTCTACCTTTCCTCTTGTTCAAAACGGCAACTCCATATCATTAACATCCTCATCCATAACCCCCTTCTTCTTCCCTTGATCCTCAACATCGACCAAAACCCCCCTAATAAACCCGACAACAGCATCCAAGTACGGCCTCTGAGACGGCACAAAATGACCCCCAGGATGAAAGACAACCTTCCCTTCCTCATCCGGCAACCCGGCACACGCCTCAATCAAAGTCCGACTCCGCCCCTCATCAACGACCGCATCCAACGAGCCCAGCACATGCAACATAGGCGTCTGGATAGGCGGCTGCTCATAGAAAGCACGATACCGAGGCCCCGGGGCACGGAACCCGGAATAGCAGACGGCGAACTTCAACGGCGGCTGCACGTCCGCGATCGTGCGCCAGCTCTCGGGCACCGCGAAGCCCTCGATGCCCTGGTAGTCATCGCACCCGGCGCACGCGACGGCCGGGTCCTGGAAGCGGGGGAAGACCTCGCTCACGCGCCCGGGCTCCAGCAGCGAGGCGACCATGGCGGCCATGGCGGCGCCCTGTGAGAAGCCCACTACCGCGTCGAAGGGCCCCTCGTCGCGGATGACTTGGGCGAGGGTGTCGAGGCCCGCTTCCAAGCCTGCGTAGAGCGGCGGGTTGGCGGTGTTGGAGCGGCGGAACCAGCCGTAGGCTTCGGGGTCTTCTTCGGAGGGGGTGGCGATTCCGCCTTGCGTGGAGGAGGGCTCGTAGCCTGGGATGTCGGAGGGGAGTAAGCGGTGCGGGCCTGTCGGGTAGCTCGTTGTTACGGTGTAGGCTGGGCTGAGGGCTTTCGTGAGGTGTTTGATCACGGCGCGGGTTTTGGCGTGGAAGAGTGGCCCCGATTGCGTGTAGCCGTGGAGGCAGAGAAGTTTGAGGGGTGTACCTGCCGGTGGCATATTTTCGGTTGCTTGTTGACTTGAATTGAAAGACGGAGGAGTGAGTTAGAAGGCTGAGGCTCGCGAAGTGGTTTAGAAAAGACAGAGGTGGGAGAAAACAGAGAATGAATGTCTTTCGACTACTCGGAGTTGCGGAGTCAGAGGGGAAGATTGAAGATGGAATAGTAGACCGCGATAAGATAAGCGCGACTTTCCGTCCAGTCGGATTTTGCCGCCACTTGAGAGGCGGTAACCAAGCGAACAGTTTCCACGGCCGAGTTTCGTCCGTGGTCCTCGATTTTCGCCGCTGGAGTTACGGTCACCGCCTTTTCAAGGACTATACAGTTCACTGTCACAATGCTTACTTGGTTTGTCTTAGGCCTTGCGCTCAGATCCCAACATCTTCGGGTTTCCTTTCGCCTTGCTTTGTACTAAGATAGAGCAGTCAATCAGCCGCGCCAGGACTGCGTAAAGCAACCATGGTCCCGAAAAGCAGCTACATTCCAACGGTCTGAAACTGAATGGGAGCTGTGATCAGACATGAGAGATATATTTAGCCTTATCATAAGCTACCACATAATATAACAGTGAAACACAGCATAATGCCTACCAGCAACGATTCCTCACCTGGTAGAACAGAGTCATAATCTATAAGAACATTACACCCAGCATTAGCCGCCGCCGCCGCCGCCACGCGCCATGATATACATCCCCCGACTCGGAGCCAATGCTGAGATGTCGGCATCACATCGATATCATTGGTCGTTTGCCGTTGTCTCTTCCCTGTGCCTCCTAGGTTAGAAGAGCGGATTGGCATGTTGGCGTGGCTATGCTGCAAGTCAGTTCTGACGACTGGCTATGGCGGGCCTGATTCCCTCTTATTCCTCGTAAGTCCGCTGCATCGATGATGGCTATATCACTCCAAGTCTACCAAATATCATGCACGACCCCAGAGCCTACACAGTAGGCTGGATCTGCGCGATAGGCACGGAGCGCGTCGCTGCACAGGCCTTTCTAGACGAGAAGCATGAAGGCCCGGATCAAGTTTCTCCCCATGACGGCAACGACTACACCTTGGGCAAGATCGGTGAGCATCACGTCGTTATCGCCGTTTTGCCCAGTGGAGAGTACGGCGTAACCTGTGCGGCAGTCGTCGCACGGGATATGCTACACAGCTTCCCGAACGTCCGACTCGGGCTGATGGTTGGTATTGGCGGTGGTGCGCCTAGCTCCGAGCACGACATTCGTCTGGGAGACATCGTGGTCAGTGCCCCCTGTGACGAGCACGGCGGCGTGTTCCAGTATGACTTCGGCGAGACCGTACAGGGCCAGCGGTTTCGGACAACTGGTTTCTTGAGCCCGCCGCCGGTGGCGTTACGGACGGCGGTAAGTGGTCTTCGGAGCCAGTACCAGATCGCCGGGCATGCGATCGAAGCGACCATCGACGCAGCCCTGGAGAGACACCCAAGGCTACGCAACAAATACATGCGGCCACCTCCGGACAGCGACCGGCTATATCACAGTTGTCATGTTCATCCTTCGAATAATGACTCGGATTGTGCCGTCGTCTGTGGGGATGGACCATCGCATATGGTTGCGCGACCCCCACGGTTGGAGCACGAGGATAACCCCGTCGTCCATTACGGGCTGATTGCCTCAGCAAACCAACTGATGAAGGATGCTTGGATGCGGGACAGGCTTGCCGTGGAGAAGGACGTGCTGTGCTTTGAGATGGAAGCAGCAGGGCTCGTGAACCATTTTCCGTGTCTGGTCATCCGCGGGATATGCGACTATTCTGATTCGCACAAGAATAAGAAATGGCAAGGATATGCCGCCATGACGGCGGCAGCATACGCAAAAGATCTTCTGCGTTGGGTCCTACTAGACAAAGCTGAGGGTGAGATGCTACCCATTGGTCAGTCTTCATTCAGTCTTTTTGTTCCAGCTTATGCAAGCTTGTGCGCATCTGTCAGAAACGTGGTACTGATTCTGACATTAAGGATCCGATCAAACCTCACCAATGACGGAAAGTGTAGTTGCAACCAGGCATGCAGTTTCATCGCATCAAGAAGATAATCTTCTCGATACTACTTCCGAAATGGAGCCACATGCTGAAACGAAATTAACCTGCGAGGGTCTTGTTCTGACACAAGAACTATCCTCAGTGCCGGAGCTTCGGACTAGTATTATAGAAAAGATTATGACGAAATGATTTGAGTCAATCTTCCGCAAAAGCCGACATTTCTCGCTGCAGGGAGAGGCTTCCCCTTCAGCAATAGAGATACTGAACATCATTTCAAAGTCTACCACCGTGTCACGATAGTTTTGGGTGGAAGAGTACCACCCATCAACCACCCAATTTTTAGTGCTTAGTTTTGACTGGCAATGATAGGGCACAGGCCTTCCATAGGCTTCCCACATTTGTCTAGAGCATTTCCTGATTTGTTACCGAGACGCCGTAGGATCTCCGATCCATATCCGGCGATCTGGTAGAACGAGCTTCAGCTTATGCGTCCTTACTCATTAGTAAGTGACAACATAGTCATCCCTAGTCGGAAATCAGGAGTCAATGGCAGTATATCGACTCGTGGCACAAGCCTGATACTCGCATGCCATCCAGGCGACCAGGGATGGCCATTTGTCGAGCGCAACCACAAGACAAAGAATTCCTAAGCGAGTCAGATATATCAACGATCCCAAATCAATACACAAACCCAGCACGCCTTCCATGGCAGCCCAGGGAGATCCGTAACTTGTGTTGCCAAACTCCGAAGGCGAGTAGCGAGTTCGATCTCAGAGCTCAGCGAACAGACCACGCTATGCTCTCGGACGCGCATTCAACAAAGCAATAGAGCATGTTTCAAGAGATCATCTGCAGCAGAAAACATTCAAGCAATGGGTAGGTAGCAGAAAAAGGAAAACAGAGACTCCGGTAGATATAGTTATCGATAGGCCGATGCCAAGCGGGAAAGTATGGAGTTGGGCCACGCTAGACCTAACTAAGACATCCACTATTACGGCCTGAGGTTAGCCATGCGGAGAAACTTCAACGATAAGGATTAACTGTGACTGAGGGGCTTCGGCAGGCTACTCTTGTAGTATGACAATGTGCATTGTATTGGAAATGTGCGCTATTGAGCATTGATGACTGATGGAAAATCACACGGTATACGATCTGTAGAAAAGTGGCTGGACACCGACACAGATGGGAGATACAAGTGGCTACATCCTCATGATAAGCTCTTTCTAGACCCCAACCCCGGTATCTAGTGCCTTCACTACTGCGGGGTTGACGGTGGAGCCGTAGGATGATCTTATCGTTACTGAAACAGCATTTCCGAGTCATCAAACTACGCGACTGGGTAATGCAGATATGGAACCAAATGACCTTAAGAACATACGATTGCTACCAATCACGGAGCGATATACAGTACCACCTGGGGAGGAAGCCTCTTCAGGTCTTTTTAATCCCCGAACCAACGATTGTTCCGTCACGAAAGCCGTATGCCGTGCCGTATCGTTCCTAATGTTGCCAAACAACCATAACCACCATCGACCCAAAACCACCCCAGTCCCGGCGGCAAAACGGCAAAAGCTCGTGCAATCGTGGCGGTGGTACTGTGTATCGATGCTCCGTGTATCGCTTTTCGAAGAGTTGGCGATGTACATCCGTCAAGAGAATCAACGTGGGTACATAGACAAGAAAATCAGAACGATGTCGAAGGAATCAGATAAATGGCAATAGAAACTGGGAGAAGAAAAAGTCTCTCGAGGACCGGAATCATGTTGTCAACTGTAGTGTCTTGGTTCGTAGTGCCAGATATCCGGAACGCCCCTTAAACGTGAACAGAGAATAGATAGGGGAGAAAAAAAAAAGCAAAAGGAATAAAGTAAAAAATTGCTTTTGTTCTTTTTTTCCGTAGTATCAAAAAAAGAAATGGGGTATGTCTGGTCAAGAAAGTGTTTTTTTCATTTCCCTTGGAGTTCTCTGCGGGGGGCACTGCTTCTCGCAAAGGGGCGAGGATTCCATCTTCTATCTGAAATCTGCATTTTCCTTCAAGAAAAAACGAGATATATTAATCCATCATCATCGAAGAACGCCACATTGCTTTCATCATCGCTCCGAACCACGGGGGTGCTTTTTATTTGCGCGCGTCGAGACATCTACTTGCGGCGGAAAGAGCAGCCCTCGGTGAGGCGGGCCTTACCACCGGTGGGCTGGCACAGAACGGTGGAGCAGCCGGCGCAGACGACGACGGTCTGGGCGTGGGAGAAGACGGTGGTGATGGTGAAGCAGCCGGGGCACTTGACGTCCATGAAGAAGGAGCGGGGAGCAGGCACAAGTTGCTGTTGTTTGCCGACATGTCTTAGCCAATGTTCTTGCGATTTCGATATCTCAAATTCCGGGCGCGGGTATCCTCATACCTTGAGCTTGTGCTTGCGGGCCTCAGCCTGAGGCGTGGGGTTGAGGAGGTCGACCGCGAGAACCTATTGTTGAATCATCCTGTTAGCTGAAGGTCCTTCAACCAAGTCCGTATTGGAAAAATCTCGATGGTCCGGCGATAAGGTGGCGATGGCGACGGGAAGGCACTGAGGCGGGATAGCGACATGACAGTCGGTGCAGCCGGGATGCAGACTGGGCAAGGGACATATTGCGTGTTGGGTCGAAGGGGCTTTAGGATAGGATAGGGACCTACCATCTTGACGAGACAAAAAGTCGATCAGCGAGGGAGGTTGAATGAAGCGCTGATGATGATGGCCTGCTTGAGGGTGAGGACAAAAAGGTGGTCTCGTGGAGAGGGCGAGGACTGAAGGGAATTCTCGACGGCGTCACCCAGCCAGCCCGTTTGGGGGCAAAATAGGGTTGCAGCCCTCTCGCTTACCCTGCCGCTTCAGGCATTTGGGGGGCCCGGCCCGTCTGTTGACCCCGTGCCAGGCCGCCCTCTCCGCCAATAACTGCCCGCTTATCTCAGCTTTCGAGGTTCTACGATGGATACTGGATCATGGATGCTCAAGGTCCTTCCATTACGACTTCACTATTAGGAACTTCTCACTCCGACAAAAGATACTGACTGGTCGCTGGCTGCGAAATTGCTAACACTAATAATATACGCTGCTTTAATCTTCAATTCATGACTAATGGTCCGGCCTGGGCGACATGTACCCGACATCTCCACCCCCGGCACAACCTCCCCCCTCACGACATCATTATCCAAGTGCACTCCATGCGCTTGACTTCGCCACCCGATGATCGAGCGACACCGTCTCTATCATACAACATCGGTACTTCTTCATCATGGTCTAATCCCCACAACAACGACCTCAACATGCGACACTAGTTCGTCTTCTTCGGAACTCCGTTCGCAACAACCACCTCCACATGCGGTTGCGGATGTTTGATAGTCAAGCACCAGATGTCGATGTAGTCGCATATCGTTGTGATGATATCATGCTGGATCAGATTAGCGCCCGCTCACCCAATGGTTGAAACATCAACACTTACCACGAAGCTACCATACACGCCAATGGATAGACCCAGACACACCCACACGAAAGCAACCTGGCCAGCCTCGTTTCCCAGAACACTCGACCAGAGACCGTACTTGTCGCCAGCACTGTCGATCGTAGCCAGGGCAAGAGGAACCAGGAGCATGTTGAAGTAAGGGAAACTGGTCTTGACCAGGTGCGCGATGATCATTCGGCCCACAGCGTACGCGTTGATCAGGCCAACATACAGACAGAACGCAATCGCGTGGTTCTCCAGGATGGTCGGTTGAAGAGACAGGTAGGCCGGGACCAGAGTCCATACAGCCACGAGTGGGAGGAGACCATAGAGAGGCTTGATGGGGTCCTGGCCACGCTCACGGCGGATCTTCATGACATGTACGATGCTGGAACCCGTGGCGAAGAAGAGGAGGACTCCGCCATATACCAAGTACCACTGCGTAAAGGCCATTCCGTAGAGCTGATCCGGCAGGAAACCCGGCTTTGAGAGACCGATGGTCTCGAGCATGGGCCGGTGCCAGAAGCTGCCGCCACCCATGTAGGCCGTGAATCCAAAGACAACGCAGAGCGTGAGGACACCTTCCACGGGGCCGGAAATGATTCCCAGGGTCAGTACTTGGGTGTAATACTCGTCCCAGGTCTGGACGTAGAAAGTCATAGTTGCTGCCACCGTGTCAGCATCCTAGACTCGTTCTCCTTTAGCAAACCACATACATCCGAAAAGAGTGAGTATCGTGGCCCATGACTGTCCGAGATTCATGGCCGCACAAAAGATCAGGACTCCCAAAGCCGTGTTGCAAGCATCGACACCTGAAACAGAGAGCTTAAGTTCGGCACTTGCTTAGATGTGGGCTTAGATGTCGCGACTTACTGTGATCAAACAGCTCACCCAGAGGGCCACTCTGCTTGGTTCTCCGCCTGCGTTATGCTTTAGTGTCTTGTCTACCGGTAGCAAGAAGGCGCGAAGGGCTTGTCATACGCTTGAATGCCGTCTACACCGTCGAATGTCTGATAGAGGAACAACCCGAGGGCGCAACTGGCATAGACCCAGGGAGGGCAGTCCTGGTCTAGAGTCGGGTTGTACCATAGGATGGTGATGAAGTTGACTACCACAAAGAAGAATCCGGTCAAGGTGATCTACCGGTCCTCTGTTATTATGTCTCGTTCCGGCTGGAGAACGATCAGGCCAGGCAACTTACAGCATTAGGACTAGGGCCGCCGGGCAAGATCATTAGCATGAGGCACAACAGCCGGTGAGAATAGCGTCGCTACTTACGCCATGCTCATTGGGAAGAATTTGATGACAAAATCATTGTAGAACGGTTTCAAAATATAACGACTGACGAGCGAGTGGTCCACTCCCGCATAGCGGTACTGCCGCAGGTTCGGCAGTTCGTGCTGGCGAATGTACACCATCTTGCCTGGTGGTAGATGGTGGTAGATGGTGGTGGTGGCGTAAAGCGGGCCTGGTCCCTTCGACTACGAAGAGCAATATAGTAGTAAGTCCAGATAAGTTAGTTGCACGATTGAGAAGGCCCAGACGGTATCCCTGTATGCCTTCACGTGCGGAAAAGAAAGCCTAGTTGGCTCCGGATGAGGATTGATGCCAGAATGTCCAAATGTCTTCCTGAGTAGAGACGAGAAGAAGGAATTAAATAGTCATAGAAGAAAGAGGCCTCGAGGAGGTATTGGAGGCTGGTTTGAGGATTAAAGATGAAAGAGGACAGGCTAGACAAAGGGAAGCGCGGCGAAAGAAAGATGATGATGATGTTCGCTTTTCAACCATGAATTTTTCCTTGGTTGTTTTGATTTCCCAACAACTGACCCTCTTTTTTTTTTCTGCCGGCGGAAAGATACTGGATGCAAAGGCGGGGAGAACAGCCAGTCAACACCGGGATTCTTCTTCTCTAGGGCTGCAGAGAACCTCACCGCACATCGTCGAAGAATCGATGCCTTGGCCGAAATGGCGGCGACACCCACGTGCTGCTATGTCTGTGATTTGCTGGTTCAGTGGTTAGACTAGTAGCAGTATGACTTCACTGGGCTAAGAACAAAGCGCCATTCCCCCCAAAAATACTTTGTCTGGTCGCGTTCTTCCCTGTGCCGCCCTAGGCTTGGATCGTCGAAGAACCAAGTGGGGTGCCTAGAAATTGCTGCCATCTTGCTAATCTATTCGACCCGAGGTAACATTTGACACCCAACTCCAGGCCGTGACTCGGTCGCGCACAGAGCGGGGATGGCTTCGGTTACGTTGATTCGGCCAGCAATATAGAGCGGGACCATGGGCGGGTTTATGTCGGGGCCATCCTTCAGACTAGAAGTTTTAGGCTGTCTCTAGAATTTGAGAGTCTAAAGTAGAAAACTGGATGAAGACAAAGCAGCCCTACCTAGGTACTAGTACGTAGTAGACAAAAGAAAACAGTTTCAATAAATGCTAATGTCAGATACGATACATCCAAGGCACCGTGGCCGGCTAAGAGAATGTGTGGGTAAAGACCAACAAGCTCCAGGGCCCCCGCCAATCCCGGATTCGTGAAACAAAGGACATGCTGGGTTGCCCCACGCTTCATTTGTCGGACTGCTCGCCGACGGTTCGGATCCTGACACTCTTGCCCTGTCCTGATCCCATGGTGCATGGATTGCAAAGGAAGCCCATAACCTGGTTGGTTCTGCATGCTTGGCTAGTCCGCCCGGATAGCCTGGTCTTGTGATCACTGATCCTCACCCCCGCAGCCTCCGCGATCTCTTTAGCCGACAGGGCTCCACGGCATGGGGATCAGAATTCGACTCTGCATGCTTTGGATCAGTGGGACAGTCTTGTGCACCGTCTCCGCCCAGCCTTCAATGCCCCAGGACTGTTCGCGGCGGATCTTCCGCTCCTCAAGGTTGGCGAATTGCCAGAGATGATGCACAGTGTTCAGATCTCCAATCTGCACGAACCAAGCACCGACTCCCTCCATGACCTCCCGACGGGCGGTCAGGCCGCGGCGCCAATGTGTTTCCCATTCCAAGAGGTTCCCAGGGTGAAGAGTATACGAGCGGAGTTCGAACAGGCCGCCAAGTTGCCGGGGAGGGGTCGTGGGCCAGAATGAAAACTCCTGCATAAGTGAGGTCTTCTTGCTTTTGATCAAACTCTTCAACTTCCGGTCAAAGTCTGGGAATTCGGGATGAGAGGCGATATTATGCAAGGATGCGTGGTAACCTTCGTATCGCTGATATTCCCAGATGTGAACTGCGATCACACATTAGTATCCCGTCTTGAGACAGCTTCAGAAGAGTGTTGGCCAGGCTGCTATAAATACCAAAGGTGTCGTTGTCGCCCACTTGAGTACGCCAACTACCGACTAGGTTGACTCGGTTTTCGGGCTCGGTGGCCATGCGAGGATACCACTGCCCAACGAGGTTGACATATTCATCGACTTTGTCCGGCTTGACATCATGAAAGACAATCGAGTGGACGTATTTGCCGCGAGCGAGCACCTGTGAAAACGACCGTGCGATGTCTTTGTCGAGCTGCTGGCCTTCCTTCGTGCCGTAGATGAGCGACGACAGTGGACCGCGTTTCGGGGATTGACTGGCTTCCAGCAACTGTTCGTCTTCTAGATTACGATGAGTAGAGAGTGAGCCCAGTGCCTTTTGACCCAGTCTATCTGCAGCGTCAAGGTCGGGGCTGTTGTTACAGCTTCCATTGCTCTCGAGCGGAGCAGTGGGAGCGGTAGTGTACTCACGGAAACGATCACGAATTGAAGGGGATGGTGCAGAGGAAGAAGTAGAAGCATCGACAGACTGACTCTCTTGCTGTTCTCTCTTCTTGCGAGACGCCTCGAGGTTCTCGCGAAACTCCCTCTGCCGTGCGTTAAACTCAGCAGCCGAGTCGGGGGTGATGTCGCGGATGGAAGGGGCACGATAGGCAGCCACAGAGGAACTGAAGGGGCGCGCCAGCACAGAAGCTGGACGGACCACGCGTTGTGCAAACATGACTATGGCTTTTACAAGAAGCAGGTGCTCAAAGGCCGGGAAGTCCACAGGAAAACAAACACAATAATAGATGAAGAATCAATGGTGGCAAAGGCAAGGTCGGCTGTATGATCAAGCCAAACAACACAGAGCAGTGAAGACAACGAAGAGGGGATACAGGGGAGGGGGTTTAATAAGAAGGGAGGGGGGAAGACACAGAGGCTGAGACACAAGTGGACAGGGATATATCGAGGCCAGCACGCGACAATTTAGTGACCTGACCGTCTGGCTGAGAGGAAGGAGCACGGCAGGCAGAGTCGCTGAGAACCAGTCGGGTAGCAAGCGTTGGAGGCCAGGATTGGCAGCAAAGAGGAACTGGCGGAATCGTCGGGCGGAGTAGATCAAAACTGGGGGATCACGATCGATATGGTTGGTAGAATGGGGTGGTGGTGATCGATCAAATGACACTGGTAGGGAGAGGAAGAAGAAGAGAGGTGAAGGGGAGAAGAGGTGAAGAGGAGCGAGCGAGGAAGTTGAGAAGTACCCCCGAAGTAGTGCAAAGCTGGGGAGAGTGCGGGGAAATTGGCCAGTAGTACGAGTAAGTCGTAGTAACCGTGTGTGACTGCCGGCCTTTCCCCTGTCCTTATATGTCCATCACCAATCTCCGCCCCAGTAAAGTAATCAATCCATATGACCGAGTAATCCTGAGCTCTGCATCCGCTCATCCTGCCGAAAAAGTTGTGCTGTAGGCGCAGCTCTCTCCTGATAACGGACAAGCTGCAATTGATTCGTCACATAATGATCTCTGCCGCGATCTTCACGGGCTACTGCTCACTGCTCGTTGACTGAGACCACCATGACGAAACAGGTGGTTCCCTCAAGCTCTCTCGACCCTATCAATCATCACGGGTAAAGCCTCTTCACTTCATCCCAAGCGAAAGGCCGCGACACTACCCCTGTCTCAAGCTACATAGCATCGATCATTCCGTAACGGCCAAAACAGCTTCCAGCTTGATGACGTCGATGGAAAGCTGGACAAGCAACGGGTTAGGTAATCGACTCGGCCCGCGCGGTGATCCGCGCGCAACCGTTCCATTCCAGTCTGGTTTAGTGGAAGCTGCTGCTCTGGCTTCCACTCCGCAGCCCCTCAGCTGCGCTTCCTTCGTTGTCAGCTAGCTGCTCTTGATCGTCTAATCTCTTAAGTTTACTCTCTCTCCGAAAGGCTCTGGGACAAGATTCCGGTTGACACCATGGCGGATCCTATCAACCCTCCTCTTTCGTACGAGGCATCCGCCTCGACCTGCCACCCGCATGTCGCAAGCACGTTGCCTGCGGAGGTGGTTTCCAGCCTCAAGAACTCGCGCTTTGTAGGTGCAGATATCTACTTTGACTCACTGCCACTATCTGACCTCTACCCAGCTGCATCTTGCGACAACTGACGGCATGACCCCGCACATCTCGCTCATGTCATACACCTACCTGCCCTCCACTCCCTTCGACCCATACCCTACGATTATCATGACCACCAACACTTCGTCTCGCAAGACCAACCACCTTCTGACGAATCCACGAGTCTCGCTTCTGGTCCACGACTGGGTCTCCCACCGGCCCCCTACCCGCGCACCTCACCCCGGAGGTGACCGGGAGGGATCTCCGCCGCCCGCGGCCACTCGGTCATCCTTGGCCAGCCTGCTGCTGAACCTGAACACGAGCGCACTGTCGAGCATTTCCACGACCATTGCCGGAACTGCTCGGGTTCTGGAACCGGGCTCTGAGGAGGAAGAGTGGTGCAAGACACAGCACCTGGAGAACAACACCTTTGAAGAGGAGATCGGCACGTTCGGTCAGCAGCTGCAACAGCAGCCGGGCGCAAGACGGCCTAGCATCTCCATCGACACTGACGTGCGGGTGGTTACTGTACAGGTGCGCGAGGGACGGATTGCGGATTGGAAGGGAGGGGTGCGCGATTGGCAGCTGGTTCGGGAGGATGAATCGCAAGAGGCTTTGGTCAACGGAGTTTCGCCTGCATAGTGGTTCAATAATCACCGACTACAGCTGTTTTCTTCGTCTGGTTTGTCCAGGGATTGATTCTGTTCATACGAATGGTATGGGGGCATGTCCAAAAGCCGAGTGCCTGCTTCTGTGTATTATATCGAATTCTGCACAAACATGTTTATATAACACGGTCTCTGAACTCGAAATCAGTAGTTGTCGAGAGAATAACCTCGAGTAGCATGAGACATATCGTCGTCACATGACTGGGGCCGGCGGGCACTGGCGCAACCCATCTTGAGTCTAATACCGACAACATCTTCAACATTCAAGCCTCAATTCCCCGCGACAAACCGATTGATACCAACCCAAACATACCGCACCCCAGCACCTACAAACCCCATCCACAAACCAATCCGACCCAAATAAAAAAAAATGCGCCTCGCCCACATCCACTACCCAAACCTAACTTCCTTCACGCGCATCTCCCAACTCCAACAAACACTAACAACCCGACTCCTCACGCACAAGAAACTCCTCTCCTCCGCCGACACCACAACAACCCCAATACAACCGCCAGACCCAACAATAATAACCTTCACACCACACCCAGTCTACACAACCGGCCGCCGCGACCTCCCGCCCTCGAACACCAGCCCCCGCGACACGACCACGACGCCCAGAGACCGCGAGTCGAACCCCAATGCCTCAAACAACACATGCCTCTCCCTCCCACCCCCCCTGGAAAAAATCCGCCCGCTCCTAATCCCACCAACGCCCTATCCACCCCCACCAAACCACGCGCCCCCCACACAAAAAGCAGAATACCACCCCACGCTACGCGGCGGACAAACCACGTATCACGGGCCGGGGCAGATGGTCGCGTACACGATACTGGATCTGAGGCGGTTGGGGCTCACACCGCGGTGTCATATCCGGTTACTGGAGAACAGTGTGGTGGATGTGTTGGGGTCGTTTGGGGTGAGGGGGTTGATTACTCAGGATCCCGGGGTTTGGGTTCATCATCGGGATCACCAGGGGGAGGGGCAGGGGGAAGAACTCCCCCGTAAGATCACGGCGGTGGGCGTGCATCTTCGTCGGAATATTAGTAGTTTCGGGGTTGGGTTCAATGTCACGCAGGAGCCGATGTGGTGGTTTCGGCAGATTGTGGCGTGTGGGTTGGAAGGGCGCGAGGCGACGAGTTTGGCGGGTTTGGGGGTCGATGTCGATGTGCAGACGGTGGCGGGGAGGTTTGTGGAGGCGTTTGTGCGGCGTGTGAACGAGGATTTTGCAGGACCGTCGGGTAAGGGGGAGGGGATTGAGGGGGTGTATTCGGTTACGGAGGAGGATTTGTTGCGGGGGTAAGTTGACATGAAGTCATGCAGGCTGTAAGATATTATAAGTATCCTAGATGGATTCTCGGAGTGGTTCTCAGGTATGCTTTTGGATGTGTAATATTGAGTTTCGATAATGCTAATGGGATAATTATAGTGATGTTGCTGCCTTTGACCAGCTGTCCATCAGGCCTGCCTTGCATGCTTTCAGAGTTTCGGAGACAATATCAGGGCATTAAGTGTACACGAGGAGAACACGGTCGGTAAGAGAAGTATATATAGCGAGATGCAAACGCAGGGTGACCAAATGCGAGGGCGACAGGCTGAATTGCGGCGAAACAAGGTCTTCGAGGCCGCACGTATCCAGAGCAAACTGACCTAGTCCGGTGGTCGAACAATAGGGAGGAATATCGAGAACGGGTATAATGATAGAGCACAAAACAACAAGCGACAAGAAACCAAGTCTAAAGAATGATACACCGATCCCCAGATCCGCTCGACCCCTGAGTTTTCACTCCCAGGGCCACCTTGGCTGCTTCATAGAAGGTCTCCATGATGCCACGGTTCTGCACGGCGGAGCATTCTGCAATCAAATGTTCAGCAAGCATGAACCCACAACTTAACCAGAACAGCACACTCACCCAGATACTTGACAGCACCGATCTCTTTGGCCTTGGAAAGGCCTTCCTCGTACGTGATGGCGTTAGGGTTGTCGTTCAGGAACTCGTCCTTCCTTAAGTCGCATTTCAGCGCCGTGAGGACCAACTTCACGTTGGGGCAGTTTTCCGAAATCTCCTCGATCCATTTGCTGGCCACGTTCTCGAACGAATCGCGACTGTCGACCTAGAGTCGGGGTCAGAGGGGCGATTCGCGCAGTCGCATCGGTCTCCTTACGCTAAAGCAGAGCATGATCACATGGGTATCCTCGTACGAGAGCGCGCGCAGTCGATCGAACTCTTCCTGACCGGCAGTATCCCAGAGCGACAGTTCCATGTGTACATTGTCGACGAAGATGTCTAGACGGGGGTCATGAGTATCAAGGGGTAGTCGAGGCCGAGGTCGGGGCAGGGTAACTACCATGTACATAGTTCTCTATTTCAAGCCCAAGTTAGCGAATCCCTCATCTCAAGGGGGTTGGATGCGCACCGAAGACGGTAGGTTCACTATGCAGTCAATGCTGCGGTCAATAAATCAATCGCAAACAAGCATTAAGCGCAACGCAGGTGAGTCTCACTAGACCGTGGGGAAGTATCTAAGCGAAAGGATGTTAGTTCAATTTCGAAAACAGGGGTGTTGATTAGATGGCCAACCCTCTAGTGAACACATTCAAGGCGGATGTCTTGCCGCAAGCACCGTCCCCTCTTATCTAGGAAGTCAGCTCTTTCAGTCCCACCCGGCCGACCGATATAGATTGAGTTGCACTGACAGGAGCACCATCTTCCGGCGCACGACTTTCTGACGCCCACAGAGACTCATCGCGACGGTATTGGGGGAATGGGGTGTTCGGTGGAGGAATCGCAAGAGGAGGAAGGATCTGGACGAAGATAAGGGAGGGAAGGGGGGGAGGGGAGAGTTCTAGATCGGGGAACGGGGGTGGCTTCGACAGCAGCGAGAGCGGAGGAACGAGCGCGGACGGAGGGTTCAATGTCGGGTTGGTGGGTGTCGGGGTTAGAAGGAGAGAAATATCCTATGCAGGCCAAAGTCCAATAGCAGTAAGGGTAAATGAAGAGGTTTCACAAGGGGGGAAGTGGTCAGAAGGTTTACGAGATGTTGGAAGCGAACACGAAGAATGGAATTATTGAACGGGGCTCGCGAGCCACGGCCGGGCGGCGATGTCATCGGAGAGGCTCCACGAATGAGCCGATCTTCATCTGCCACACACAATATGATGGCGGTGCTGCAGCTCGGAGGCGTGCCGATCATCGATCAGATCCGTCAGCCAGTCTCCTTTTTAACGGTGATTTTACTGCAGGGAATAGACCCTTCGGTTTCATTACTGGGAGGGCATGGACTGGAGAATGCACTCGATGTGCTGGATATACTGGATATACTGGATCTACTGGATCTACTGTGGTGCTTGCCACATCATTGAACATCATAACTGGTTTCAGAGGAGATTGCGTGTTCAGCGTACTGCCAAGTGATTATAGGGTCTGCTTAGACTGATTGTCGCTTGATTATCATAGCCATAGTTAGTGCAGGCACAGTGTGCTAAATGTGTTGGGGTTGAGGCTAGTGAAACAATATATTTGACTCGGATATGGGGGATGATAAGCCTCCATGGACTCGTACTAATCGGGGCTGGCCACAAGGCGGAGCTGGCCTCAATTGAACCACCTCACTAACGTGCAGGCATGTAGAGTCAATTTTGGCCACCAATAACCCAGTCCACGATCCCCAGCTCACCAGTCCATCGTTGGTGCAACTCTTCGCAGCTGTTGTGTTGTTGTGTTACTGGGCAACTGGGCAACTGAGCAACTGACAGTCCTCCAAAGGCGGGGAAGGACAAGCTGGGCTCTCCGATAGGTGCGGAGCTCAACACCATCAATCCATCGTATTCCACTTCGACTCTCACTCTCTCACTCACTTATCTGTCTGCCTATCTCCCACAACAATATCTACACGCTCACTCCCCTCTTTTTCATGCTTTGATCTATTATTCTCATCTAACGATACCCCTGTGAGCGACATCTTTCTACATTTCAGTTTTCACAATGTCGGACGACGATGATTTCATGCAAGACTCCGGTGACGAGGAGTAGGTGCCCATCTGCGACCGCTGTCGTACCTACCTGACTTTTCCTAGATATGACTTTGAATACGAAGATGAAGACGACGATGACTCGGGCGATGTCGGGATCGAGAACAAATACTATAATGCCAAACAAATGAAGATAGACAACCCGGAGGAGGCGATCGACGAGTTCTTGGGGGTTCCGGCACTGGAGCAAGATAAAGGCGACTGGTAAGGCAGATCATACCGAAAGGACAACCGGATTCTAATAACGGATACTCAGGGGATTCAAAGGGCTGAAGCAAGCTATCAAGTTGGAATTCAGACTTGGACGATACAGTGAGGTAATGCTCCCTGGCTTACCATCCGTGTGCGATCGGTACTGACTGACTCTCCAGGCGGTTGAGCATTACAGGGAACTCCTCACCTACGTCAAATCGGCCGTTACCCGGAACTACTCGGAAAAGTCGATCAACAACATGCTGGATTACATCGAGAAGGGCTCCGACGACGAAAAGGCATACCAGTGCATGGAGGAATTCTACTCGTTGACACTCCGATCGTTCCAGAACACGAACAATGAGCGGTTATGGCTGAAGACCAACATCAAGTTGGCCCGACTATGGCTCGAGCGCAAGGAATACAGCCAACTCAGCAAGAAGGTACGGGAGCTGCACAAGGCCTGTCAGCGGGAAGACGGGACCGACGACCCCAGCAAAGGCACCTACCTCCTCGAACTATACGCCCTCGAGATCCAAATGTACGCCGAGACGAAGAACAACAAACGTCTCAAGGCGCTCTACCAACGGGCCCTGCGCGTTCGGTCGGCTGTGCCGCACCCGAAGATCATGGGCATCATCCGCGAGTGCGGTGGGAAGATGCACATGAGCGAGGAGAACTGGGAGGAGGCGCAGAGCGACTTCTTTGAGTCGTTCCGGAATTACGACGAGGCGGGCTCCATGCAGCGGATCCAGGTGCTCAAGTACCTCGTGCTGACGACGATGCTCATGAAATCGGACATCAACCCCTTCTACTCACAGGAGACGAAGCCGTACAAGAACGACCCCCGCATCTCTGCCATGACCGATCTCGTGGACGCGTTCCAACGGGATGACATCCACGCCTACGAGGCGATCCTCAGCAAGAACCCGGATGTGCTCGCGGACCCGTTCATCGCAGAGAACATCGACGAAGTCAGCCGCAACATGCGGGTCCGGGCGGTGTTGAAGCTGATCGCCCCATACACGCGGTTCACACTCCAGTTCATCTCGAAACACATCCGCATCACCGTGCCCGAGGCGCAGGACATCGTGAGCTTCCTGATCCTGGACAAGAAGCTGAACGCGCAAATCGACCAGGAGCACGGAACGGTGGAGGTGGAGAGCACCAGCGCCGGCGATCTCGAGCGTCTCCGGGCCCTTCAGGAATGGAACGCGTCGCTGCGCGCGCTGTGGCAGGCGACGCTGAACGACGGTGAGGGGTTCAAAGAGGACAGCGGGCAGCTCCACGGGATGCGAAGCACAGGAGGGCTGACCGGCGGCGGGCCTACGTTCCAGTCCGACACTCCGTTGGTTGGGGGTCGTCAACGTCGAACGCGGGGAGGGCCAGGAGGCGTGGGCTGGAGGGGGAAAGCGGCTGCTCAGCGCCATGGGGTGGATGGAGCTTAGATGCAGGTGTTTCGGATACCGACATGTTATTACACCGTATAATATTCCTAATAGACCGAGGGAGCGAGTCGATGCTACTGTGCAAAGTACGTAGCTTGTCCGTCTCAACCATGGATCCTGCAACGATGCCCACGGGCGATACTTCAAGCTCCCTGGCAGTCTTAGTCCGCTCGCCCTAAGGCTGGAAGGCCAATGCACACGGCACAATTTACGAGTACCATCCTACGCTCCGTACCAGGGCATCCTCTCATCCCATCCCCGTCACCAAGGCGGGAACGGGACCCTTCCGATTCCTCCATGATCCACGTTCATTCGACGGGAGGATCCCAGCCCGAGGGTCCAGGTCCAGAACATTACCCTACTACCGGAGGTAACTTGTAGTACTAGTATAGTGGTATCGACCCAACCCAACCCGCCCAGACCCTGACCCAGACCTGAACCCAGGCCCAGACCTCTAATCTTACCGTGGTCCTCACCACAAACGAGACAGACAAAGGACAGAAAGAACATTGAACCCATGCACAACAGCCCAGACGACAGCACAGCACAGCATACATACATACACCCACCCACCCACTCACCCACAGACCTACCTAGATCCACAGTGTCCCTCTCGCAGCACTCTCCCTAATTGATAGACACACCGAACAACACCCCACTCCCAGCGCACAAAACTCCTTCGCGGAACAGCACAAAGAAGCCGCAAGCAAGCAAGCTACATGAGCCCAAGCTGCTGCACAGCGCCGGAAAGCAAACTGCAGGAACGGGGAGTCATCTTCGTCCAATAGATTGATTTATGGGGGGTTCCAGTTGCGGTCAGATGGGTACCGTACTGTATGTACATACCTAGATAAAGTGGGATGGATGGATGGATGGATGGATGTTTTGGGATACGGTCTGTGTCTACCTAACAATTCTTACTCAGAACGAGACAAGTGGAAGGTTATGGGAAGATCCCACAGTAGTACCTAGCTACAGTACTACTCCGTAGTAGGTAGGCTAAACATGCTACTGCTCCGTGTGGCGCGAGGATAATTTCCACTGTGCTGTATCTTGGCCGTAGCTAGGGGATACGGGGTACGGGAAAGAAGAAGGAAGATGGATGGCTGCAGCTTCCATCTGCTATACCGTACCATCATTGCATTGCAGGGAAACATTCCTGGTGGCCTTGTCTACCTACAATCCGGATACTGTATGCGATAGACCATCGAGAATCGAACCGATGCCGTGGTGCGAGGTGGTACCCTTGTTTAGTTGAGGTACATGTACTTGTACTCGCTAGGGTAGCTGGGATTCGAATCCCCGCATTTTTTGGTGGTTGTGGTTGGAATCATGTCATGCAGTTTGCTTGAAGGTTCTTCTGCGGGCGGGAGATTGGGCTTGTTTTTCTACACCGCACAAACATTTTGTTCGATTCTTACCGGGTTCATTGTTCGGGGTGGGGAGGGGTTCGTGTCCTGGTAGTTGGGGTTGGGGTCTGTCTGTCTGTGGTGCTGTGGTGCAGTGGTCGTCATGGAAGTGGGGATTTTTTTACGTTGTTTTGAGATTGAGTTGTTTGTTGCTTGGGGTTTGTCTGCAGCCTCAAGTTGAGGTGGGAATAGTATATCCTAGATGATGGATAGATACTGAGTCGTTTCGACAGGTGATACGTTTCGATAGCTAATCCACCGTCGGGCTTTGAGCGCACAGGCTTTTACAGACTGCTGGTTCGGATGGACTAAGGAATAATCATCAGAAGCTATCGCTGGTAGGACCGAGTGAGGTACTTTTGACCACACTGCGATCCATGGTCCCGGGTTTGGGTTCCCAATCCGCAGAATTCATCCAAAGTTAGGCGCTGGGTGAGGCACGGGTTGGTGGTACCCAATGTATGAGACTACTCGCCCCGGGGAGTACTTAGTACTTGTCGCAAGTGCCACTGCCAACCTGTCATGGAGCGGAAGAGTGGAGCGCGATAAGGAAAAGGGACGGGATCGATCCTCCTAGTCTCCTTGTATAGTACGAGCACTAAAGAACAAACGGGAGAGGGGCAGCGGAGTCCGGTTGGTTCTCTTTACTTGGTAGATGAAAATGAAACACAAATACAAGTACTAACTAACAAAGTGCCGGGGATGAACGCAATCACTCCAATGCCGATCCCTGACGGTAGTTGCGAGAGACGGAGGGAAGGGAACGAATGCTTATCATGTTTGTGTGTCCTGCTACTAATCCTTGGATATAAAGTCGATGTGGTGTGGTCTTGCGTCAGTTTCGTGGCGTGAATCTGTGTCTTGGAGATGCAAAGCAGGATCCGAAAATTCGCCGAGTGACGTAGGGACGAAAGAAAAAGAGAGAACGAGGGATATTCGATACATGGCCGGGTTACAAACTGGATTGACATGACCAGATGATGGCTACACGACAGTGCACTGTGTTTCTCCACACGGACGCCGTTACTATCTACAGCCCCAACCCACAGTTCACAGCATCATCATTTCGCATCCTGGCCGGCTGACATGCTTAAACTGCCAGGCTGAGAGGACGTTCCAGAACTCCTCGGCGCTCGGTCCCACCACCTAAAAGACTCCCCCCGCCTCTCCTGTAGACGAACCGGAAAATGAAGACTAACCTGCACATCTGGAGGCAAAGAAAAGAAGGGTAGGGTAGCACGAAGGATAACTAGGTAACGAAAAGCAAGGCGGTCGGAATGCAGTCCAGGGATTCTAGCTCTCTCTCTCTCTCTCTCTCTCGCCTTGGTTATCGTTGTTTCCTGAGGGACGGTCCGGACCCGACAGCGATAACCACGGTCGGAGTCACCTCTTAGAAGTACCTAAAGTATACCTAGTGCGATCAGGGATGAAGGACCACTCTGAGTAGCAAATCCCGGACAGCAGCGACCAGTGCCCACCCAAATCCCACATACTAAGTAAGATCAGGATGGATGCGCTCGGAGTGGCTGCCGAGGTAGCATATGCAAGCCTCCTCTTAGTTGGATCGAAAATCTTCCTGGGACGAAGGACAACCACCGGTAAGCATTTATCTACGATCCGTGAGTCTGTCTGGTCAAGGGTACAACCAGCGACACGGGCTGGCTGGCGAGAGGATGGGGCCCAAAGAGGTCTTACCATCGCGGCCGGTGGGCTGATCCCCTAACCTTACTGACGGCCGCGAAACGCTGCGGGTACGGAGAGGATTAATTAACATCGATAGTCGCACGTTGCTTCTTCGGCGCCAGCTGCAGCAGTCCTTGGGCGTTAGGAATTGTTGCTGACGACTAGCCTAGTTGCGATCGGAAGTTTTCTCTGGTCCTGGCTTCGCCCAGCGCATGCCCTGCACCTCGGCGGTAAATGATTTAGACTGAAGGGCGGGGCATCATGGATTGGTCGGGGAAACGGTGAGAAATCACACAAGACAAACAAAGAGATTGCAAGTCATTTTTCTGAAGGGTACGGAGTACTGCGTACATTGATTCATCCCGATAAAGAGATAGATTGCCGGGTATACGTGGTGACAAAGTGACAAAGAAAAGGTGCTGAAAAGACGACGACGTGCAGTACCTCGTCGCGTCGCTGCAGCAGTCAGTCCGTCCGTTTATCCGGCAGTTCAGAGTGGCGGATTCTTAGTGGTGGATATTCAATCCCAATGGCAGATAGCAATCCTAGCTTTGTTGCAGCTCTCCAGACCACGGCCATTCGCCGGTGATCCTGTCCGGACATGTGGTCATTTTCTAGTGTATGAAGGATCGGTAGGGTCGTTAGTGGGCATTCAGATCGGCCGTTCGTGCAGTCGGTTAGAGGGACTGACTGCAGCTTCACCCACTCCTAGGCCGAGGAATTCTCATCTCCGGAGTACCACCGTCAATTCTTGTCCCTTCTCCTCCTTCCTCCCGATCCTTCTGGAGGAAAGATTGATACTGGATAGTGAGTGCCGGTGGGTATCCGGGTAGGGACAGGGCAAAGAGTCGGCTACGTACTATCTCGCCGTAGTCGCAGGGCGATCTGAGCACCCCGTCAGCCAATTGTGATCGCGACCAATAGACTCCTGAGACCCACTCCTGCTGATGGGATCCTGGTGTCAATTTGCAACAGGGTAGACTACGAAACACTTTAGTTCTGAAGTGCTGTCAAGCTGCCTGTAGTCTACTACCTAGTCTAGCAAGTAGTCAAGAAGTGGATGAGGGACGGAACGGATACTGACCGAACCGTCAATCCTCTTGACCCCATTGACCCCATTCACTCACCCCGGGGGAGCTTTAACGAAAGCCTTGTTTCGCCCACAGTTGCGCACTTGGGACGAAAAGACTACGTCGGGCTGTTGTTGCACTGGATGGAGACGATTGACAGTTGAGCCTGCTCTCCTATTGGATCCCAGACCAACCGGCTCATCCGCTGCACCTGCAAGCTGTAGCTCCTCGCTGGGTCTGGAGGGGTCCAGCAGTCGGAATCCTGAGAAGGAAGGCTTTTTTCTTCTTTTGTTTTCATTTTTTATCTTCTTCTTGCTCTTCCTATGGGGTGGAGGGAAGATCCGGGTATCGACATTGAAAGGGTGATCAGGGCAGAGCCAGCGTGAATCGGTGGTGGCTGACCTGGAGATTACCTTAGTATTGTCTAGTAGTATCGATCTTCATCCGCTCCGACAGATGTGGTTCTGTGGTTGGATGGAAGTGCAATCTTCATTTCGTTTTGCTTGTAAACCATCCATCCTGGCGGAACCCCAGTCAGTCACTGACGCGCATCCACCCGGTCAAACTAGCGAGTCAACTGAAGTAATCGAATTGAGAGCCACTGCGAATTGGAACTAAACTAACGCCCGACCGATGATGTGAGAGAAGGAGGAAACAAAATTAGGGGGGAAAAAGCATGTAAAAAACAAGAGCAAGAGAGCAAGAGTAGTCTAGCAAGAGAGTGCTCGACTCCGAGTCAGTAAGAAGGAACTTAGTAACTTTAATTAGTATGGACCGGCAAACCCCGCGCCCGGTCGGTTTTTGGTCTGGCTTTAGATTCTTCCTCATAGTCATCAATCAATCAATCCATCCATCCATGCCATCGTCAATCATCAGTCCTCCTCATTCATCTCTTCTCCTTTCTTTCTTTCTTTCTTTCTTGCTTTCTTTCTTTCTTCCTTCCTTTCCTTTTCTTTCCCTCATCCACTCCCTCCCCCCGAACAAATTGTTGTTCGTGCTGGGCGAGACCACCACCACCACTACCACCTCCCTACCAATCAATCAATCAATCAATCAACTAAACTACTGAACTAAGATTTTCCCTTATTAATATTCATATTAAACCCTCCCTCCCTCGGACCTCCTCCCCAGATCTGACTTGCGATCCTCCCAAACTGTTACTACCTATTACTACTACTGCTACAACTACCACCACGACTACCACCAAACTTTTTTTTTTGCCATCTCCAAATCCCTGCTTGACTGGTTGGTGACTCCGTCTTTTCCCTTCTCATTCTTTCCCCTCCCCTCCTTTTACTTCCCATCTACTATTACCTTCTTCTCCTTCTCCTCCCCATTCCCCTGTCACTGATTAGTCGGTGTCTTCCCTCCATTTGGAAAGAGGTTGATATACACACCCTCATCATATACCGTTTTGGGCCAACCCGCCATTACACATGCTTACTTGATCCCACCCAGCACGTGTCACTTGCTCCCCCTCCGTATGCACGTTGGCTGTAAAGAAAAAAAATAGAAAAAAAAAACACGTTTGGAACGACATTTTGAAGGTCTGAGCCATCCATTTCCTTTTCCTCTTTCTGGCCTTTTTGATTCTCCTCCCCCCTTTCCCAATAACTAGTTTCTATGTGAGACACCCACACATTCACTCACAAGCTCTTCCCCCCCCCCTGTCTCTCTTGCTGTTGTTGCTTATGCTGGGCTGCTCTTGGACCCTCGCATCATACTCCATGCTGCTGTGAATTGCATTTGTGGTCGATCGGCAATGCTGGACTCCGATGATAACTGGTATCATCTGTTTGTGTTCTGCCTCTTTCGGGAGGGGTGGAAGGAAGTGTTCATGCAATCCATTCATCCATCTATATACATACCTACTTTCTATCACCTACCCACAGCTGTCCTTGCTGAATCCTCTATGCTCTCCCTTTTTGATGGATGACCTATAGCCATGCATCGCCAAATGATCGAGTAGCATCTGGTTCATTGTCTCGTCTGTGCATCTCGGCTGTCAGGCGGGCGGCGTGGACTGGAACCCCAGCGGCCCAGCGTTGAAAAGGAGGGGGGGAAAACTTATGGTCCATCACTCCCCCGAATTGATACGAACTGCTGTCATTCCTCGACCCCCTCGCCTACGAGTCAAGTGCAGGATTGCGTATCTTAAAATCGCATTTCCGAACCGCATTCCTTGTTCTGCCCTCTGCGCCTGCTTGTCTTATTGGCCCATGATCTCCTGTCTCCGTCCCCTCAGCCCGCCGTGTCTCTCCATTCTTGATGCTCGCTATGACATATGTCTTGATGGTCCTCGTCTGTTCCATGGCGATGCTTTTTCCTGTCTGTTGGCTCTCACAGAAGTAGCCTGGTGCTTGTTTGATTGGCCCGATTCGCATTCGCAGTGACGGTCGACCGCAACTGCTATCCTGCAACTCTGCCGATTGATGGATTTCCATGCTAAGAATGCTGCACAGTTGTAGGCTCTTACATCACTGAAGAACTTCGACCGGCACGCCTCTCCTGCACCGAGGATCAGGCACAGCAGGGCGACCAGACAGATCCTTGCTGCCGAACGATGCGGCAGAGTCTTGTGTGTATTACGTGCTCCGGCCGCACTCCCTTGATATTGACCTTCATCCTTCCGTGTTAAAAAGGCATCGCGATACATTTGAGTTCATCGGACTGAGTCCCTCGGACTTTCCACCTCTGCGGCCTCCTTCCTCCTTACTCAGCGCCTCGTCTGCTCTACTACTCAGTCTTATGCGATGTCCCTGTCGGGTATCTCCTGGAATCATCACCACTACTACCCCATCGACATCAACCAGTTTCCGACGAGACAGGATTCCGCTCCCGGCTTTTACCCTCCAGAGCCTCATTCAGCCGCCTTCTTCAATCACGGGGTTGCTCCCCTCTCCGCACCAATCTATCCTTCCAACCAGTTCCAACATTCGTTCAACATGAACACCTTGTCGACCGATGAGATGGAGAAATTCCAGAAGCTCTCCAACGAGTTCCACGCCAATGTGCAGGTGAGTCGGGTTGGGACCGCTTGCATTCAGCGCGACTCACGGGATGAACAGGGTCCCGCCGTCTCAGCCAAGCAATCGAGTAGCATGGTTGCTATGGAGTATGCCAACGCCGATCCTGCCTTCATCACCAAGACTGCAGTCAGTTTCGATCCTACTGCCCCTCCCCGGACGACTCGGATCTTTAACCGTTCTCTTAGGCACTTGCAGCAACACACCCCTTGGTGCGCACCATGAAGGGGGATGGGAATTGCGGCTGGAGAGGTACCCATCCGTGCATTTCCTGGCGCAGATAGTCGACTAACACCGTGCAGCGGTCGCTTTCGGATATTTTGAGAACCTTCTCAAATTACAAAACCTGGTGCTCGTGCACGACGAGCTGACCCGGATCAAGTCGCTCAATGTGCTGCTGGATCGGACGGGTCAAGAGGAGCACCTTTACGAAATCTTCGTCGACGCGACGGAAGTGGTCTTCAACCAGATCATCGAAGCTATCCAGAACGGCATCATCGACGATACGTTTCTCGTCGATGCGTTCAATGAGGAATACAACGCCAGCGCCATCATCACCCATTTTAGGGTCAGTTCTGTTCCGCCTCCAGTGTGAGTTCTTGCGACTGATGTGTGACAACAGCTTCTCACGAGCGCGTGGATGAAATTGAACCCCCTTCGCTATCAAGCTTTCCTGTCAATGCCGGTGGATCAGTATTGTGCGACACGGATCGAGACGGTCAAAACGGAAATCGATGAAGTCGGTCTGCAAGCGTTGGTGGATGGGGTGATTGGAGCCTCCGGCTTTGCGGTGGAAATCCTCTATCTGGACCGCAGCGAGGGCGATGTAGTCACGCCTCATCTCCTCACCCCGAATCGGCTGACCGCGGCCACGATCTGCTTGCTCTACCGCCCGTGAGTGTGCGAGATCTGATTGACATGCGCAGGATGCTAACTCACTGCCAGGGGCCACTACGACCTTCTCTACGCGGCCGAACCTACTGTGAATATGGAACCCGTGGTCAATTACCAATACGCAATGACTTCTAACTACTCCCCCTGGGATCAAGGTGCTCTCTCCTTCGATGTCAACTCCAGTTTAATGTCGATCCCCAATTTGATGATGGACCCGACCTTTGGGCTCGCGCCTTCACCCATGCCCTCGGCTTCGCCCAGTCCTTTCCGTGTCTCGCCACCCCAAGAAGTGTATGCACCACCGCCCATGATGCACACATCACCGCCCCCACCTCCAATCTCGCTGGCATCGCCGCCGCCGCCACCCCGGATGTCGGCACCCCCGGCTCCTTTGACTTCGTTGCCGCGCAAATCAGACGGCCCGCAAATCCGACTGAACCCGTTGGTGATGAAACCGAACTTGAGTCATTCGCTCCCCGTGACGACTCCGTTCAAAAAGTAGTATATCTCGCCCTGCCCCGATGTTACGAGTGCAATGCTGACCGATAAGTAGTTCGCCGTACAACCAAGCGCATTTCCAAAACCAGGATTTCGAGCCCATTCATTGGGAGCCCGCCGACCATCGGAAGTAGAGTCGTGCGATGTACTCCACCTGTTCTTCTATTCCTTTTACGATCGTTTACGACTGGACATAAGATTTTTTTTTTCTTTTCTGCTAGGCATTCAATACACTAGGCTTCTTTCGGGCAATATGGACTGGGGGTTTTATGAATTTCTCTTCTCGGGTTTGCAGAACTTCTTCTGGTGGATTCCAGTATTGGTGAAGTTGGGGATTCCGTTGGTGGTGCACTAGTGGGTTTCTTAATTGGCAAGATGTGATTTAGCGTCTGTGATCTGCGATGCATCGAGGCGAGCGGGGGTGACAGTTTCGAGGAATCATCAAAAAGGATTGGATCGATTGTCGAGGATGTATGTTCTGTAGCCAGTAGCCCCGTAGCGTAGTTGATACCTTGGCGTCTCTACTTCACGTAAGGCTGGTGGTAGGTACTAGGTAGCTTACATACCTCACTCCACGGAGTGACCCGGACGAAGCCTATTGGTGGTTCTCAAGGCTAGCCAGCCATCATGGAAATGAATTCCAGTACGACCAATGATCGGATCCGCCGCCAGGCAGGATGACGGTAGGTAGGTAGGTAGTCCAAGGATCCATCCTGGTCTTTGCAGGCCCGGGGCCAGCCCTGCCCGTGGTCCAGTCCCTTGCAGATAGGTGTGGCTGTTCGCCGACCAGTCTTAGTTCGGTAGTAAGGGCACAACTGGAATGGTCAGCTCGGTATTGTTCCTCACAGGGCTCCAGACTTCCATCCAGGCTGCCGTTCCATAATAATTAGATTCCCCGTGGAGAGAGACTTGATTCGAAATTAACACGGGTATTTTCAAGTACGCAGCGCAGATCTGATCTAGGATGATAACGGCGGGGTGGGTGTTAGGTCTGACGGACGGACGGACAGACAGACAGACAGACGGACGGACGGAAGGGTGTATATCTTGATACTGGTTGGTTTCTGTAGCTATATTGGTGGATGGGGATTTCTGGTGGTACTACAGGTAGGGAGTGAGGAACCGGGGGTGGGGGATTTCTTGTTCTCGGTCTGGGGTATTCATTTAGGTCTTGAGGGTTAGGTTCTTTCCTGAGTTTAAGGGTAGGTGCTGTGAACGGAGACTGGGACCTGGAAGAGCGGACTACTAACCAGGGTCTTTGGGCACGGGGTTATATTGTGATGCGGTGCGTGATGCGGTGCGGTACTGGAAAGAGACAGTTGAGGCTCATGTGGCTATGCATTTTGTCCGTTGCACTAACAGACATTGTATAGTATTTCACTACAAGCATGTTTGTTGGTATTGACACATTCGTAACGAATAGAGAACGATTTGCCCCGTATATCGCAGTGTGGCTGGAGTCCTCCATGCCATCACCCGCGCGTTCATCTGTGTCCTCTGAGGGCTTCGTGGTCATGAAGCCTGCCAAGCGCAGCAGCAGGATAAAGACCGCCAGGGCTGGAATCTGCACACTCTCTGCACTAATTGAGCACTCAGGCCCTGCAAGGTTACCACTACACCACTCGGCCATTTGCTGGTGAGGAGAAAACATTCTCTTGCCCATGTCTCCACTCTGGTGTCTCGGGCACGGACCCGACTCTTCGCTTGAAAAATCCGGCGCTCATTTCTTGATAGTGTTCGACGTGACAGATTATCAATCGGTAGAAAGATCAACGTGGGTAAATCCGCCTTGCGGTGCCGTTTATCCGATTCTGCTTCTTGCTGCCCCGGTACTATCGAGTGAAGGAGTCGGTTGAAGCTTCATTGTTCATCGGCATATAGTGCATTACGATCACACGTAATCAACTTGCGATTACAGATTTCATTGCAATGACAAGATCCAGGGATCCACTTCTGCCGTTCAAAGCTCAAACATGACCCCGTCAAACAAAGTCGTGTCGTGGCGTGAAGTTCACCCATTCGGTAAAGTCCATGCTACTCAAATTCAGCTCCTGGTCGACATCAGGAAACATGCTGCCAAATGTCGGATCTGTGAACAATTGATCGGAGAACGGCATCATGATCGGGGCCGGCTGTCCCGCCGTTCGGCCGGTGGCGGCACCTGTATATGCAGGCGAACAAAGTCGGTTGACGACTTCCAGACAGCGGGTGGCGAGGCGGTTGTTGCTAAGGGAAGGGTGAATGAGTAGCTTTTTGGTGGCTTCAATATCCTGAAGCCATGCAGGGGCGTCTGCACTGGTGGGATCGGTCATGAGCATTATGACCGGGATCAAGCCCGCCTGGAAAAGGAAGTATCTGTCGAGCGGGTTAGTCAACCATGTATACATAAACATAGGCCGTGAACATACAGCATGTACCAAGCCCCCAGTCTGGTGCAAATGTGGTTGTTGACAAAGTCGGTGATGGATGAGATGGACAGTCTTGCATTTCTCAGGCAAAGCTTTCTGCAGTCCACCTCGAAAGGATCTTCGGGCTCCGAGGCAGAGTTCTGCGTCCATCTTCGTGATGCCCAACGGAGGAGAACGGGGCGATATAGAAGGATTCTCAAGTTCCAGTCCCGCCACATCATGCGGTTGCGGACGAGAGCAAAAGTGTCCGATACCGGTAGGGGCGGCTGTTTGAAGTAGTCGGGGAGTCCGTTGTACCACTCCTCCATGGGCTTCTGTAGGCCCAACGTTTCTTCCGCCGTGAGACTGGGGCCGGAGATGAGACGTTGATAGACGCTGTTGGTGAGTAAATGGAAACGGGTTTGGGCAATCAACCCCGTATAAAGAGTTGGCTCGGTGACTTCGAGGGGCAGCGTAGTGGTGGCAGGTGTGAGAGCCTAGGGATGATTAACGACCAACCAAGATCCAGGATAATGGTCTTCCTTCCTACCTCATCATGAATGTTCAGGACATGCTTTGCGTCCATAACGCTATCTTCAGGCAATAGGATGGGCCGGCCGAATGTCTTCGCCGCACCGCTATCAAAGATGTATACTCCCCACCACAACCGTCTCCTGATCTCACGTTGGAGGAGGCTGATTTTCCACCCAGGAAACTCCTTATGAAGACCCAGACTCATAGCCATCCTCACGGCTAGACCCAAGAAGTTCCAGCCGGTATTGGGCTTGTTTCGTTTTTGTGCGTAATTGCTCAGGAGCAGTAACGCCTGCACCAGAGTGAGATTTCCAGTTTCGAACACGGAGACTTGCTGCAAGTGGCCTCGTGCTTCCTGGTAGAAGGTGATGTCCAGGTCGGAGTTATCGTCACCAATGCACCAGGCACCCAGCGCCAGAATAGTATTCAGCAGGATCTGCCATGCTTGTCCATGTGGCCGGGGTACTTGTTCGTAAAACTGAGCTCTAAATGTACCCTCGTGGATGAAAGGGTAGCTTGCATGATAATTGAGGAAGAATGCGTCCATGAACGCTTGCTCGACCAGACCGGACGGGGCAGTATTGAGCAGCTGGGACTTCAAAGGAACCGCGTAATTCGACTTTGACGTCCCAGCTGGGAAATTCAAATCAAAGCCATGTTTGAGCAAGGTTCGGAGCGGAACGACACTCGAAGAAGCACCTGCTGATGGTCAGAATGATCAAGCACGCCTGAGCTCTGTACTGGATACACACCAAAGTAGCCCGTTCCTTCTGGCTTGATGGACAAGGCCGCCATGCCGTCCGTCAGATCACCTACGGTGATCTTGTTTTCGGCCCAGTCAAATCCATCTGCCTGTTGCGGCAGTGCCTCCGGGGCGGCTTCGGCTCGATCGGCCTCGACCTTGGCTGGAGTGGAGTGTCTGGATGATGACTTGGATGAGGAACCCGGTTTTGGTGGCCCGTCCTGGTCATGAAGAAGAGAGCGAACCGTCGCATCCAGATCGCCCCCAGGGAAAAGCCTCCCCAGGGCCGTCTCAAACGCGTGCAAGCGATCTTCTACATATGTCAAATGTCTATTAATGTCATTAGAGGGTTTCTGCAGCAAGCGAGGTGTAGAGGTGGAGATTCTCACTGTCTTGTCAGGGGACTTCTGGTGATTTTAGGACTGTAGTTGCATTCCTTGTGCAGTTGCCTGCATTGTGCACATGTAGGTTTCTCTTTGGAGCACTACAGGTGAGGTTAGAACAGGCTCCTTTGGGCTTGACTAGAGTGACATCTCACCCTGGACTTCCGTAATCGGCATTCATCGCACTGCAAGATGAGGAATCAGCCAGCTAGATCGGACAACTCGGGAGTTTGCGACTCACAGCGTAAGAGTGAGAATCACGAGTGCTAGCCATATTTAGAGAAGAGGATCATTCAATCTTTTGGATCCCCAAATCTCGTGCTCGCTGGTAAGTATACCAAACTGATATCATCTAGACCGAGTATGTTAGCGAGTCCCCTACATGGTCCCAGCTGAGGGACGTCGGGTGCCTGAGCGCAATCGGCAGCGAAAGTGACAAGGATACAAGATGAAGTGAATGATTGTATTGTCAGAAGGAGTACAAATCCCGATCTTACAGGGCCATGGATAGGGACAAAAACATGAATGTTCAATATACAGGATGCGCGCAAGCCGAAGACGGACTGGTGGGGTATCAGGAACAAAATGAGGTGTCGGAAGAACATAACAGGGACCAAGACTCACGATCGGCACGGCAGCATTTAACGGTCCAGCCCTTTTGGTCGGGGACAAGGCCGACCGTCCAAGCCCGCGTTCAGGTCAGAATGAGGGCGAGAGTCTGGGGAGGAAGAGTAGAGAGGAGTTTGAGCTGCGAGCGCGACGAGGGAAGCTGATTGATTGTTGATGGCAAAGCGGCTTCATTGAGAGGCTCGTGTGGGGGAGGCAGTCAGGTGACGCGCGCCGCGAAGAGATTTATCGCCCTCATTTTTCAGGAATCAATCCAGGCTAAGCCGGAGATCCTCAGGCAGGAAATCGTTACTCCCTCTCCCTCGTCTTTCCAGCTGATATGTCGTGTTATCTGGCAAATGACACTGGAGGTAATAGTAGTACAGTCAGTATGTCATTTCCTCTTCTTAGCATACTTCACGGATCGACATGCACGAGGTGAAGTCAATATAGTGGATTTGGGGTGCAGTATGCGAGTTCCGTTACCCGATGCGGACCAGATGGTTATCTGCACTTTGTCCATTCGTATTGTACTAGTTTGGATGACGACAAATTGAGCAGCGTGGATTAGAGCGCCGTGTGCAAGAAGCACAGGCTTTCGTTGGTGGGAAGCACATGCAGGGATTCCTAAGCGATGCATTTGGGGGTAAGTAAATGACGCTACCTGCTGCAAATATATACTGCAGACATGCGCAGTGTTGTCTCCGACTAAGAAGACCGTACAATGAAACGCAAAGTCGATGGAAACATCTTAGAAAACCTAAAGAAGATCCGCCGTATGGGTTATATGGAAATCATGTTGTTACCCCCACGAAGATTGGATTGAAGACAGCGCAGTCATGCTCAGCCAGAGACAATCCCACTCCTATCAATCAGTCTTGGCGCGGCGCTTCCACCAATCGCCGACTCCACAGGAAATTCAATTTTATACAACGTCATCTGCAGCTTTCACCAGCCAAAGCTTCACTCGCAAAGCCAAAGGAGGCCTCAGGACACGCGGAGCAAGGACTGCCTACAAGCGCGCTTCCCATACTGAGCTATATAGTCATCGCGCGACCTCCGACCAGCGACACAGCAATGCCCAGCCAACCGCCCCTCCCTCCGCTCCTCACACCCTACGTCTCGTCCCTACCCCCCTCCTCTCTCACCCTCCTCTCCTCCGTCCTCGGCGCAACAGGGAACTGGCTTGTTCTACGATTCCTACATGCGGCGCTGAGTGCACCATCCACCCCCGACTCCGCATTCAGCTTCGGCGAAGGCAAAAATGGAAAGAAGCAAAAAGTGGTGCTCGTGAGTTTCCTGCGGGGTTGGGAATTCTGGCGCTCGGAAGCAAAAAGATTGGTATGTACTTGAGCGAAACTTCTCCGACAACCACCGCAAGAAATTTAACTGGAACATCAATTATGATGCATTGGAACGTATCTAACCAATTCATTGAAAATCAGGGCTTGGATCTTGCCCGTCTCACCGATAAACGCCAATTCGCCTTCGTCGACGGCTTGTCCGAACTCTTCTCCGCCCCGACGACGCCAACAACCACCACCACCACCATCACGCAGACCCCTCCTCCCTCCCAACCCTCACTCCGCGGTGGCCCTATCCCCCAGCGGACAGTCCTCCCTGCCCGATCTGCACCAGGTCCAATTCCGGCACGAGGACCGCAACTCGCACCACGACCTGCGGCCACGGCCCCAGCGCCGTCAGTTCCATCGGCCCCGCGAGAGATCGGTCCAGTCAAGCGCCTGCACTGGTCCGGCAATGGAGCGACAGCCCTTGAGAAGCTCGAGAAGGATATCGCGGACGTGGTGGAGCAACTGTGGGCGACGGCTGCCACGACGGAGGGAGGGGAAGAGTCGGAGGTGTTGTTGATCCTCGACGCACCGGACCTGCTCCTGGCTGCGACGGGTCCCAACAAGGGTGTGGGAGCTACCGAGATGAGCGACTGGGTGATGGGCTTACAGCAGGTACGATTCACCGCACATCTCCCAATGATGTTACACATACGCTAATAATGCTACGCAGTACGTCCATGCCACCGTCATGACACTCGCAGCGGACTCGCCGCTGATACACAACACTTCGGCGTTCGGGCATCAGATGGCCACTCCGCTCGAGACTGAACATGCCGCGTTTGCGATCGGTTCGGCCCACCGGGCGCACATGGTGATGCAGTTGCGGAATCTGGAGACGGGTGCTGCGCGGGATGTGAGTGGGGTGCTGAGGGTGAGTAAGGGAGGCGCGTGGGGGCAGAGGGATAACGCCGATGAAGACGGCGTGTGGGAAGAGAGAGAAGTCTTGTACTTTATCCAGCGGGATGGTGGGGTCAGCGTCTTTGGACGGGGAGAGTAGATCGGTGCCCCTGGGACTATAGTAAGGCATCAGTGCAAAGCAAAGTATTGATTGCGGGCGTTTTGGGGCGCATCCATATAGAATAGTTGGAGCATATAGATCTGGGTCGCAATCAGGGTCTTCGATAACTGCCTTGTCGCGTGCTTGGGAGCCCAGGGTTCAATACGGTTCCGGAGATTGGCTTTTGAATTCAAGTAGACAGATCACATTGAATGAATATCTCAAACCCTGCGTCTGTCTCGACAAGGGATATCCGCCAGCCATAAACAAGTCAAGGAGATTCATGCATTGCTTTCCCTTTTTTTCTTTGCATCGTGAACAACACCAAAACCCCACGGACAAGAAGGGTTCCGTCTTTTCATTTGTCGTCAATATGTGCCATTTTTCTCTCTTTCTCTAGAATAGAAATGCTATGACGGCAAAAAAATGAAAAAGACCGTCCCAACACCAACTCCCACAGGGAAAGCGTCCTTTTTTTTCGCCTTGCACTGAAACCGGTTTCAATTCATATGCTCGGCCTTGTCATACCAGCCCTCTCCAGCTTCCGAGAAACGAAATCGCGACGTCGGAACGATTAAACTTAGTTGCTGCTCTGAGCGCCGCGGGCACCCTTGGGGACACCGGTCTGGAAGCCGTTGTGGAAGCGGCGGTGGACCTCCTTGAGGTGGCGCATTCTGCCGGAACCGGTGGTCTTTCTGCGCTTGGCCTTCTCGCTCCAGTTGACTATATAACCAAAATGCGTAAGCCAACGGTCTCATCTCAATACAACTCATCTCGGATGTAACTTTCGGTGCTCAAGGGAGCCGCGGGGCAGCTTGTGTTTTCCCATGTCGAAGCAAGCACACAATCACGAGGCATCAAGTTGTATGGAAGGTTGGGAATATAATCATCGGGGGAGAATTCGTACACTTGCGAGTCTTAGCGGAGGGGTAACCGCAGTTGGCACAAGTCGACTTCTGGATGTGGAAGGAGCGTTTGCCTGTATATATCCCAATGGTGCGCAATCCGTTAGCCCAAACTGTCCGTGTCGTTCATAGCGGCTCTTCCCAATATTGCCCGGCACATGTTCCCATCTCTTGTGTTGATCATCCGATCCGCAAAAATATTCCGCCGTATCAAAATCAAGGTATTCGGAGGGTGAAATACTGACCACAACGCCTGCAGAGGGTGTGAGTCTTGTTGTGGCGCTTGCCAAAGCTGGAGGTACCCTTCGCTGTATTCGGTGTCAGTTGGCTGCAAAAGCTTGTCGCCGTAGGACCGGTCGGAGCGGTAGTATATCATGTTGGCACGTACTCATCTTGAATTAGGGGAACTAGAGGTGAAGCAAGAAAAAAATGTCAGCGAAAAAAAAGGTCCGACCAGCAGATATCAAAAACACATGCATCCGGCGAAAATCACGTACCTGGCGATTCCGTTGAAGGGCTGGTTGTCGTTGTCGTCGTCACTGGGCGTATCGAAAGTCTGCGCTGGGATCTGGGGTGGTGTCGCTTAGCGAGTTGTGGTCTCCAGGGCTTGTGCCCTGGTCCCGTGATGTTCCGCCGTCTGAACGGCGCCCTTGTCACGTGAAGGGCTCTCGATCTTGTCTCGGATCCACTTTAGCCTCGGGTAGCTAAGCTCTGATTGGACTAGCGCCATACAACCTAGTTCTCTTTCTTCGATGGGTCGGTTTAACATTTAGATGGGGTGGTTTTGATACTCTACCCTTACCAACTCTCCTGATGCCGGTTGACGCAAATTCAATTTAAGTACAATGGATATATGACTATATGCACAATTCGGAAGGCGGGTATCTATAAGCATTGCGCGAGTCATGTGGCAAAATTGATGCGCATGTTGCCAAAAAGCTACTAAACCAGATCATCTTTCCCCATAAATGCAGCCATAGGGTCCTCCGCAGCAAGCCGGCTTCGTTTGTACGAGTCGAGCTCCTCCTCCGTAATTCCTGACTGCACCTCTATCAGGGTTCTCTTCTTCGTATTTGTGCTGGCCGACTCCTTTGGCTGCTCTGAGCCTGAGGGTTCTTGCGAGACGTGGCTGTCCTTCGCATCATCAGACCGCTCGATGTCGTTTTCACCCTCAGCTTCCGGTAACATCAAGATCTGATCGGCTTCCCGGAAAGCGCGTTTGCCGTCTTCGCCAGTGCAGTAACTGTTCTTCACAGTGGAGAAACAACAGGCGTATCCCCATTCGAAGTTGTGCCACCAACTTCCCCAGACGGAAGTATGGTTGTTGTTCAAGATATCTTCAGCGTACTTGGACTTGGCTGCCTTCTTAGGTGCGCCCTTGATAGCGCCAGTCTCGTCGTATTCGATGAATCTTTCGTTTTCAACCACCATTGTCTCTCGTAGCGGCGTTGGGTTCAAGTGCTCTTGACCACCATACTTCTCCAACAAAGCCTTGCGCTGAGCCTCACGCTTAGCCACCACCTCAGCCTCCTCCTTCTTGCGCATGACCTCTCCGGCTGTCGGATTCGCCTGCAAATGAATCTTCTGTGTCCCCTTCTCCTGAGACTCCCAAGCATACCGCTGTGCCTTCTCGAATTCGGCAGCGTCGCCGGAGGCCCGCACGAAGTTCTCCTCCGCAACCAGCGCAGCGGCCTGATCATCTTGAGCACCCATGTCCACCATACGTCGCGTCTTGGGATCATATTTCGCGGAGTCCAGATCAAGGTTCAGCAGATACTTGGCGGTGTCTTCACGGATACGTAAGTTGCGGGTCGAGGTGCTCTGTTGTCGGCCCATATCGGACTCCTCCGCATAGCGGGCTTCCTCCTCCGGCGCGTCCTCATCATCGAGCTCACCGTCCGTGATCTGCTTCTGCCCCTTTTCTCCTTCCTTGGTAAGCTTCTTCAGCTTCTCCAGTTCCTCATATTCCTGGACCACCTGGCGGTATTCGCTGGCATCATAACCATTCCACCGATCTCTCTTGGCGTCCCAACCCAAGTTCACATCCTGTACAACTTCGTCGGCCTGAATATCTTTACCAGTCCACCTAGCGCCGTGCTTCCGGGGTCGACTTAAACACTCTTTTGTTTTGTGGGTCATGGCGCCGCAGTTCTCACAGGCGCCTTTGCGGTACTTGGTGGCGGCGGGTCCCGCGCGTTTTCCGCGATCGTACCATTTCGACTGGTCTGTCGTTGTCTTCTGCAGACGTTGATGCTCGAGGTAGTCGTTGGCGGTATCGTCATCGTCAATGTAGAATGGTTTCTTCGAGATGAAAGAAGGGATGTACTCGTTGCGCTCCTTCGACGCCACATCGGCTGGTTTTCGGGACATGATGACGGTTCTTAGTGAGGCTGACCACCAAATGAAGGGAATACAAACTTCCGGTCCGCTACTGAACAAGTGACGGAGGAAGTGAGCCAGGGGGGGAAGTGGGAATGGTTGGTTGCGACAGAGAGGCGAGTTGGTCGGGGTCGATCTTCTGTCGAGTCTCGATGCCGCGGAATCCTTGGCAATGGCCGGGCTATCATCACGTGAGCTGATGTAGTTCCGCGCCACTGGGCGCGTCACTTCCATGGTAATTCTCAACACGTCCTGCTCGCAGCAGACACAGAACGCTTACAAAACGCGCATTAGCAGTGCGATTGGCGCAAAGATCTCAAACTACGATGATCTTCGTCGTCGCTTGATAACAATGTTGGTGACGGCTCTGTCCGTCTCGAATCCAAGCAATGGAGCCATTCCAAGTGCGCCTCAACTGCGTGGATCACTATCAAGCGGTCCCGTCGGACTTCGACCCTCCGCTGCCTTACAGGGATCCGGCTTCGGGCAAATATGATAAGTCGAAAGTCCCTATTATAAGGGTATTTGGTGCAACGGAGACTGGCCAGAAAGTATGCGTTCATGTACATGGCGCATACCCTTATCTCTATGTGGAGTATGAAGGCGACCTAGAAGAAGAGAAAGGTTCGTTCCATAGAGACCGGCCCCAGACATACGCTCGCGGCTAAGTGTTTGATAGTGAGTGCCGCCACCAGGCATCTTCAACTCGCCATCGACCGCGCTCTAGCAGTGAGTTATAACCGCAACGCTAACGACAATAAACTCGCCTTCGTCGCACATATCACCTTGGTCAAAGGAGTGCCTTTCTACGGCTACCACGTGGGCTACAAGTTCTACTTCAAGATTTACTTGACAAACCCAATCTACATGACTAGACTGGCAGACTTGCTGCTCCAGGGTCTGGTATTGAAACGGTCCGTCCAGCCGTACGAGAGTCACTTGCAATACATTCCTCAGTGGATGTGCGATTACAGTTTGTACGGATGCGCATATTTGATATGTCGTAACGTCAAGTTTCGCATGCCAGTGCCGGACTACCTCGAGCTCACTAACCTGTCTCACCGCTGGCATGATCGTTCCATCCGCCCTGAAGATTTGTCAGACCCGTCGGAGCTACCTAAGCAGAGCCACTGCCCCTTGGAAGCCGACATCTGCGTCCAGGACATCATGAACCGCTCTGACATCAGTGAAAGGTCCATCCATCACGACTTCACCGAATATTTGAAGCCGATGGCTTCGGATCAGCGACTCGTACCGAGTATGGCGGGCCTTTGGCAGGATGAAGAGCGCAGACGGAAGAAACGTCTCGGGCTCCAGCCAGGCAGTAGCCCCTTTGTTGCCGAGGAGCTAGTTTCCTTATCGGTCGATCCCAGGAATACCTCACAAGCGGGCTGGATTCATGAGGACGAGTACCGGGAGATGGCAATGCACACGATCAACGAGGAAAAGAGCCACTACGATGGCGGTGATGTTAGTCTCGATAATTTTCTAACAGAGAACCCCCTCGCAAAGAATGTAAAGACAGCGCTTCAGAGCGTCGAGGACTTCTATCCTGGCAAAGAAGAGCTCACCAGACTCGACTTTCGTAATGACAACGATTTACAGCCGCCAGAAGAGGCGGGTGCCAGTATCGATGAGGAGGTAGCTCCTCCTGCCGATCTAAATGAGCAGCCGTACATCTCGGAAGATGATAATAGTTCCAGCGTGTTTCTTGGCGACGCACACGACGAAGAAGAAGGAGATAATACAGCTGAAGAGCTTTGGGACGATGGCTTCTTTGATGTCACTTCTCGAAGCCTCTTTGATACTGAACCTGAATCTAGGGTATTTGATCCGTATGAAGATGGGGATGCTCAAGAAGACTTTCTTGATGCAGGATCAATTGACTTGTATGAACATACCGAATTAGAGCACGTTCATGCTATGGAGCCTGCCGAAGGACCCTCACATAGCGGCGCCCGAAGCATAAAGCGCTCATTAGATCAGACGCCCAACCATGAACGCTCGTACAAGCGTCAACGATTCTTCGAAGATGCTCTGTCGCAACAGTTGGAAAGTCCGACAAAGCAGGCCCTAAGGCGGCAAGCAGCTCAGCCTAAGACTGACAGTTCTGATGTTGAAGACATGTTGGATGAGCTATACGAATTCGTGGACCATCTGCCTTCACAGGAGGCATCATCACAGTCCACTGTCCGTCCCGCTAAAACGCAGAACAGGAGGATAAGCTTCCCTGTCGTCAAAGACCCCAACGACCCTATGACGGTACTACGATTTAGTCAAGATGGCAGCCTTTCGTCCAAAGAGCCAAGGGCATCTGACGAGGTCAATGCCATCGAGCTCAATGCCAAAGCTTCCACGGAGACGAGCTTCAACGGATTTTCATCACAATTGCAGTCATCGCAAATTCAGTCACCAGCTACTGAGACTAGGTCCGATTACGCAAATACCCTGGACTCGGGGATGGCGGAGAGTATCTACGACAACTTCAATATATCAAGGAATTCTCGTATTGGCTTGTGGCGGCGAGCCTGTCCTAGCTCTAGCGAAGTCTCCTCGGCCCTTACTCATTTTGGATATCCACCTGTCATCTATCAAAAAGCTCATTACAGCAATGAGAGCGATGTCCCCGACCGACCAAGGGACTACGCAGGCAGAGAATTCCGCTTGGGAGGAACTGGTATACATCATCTACCTGATTTTGATCCTCTAGGGCGCTCTACGGCAATGCTAGGCGAGGATCAAGCCGTGCCGAAGGACAAGCGCGCTCAGGAGAAAAGCGACCGACTGCTGCGCGAAACGTGCACGTTGAGAGAATGGGAATTCGCCCCTATGCCGCCCAGTCGCTCGGAGGTTATAGAGTGGTTTGAGCAAACCCAGGCAGAGGCCAAGAAAGACTCGGGGAAACCGCAGGCTCTACCAGTTCAACCGAATGTTATGTCTCAAATCGAAGGGCCCACGCAGAAGAACGTTTACGGGTTCAAATACTCGCAAAAAAGCAAATCCACCAGCGTGGAGCATCAGACGCAGTATATGAGTATGATGAGTCTTGAGGTGCATGTGAACACTCGCGGGGCGCTGGCGCCAAATCCCGAGGAAGATGAGATCAGTTGCGTTTTTTGGTGTTTGAACTCGGTTGATGAAGATGTTGACGCGAACGGTACCTTACCAGGTGTTCATGTTGGTATGATCTCTCAGGGCGAAGAAGACAGGCCGGATACGAAGCTTTCCAAGGCACTACGAGTTGAGTGGGATCATGAAATCTCCGAACTCGACTTGATCAATCGGGTCGTGGACATTGTCCGGTACCATGATCCAGACATAATCACTGGCTACGAGGTTCACAACAGCTCGTGGGGCTACATTATTGAGCGAGCCAGAAAGAAGTACGAGTTTGAGATTTGCGATGAATTGTCCCGCGTAATCTCACAAGCTCATGGAAGATTTGGCAAAGATGCTGATAAGTGGGGGTTCAACCACACGTCTTCGATTCGGGTCACTGGGCGACACATGATTAATATATGGCGAGCCATGAGGAGCGAGTTGAATCTCCTACAATACACCATGGAAAATGTTGCGTTCCACTTGCTGCATCGCCGCATTCCACACTATTCGTTCAGTGATCTGACAGCATGGTATCAGAGCGGCAAGCCGCGCGATTTGATGAAAGTGATCGACTACTTCCTCTCACGCGTTCAGATGGACCTGGAAATACTCGACTCCAATGAACTAATCGCTAGGACTAGCGAGCAAGCGCGATTGCTAGGCATTGATTTCTACTCTGTCTTCTCTCGAGGCTCGCAGTTCAAAGTCGAGTCTCTGATGTTCCGCATCGCAAAGGCCGAGAACTTCATGCTCGTGTCCCCCAGCAGAAAGCAAGTCGGTCAGCAGAATGCTCTTGAATGCTTGCCACTAGTCATGGAGCCACAGAGTGATTTCTACACAAGCCCTCTCATCGTGCTGGATTTCCAGTCATTGTATCCCAGCATCATGATCGCATACAATTACTGCTACTCCACGTTCCTGGGGCGGGCACGGCAGTGGCGAGGCCGCAACAAAATGGGATTCATGGACTACGAACGCCAGCCCCAGCTTCTCGAACTCCTCAAGGACAAGATCAACATCGCGCCCAACGGCATGATCTACGCCAAGCCCGAAGTGCGCAAGTCCCTTCTGGCGCGCATGCTCGCCGAGATTTTAGAGACGCGTGTCATGGTCAAGACGGGGATGAAAGCCGACAAGGACGACAAACCGCTGCAGCGACTGCTCAACAACCGGCAACTGGCTCTCAAACTCATCGCAAACGTCACGTACGGCTACACCTCGGCCTCGTTCTCGGGCCGCATGCCGTGCTCCGAGATCGCGGACAGCATCGTCCAATCCGGCCGCGAGACGCTCGAGAAGGCCATCGCCTTCATCCACTCGATCGAACGCTGGGGCGCGGAGGTCGTCTACGGCGACACGGACAGTCTTTTCGTGTACCTTAAGGGCCGCACGCGGGACCAAGCGTTCACGATCGGCGAGGAGATCGCGCAGGCAGTGACGAAGATCAACCCGCATCCCGTGAAGCTCAAGTTCGAGAAAGTCTATCACCCGTGCGTGCTGCTAGCGAAGAAGCGATACGTGGGGTTTAAGTACGAGCACCGCGAGCAGACGGAGCCCGACTTCGACGCCAAGGGCATCGAGACGGTGCGGCGCGACGGCACACCGGCGGAGCAGAAGATCGAGGAGAAGGCGCTGAAGCTGCTCTTCCGCACGGCGGACCTCAGCCAGGTGAAGGCCTACTTCCAGGCGCAGTGCACCAAGATCATGCAGGGCCGCGTGTCGGTGCAGGACTTCTGCTTCGCGCGCGAGGTCAAGCTCGGCACCTACAGCGACCGCGGGCTCCCGCCGCCCGGCGCCCTGCTCAGCGCCCGCCGCATGGCCGCCGACCCGCGCGCCGAGCCGCAGTACGGCGAGCGCGTCCCCTACGTCGTCGTCGCCGGTGCCCCCGGCAGCCGCCTGATCGACCGCTGCGTCGCCCCAGACACCCTCCTCCACGACGCCACCCTCGACCTCGACGCCGACTACTACATCACCAAGAACCTCATCCCGCCACTTGAGCGCATCTTCAACCTTGTCGGCGCCAACGTCCGCCAATGGTACGACGAGATGCCCAAGGTCCAGCGCATGCGCCGTCTCGTCGAGGGGCACCACCACAAGCCAGGCAATACCACCAACACTACCACCATCACCAACCGAACCGGCCTGCGCAAAACCCTGGAATCCTACCTCAAGTCCTCCGTCTGCATGGTCTGTAAATCCCGGCTCGACGACCACCCTGAGGCGGCAGCGAGCGGCGCTTCCTCCGCCCCGCTCTGCGCTGAGTGTCTACGCCACCCGCACCTGCCCCTATTCGACCTGGTCTCGCGCCAGCGCCAGGCCGAGAAGAAGGTGGCTGAGCTGGAGCGCATCTGCCGGTCTTGCATGGGCGTCGCGTTCGGCGAGGAGGTGCGCTGCGACAGCAAGGATTGTCCTGTGTTCTACTCGCGGACCAGGGCCGTCGCCAGTTGGCGGCATACGAAGGCGGCATTGGATCCTGTTATTCGCTTGCTTCAGGATACTACTATCTCCGGGGAGAGCGCGTTGGATTGGTAGTTACCTTTTTCTTTTTCTCTCTTTTTCTTTTTCTTGGGTGAGGGGGTGGGGGTCTTGGGGGTTTTGCTACTTGGGTAGGGGTCCTGGAATTGGTTGATCGGGGCTTGGTTACTGGACCTATGGATGGGAGTTCAGTTTCATTTGGATGTTGTCATAGGAGCTTCGGTTCACTGGGCTTGGGGTAGCTACTGTATCATAGACCACTTAATCATCTATTGTGAAAAGAGTGTAGACTCCCGGTAAGATCGATGTTTAAGCTTTCTGTATTTCGATTAATTGTCACCTACCTGGGACTCATTAGATCCTTGAAAAGATAATGCGAAAGAGACAGAGAGATGAAAAACACGTGAAGACCCCATACTTCAACCCCGCCCTCTGAAAGCTTTGTGCAAAAGAATTAGTAAAGACAAGGAAGACAAGGAAGCAATAAAGGAGACGCTCTCAATTTGGTATGGAAACATACGAAGAGGACAATTCCTAGAAACTGACATCCGGAGCAGGGGGGCACTAAGTGGGCAAAATCAACTCATGCGCGACACTAATTATCAGGAAAAGACCCGGCCGGCAATGCGCCTCTATAGCCCGAGCAGTTCGGTCAGTCGGTCGAATGCGGTGGGCTCTAATTCATCTTCGTCAACTAGGTTAAGACATTCGGGTTCAGCGGTGGGAATAGCCTTCGCTTCTTCAATTGGCTTGCTGTTCTCGTTACCCGGATGCACTTCGTTTGCATCGACGTCGAGGAGACTGGCCGACAAGCCCGAAGCTTGTGTTGGAGGGGGGGCATGGTGTTTAGGAGTGTTCGAGAGGCCGAAATCGAGGAGTTCTTCCAGTGACTGGATCCTTTCTTGATGGTGTTGAACGACATTGGTGGTCTGAATAGGACAGGAAGCACTGACAATTGTCTCGCCTTCGAACAGGCCGAAGGGGTCTTCAAGCACCTCTGGGGCGCTTTCTTTTGCCTGGGAAACATTGACAGAGGCAGAGGTAGCTGGTTCTTCCTTTTCAGCGTCGATGTCTTCAGGTTCCTCGTACATACCCCTGGCAATTTTGCCGAGAATGTGAGGCAATATCCATGGGAAGCTGACCAGCGGCCATTGGCTCATGTCGGGCTGCTTCTTTTTCGAGGGTGCCTCGCCGTTCGAAGGATGGTCTTCACGGTGCGCCTCTAACGCAGCGGTCATTTCTTGATGTGTGACGCGATACATTGCGAGTGCCAACGGTGCTAGCTGCTCGAAGTTGCGGCCACCAACTTCGATATAGCACCTTTTCTTGAAGCTTTCTAGATGCGCCATGGTTATCGACCCGATCTCCTCATGGAACTTGTAGTCCTTGCTCATGTTCGCATGGTTGAGAACAAATGTAGACCAGACTTCGAATTCTGTCTTGATCTCATGCTGGGCCATGATGCGACGGGTCGCCGCATCGTATTCGACCTTGAGGTCTTCGGCAAATTGATACAGCTCCTTACTCACCTGCAATTTACAGTCAAGGATTCGCTTGTCGAATGGCATCCCAAGACTGGGTATGAAGTCGACACGCTCCACGGCGTCATACAGCTGACCCAAGATTTTCCGAGAGGAATAGATCTTGTCAGCCGTCTTGCCCTTCTTCTCCATAAAATGCGGCCACAAATGAGGCTGGAGATTTCGGGTCATGTTTGCGGGAATTCCGGTCTTATTGTAGTCAACTGCGTCTGAATGAAGCTGCGCCAGCCGCATACATTTGTCTTCATTGACCCCATTTTCCAGGCGATCAGCCCATGCAAGATGTGCATGTGCGATCATTGGAAGACAATCGTATTTCATGTAAGTCACAAAGAAAGATGTGATCTCATCAACGGTTACATCGTGATCCAAGTCTGGAGCCTTTTTGCTTGTATACTTCATAGGCTGTCGAAACCAATCTTGAGGCAGTAGATCCTGATCCCAGATGACGAGATAGTCATCTCCATCGAGATCGCCACCGGAGCACATACTGGCGATATCTTGGTCACCAGTCTGGGGCAAGACAACCACATCATGAAGACTGTGCAACTGCGGAACGTTAACAGCTCTCACCACACGGATGTCGCCCGGGTGAAGAGACGGATTCCGAGCCAAAATGCATACGCCCTCGACAATGGTGTATTTCTTTCCATCCTCGGCGCCTTCGGCCTCCGGGCGAGAAATTTGCACGAAGATTTCTGGTAGCGCTGCAAGCTGTTCCTCGAGTGGAGCATCTTCCTTAGGAATATTTTGGCAGAAGTGTCCTTTGAGTATGCCAGTCTCATCCATACACCCGAGAAGATTTGCGCCTCTGTCAATGAAAATCTTTGCCTTCTCTTTGAGATACTTTAGGTGCCAAGCTCTCCATAAGGCCATCACAGATGTCAGGAATGGTTCCCGAGTCTTCATGAACCCATCGGAAATCATTTCACTAATTGTGAGCGTCTTCTGGTTCGGATCGACGTATCTCCGGAGTATTGAGACCGCCCGGGAATCGCTTTCCATGGCTTGGTCTAGATCCTGAAGCATGTCTTGCAATTTTTCGTGAAAGACACTATCGGATATACCCAGGGTAGACAAGACAATGATTAGTTGTCTGTTGAGCGTGGCAATACTGAATTGGGACCAACGAATGATCTCCAAGTTGTTGTGGATAGCCGAAAATTTGTATTGGCTTTTTCTGATATGGACTTCCTGGGGTAGAGCCTCGGAGGACACAACCAGCATGCCCTTGCATCCTCCGAGGCGAAATTGATATGCAGAAGGAGGGTCACCAGACGGTGTCTTGATTTTCAACTCCGTCATCGCCATCTGTGCGAGAAACCGTGATATCCTCCCGACGCCATCAGAGAAGACATAGCCATTACGCTCCACGTCATCGATCTTTCGTATCTGCACTGGGCAACCGGCTATGGCTCTGGTGGTCGAGAAGCATTGCCCTAGCCGTGCTGCGTGCTTGGCGACATTGCGGATATGGCTAAAGTGGCCCATCCACGCGCGGATGTTGGCAGTTGTGAGCCCCGGCAGCGGTGCGAAGAAGTAGGCGCCATGCTCACGAAACTGCGAGTTCCCAAATGCAAGAAACTCATAGCGCCTATCTCCAATGACTATACCATTTGCTAGTGCTCGCTTGATGCGGGTAAAGATCTCGTTTCTTGTATTATCCATGGTCGAATTGATACGGCCCAGAAACTTCTCATCCGTGAACCTAACACGAAGGAATCGATCTGCGTGCTCCATGTAACGTCGAATGATTCTATTAGAGATGTCCACGGTGGGTGAATTGAAGTAAATGGTGGTTGGAGTAATCCTGGCCGAGCGCATATAACAGCAGTAGGATGGTATCTTCGCGTTCGTTACTCCCTTGATGAATTTAAGATCGAAAATCTTCAGAGGATTGTAGTAACGCTTCTTTTGGGTTGCCACATGCTCCAAGAGCTTCTTGGCCCTGGACTCCTCAAGTTCAGCTAGCCTTGTTGCAAATTCACGGGTCATACTGAATTCCGAGAGAAATCCGTTCGAAATGCAGACCTCCAATTGGTATCGGACGGAGAAAGGAAGGTGAACATAATTAGATTCGGACAGAATCTCCAATGAGGAGGATGAACTCTTGGAAGCCTGGCTCTCCGAAGACGCCTGGGCATCTGTCAGGTCGATCCACTTCCAGACGGGGGGAATCCGCTCCTTGCCATCCTCGCACTGAGTTTCATAACTGCTCTCCTTGACTTCGACATTGTAGTCCCTAAGTATCTCACAAAAGAGCTTGAATTGTCCCAGTTTCTCGGCATGTTCTTTGAAGTTGAACTTAAAAGCCGTCCAACGGCCTTCACAGCGGTAATGACGGGTGGCCGATTAGTATGAACATAGGAAGGAGACCTCAAGTAAGAGAAATAATTTTCAAAACACGTACCTAAGTCGATGACGGAATGCTGTCTTTTTAAGCTGATCGGAAGACCAGACAGCCTTCGCGGCTCGTGGACGATCTGGGTTTGCCTATACCATGTGTCCGCATCTCTCCAGTGATTTTCTTCCAGGAAGGTCGATTTGATATCATCAATGCGTCGTTGATAAATCGGAGGGGAGTCAAGAACAGCCAAAAGCGAGATTGACTGTGTGCCGGGATTTTGCATTTGCGACATTCCGCTCAATTGGACAAACGGGATTCGGATCCGGTAGCTCTTGTAGGTGTCACGCACGGAGGGCCTTTTATTTGTGGAGTCGAAGATCTGGATCTGAAATTGAACGAACATAGCTCTAAGTCTCATATCAAGGATTATGCAAAAGCCACCACCGGGCGGGTCCTCGATTGTACGCATTGGCAACAAGATGTGTTCATCGATCATAACACCGATGTCCAGGGAAGCGAGCGGAACTTTCTGTCGCGCAGGGGTAGGTCGTTAGATTCTGTCATCTGGAGAGAAAGAAGCGTATCATCGAGGCAGCTTACCAACTCTATCGAGAAATGCACGCTCGGCCGAACTGGGCTGGGAATACGATCGTTAGGTGAGTTGAGATCAGGCGTGACATTAATGGTGGACGATCGGCCATCTGGTAGCTGAATGGTGTAGGTTTTTTGGTTCCAGAAGTCCTTGTTGGGAGGCGGCCTGGTACACGCTGGATGAGAGTCAAATCATTGTGAAGTGTGAACGATGAAGCATTACCTGAAGCGTATCTTTCCCCGCGAATTTCGTTTTCCCTGGAAGTTCTCGAAGAGATCGATCGAGAAGATCCGTCCTTCTTTGATGAAGGATCTCCAGATACAATCTGCATCGGCTCCATCTGGAACATTGGAGAGGCTGATGGCTAGAGAATCAAATGACTTCCATGGCGGCAGGACATTATCTATCGGCGGTCTCCGCGAGGGCCCAGTTGGGGCTTGAAGCGCGCCTCTCTTGTTCTCCTGAATAACTCTCCTGCCTCGTTTGTTCATCTTGTTCTTGGAGGGGAAAGAGCGACGTGGGCCTGATGGAGCATGACAGAGAGAAGGATGAGGGGAATGGAGAGGGGAAGAGAGGGAGGAATCAGAGGAAGATGAGGGACAGTGAAGCAGGGGAGAATTGGAAGATGAGGCGGAGGAATAGGCTGAGTGAGGGGGAGATGATTCCCTTCTCACGCTTCCTGTTCCTCCGCAGTGAAGGAAGGCACGGCAGCCTTCTGATGTAAAACGAGAATGATTCAATGCGCACGACGGTGAAGGACAAGGCGCACTTTTGCCCACTGGGCTCAAAGATGGTGTTGGAATTGCCATCCTGTCGTCGTCGGCCGATTTGGAATCACCTGACAGCTGGAGTTTACTCTACTCTGTCTCAGATAGCAAGATGGGAAAGGAGGAGTCTGAGACCTTATATTCTTTTCTTCCGGTGAAGCTCTTTATGACCTCTTCCTTTCGAACTGTCATGCAGGTACCCAGATATTGAGAAATCAGTTGTGAATTCTCATTGAAGGCTAGGCCGGTACATTGCAGGCTGAATTCTGCGTTTACCCAATCCCTGAGGCCAAGGATCAGGCGTCCGAGACGTTCCGTTTGTATGGGACATGAATCTGGGTTAGGAGGATGTCAAGAGTTAGGATACAAGGTCCAGGCAGCCCCTCGCGTAGAAAGTCACAGCTGGCATTGGTTATCAGGCATAGAAACCGTTCAATCTGCTATACAAAAAGAATTGGGGAAAATCTGGTAGGGCAAGTCTCGCTATCAATAACCTCATTCAGAAATACTGATGCCCAAGGAGAGATCGGCGCCATTATGTCTCAAACGGTGGCGCATGGTCGTTTGAGTTGGACAGAGAGGTGCTCGTAAACAGAAAGTCCTTGGAGAACTCCAAATCCATGTCCAGGTCAATATGCTGTAAGTGATTCTCATTCAGCATTCCTCGAGATTGGCTCCTTTCGACCGATTCTCTCGAACTGTGATGCGATTTAGTGCTTTTCTGGGAGGAAGGCTGGCTGTTGAGGTTGGCATCACCGAGAGGCGTTCTGTTGCTCTGTCTGGGAGACGACGGGGGATGGCGGCCGCCCGCATCTGCCAGCTGACCGCCATTTACAGTACGAGGTGATGACAGGTCAGCGTCAGGAAATGCTCTGTCCAGACTTCTCTTCTGACTACGCTTCTCAGAGGAGAACGTGTCGCTCTCGAAACTTGCTCCTGAATGATTTTCAGGCTGAGTTTGGAAGTCCTCCTCCTCCGCTGCCGCCGCCTCTTTTTCGTCGTGCTGTGTTTGCTGCGGCCTTACGACGGGCTCAGTAGATCCTCCTCTAGGTCTAGCCCGGCGGTGTCTGTTCGGTGTCTTCGAAATCTCCGGCTCAGCTTTGAAACCCATGATATTCATGAGCCGACCGATGTGTTGCTGAGCCTCGGAAAACTCCCGAGCCTTTGCTGCTCGCTCATCTTTGAGCTTTCGCATCTATCGTTTAAAATTCGAATGTTAGCACCAAAATCCGACCGAACCGAATCAGAAGGGCCATTGTTATTGCTTGTCACTGAGCGTGTATCGTACCTTTGTTTCCAAGTACTCAATGCGCTTGCTCTTCTCTTTGGCTTCCGTAGTAGCGACTATGGCGGCTTTGTCTTTAGCAACACACATACGAGAATATCTCTCTTTCCATTTATCGTTCTTCGATGAGTCAGAAAATGTTCAGTGCCTGCATTGTGAAGAGCGTCATACCTCTATGTTCGCCTTCCGAATTCGCTCTTCCAGTGAGCCTCGTTCTTTGCGGTGGTCTTCAGCCGCCAACTGGAATGCCGCTTCTAGCTTATCGAACTCGACACTTTGTTCGTGTAGCTGTGCGGTGTCAGTATTGAGCTGAAGGTAGCATTAGAACAATCAAAGCTCACCTTTTCTTGCTGTATTTTCGCGTCCTTATCATTATTCTCTTTCTCATGCAGTATCCGTTTGGCTTCCTCTTCTTTCTCAGTCACCAGCGTCTGCCAATGCTGCAGGCTTTCTCCGAGCCTTGTGACTTCTTGTTCCAAGGAAGTAATATGTTCCAAGCATGTAGCTTTGTCTTTGGAGACCTCATCAATTATATTTTGCAGATCATCATTTGCTTTCCGTTGCTCGGCGACTTCTTCCTGCAACGCTTCCAATTGATCATCTTTCTCGGTGATAGAAGCCACCAGGTCCAACTCCCTGGATCTGGCGTGTTCGCGTTCGGATGTGACAGTCTCTTGAGATTCGCGCCGATGATTCGCCATTTCCTTCTGCAAGGCGTTCAAGTTCGCTGTCAGCTCTTCAGCACGTATGGTGGCAGCCTCTGACCGATGCTCCAGGCGAAAGATTTCCTGGTGTAGGTCTTCGATAGTGCTAGAGGACTTTTGCAGTTGCAATTGTAGCTCATCATTCTGTGCTCGCAGGCTTTCCACTTCCGCAGAGTATTCGTTACGCTCTTTTTCAGCTGCTCTTAGGGGGGCTTCAACATTGCCACAGCGCTGTTCGAGATCATAGCAGATGTCTTCGATTTTGCGTACCATGTTGTCTTGAGCTGTTCTTGCATTCAGCATCAATGTTTCTGCTATTGCCTCCCTCCAGTCGGACCTCGAACTTGGCAGATCTTCGTGTGATCGGATTGGCGAAATTATTTTGGCGCAATCGGTGCGCTTGGTCTCTGAGAAAGAGCATCTGCTCGTGCACACGAATTGCTTGGACTTCTTGATGAATGTCCTCAGAGCGTCAAGTGCGGCAGGACTCGGCCCGTTGGCATTCGACTTATGGGAAAGCGATGCGTACAAATAACAAGCAAACAATTCACAAACTAGCTCGTTCTGCGATTGCGAGTGTGTATTGTAGCAAACGCTGGAGCCATGGCATTGTGACGAGGATGCAGTGTATGGATAGTTTTCAAGAAGTTGGGCCATCGGTTTGCTACATTGGTGCAGAATCGTTTCCGAGATGCACGTGCTGAATAGTTCAGTGTCTGTGTCTTGTAGCCCTGCGACTAATGCCCTTGCTATCACTAGGCTTTGCAAGTTTGACGGATCGGTCGGATGTGAAAGCTGCAGCGTAGAAAGAGCATAGTCAAGGATGCCCCGTACTGCGGACTCCCTCGAACAGGCCTAAGTGGTATTAGCTTGCCTTCTGTCTGGAGCTATAACTTACTTACGACATTAGCAACTGCTATTCGTTGCATGTATTGTACGGGAAGCACATCCAACACAAAATAATTGGTCTTGGAAAAAATCCAATCAAGAGCAAGTTGGGGTATTTCGGATGATAGTGCTGCAGTTGGAAGAATTGAAACCAGGAATGTAGCACCCTGTCAAGGCTGTTAGACTTTTTCAAGTCTTCCTTTGAAGAAGTGCCAACCTACCAGGTTTTGCACGTCACGATCAATGCCATTCCTTGTGACTTTCTCTCGCAACTTGGCGATCTTGGACGGGTTTGCTGCAATCCATGCTTCTCTTTGCTCGGGCTCAACCCTGTCACAAATCTCAATGGCTAGACATATGCTTTCAGCAGCCTGAGCTGGCGTCAATTCACTGCATGAATCAGAGCAAGCAAGGATCACTCGCAGCACTACAAGATCCATTGTTTTCAGCCCGCGCTTGGGCCCAAAGAAATTATTGACACTTTGCAACCACAACGGAGAATATGACCGAGCCTCTTGTTTTGATAAGCTTCCCTGCAGTGATGCAAGGTTGGCAAATGTGGCGAGGCAAAGAAGATTGCCCATGTGGTCACTCAGATTGCGTAATGTTTTCGTGAGCTCCACCTGGATCCTAGACATGATCTCCTCAGGGATCTCAAGTAGGATCCTCGGAGAAGTTCGTAGGCCGGTTGAGATACGGTGCAAGGGCAGAATAGTCTCTGAGCACGGGTTCTCTGACAGTTTGTGGATCACCGTTGAGATGAAAGACGTCAAGCGCGCTGGAATAAGGAAATCCGCTGGCAGTGGGGATGAGAGAATTGCAATGCACATGGAATCATACTGCAACTATCAGCCTTTGACACTTCTACATGCTGCTTGGCTTTGAGCATAGCAGATGGCCGGAAGGTTCAAATAAGAGGTAATTCAAGCTGGAGACACCAACCTCCGTGGTAGAGTTTTCAAGGAACTGATCTAGAAGATGCGCGTGTCGCTGGAGCAGAGTGTCGCGAACAGGGGTCACAGACGCTGCAAGTCATCAGGATCTATCATCCTTGGAATTTACCCAATTGGAAAAACTCACCGAAGGCACTCAGCAACGGCAGAGCAAAGCGGGATCGTGATAAACCATCAACAAGAATGTCCACTAAAGCCCCGATTTGACAGGGTTTGCAAAACGCCCAACACCTGATGGATGCCGGTGGTGCATCCTGGACCAAGCCATAGAGATCCTAGATACTCAATACAGATCAGTGTCTGCTCCGCATCGGTATAGACTAGCAACGTGGAGCCGGGAGGGGTTTACCTGTAGCGAAGGTGCATATGGGGCCGTGACAAGGCGCTCCACTTCGCGTTTAAGCTGAGTATCGATTTGGTCAGTCATGGCTAACAAGACTGGCACCTGAACGGTGTCTTCCGCGTCGAGAGTCGAGTTGCGACCCTATTGTCCTGGTGCAGCAACACGGCTAACTATCGTCCATTGTGGTCAAGTGGTGGGGAAGAAAAGATGAGATGTTGCCGGTTGCCCCGACGATAAGGCGGACCGTTTCCGCCTGGCAGTCCACATACATTTCGCATCCATCTCTTAGTAGACCTTAAAACAGCACGTCCTTGATGCTCTCAAAAAGAGGGGGGAGGGGGAAAGGCGAACATGATGTAAAAGATTGCCTTAGCATGTTGTCATTTTCGATCTTCTGGACAAGGGTTCCATGTGTTGATCATGTTTGTGTTTGACCGAACCACGCCTTGGCAGGGGACAGCAGTCGGAATTCTGGCCGAAGTCTATCGACTTCTCCGAATCTCCGATACCAACAACAGCATTGAGGAGATTAGGACAAGCGTGGGGGTTTTGCAGTCAAAGAACGGGGTGATGATAACACCTACATCTCACTTCTCGACTCCGCGCTTTGTCATCTGCCCTCGGTTCTCCTTATCTCGGTACTTGTGTTACTCTCGGCCGAATTCCGATCATTGAGAATCCTCATTATTAGCTCCGATGGCGTTTAACCGGGCTTGCTCGCAGATGCACGAAGCTAGGGCACATCGAAGGAAACCTGTTTTCTTCACAAAGTCCACCTTCCTTCCTGCGCCTGAATCCTTGGAATACATATCGACAGTCTATCAACTGGAATATCGTCCCAGTCTACCGTCAGTCTCAAATCCAGACAATGCGGGTGCTCGTTCAATTGCCTCGGGCTTTCCCCGCATCTCCCCGCATAGGCGTGGCCCGTTGCCGCTTCGGCTCTGCTCATCGACTACTTCTTTCACAATACAGAACCGTCCGGTTGAACAGCACAAGATTGGAAGACCAAGTCGAGAGCGCTTCAAATTCTGGTGACACAGGATCCTCAAGCGGCAAATCTTCAAGCTTTGGGTCATTTAGCAGCACTGTTCTATTCTCCGCATTGGCCGCTGGGGCCGGCTACGCATATGCTGTCACCACGAATCAGTCTGAATCAGGAAAATCAAATCAGCCGCAGTACGGAACAGCCAAAGACTTTGAAAAGGTAAGTACCCAATTGACGACCTTTCACATTGTACGCTGCACGTCGGACTCCTCATCTGATCGAGTGCGCAAAACTAGGCCATCGCAGAATTGCGAGCCTCACTCGGCGATGACGCCCTCAGCACCGACGAAGGCGATCTTCAAGTCCACGGGTTCTCGGAATGGTCCAGCATCAATGCAGACCGTCTGCCTGTCGCAATCGCATACCCGAATAGCACCGAGGATGTCTCGAAGATCGCCAAAATATGCCATAAATACCGGATGCCAATGGTTCCATATTCTGGAGGGTCAAGTCTTGAGGCCAACTTCTCTGCTCCTCACGGAGGCTTGACAATTGACTTCGCTTCAATGAACAGGATCCTCGAGTTGCATGAAGCCGACATGGATGTTGTGGTCCAACCGTCCATCCAATGGATGGATCTGAACGAAAATATCAAGGACAGTGGTCTCTTCTTCCCTGTAGATCCCGGTCCATCTGCGATGATTGGCGGTATGGTTGGTACGAACTGCAGCGGAACAAATGCTATGAGGTATGGAACTATGAAGGACTGGGTCATAAACCTTACAGTTGTCCTAGCAGACGGTCGGATCATCAAGACACGCCGTCGTCCACGCAAGACTTCAGCAGGCTATAACTTGACTGGCATGTTTGTAGGTTCTGAAGGCACTCTCGGTATTGTGACTGAGGCCACGCTCAAATTAGCGCCCATTCCAGAGCAGACGCGGGTAGGCGTTGTGACCTTCCCGACAGTGCGCGATGCTGCATCCACTGCCATGCAGCTGATTCGACAAGGCATCCAGGTACAGTGCATGGAAATTCTGGATGAGGTCCAGATGGATGTCATCAACCGCGCCGGTGGGACCGGGCGCACATGGAAGACCTCGCCCACTCTCTTCTTCAAATTCTCGGGCACCAAAGCAGGTGTTGCTGATAGCATCAATTTGACCAGTAAGCTAGCAAAGAGAAACAAAGCCGACTCCTTCGAATTCGCGCGGGACGAGCGCGAGGCTCATGACCTGTGGTCCGCGCGGAAGCAATCGCTATGGAGTATGCTGTCTCTGAGGGAGAAGGGATCAGAAGTATGGTCTACAGACGTTTCGGTGCCGATCTCGAGACTGCCAGATATAATCGGTAAGATGGCTCATACAGCTACCTTTGAGTTTCTCTGACTTGTATACCAGAGATCTCCAAAAAGGAACTAGACAACCTTGGGCTGTTTGCTAGCATTTTGGGCCACATCGGGGATGGCAACTTCCACGCAAGTATCATGTACGATCGCAGCGACCCGAAGGAGTTGGAGCGGGTTGAGGAGGTCGTGTACGACATGGTAGATCGGGCTCTGGAGATGGAGGGTTCATGCACCGTACGATATATGCCCCTGGTACCTGTCCGAAGGACATGTAGCTGACTTTTGAATAGGGCGAGCATGGTGTTGGTCTGGGCAAGAAGGGTTCTTTGGTGAAGGAGCTGGGTCCGGACACGATAGATGTCATGCGCTCTATCAAACAATCACTTGATCCCCACTGGTTGCTCAATCCAGGGAAGATCTTCGATTTTGAACGAAAAGCATAAATGCGCTTGGACCAACACATATACGCAGTCAGGAGAAGCCTCTTCATTAAGAAATTGCGAGATAAATAAACGCTGAGGGTCGAGATGTACCCATAAAAGGAACTAGTTAGACAAATCAATTAACTATCACGAGCACTGGGCGGACTATCACGAATATAAAGTAGAAACAACATATATATTCTTCATGACCCGGGGTTTCTTCGTCATCGACCGAGTCTAGTAAGAAATCCCCAGGAACCAAAATGTTACCCAATGACAGTGGAGGAAATTTAACTACGACACTCAATTAACTAAGCCGGGCTGACTCACCGCGGGGCAAACGGCTCCGGAGCGATATCGCAGTGTTCCGCCTCAGCGCCACCATTTCTCTTTCTTACGTCCCTACTCAAGTGCCGGAGGTGAGTATCCATTGCGTTTTCTGGTCAATTGCTATGAGGCAGTGGATTTGTCTGGTCTATTGTCGCTAGCCATGCAAAATCAACATCATGATTGAGTTATAGGCAGAGTACCTGAGCGGGGAACTGTTCTTGCCTCGATTCATGGGGGCGATTGGCAGCGAGCTTATTCGACTTCAGACATTTCCTGCTGAATTTTCTGCTATTATGATCAATCATATTCCGCCTCAGTCAACAAATCCGAGTAAACTAACTAGTCATACCAGGTTTGACAGTCTCGACTCACATTCAAAATGGTATCATATCCTAAGAAGAAGTGCGGTAAGAAGACCTTGGACAGGATCATACTTGAGGAGCTCGACACTGATACAGCGCAGGTGTTCTTGGAGCCACTGGCTCCGTTGGCCAACGCTTCATCCTCCTGCTTGCGGATCACCCTTTCTTGGAACTTCATGCCGTCGGTGCTTCGGAGCGCTCCGCTGGAAAGGCCTACAAGGATGCCGTGAGATGGAAGCAGACTACGGCTATGTCCGAGAAGCTTAGCAACCTCGTTCTTCGTGATTGCAAGGCTGACCAGTTCGCTGACTGTGATCTGGTCTTCTCCGGATTGAACAGTGACGTTGCGGGCGACCTTGGTAAGCAGCTATCTGCCTTATATCCTTCAGATGCCACTAACCAAGCATGCAACAGAAATGGAATTCATCAAGGCCGAGATCCCCGTATTTTCCAATGCGAAGAACTACCGCAAGCACCCTCTTGTCCCTCTCATTGTCCCTACCGTCAACCCTCACCACTTCGATCTCATCCCTCACCAAAGAAAGCAGTTCGGTCTGAAGAAGGGTTTCCTGGTCTGCAACTCCAACTGCGCCGTCATTGGCATCGTCATTCCGTTCGCCGCACTCCAGGCCAAGTTCGGACCTGTTGTCGAGGTGGAAGTGTTCACCGAGCAAGCTCTGTCCGGAGCCGGTTACCCCGGTGTCCCCAGCATGGACATTCTGGACAATGTCATTCCATTCATCAGCGGCGAGGAGGACAAGCTTGAGAACGAGGCCCAGAAGATTCTCGGCTCTCTGAACGCCGATGCCACTGGCTTTGAAGAGCAGGCCGGCCTCAGAGTGGGCGCGACTTGCACTCGCGTTGGAGTCACCGACGGTCACATGGCGTTTGTCTCCCTGCGCTTCAAGAACCGCCCAGCGCCCAGCGCAGAGCAGGTTGTTCAGGCGATGAGAGAATACCAGTCCGAGGCGCAGAAGCTGGGTGCCCCTTCGGCTCCTGCCGAGGCTATCAAAGTCTTCGACGAGCCCGATCGGCCGCAGCCCAGACTCGACCGTGACATCCACAAGGGATACACCGTCAGTGTTGGACGAGTTCGCGAGGGCCAGGAAGGTGGCTACTTCGATATTCGGTTTGCTGCCTTGTCGCACAACACCGTTCTCGGCGCTGCAGGATCCTCTATCCTCAACGCCGAGGTTGCTGTTATCAAGGGCTACATCTAGGCACTCCCGGTATTAGAATGTATATAGAGACTTGGGCTAGCGTGTTTCATTTGTAAAGAGCTTGACAATTTAGATAGCCTGGGCTTAGCGGCGAAAGCGTTATGGTGGCACGTGAACGATACCCACACCAATTGCTTACGTAACAAAAGAGACAAAGCTCTGTAGGGACGCTTTGGGCTTAGCGTGATGGAAACTCAATTTGAGCTGGGCTTAGGGCTCAAACCCACCAGCACCGGACGCTAAGCGAAATTTGAGGGCGGCCCTGGATATCAGCCGCTGAAGTCCCTGCTCGACCGTCTTCTCTCTTTCGCGACACTTCGACAACTTAACCGGTTCAAGTCGACAAAGCAGCCAAGATGCCTCGCGGACCGTAAGTTCTGGTCTCGTCAGCAGTTTTGTGCCCATTGCGCGTGTGCGACCATGTCTGGAGAAATCTTTGACAGAATCCTTCGGGGCCGCACGAGCAGATGGGTGCAAAGATAGTATGAAATGAGAATGGAAGAGCTGACCTGAATGCCTTCGCAGTAAGAAGCACCAGAAGCGCCTTAGCGCGCCTTCGCACTGGCTCCTGGACAAGATGTCCGGAACCTATGCCCCCAAGGCCTCCCCCGGTCCCCACAAGCTCCGTGACTGCCTGCCCCTGATCGTCTTCATCCGCAACCGGTACGAGCCCTCGATCGACACGACGCGTTGATACAACCACCCCGTCCAAACGAGCAGCGGCTAACAGCGAATATAGTCTCAAGTACGCCTTGAACGGCCGCGAGACCAAGGCCATCATGATGCAGCGTCTGATCAAGGTCGACGGCAAGGTCCGCACCGACCCTACCTACCCCGCTGGCTTCATGGACGTCATCGGCATCGAGAAGACCGGCGAGAACTTCCGCCTGATCTACGACACCAAGGGTCGCTTCACCGTCCACCGCATCCAGGCTGAGGAGGCTGAGTACAAGCTCTGCAAGGTTAAGCGTGTTCAGCTTGGCAAGGGCGGGATCCCATTCTTGGTTACGCACGATGCGAGAACGTGAGTGCATACTCTCTACAAGTTCCGTGTCATTCAGTCGTTGGACCAAGCTTTGGTTGATCGGCGGAGGACGAAAGAACCGGAACGACGGTTCTTTACGGGAACATTCGTAAGGAACCACCACATGGAACAACCGTGCTAACAAGGCTTTTTGCAGCATCCGCTACCCCGACCCCGCCATCAAGGTCAACGACACCGTCAAGGTTGACATCACCACTGGCAAGATCGCTGACTTCGTCCGCTTCGATACCGGTGTTGTCTGCATGGTTACCGGTGGTCGTAACATGGGTCGTGTTGGTGTCGTCACCCACCGTGAGCGTCACGACGGAGGTTTCAACATCGTCCACATCAAGGACGCCATTGACAACTCTTTCGCTACCCGCGAGTCCAACGTCTTCGTCATCGGCCAGGACAAGCCCTGGATCTCCCTCCCCAAGGGCAAGGGTGTCAAGGTACGTTAGCTTCTACATATCCATATGGGAGAAATTTCTGAGACTAACCACGCTTGCAGCTCTCCATCGCTGAGGAGCGTGACCGCCGCCGTGCTTATGCCATTGCCAACTAGACGTAGTCTGGTAAGTGCCGTAGGTTGCAGCAAATTAAAAAGCTTTGAAAAATTCCGCTGGGGAGACGCCGTCTTGTCTTGCTTTGTGGGCCTGTATGACGCCGGTTACGATAATATGAAGCGTTATTCAGAATCAAAAAAAGAGAAAGTTCTGTCTACGGGATTTTTCATTGGGAGTGTCCACTTCTATCATGCTGTAAACTTGTACCATAATCATAAAGCAGGGATCTCTTCTCGGGGCCGATTGTTTTAGCCTCGTAGCGTGAGGTTGTGTTCGATGCATAACCATCGTAGCGTCGTGTTCGTCCAAGAGCACCGTCATACCTGCCGTTCTGACCCGACCCAAAGTCCCGGCCTAGATAGGCAACTCCTCGGTCAATCATCCTGGATCCATCATTGATCATGGATATGATATGATCCATCCATCAGTCCCTTGCTGGACATGCGGCCCCATTCCCAAGGATGTCCACTCATCCGCCGGCCCGTCCCCTTCTGACTAGCGTACTGGGCTGTAATCGCAGTCTCCTCTTTTGAGACATCTCTTTCCATTCCATCCATCCATGCCCGCTCCAGCAGGACCCGTCCAATGCATGGCTTGAGCTGAGGAAGTTTGGATGCCTTGCGTCGATTTCCCCACGCTCAAGCCGGCAGACAGGCCGTGGTACACACTTCCCATGTACTTCTGTCCCATGGGGGAGCGCTGGGTGAGGGCGAAAGACCAATGTACACCTCATATCTGACCACCGCATCGGCTTTACCCAGGACGGGGCCTCGAATTAATGAGAGCACAGGCAGCTGATCACTGGTTCGGATCTCGCATGTGCCATTCGACCTGTAAAGAGTGCTTTCAGTTTACGTATCTGCCGGCTTGATAGCGCGGCCCTTTCGTTGGGAAATTTCCTCCGCATGCCATCCGAGAGACCCTCTCATCAGGCCAGGAGCCGCTCCACCCACCGCGGGCCATACAAGTGAAAAGATAACACGTCTACTTCCCCATCTGCACGCCAATATAGATCTTCCGCTTTTCCTCCAATTCCCTCCTGGCTTTCTAATGCACCCAGGGGGCCACTGCAAGAGGGATCGGGCCCTAAGAGCTTCCCCCTCCAACACCCCCCCGGCTCTTGCTGCTACAGCGGCTACAGCTGCTACCACGGTAGTAGTATCTACCGGCCAGTCCATAATCCTTGTCCATTGTCCTGCGGACTTTGGGATCGATCATCTTTTGTCAGTATCTGGCTTGCATCCTGTCTTCCTCCCTCCATCCTTTTAGGCCGATCCTCGGTCTTTAAATGCGCAAAGCATGAGATGAGCACCGACCACGCCAGCCTCCAACATCAACTTAGTTCAAGACGTCTTAGACCAACTGACAAGTCATTCTTGCCGGACGATCTTCGCTCGGTTCCGGCGCGCCAGTTATGATTGATAATAGCGAGACACAGCCGGGTCAAATATCCAGGTTCAATAATTGCTCCTCCGACATGGTGGGAAATGAGGGTCAGCTATCGATCAGGTCAGCATTGGCGCTCGGAATCGATCGGGAGGAAGACAATTGCGATCATTCGCTCAGACCCTGCTACCTTGCCGTGGTGAACTCGAATCCTCTGGGCGAGTCAGCTTGGTTGGATCTCTTTTCCAGATTAGGGTCTTATTGATTTCCCCTTCTGCCTACTTCTCCCTTCTGGGATGGGATCGAGGGCGTCTCGCTACTGGCTTGTCTGCCCGACCTGACAGAGGATACCGACAGGAGTCGTCCGAACGGGCGAGCCGAGACGACTCAACACCGAGGTGAGTCGGCGTGCACCCAGCCTGTGTCACTACATTGCCGTCGAAAGGGCGCTGGCAGGCCCTGTCGACTCCCTGCGGAGAGAGGCCGATTGCGGAGAAGTTGCTCAGCATTGTTGTGCTTGTTTGGCAGATGAGCGCAAAGAAAGTATCTACCACTCAGGGCTGGTGGTATATTGTTAAGTTATCGTAAGCCACCGTAACTGGCCCTCGCTTTCACACGCTTCGATACGCACATACCCACGCCCACCACCACACTTTAATTCCGAGTCAGGTGTCATGCATCCCGCAGGCGACGGACCAATCTGGATTGATTGCCCCAGCTCAGGGATCAGAAAAAAGGTTGATACTTCAACAAAGTCACTAGCTGTCTAGTCTTGTCTGCTAACAGTGATAGGCTACTGCTGGTTTGCTGCGGGAAAGTTTATCTCTGTCTTTCTCGCTTTCTTTTTCTCTTGCTCGCCAGTTCCCCACGCTTTCTTACGGGAGGCTGAAATGGGCGCACAGAAAGTGATCGATCTCTTCTGTAGACCGGATCCGTGGGAAAGGTTCTCGACAACCGACCGTTGTTCCTTCCAGCAGAGTGACGATGGCTCGCATCCCCAGAGGTCCAAGAGCTCTCTCTCACATAGCCTTCCTGCTTGTAGCCATGCGCTCATTCCACCCAGCACCATTGTCTCCCGTTCTTCAGGGCCTGGACTCAACAAACACCCCAGACTCATTCACCCGCCTTGTTACCCCCCTTAGTCTTAATCAGGGCCTATTCTCCGGGGGAGCAGCTGGAGAGAGACACAACCCGTCTACCTGCAGAAAAGGTGGCCACGGATACCAGTGGTCGAACCTCGACCGTGTCAATGGTCACACAGCCAGTGAAACCGGACAGCATCACTCTACGCCTGCCCCCGCTGCGGTTCTCTGGACTATGTATGTACTGTAACTACCATACAGATGGGCGAGAGAAATCTGCGGAGTTCCTTGCTCGGTGAAATCCGTACTTTCGTCGTTAACCTGTTGTGGTCCATTTACTGTACTGGTATTGTCTTGTCCCATTCGGATAACAGTAAGCGACTTCTCTCATGTCAGTCAGAGCCGGGATGAAGTTCCGTTCACTGAGAGCTCTCGAATTATCAATGGCACGGCGGTACGTGGTGAAGTAGGGGAGAGCGGGAAGGGAGGTATGATAGCCTGCTAGGTAGGGGAGGCAGGTATTATTCTGCACCCTGCACCCTGCACCCTGCAACGCCGTGCAGCTTGAGAATCGGGCAGGCTGATAGTAGAGGTTTCCAGGATGAGGGAGAGGGAGGGAGGACGAGAGGAATGCTGCTGCATACTTGCACTTAGAAAGAAAGAGGGGGTGGAGAAATGATGAATGGGGTGGAGATTGAGGTGGTGGAGGGTCCAAGCGACGATAGCAAAATGGATACATCGCATTGACGACGGGCCTCTCCCGCCCGCCGGGCCACTCGAGATCTGCTCTTCCTTCCCTCTCTCTGTTCTCTGTCTCTGTCTCTTGTCTCTGTCTCTCTCTTCTCACACACTCTCTCTTTTCACTCCCTCCCTCCCCCTGCGCCACATCCATCGCTCTACCCACTGGCCGTGGAAGATGCACCACTATTCGTGGTTGTTATTAGTGATGTTGTTATTATGATTGATCCAAGTATTACCTGGACGGGAACTGGTTTAGTTGCGCATTGATCTGTTTTAGGTCAAATGGGGTGAGCCCGACGTCTCTTTACCTCGTCTATCGTACTATCTACGGAGTAGTCTCTCTGATTGTCATTAATACCATCATTATTGTTACCCCTATTATTAGCATTTCTATTACTCTCTTGCGGGTGGATCACCGCATGCCATTGCCGTTACGTCGACGGTCGCCAACAGCCACGAGCTCCTTCGGTTACACATCCTTCGGGCGATTGATTGGCTTGATCCAATGTTCAATTTCTTTTCTCTCCCTCTATCTAGGCGACTGACGGTAGTCCACTTCATGCTTCATCCAACTTCCCGCCCCCAGTCAAATAGTTGATCATTACTCATTAACTAATTTGGTGACTTTACTGCTTCGCCGACTGTTACTACTCCAAGCTGCTACTGCCCGATTCGTGGAAGTCGTCAAGAGTCGCGGTCATAGCAATTCCTTCTACGTCTTTGGCACCACGACCACTAAATGCAACGCATAGAAGACACACCCCTCATTCTCCCATAGATTGCCATTGGGAATTGACCAAGGAAAAGAAGATGCATTGGGGGGTCAACATAATTGGCAAATTCCTGGTGCCCGGTTTATCATGCAATCGACTACCAGTTTCGGGTTCTTCCCCCTCACTAGTGATGACTTCGGATCGTCTTCGTCGCGATCATCAGCTTCGATACCCTTCATTGTTGGCTCTCCCCGTCATTTGTTTAGATGGGGGCGTCTTGGGAGCTGAAGAAGCAACAAGGAACAATCCCGACTAAAGTAGGGCCCGCAGTAGCAGAGGTCGCTAGCCACTTTCTCCCCTCCTCTTGCCTGTTACCGACTCTCCAGATGGTGGCGACCACGGGTGGATTCGTACAGCTCCCCAGCTGGGTCTTCCCGAGAGATGGTGCCTTATAGGATCATCGACTATCATCGGCATCAGCATGACGGACTACGACGGTCCAACCCCGTTCCTGGCGTCTGCGGAAGCCTGGGGCAGTTTCCAGCTAAGGAGGGCCGCCCGGGGCCGGCTGAGTGTCGATGTCGCCTCATGATCTCGGCCCTGAAGGGTATCGGACCTTAGGATTCATTCGCCATAGCCCATACACCGCTACAGTGGTTGAGGGCGATGTTTTCTATCATGGAGATGGGGCCATCGGCTGAATCTTCCAGAACCCAAGGCCTACTGCATGTCCCGATTCCCTTGGCGTTGTTGTGCACGCACTGTTCCAGTCCATCCCGGCTCCTGACCGCTTCTCCTGCCCTTGTCCTCTATCCTGGTTCGTTCTTTACCCCATATGCCACCTGTTGATCCACCGCCGCCGTTGGCTGACAGCCATTTATTAATGGCTGGCTGCTATTCATGATCGGTGGTGTCATTGCCAAACAGACTAAATCTTGCTCGGCAGCCGTTCAGGATTCCATCGGCCGCTGATTGTCTTCAGCCCATGTGGGGGTGGTTGCGTTGTTGCAACCGCCCCTAGATAGATTAACGCCCACCCCCCAAGATTTAACGGCCCTGTCCTAGGTTGCACGCGTTACCTGACCGGTGGTAGTGTGGTTAGTGACGACTACTGACGCCGAAGGCGAGCTGGGCTGATTGGCTGGGGGGTTCAGCCAGACGAGGTCTGTCCACGCCTTCAGCATTTTGGTGTTGAGGTAATCTCCGTGGCCCCGGCCTAACCTAGATCCCGGGACCCAGTGGTTCGGATCAGCATCAGCCCTTTTTCATTATTGTTATTTGTTTTCTCTTCATTGTTCTGCTCAAATTTTATGTCGTAGTATTTACCGTTTCCTCTCAGGAAGACATCTTACAGGTTCCAAATCAATTCAGGTAACCATTATGTCCCGTGGATTCCTGCGCCACTTGCCGCCATCCTTTCTGGCCGTTCGACCGCGACAAGTAGCAGGAGACCGTCCAGAGCACTCGTGAGTTGTCAAACGTGGCAAAATGGCGGATTGAGCAGCAGCGGCTGGACGATGACCCATCTGCTTAAGCTCGGGGAGAGGAGCCGTGATGACATTATCCCAGGAACCTAGTATTAACTAACCGCGATGGTGCAAATGTAATAAAAGCTTTTGTTTCTTCCTCTTCTTATCAGGAATCGTTCCCCCATTGTCGTCGGTTCCTGATATCCATCATATCCCCACACCGGTGCTACTGCCGCTGGTTCTTCCTACATTGCCTACGCCTGCTTTGTCCTTTGTCTGCTGTGTGCACCTCCACCCACTATTATTAGATAGGGTCATTCGGACTACGGAGCTGTGGGGATTGAACCCAATCTGTAAGTCTCCTCTGACGTCGATGGTGCTTTGGACATATGCCTGATCCCGGGACGTTCTAGAATTGCAACCGTTCAACCCGCCTTCCGGAGATCTTGCTTCCGTTTAGTCCTAGGGACTCCTGGGTAGCAGTGGCACAGAACTGAACTGAACCAGGGAAAAATCAAATAGAAAAGAAACAGAAAAAGGCAAAGGAAAAGAGAAGAGATCGCGGTGGTGTGCATCTACGTGTGTGTAAGTGAGTATGCAAGAGAGTGAAAGTGTCAGTGAGTGAACAAGAGAGAGAGACTGTGTGTGTATGCGCGTGTGTGTGTATGTGGTGTGTGGTGTGTACGATTCATCATCTATCTAACTGCGTCTTTTCTTTCTCTCTCTTTCCCTCCTTCTCCTTATTCCTACTGAATTGTAACTCCCTCTCTCTCTCTCTTTCCTCTTACCCTCCCCACCGAACTCCCCACTCAGCTGTGAAAAGAAGACACTTATCGAACACTTCCTCCCTCCCCTCTTTCTAACCTTCCAAGACCTTAATTTGGCTTTCTTGTCCTTCACCAATCTGACTTTCCGTGGTGCATCATCAGTGGGCAATGTCCACCTACTCCCCTTCGTCGACAGGCGTGCCCGTCATGTTTGATCCACCCGCGTACCCGTCTCTCTTCCGCGCGGGGGCGGAAATCCCGCAGTTCTATTTGAAGTATCGCTGGTGGGAGGATGAAGCCACGACCATGCTGTGGGCCTTCGACATCCAAGAGATCAAGCGGGCCATCCGCTTCGGCCTGTACCGCAACGCGAATCTCCCCCGAGACGCCTTCCAGAGCCGCAATCCCAATGCAATTGATACCTTCCTGCTGGAGCTGGTCGACCCCCACGAAAGAGCCTTCATCGGCAACCTCTCGCACATCCAAAGGGTGGAGGAGGTCCTGCAACGGTGCCGGAGATCGGATCCGCCGCCGGCCGCGTGGAGCTGGTTCCCTGCCCAGGGGGACCGCGAATTGACCGCCATCTCCATCGCCGAGGCCATGGACACCGAGAGCCATCTACACTTCACCCGCATCCCCTTCGAGGAGCTGGTGCGCTACTCACTGGGCTACGCCGCGCCCGCTGTCGAGTGGTTCCTGCAACAGCACACCGCGTTGCATATTCACTTGTTGAACCATCTCCAGGCGTTTCCGGAGGAAGTTTCGCTGTATATCGAGGTGGAACAGGTTTGTGTAATCCCCTACCCTAGAGGTGCATTGAAATATGGGAAGGAAAGAGAGAGATGCTGATTGTGTTCGACGAAAGCATCTTCGTAGCCGGAGCCCGTTTGCTCATCGAGCCTTGACTGTCTGTCTACGGGCTCTCCGAGGAACCCAGCTCGTGGTGAGTCCCACGACTCCCGCCTTTGAGTTCATTGCCGGTCCGATTCAGGAGCTGTTCAAGGAGATTTCGCCAAGCTTGAAGTCGATTCTGAAGGTGCTCTGCGTCTCGGCCGTGCGATTCCAACATACCTACGTGCACGCTCGCCGGATGAATTGGACCCGGCCCTTCAAGATCAACGTGCCGTTTTTAGAAGACCTGACCACCTCGACCTCGCCGTTGGACTTTGCTCGTACGATTACCAGTAACGATGAGGGCTTACTCACTGGGCTGTCGCAGAAGAGCTTCATGGAGCCGGGCCCGGTGGTCAAGCGAGTGTTTACCGAGTGGGAGCTGCTGAGTATAGCGGTGTGGGAGTGTTGTACAGCGCTTCCAGATCTGGTGGGCTACATCGAAGAATGCGTACAGGTGAGATATTTTCTTTGGTGAACGAGTATAAGGTGAGGTAGTGAGGTAGAGAGACAGCTAATTGCTAGATTCAGGCTCTAGTGGCAGTGCGTAACTACCACTCGCTGACAGCCATCCTCGACGGGCTGCGCAAGTACAACATCACGATATCCACGACCACCCGCGTAGCCCCCTTGATGATCCCACTGGACCTTGAATCCCTGATCGACCCGTCCGAGAACTTCGTCGGCTACCGCCAAGCGTTCACCAACAAGCCAGGGGTGCCGTTCCTGGTCCCGCACATCCGCGAGTACCAGCAGCACGGCCAACCGGCCTTACAATCGCTCTTCCAGCATATGAGACCGTCCCCTCTGCGATAGCCAACCCAGCAACCCCGAGCGCAGGTTCGCTCCAGAAAGGAGGCAACTCCAAACCGTGCAGGCCATTCCGCCGAAGGCAAACCCGCCGCAAGCAAGGCGGATGCAATCTGACGGAGTGATCGATACGTCATGCCCGAAGAACCGAGCTGACGACCAAACTAATTCATCTAATATGACGCGTAATAACCCCTAGATTGGAACCCCGGGCCTGACGAGGCTTTCTTCATTTTTGATTTTCCTTTTCTGGTTCTGTTGGACCTATCTTGCGTACAGGGAAGGACAGGTATGCAGCTGCGGGGACATCAGACCCGATCATGATCCATATATGCAGGGTAAAGTTGGTTATTTCCTGACCTGATTTTTTTTCTGCTTTTGATCATTTCCGGATATGCATGTTCTCACTTCAGATTGTCTTTGAACGGAGATATTTGGCATTGAATTGGCATTGGCATTTGTTTTTTTTTTTTTTCTTCCCATCCGGGAACTGTATTTCTAAATACATTTACTTAGATAAGATACTTGGTAACTACTACTTATGACATACACTCCACTACCGCCGGTCTATCAGTCATATGTCTGTGTCTGTCTTGTTCGGTCGATATATCCCTCTCGGGAATCCCACCGGCCGGTAATCTCACAGATCCGTACTGTAAGTACTATAGTACTGTAAGCACGGCGTAGTTGGGAATACACCCAAATCAAGCAAATGATCACCTCATCTCAGTCCACTGTGGGCGTGTCGTGTCCGTGGGATCTGGTTCCCTGTTCTGGGGTTCCGGAGGCAACGGAGGTGGGTTGAGCATGGATGTATTTATGTATGTACTGTATTGCCTAGTGGCCATGACTAGGGCTATCTATGACTATGACTAGTCGGCTATCGATAGATCATTTTCATGCTCGATGCAGTGAGCGCGGCTGCTCCGCAATCTGCCTTGCTTTGTATGCAGGCTGATGCTTTCTCGGTAAGGGTTCTCCGGGATTAAAATAAAAGCAATATACAACGAAAATAGAGGAGGGACGATGGCTGGAGATGGCGTTCCCTAGTAGGAGCTAGTTGCTGTTGGATTTGACTTGCGTGTCTTTGGCTGGTTGGCTGGCTGTGAGGTATGGCTTTTGGTTGCGATACTGGGGTTGGTTTCTGGGGGTTGCGTTGCGTAGGTTTCGAGGTGGCCTTGTTCGGGTATGAGGGGTGGATTGATGGGTTCTCTTCTGTTCGTCTTGCGTGAATATAACATGTGGATTATGTACAGTACGGTCTTGTGTTTGTCTAGCCAAGTGGTGATAGTTGACAGATGGCCGCGTACTGTATCTCTGGGGAAGTCGAGATAGACACCGAGTTGTTGGAGACAGGGCTCGGGATAGAGTTAAACTCTGCGGCAGCAATTTCAAAGACGAGCACCTGAGTAAGTAAGTGCTCGGTGTCTGGTTGTAGTCACAGCCGAAGTATATCGGACCCCGTCCTGTCCTGCCCTACCCAGTCCATCATGAATGAGTGAAGCACACACTTCAGGCCAGTAATCCCATATCAAGCCAGCCATTCATCCACATGAACCATAGATAGACAAAGCAGCAGCAGCAAAAGCAACCCCCCAAGCACCAGCTCCACCAGCGATCACCCATCCAGACATACATATGCGAAGCATACACCCAAAAATCAAGCACCCTTCCCCCCCTTCTGACCCCCACCAACCCCAGTACACCTCCCAAACCACCCCAAAAGAAACAATACCCGATTTACCCCCAAGAACGCCGTAACCGCCACATTGCCCCAGGTCAAGGCGTTCCAACCAGCGACATCGCAAAACCGCGCCCACCCCATCGCCCACCCCGCGGCATAAACATGGCCCACATCCGCCACCAGCAGCGCCAGGAAGTAGTTCCGGATCACCTTCGGCTCGGTGCTGGTCGTCAGGATGCCCAGCCCCAGCAGTGCCAGCAGGCTGTACAGGTTGCCCAGCTGGTAGGCGAGCGAGATGGCCTGCGGCTGGAGGTTGGTGGTGGTGGGGGAGGGGTTCACTACGTGTGACGGATCGATGGGGATTTGGTCTGTGATGAAACCGGGGAGGTTGAGGAGGGGGCTGAGAGCGCCGGCGATGCTGGAAGGTTTGTTAGGGTTGGAACTTTATCTATAGAGAGGAGTGTATTGGATTGATCTATGGGTTTGTGATGGTATGGTGGTTGTTTGTTTATTTGTTTGTTTGTTTGTACGTACAGGGAGATTGGCTCGAGGATGCCGAAGAGTAGATGTGGCCAGGGAGGGAGGATGGAGGGCATTGTGGGTTGGATGTATTGTACGAGTACAGGATACTATATTCAGGTGGTTGTGATGAGTCCAACAAATGACTTGGACAGTAGGTTAGTATAAAGTTGACACCGTAACCAAGTAGGAAGAAAGCCTGGCTGATTCAGCAAAACCGGTTGTGCGCTTCTGGCGGCTATACTCTCCTGCAACAACATCCGGAGAAAGAGGAAGACTTCCTGCTAACTCCGTACTTACTTCCAGATCCCTCCCTGGAACTGACTTTCTCCCCCCCCCCCCCCTCTTCCCCTCCAGCGCCCTCCCCCTCCCTCTTCATTGCTGGATAAGAAGTTAAAAGCTCCTGGCAAAATGGCACATGGTTACGTGAGGAATCTCGTTCCATCTTTGGTGATCTTCATCCCTACACTCACTGTCTGAACGCTGCACTCCTGCCCGGATTCCATATAAAACTATGGATTCCAACGGTACCTTTCCCCGGCCTTACGACGAATCGTTGATTCGTGAACTACCCCAGCTCCAGAGTCTCCGCATCGCGCCTCTCCGCCAGCCCGTCTCACGCCTGCTGAGTGTGCCGTCACCGCTGGAACCCAACGCCAGTCGAGTGCGCGAGGCCACCGCTACCTCCACGCCCACTAGCTCCGCGGCCATCCTGCAGAACCCCGGCCCCCGGAACAATGATTCCGTCGTCACTGCGGCCCCCGCGGACGGCGTGGGCGTGAATATCTTGCGGCTGCCGAAGAAGAAGATCGATGCCTCCTCCACCTCCTCGGTGGACTCGCTCCTCAGCAGCCTCGAGCCCCCGCCGCCCAAGCCGATCCTCCCCGCCTTTGTCAACCTCCGTGCTCTCGAACGCTTCCCCTACTCCTCGTTCGACGACGACACCCACCATGCCCGCAAGCGGCGTCGGGTCGGGATGCAGGCTGAGACCTTCGCCGAGCATCTGCAGCTGCCCATCCCGCAGGCCCAGAAGGAGCAGCGCCCGCCGCCGTTCGGCCCCTTTGCGATCCTCAACGGTCTGAACGAACCACCTCCCAATGCCGCCCTTCTCCCACCCATCGAGGCCGGTTCGAGCCTCACGCAGCTGCTGACCAAACCGTCTCGCGACAGCTCGGTCGGAGAGCCGGCGTCGCTAACTACTTCCTTCGGGGAGGGCCCGACGAGCGAGAGACGCGAGGGCAGGATTGCCGATATTCTCGACTCCCCGATTGTGGCCAGGGCGACCGTGAGCGACCAGGGCAGTACCACGGAAGTCGGACTGCTCGACGACCCGGCGGCGGTGGCGGATCGAACGGCTCAGGAGAAGACCTCTGATGGGGAATCGGACGACAGGAAAACCTCGTCCGCCGATGAAGACGAGAAGCCGATGTCCCCCAAGACCCGCGGCCGTTCTCGGAAGAATCTCCGCAAATGGACGGAGGAGGAAACCACCGCTCTGTTACGCGGAGTGGTCAAGTGCGGCATCGGCAACTGGACGGCGATTCTGGCTCAGCCCGAGTTGAAGTTCAACAAGCGCAGCGCTTCCAACTTGAAAGATAGGTATGGTATAGCCGTAGCTTTTTGCGGGGATTCGTGATGTGGATACAGACTTTGGTACCAACTAAACACAATCTAGGTTTCGTGTATGTTGTCCCTGGGCCTACCGGTAAGTTCTTTGGCTTGTTGAGCCATCGGCACCGATCCAGAGCTGATCGTCTCCAGGGCTGCCGACCCGAATGAAGCTACACGGCAGTTGCACGACACCCTGGCCAACGCCCTCTCGCGGGCCGAGACGGAAGGGTCCGACGGCACGGCCGGGAAGATTCACCTGCCACATCCCCGGCCTCCCAACTCGGAGTCGCATCCCGGGGGGAACAGTGTGGTTGTCGGCTTGACTGAGTCGTCCTCAGCTAGCGGCGGCGGCAGCAGCGGTAGCAGCGCCGCGACGATCAAGGAGTCGACGCCCAAGACCGCCCATCCTAAGCCGAGCTCCGCGTCCAAAGCAACCCCTACGCTAACCAGCAAGTCCAAATCCACATTGGCGTCCCTGGGAATTCCGGAACCGCACTTCACCATGAAGTCGCGGCGTCGTTCGCGCCGGCCGTTCACCGTGGTCGAGGACGAGGCTCTGCTGAAAGGGTATGCGGTGCACGGCTTCCAATGGACACTAATCCAGCAGGACACACGGCTCAACCTCGGCCATCGCCGAGCCACTGATCTGCGCGACCGGTTCCGGACCAAGTTCCCGCACGCCTACCGTGAGGGCGGCTCTGTCAGCGGCCGCACCCTCCACGACTTAGGGAAGGAGACTTCCGACCCGCCAGCTGACCAGGCCGCCGGCCGTAATAAGCAGGGCGTGCCGCCCGCCACCAAGCCCCCGGACCCCCGTGCCAACCCCCCCGGCCCATCCACTCTAGCACCCATCGACCCTGCTCTCTCCCCGCCGGCCCCGCCGCAGTGTCTTCTAGAATCCTCATCTAATGCAGCCCCCTCCGCCCCCTCCGCCCCCGCCTCCGCCCCGGGTGCATTCCCGTTCCCTCTGGATGAGAATGCCGCCCCGGCTGCTGAGAATGCCTCGTGGACAGACAATACCCTGGCTCCGATGGTGTGGGATGAGATCGGATAGCGTCTGCCCTTGCTCTTTTGTAGCTCAATAGTGACTTTACTGGTGCATAGCTCTTTGATTAGTACAAACTACATACTCAAATCGCAATCACTCATAAATCCTAAGTAGCTAACTCTGCGCACGCGAGACACAAATCAGTAACTGCCCATCTAAATGAAAAACACTCGTCAACAGAACCAGATAAGACCCTCACCTCCACTCTCGCCCTCACCCCATACACAAACCACATACACAAACCACATACACAAACCACATACACAAACCACATACACAAACCACATACACAAACCACATATACAAACCACATATACAAACCACATACAACAAACACGTCCCGGGGGAGAACCCCCGGACCCCCCTTTCTTTTCAGCTCCCTGGTAACCTCAATCAATAAACTAGTAAATATACGTATCCGGGGGAGAACCCCCGGACCCCCCTTCCTTTCAGCTTCCTGGCACCCCAATTCTAAGGCCAAGTGTATAAACGTCCCGGGGGGGGGAACCCCCGGAACCCCCCTTCCTTTCAGCTCCCCAGCAACCCAAACACAACCTACATATTCAATCTACAATCTACAACACTACCCACCCAAGGAACCCAATGAATCAACAATCAATAAATAGCTAAAGCCAGCGCTGCAGACACAGTAATAACAGTACGAATCAACCAGAGAGTCAACGCAACCGAAGCACAAGCCGAATCACAGCCCCTAGAACCCGAGGTACGAGAAAGAACCACTGCACAGATCGTACACCCAATTTTACCACGCATTCCGATCCCAATTCGGATCTAAGCAACACACATTAGCCCCCACCCCCAAACCCCACCTCCCCAAGGAAAAAAAGGATGCATACCTTGAACAAAAGAAGCAAGAACCTTACTCCCCGTCTGGAGAAGCGGGTGCCCGGCCACAATCTGCAAAAACCGCTGCAGCCCCTCCCGGCGGTGCTCGATCACGTCGTCGCTGAACCGGTTCGTGAACACCTTCCCCGGCAGCGGCGGGATCGTGACGCGCGTGCTCTCGCGCTCCAGGATGTCGCGGAAGTACTCGAAGTCCGAGTAGCGGCGCCGCACGACCGAGTGCTTCAGCTTGAAGGCCGGGATGTTGGTGCGGCACACGATCTCGTACGAGGTGTACATGTTCCGCGACGTGCCGTGCGTCTGCGGGTTGCGCACTTCGATCTCCAGGAAGTTCTCCGGTGGGCCGTAGATCTCGTCGAAGGTTTGGTGGCGGGGGGAGGGCACGGATTGCATTTTCGGTGAGGGGGGGGGGGGGGGGGGGATTCGGGTATTCGTTTATTTCAATGGGTATTCGGTTCAAAGGGTATTCGTTTATTCGAGGGTCTTTGGGTATTCGTTTCTTCGAGGTATTCGGTTTTTGTTTTGGGGAGGGGCGAGGGGAGTGTATCGAAGCGAGTGTCTGTACTGTCCGGGCCGGGTGGACTATTCAACTCAGTTGTTGGTGGGGTCGATGTAGGATCAGTCGAGAAGATCGTGGGGGGTTGGTCGATTAGCTGGAAGCAATAACTGATATTCCACGAGAATAATCAACGAGTGTTCATACACAACCTTAGTCTTCAAAGCATACAGCTTGGTTGCAGCCTAAAAGGAACTACTCACGAGAGCTGGAGATGACGACTGATAAGAATGCACCATCCATGTTACACAATCCGGATCATCGTTTCTCCCGCCTCGTCCCGATCTATAATTACAACACAGGCAAAACAAAATTCCTTTGATTCTAATACACCTAGGCACTACGCCCACCAACAACAAAATAAACAATGCCAATTTCCCCGTAAGATCCGTGTGCAACAAACCAGAGAGAACAAACCCCGAAGTAAACACTAAAGAAAGCACCATGTGATACATAAAACTGCCAGTGATCAATTTCCCGTGACCGCCCAGGGTCACGGACATGCATGAAGCAATTGTAGTAGCGAGGAAGCCATGTCCAGACAACACGGCCAAGAAACATCAACAGGTCCAACCTATCACTCCTGTCGACTGCGCTTGGCACCATGGGGATTCCACGACCCATCGCCGCCTTGCGCGTTAGGGAAGAACCCCTGGTTGAATGCTGGGTTGGGGCCTTGGAACCCGGCTTGTCCTAGTAAAACACCCGTGGTCAATACAGTTCACCAGAAACAGAACTCAATACATACCCTGCATGCCCATGTTGCCGCCCATGGCGCCCATCATCGGATTCATACCCCCGGCCATCGGGTTCATCCCCATGCCACCCATGGGATTCATCGCCGGCATGCCCATCATATTGGCCCCGGCCATGCCGCCACCCCGGCCGCGCATGCCACCGGGTCCGCCGCGCATGGCTCCGCCCATCATTCCGCCACGGTTGTTGAACCCGAAATTCTGCATCCCCATCGGATTGCCCTGGAAGCCCCCGACCATTGGCTGCTGGAAGCCTCCCATGGGGTTCTGGAAGCTGCGGTTCCCCCCGAAGCTGTTCATGTTGTTCATGCCGCCCCGGTTGTTGAATCCGCCCCGACCGCCGCGGAAGCCTCCGCCCATGTTGTTCATCCCGAAGTTCATGTTCTGGTTGGACTGGCTGAAGCCGCCGGACATCGAGCGCGACTGGTTGTCCTTGCGCATGGGCGCATCCTTGGGCAATGTGCGGAAGGGGTTGGGTTGGGGGCTGGTGTAGACGACCATATGTTTGCGTGCGGCCTGCCCCGATGTGGCGAACGACTCGATCTTGTGCTTCACCGCAGTGGCGGCCTGGAGGGTGGTGAACTCAATGAACGCTTGTCTATCAATGGCTCTATCAGCAGGATTCCCAGAGCTAAAGAACAACGCAGGCCTACCCTTTGCTTTTACCGTTCACCTTGTGCTCACTAAATGTGACATCCTTCAACTCATCCTCGCTGCCAGCCTGCGCCACCCAGCCGCGGATGTCGTCGTCTGTGGTCCACCAGTACAAGTCCGAAATGAGGAGGGCAGGCGTCGCATCGGGATCCGTCGGGCGGTCATCGTGTTCCTTGCGCTTCACCCCCTGCTGCGGGGGAGGGGCGTGGGCCTGTTGGTGGGCGGGCTCCCCATGTGCTACGCTTCCGGTGCTGCTGGGCGCAGCCCCTTCACTGTCCGGCTTCAGGGTCCCGTCCGACGAGCCATCCCCTTGAGCAACATTGGTATTCTGCGTGGGGTCCGACGCGTCTAAAATGAGTTCGGTGTCTTCGTGCTTGATGTCATCGCCCTGGTCATTAGCATTGTAGCTTCCGCCGTCGCCATAGATGTCAATGTCGAAGTTATCATCCTCCGTGGCCATTGTGATTTAGGTAGGACTCGAGGTCTCTTGCTCTCAAGGCAGGTCTTGATTGGTTTTGCGGGAGGGAGATACAGGTCCTTTCCTCTCTTCTTTGCTTCAGATTCGCTGAATCAAGGGAAATACATGTCTGCAGACACACGACGTCAATTAGCAAAAGGAAGATTGGTCGGAGGAGGAAGGTCGGAGGTTGCAGATACTGGAGTAGCCGCAGCAACTGGGTCATTGTCGTAAAAGAAGAAAAAGAATCCACGTTTCTCAAAACTCTTAAGAACAGCACGGGGGAGGTTGGGCGGCGGCGGCCACAGCCACCAGACCAGAGCCGGTGGCAGCAACAAATGACCGACAGGAAACAACAAGAAAAAAAGAGGCTCGATAATACGTACAATTGTGAAGCAAACACCGCTTCAAAGAGAACACACAGGTCTTTTCACCAACGTCCGATTGGGAGCTGATTTGCGTCTGATAAACAGAGGTAGTGCTTCTTTGCCTTCCGTCTGATTGCAAGTACAGGTAGTGCGATAAGAGAGAGACCCTCTGGTGTCCAAATAGAACAACAACAAAAGAGAGAGAGAGAGAGAGAGAGAGAGAGAGAGAGAGAGAGAGGAGTGAAGGGAAAGGGGAAGATGAACGGTGTGTATGTGAGGTGAACTTCCAGACAGATGCGGCGCCGAGACGTGCTGCTACCACAGAAAGCAGCTCAACTTTTAGCTATCAATCAATGGAGCATACAAAAGACAACCTTAGCACGGAGAATGAGCCTAGTAGGTGGAGTCGTGTTAGTGACCGGGGGTGATTCCCAGTTAACTCCTGTGAACACACTGATGTAATTCAGGAAGTACACAGGAACAAACTCCGCCCAATGTTGGTTGGCGAAAGGATGGGTGGTGATCCCTTAAGTGGTGCGCACCGCGGTTGATATGGTAGTCACAGGGTGGCGAGAAAATGAGATGGAAGAAAGAAGTAGAAAGGGGAGGGCAAGTTTCAGCTTTTTGAGGGGTGGAACTGGGGGTAGTGAGAAGAAGACCCCTTGAGAGACGTGTCCAAAGAAGGATTGCAGGTGGGGAGGGCGCGCGATAGAAGGCAGAGGGAGAGAGAGAGAGAGGGAGAGAGGGAGTGAGAGAGAGAGACTCGGGAGGGAAGACGGGAAGGAAGACCAGCTGCTTTGTTGCTTGCCTGCTTGCCTGCTTGCCTGGTACTTTGCTTTGCTTTGCTTGCTTGGTTGCTTGCTTTGGTTCTGCCGGTCTCGACAGCGCCGAAGTGGAGCTTCGAGCCCCGGGAGCGGCAGAAGTATAACTCCGGACCCCAGAATCCCTCCTTCCTGCCTCCGATCGGCGGGTTGGTGGATTTGTGGACTGTGCACTGTGCAGTGTTGTTTATCATCGAGTCGGAAGCCCAAGCTCTGAGAAGCTTCGAAGCTATACACCGTATGCTTTAACAAATTCTTTAACAAGTTGAATATACTCATACTATATAATATGTGGCAAGCTAGACTAGCTGGGGGACATTCTATCGCTGCTTCGCAGAGTACGTGTCGAGCACACTAAACTTCCAAAACAATCATACGCTCCCAGATAAGATGAACCAACACCTTTTGTGAGCAGTCCGATTATACGCAGTGGACTCGCCTACTTCTGTATACTATACCGCTGGAGAACCTACCATAGTTCGTAGGCGTATTCGTCATCCAGCGGGGATCTTTGTACCGGCCGGCTGCGAGACATTGCCGCCATAGTCTGTTTGAAATCATCAAATTCCCGCACGGGATTCAATTTGCAGTCGTAATTCCCTCCCAAGCGAGGAGCGCCCTCGTCGCTAGTGGCGCCATCGTTCCAGGTGTGCAATGTACAGGTGCCGGTGGACAGGCCCCAGCCATTCCACGACGTCGCTGGAAAAACACCGTTAGTTTGGTTCCCAACCGCCGCCGGGCCATAGACATCAATGCATGACTTACCCGCCAGGACTGGGCAGCTCGGATGCCAACTCGCATCCCGAACGCACGTCTTCCACAGCACGTCGCTGCGGCTACTACGTATCTCATATGCAGCGGTCGACATGTCGGGATCGAGCGGGCGCGAATTGTGAGTCGCCTGCCCGACGTCGATCGTGCCCGCTAGCGTCGCATCCATGTTATACACGTACACTTTGCCGTCCTCGCTTCCCGAATATACGTATCGCGAGTTGGTGCTGTTGGGCGGCGAGAAGTGACATCGGATTAGAGTCTTGAGGACGCGATGGCCGCGATAGGTGACCACCGAACAGTCGTGAGGGTGGGGCTCGTAGTAGTCATCGGGGTAGGATTCGAATCGGTAGTCGAATCCGGTGGTGAACGTATTGACATCGATCGAGTCAAACTTCGCCGTGGTCATCATCTTCCTCAGATCCCAGAGCTTCATCGTCTGGTCCTTGCCATTCGACAGCACGTATCGACCGTCGCCCTTGCTGTCAACGTAGGTCAATCCTTCGGTATGTCCCATGAACACACCAGCTTCGCGCCCATCGCCCATCGAGCGTCTATCCCAGACCCGCAAAGTAGTGTCGTCCGAGCCCGAGTATATGATATGAGGCGAAGACTGATCACCGAAGCAAACGGCGTTCACGTCATCTTCATGATTCTGTAACCGTAAAACCGACTGTCGTGTCTCGAGGTCATAGACAATGACGGATTGATCCGAAGTGCCAGCCACGATCTCACGTCCATCGCCCGAGAAGCGGATCGACCATATCTAATGCAAGATGAGCATGTAGGACAAAACTTGTTCGGGGTTTGATCCAGCTTACACCAAAGTGAGAATTCCCAGTAAATCGCATTCTTCGTCGTCCAGGGATCGAAGACAGATCCAAGACAGCTGGCTCGGATTCGTCAGCCGGGTCAGTGGGCGCGAGGCAGACGAGATTCCGGATCGATGTATATGCTAAAAATCTGTTATCCGGACTCAGGCTGGCATCGGTGATGGTCCATTGCCCGAATGGATAAGACACAGTCTTGTAGTACTTCCAGTCAAAGGGATTCGAAGTGTCGTACATGCGGACTTTGAAATCCTGAGCACAACAAAAGAAGAAGTTGCCGTCGTCCGAAAACTGGCCCGAGTAGCAGCGCGAATCGTAATGGATGACCTTGTCCGCCACTGAGCTAGGGATGAGACCCTATACACCAAGATCAGCATCATATCTTGTGAAACATCCAGACGGCAGACAAACCTGAGCCATCGATCGAATATCCTGCCGGTTGACCCCTGTCATGTTGACTCCCAATTCCCGCCACATGACCTTGGAAGCAAGGCTCTGGTTCCGCCGCTTGAGCACATCACCGTAATGGGGATTGCGTCCGAAGTCACCCGACGCCATCAGCGCCTGGCCCTCATCGCTCGGGACCTTCGGGAGCTTGCTTTCCCCAGATCGCCGTGCTCGTCGACGATATCCAAAGAAGCCGAACTCGTAGTCATCGTCCCCTTCGTCTCCAGGAGACGCTTCGTGCAGGCCATTGTAATGTAAGATGTGCCGTAGGCCATTGGACGCCAGAAGGTTCAATAAACGAGCCGCCGACACTAAGACTGACAGTAAGCTTCCCAGCTGAAAGAACAGGAATTGAGAGTGTGAACTACCTCTGCCCTGTCTACCGCCCTGATTTCCTCCACCATTCCCATTCTGATCCGCCTCGTCCATTGCAAACTCGATTTGAATATTCCCGAGGTGCAATTCAGGATCTATGACCGAACCAGGTTAGTCATGTATACATGCCAGAGAACCACAAAGCCCATGAGCTCACAACAGCAAAAGAAAAGCAACAAGAGTCAAGGACAGAAAGGGGAAACCATACTAAAGATAGGATCATCGACATCAATGTTATCTAGATGGTCGTGATCCTCCTCATACAGTTCGATATCGGAATCGTCGTCGTCTCTTTCGTCAGTATCATTGGGCTCATAATCCAAATCCTCGCCCTCTTCTTCATCCTCCTCAAGCCATTCCTGAGCCGGATGCCGCCCTATTCTAAATGCCCGTTGGGAGGGAGGGGAAGAAGAACCGGGGGCGCCGCCAGCAGCGGGGGGCAAACCGGATGAACTCATGATTCAGCCACAAGCGTAGTGAGAGGGCTGTGCGGACGGTGAAGAGACCGCAGGGATCATGTCAGACAACTTGATTTTATCGGGTCGTCCCTCCAATTATGTGAACAAACAGCACTGAGATGCAAGGCAGGCCACAACGCCCCAATTGGCCAGCAAGTTGGATGGTGCTTGAAGGGCAGGCCGCGGTTTGCCCCATGCTTTCTTTTGGGAGGAGGTCGGAGGGGGGGGGAGTAGGTGTTTGCTCATGCTGACCGACGCTTATCGATAGGACGGTCCGTCGGTTATGTCATCCCCGGGTGGAGAGCGCCGGTTATCTCCTATCCCCGGACACCGGCTCTACGGACACCATAGATGCAATATTCTCAATTCTTCATAATTCAAGAAGTATCATAATTCAAATCGTGGTCTCGTTAGTGATATACAAAAGAATACATAATACGACAGACGATGGAAAAGGCTAAAACAGAAAATCTGGAAATATCTGGCTCATTCCACAGCATCAAATATTCAGTTGACAGCCATCAACTCTGGAGACGCAAAGCTATCGGGCTGCTCTCGAGGATCATAAAAATATACGACCACATAATCATCATCAGCTCCACCTGTCCCTCTATATCTGTCTCGGGAACGACGGTTGTAATCCACGAGGACACAATGTTCACCATAGCAAAGGTGTCCAACGCTATGACAGCGTCGAAAAGCGGCGAGACAACGTCAACTGAGCTTGCCAGCTCAGGAAAGGTGTCAGGAGTCGAGCAATCAAAAACCTCGGATTCATGAGCATCATGAACCAAGCACTTTCTCTGGGACCGTCGCTTGATAGCCATTGCGTGAAGTGCAAGCAGCTCGACGACTATGTGGAGCCGTGCGCGTAGCATGGTGGTGCCTTTCTTACGCGTGCCTCGTTCTTTGGTCAGTCGAGGGAGCCTCGTCTCCTGTAGAGGTGGCTCGCAAAGCCAACTCCGCGAGCAGTCAGTGACTTCAAGAGTCAGTGATTCAATCGATGTGCCTTGCTTAGGCTCTCTTTCTGTGCTGAAGTCAGCGTACGCTCAACATATTATCCTAGGGGCACCAAGTACATACGGTGAGTTAGTATGCCAGATAACGAACTGAACATCACACGTAGTGTTGCGTGGCTCGACATATGATAAATCGGTAGCGTCATCTCACGCGGCGTGCAGATGTATGAATCGTCGCATGTTGCCTCTCTATCATCAGATAGGTCAGGTTCTTCTTTGCGGATTGTGATATCCGCCATCCCTCGACCTACAGTCGCTGTTTCGAGCATCGGCGGCTCATGCAGTTTCATCGGTAGGCATCTCCTCTGAGTATGGACGTCGATTGCGTGTGCTTCGTGGGAAATACCTTTGGCCGACAATGCCTGATTGGTATCAAGCAAGATTTTCGTTATTAGAGAGAGCCGCGGCCTTGATGAGCGATGCTTGTGGCTCTTGTCATCTGGCTTGGCCGTGGTGTGATCCAACGATACAATAGACACATGAAAAACCGAAGAAGCTCCACCAGGTAGATATCTACCATGAGAGCTAGAAGGGCTGATAGCCTGATTTGGTTCATCACGGGTCGATGATAGCGACAAAGTTGCATTCCTGATAGCGAAGGCCGAAACGTCCTGGTTAGTCTCACTAAAAGCCCGGCCGGTGTTCCGACATGTCTGCATGTCTAGGACGCCTGCTTTGACGCGAGCCCGATGTGCACATTGATGGCATTTTCCAGTAAGAGTATCTGAATGGCGGCACTGTGTGCATGAGTCAAAAACATGGCCACAGGTGTTGCACTTCTTTTCTAGAGCACCCTCATCTCGGTCTCGCGGAAGCTCTTCTTGGCCATCAGGAAGCTTGCTCTGCGCCGCATCAGCTAGACCGCCCCTCACAACGGGCTGTCTGGGTGCAGAGGTATTGGGTGGCCGCTCTCGGATGTTAGAGATAGAGTCCACCATGTGTCGTTGTCTACAATTGGTCGACCCCATCGCCTCGATCATCGACCGATGCTGATTTGTAAGACTTGTTCGTTTAGCACAGAAATTACCGCCAGAAAGCGGTTCCTCGGCCGATAGAGGGTCTGGTGATTCGAGCTCAGCGATTAGATCCGAGTTGGAAGGACTCTGCATGTGAGTTGCCAGCTCTGAGCTGCTCACACCATGAGTTGCTCCATCCGCATACTGGTTGTTGTGATACCCGGAGCCGAAAAAGCTCGAGCCCATACTGCCATTCCCAGAGGCAGACGAAGCATGCCCATCATTCGCTCCGAAGCCACTTCCCGGAAACTGGAATTCATTAGGGCCATGGCCAGGACCTCCACTACCTCGTCCACGGTCATCACTATTTCGCCGACTCTGACTGGCGCTGGTGCTCGTCGAGCTGCTTCCTGATAACCGGCAATGCTCCGAAACACACTTGAAGTAGCCTTCCCATGAGTCCACAGGCCTGGAACACAGGCCACATGCACGGGGTGGCCGCATGCGAGTCTCGATAATATTGATCTGCTCCCGGGTGGCTCGCCACCGAAACCCGTGAGCAATTCGCAAGTGCGAGTGAACCTTGTCCTTGCGGCTCGTCTTCCACGCGCAATGGTCATCCAGACAACGGTAGATAAACCGAGGGCAGTGCTCATAGGAAACATGCCGCCGGAATGAGGCACGGGTGGTGAACTGTTTGCGCTGCCCACTCGGGCAGAGCAGACACAAATACTTGTTAATCCTGGAGCCGGGCTCGGCCAGCCTTTCGGATATGTCGATCTGCTGCTGGATCATTCCATCCAGCCTGTTCCAGGAGACTCGCAGGAAGTCTTTGGCATCGTGTAACTGGGGTACGCGACGCTGCAGTACGACGCTCTGGACTGTGTTCATCAGGTTATCCACGGCGTGCTTGAGTTGATCCGGGTATATTTCGTTTGATGGCTGGACATTAGGTGCCAAGTATAGCGGGTCAGTTGCGGTGTCGTAGTTGGCCGTGGCGGCTAAAGGAATCTCGCTGTTGAATGGAGCCTGGACCCCTGCTAAAAGGTTGGTTGGAGGCTCGGGGAAGAGAGGGATTCCAAAGTCTGGGGGAAGAATGTCCTCCGAGGGGCTTATACTAATCGCAGGAGACTCGAGGGAGGGAATCGACGATGGACTGGGTTGCTAGACACTACAGTCAGATGACATAATGGCGAGAGTAAGACTTCAAGACACCATACCGATGAGCTGACCCCGTAGGCTCCAGTAGGCATGAGATGGCCATGGTCCGCCTGAGTCTGATCATTTGGATAGGTGAATGGCATAGACCAGGCATTGTTGCTCGGATCGTCATTCATGGCCGCACAGAAGATTATCGGCGCGAGGCGGACTACCAATGGGAACACTCGGCAAGACTGGTGACTGCGAAGGCAACTGAGTAAGAGAACAAGGCTTGAATAAGCGACAGCAGACAGCACTTGGCTCGTAACAAGCAACGGAAGGTCACAAGTACAGTAAGACTAGATTGAATCTGATAAACTATGATTCTCACTTTAAAGAAAAATGTTCAATGTCGAGCACCTCACTTGCAAGAGAGAGGAGGAATTTTCGAGAACTCAAGAAGGTCAAGGAAGCCCGGAGGAAAGACTACCATATTTATGGTACTATCGCTACTCCGATATGTTTTGGTCAAGTAGCATTGAGAATCACTGCTTGCCCCAGCAAGTGGTATGTCCGAGAGCGCTAAGCAAGTGTGTCCCAATGCCATGACGTTGCGTGGCTTGTTGCAACAGGACAGTCCTTTCAATCGTTCGATTCAACCCAGGGCATGTCGGAGCCTTGCCCGCAGCGACGCCCGGCCGGTGGTCATTTGGAAGCTGCCACTGCGTAGCTTGATAGGCAGACAATTGCACAGTTGCCTAGACGTTCCTGGAGGAAAAGCAAAATAAAAGATAATGGCGTTGACTTGCTGACGCGAATGCCCCGATGCTGCAAGGGAATTAATTACCTGCCAGCTCTATTAACTGTCACCTTGATTTTGTGGGGCGATGATTGGGCAAAGCTACGCAAATCAAGCAAGCTTGATGTCTCTTTATGAGCTCAATTCAGGATTAAAGACTGCCGTTGCAATCTCTAGGAGCGGTGCGACGACATCTAGATCCTTGTGGCACCCAGGCACAAAGGAAGTCGCAAGAAACCGACTTCTTTACATTGCCATTGCATGAGCTCTGCCCATAAATTTGTAGCTTTTACTTACATTGGTGCCTTCAAGGGAAAAATTGACGAAGTGCACGTAGACTAAGAACCGAGATAGTATATCTGAAACTATGCCGTAGCCCGGAAAATCTTCAGAATGAAGGTCTTCATAAGGATTGAAGTGAGGCGTTCGGAACCCGGAATCAAAGTCCTGAGTGCACTGAACCCAAGCGTTGCTTCACTGCCATGTCGTGGGTAAAGATCGGAAGGATGAGAGCAAGGCCACAAGTTCCGGGCTCCTTCAGCTGGGACCTGAAGCACCCCTCTTGGGCAAACGGCACTACTAGCTCTGAGCCTCTGCTGCGCCACTGTAAACTCGTAGAACTGATTAACTTCTGGACCTCCAGGAGTGACTTGAGTCTGGCCATATCAGACCAGCCTGGGGTAAGATCTAGACGGCGGGAGTCAAGACATGCTTACGGTCATAAGGTAAGTCAGGATAAGTAGTGGAGAAGACGGATACTCCAAACTTTCCGTCATCGAACGCCGGACATTTTTTTTCTTTGAAGCTGGATCAGATAGTTTACAAATTCAACTTGGACGTTCTGTTGCAACAAACAATCGACCAACCAAGTGAGATTGTGGAGGGTGTGGCAACAACGAGCTTTGACGGTCAATTACTATTTCTCCTATGAGTTCGTGCCTGCATGAGTAACAGGAAGGAAAATGGTGTGAAGCGCCTCATTCATTGTTTGTGATTTCCCTTCGCGATGTGGAGGAGGCTCTGCTTCTCCCCGGTCAGCCTTTTTCCTTCCCGAATTCAACCGCCCTCCAGAGTCTCTTGTCCTCGCAATTGATTGTCTACGTCGGGTAAGAACAGGGATGATGGATGGATATTGCAGCCCAAGGCAAAAGTTGCGCCAGTCTGAGATGGGCTCCTTCCGCTGGGCTGAGACCTGCACGACATCCAGCCGAGTAATCTGTGGCTGTGCAATGACCTAGGTGATTCCCCTCATCTACAGCACTGCACATGGAACTAGAATCAGTCCCTGACGACATTGTGGCTATGAGACCTTTCATTTAGTTCCAACAGCAGCTATAATACCCTGGTCTGATTCGTTCTCGATTCCAAAATGAAGTTGTCATAGACCACTCCGTACGTCTCGAATGAGAATGGCATACTCGAAAGAAAATTCGGGATGAACCGGAGCAGGCAAGTGAGGCTGGTTGCCAGCCACATCCGTTAAGGTGCTCAATATCAGCAACATCTATCCAAGAGCCATCAATGGCTTAATCTAACCTAGCCCCAGTTATCTTGAGCAATAGCTCCTCTGCCACTTGGACCCCTGTCATCACAGTGGGCAGTCCCATAGCAGCAGATCCCGTAGCTTGCACACCCTCTCTCCCCTGATTAGTTAAAGTAACATAATAACCAGCAGAAGCTCCGACCTTCGTCCCTTAGCACCTCTCTAGATGGCTAAGCATGCAGCTCTAGTCCTCTAGTCCACCACTGCACAGCCTCTTACCAATGTTGGCTTCTCCGAGCGAGAGAGCTACCATGACTTGCACGACCAACAAGTCTCCCTGAAGGTTGCATCGCGTCAAGCTTGGCTAGAGAGCAGTAGAAATGAGATCAGTGATTTAGCGATCTGCGCGCAGCAGGGTACAAGACGAAGATGCGTAATGAGGTAGCATCTGGGTGAGTTCCGTGTAAGATGCTGGACATAGTCATGCTTTTCGGCCTCTGCGTTGCGTGCAACTATGCCCTGGTCGATTGGCTCGGTTTGTGCCGCGACGGCATCTCCGATACTACAATGCTTATGCAGAGCATTCGAGTCCGAGACTAACGCGGGTTGCTCGTTGACTTATATCGTTGTTCCGTACGCGCAGCTTGAGATTGAATGTACATACGCAATCTGGGTTACACGGCGTCGTACGATTTTTGCACTTTCCTCCGTCTACCGAGGCCTTCAATTTAAGCTGTCCATATGAATTGTTTCGAAGACTGTAAATAGGAAGAGTGAGTGGTTTAAGAAGAAGATCAAGGGCAAGGTTCGTTCTTGAAATAGTTTCTCGATTGGAAGATGGTACAATGGCTTGGGATGATGTTCTACATTGTCTTCATTGTAGAGGGTGTGGTATATACACAAATCCTCGCCCGTCCGGTAAATCAAACACTAATCGCTTAGTGGGGGTGGTTCTTGATGTGGCCTGCTCTATTGTTAGCGCTCATGGTCACACAATTTTGAGCCACAAAACGTACGGAGGTGGAAGTAGTAGTCCATGCTGTAGCCGAGGAGGAGGATACCAGCGATAGCGTGGATGAAGGCTGTAAATCGAGAATGTTAGCTTGCTCCATTATGAGTATCCTGCCGTTATCACTTACGAGTAGCGGACTGGTTCTTTCCGGTGAAGTAGCGAGCCTGGTAGCGGCCGATGAGACCGGTGGCCTTGACCTCAGGGGCGGCACCGCGAGGAAGTCTGGCGTAGAAGTTCACAACACGGTCCATGCGGGCAGCATCCTTAGCAGCGCCGATCGCCTTTTTAGTTTGTTAGCTGCGGTGACGAAGAAGGGGTGTGCGGGCTGTTGAGCCGAGGTCACAAAAGCAAGAAAGAGATTGCTCCTGGCGGCAGCGTCTGGGTAGGAGAGCAGACAACGGGGGGACATGGGTTCTCACGTTGGGGGAAGCGATCTAAACAAAGATTAGCACTCATCTTACCATATCGCAATGCTGTTCTCTGGCTGTAGTCGGTCGGGTCTTACCTTGGGAGGGATCAGGGTCGAAAGACCGCGGCGGGCGATGTAGCTCATCTTGAATGATCTATCGAGGGTCGCGTTAGGGAATTCTCCAATCGGTGATAGTAAGGAGAGAATCAACGAGAATGACGTCTCGGAAAAGTCGACTCACCTTGACGCTAGCAGGTTAACTAGGACAATGAATACTGACGGAGAGAAGAGAGAAGTGCCAACAGAAAGCGGGTTGTCGGATGAGCGGTTCCTAACGCAGGGAGCCTCATTATTGCGCTAAGCCTAATTCGGATTTGTCTGAACAACCGGCACTCGCCGCATACCTCACCTTGCAATTGCCTTCCCGCAGCTGCTCCTTCACCTGCCCACTCTACAGACCACATATACCCATCATGTCGCTTGCAAGAGCAGGAAGATTCGCCTGCCTCCGCGCTGGCAGGCTCACCGCGCCCGTCAATGCCCGTTTTGTGTCCACCAGCGACGGCTCCGTCAACACCAGCCCTGCTGATGCCCCGACCATCCCTCACAAAGACAGCTCATTGATCCGCAAGGAGAGCCCTTCGCAGGCAATGGCTCGTCACCAGCCCGATTACGAGGCCACCATTGACCACGGAACCTCGTGAGATCTTTTTCTTGGCGATTCGGAAAATACTGCATCGGCTGACGACGGACTCAGGCAATTCTCCCCCGTGCCCAAGCGCGTCATGGATGGCAGCGAGCCCGGTGACACTGTTGCTGCCGCTGTCCTGTCCGGCGCTCCCACCGATCTGCAGGCTCGTACCGTTCGGTGAGTGATTCGGTCGGTTATCGGTCCTCAGTGCTCTGACCGTGATATAGGATCTACCGCCCTACGAAGCCCGCTACTCAGTCTGGAACCTGGCACGGCCACCACTGGAGAATGGATTGGGATATTTTGCAGAAGGGCCACCGGTGGGAGAACCCTCTGATGGGCTGGCAGTCCTCTGCCGACTGCATGCAGGGCACCCACCTCAAGTTCAAGTCCAAGGAGGATGCCATTCTGTTTGCGCAAAAGCAGGGCTATGAATATTTCGTTCAGGAGCCCAATGAGCGCCGGTTCGTTCCCAAGTCTTACGCCAACAACTTCCTTCACGAGCCGAAGAAGATCAAGCACATCAAGACCAAATAAATTGAGTTTTCTCGGTGTCTCGTGTACATAAGTGCAGGCTTTTGTTCTAGTTCTGAATCATGCTCGGAGGTCATTCACAATGTTTTCAATATTTTCGGAATTCCCTACATATCTTGAGGGTCGGGCGTTGATGGAATATTGGCAAGGGTTTTGCCCAGAAGGCGGCTCGGCTGCTATACCGCCAAGAGGGACCTTCACTACCTATGGATCAGGACGTTCTCTCATGCTATATATGCAACAAGAGGTTGAATCACAAGATCTCTAACCTGACTCCGGGTATATTAGCATTCAAACATGGATCTTATACCCTTTGACATTCAGTAGCATGTCTCAGGCTAAATTCTTCATGATTTTTTCTTGCAGTGATTGTCATTCCCTTGTACCATCAACGAATGCTTCCTTGTGGACTGTGTTCTGGGAGAAGTACTCGATAAGCTTAGTTGTATCGTGTATTTTTACGCTGGAATATCGTCCTGCATACCATGACTCCGTGATGGAACGTTATTTCGACTACTAAATATGGATGCCATTCGAGGAGATCATCACATCAAGTTCAAGAATGAAGTGTTGAATACAATTTTACAGAGCTGACCGTTACAATTGACCTAGCCCACCGTGGCATGAAAAGACGGGTCAAATGCAACGCTGCAATCGTGCAGTTGGAACCACTAGCGCAACCTAATACACTGTATTTTGCGCCTGTGCCAATATTGGTGATAATCTGGGCCAGTATCCGGTATATAGGTCGTCGGCGCATGTACTGTACAGTACATGGTGGTCCTCGCCCCACAAAATCAAAAAGCAAATCGACTTGCGTTCTTTGCCCCAATTTGCGCTTCCCTCAGCGTTCCAACAGAGATAAGATCTGTTCCGCAGCGAGGATGGCGCCTACCGGCACGTTTCGATCCGGGTAGTGGTGGTGGCTTGGAGAGATTTTAAAGCAAAAGACGCCTAGCCCACGGCCACGGCACCCCGCCCCCCCACCTAAAATTTATTATCGGGTGGGTGATAAGATCGAAAAATTGTCCCTCTTCCATGATCGACCATCTCCCCTACTCGCTTGTCCCCTCTACAGTACCTCATTCACTCACGATTACGACCTCAAATAATATTCCTAATCGCCATGTCTTCTGTGGCCAACGATAATCTCGAGGGTGTTGACGAGACCGTCCTCACCCTGCGCAAAGTTCTTACGTCCGAGTCCGAGCCCCTCGCTCGCCGATTCCGCGCCCTTTTCTCCCTCAAGTACCTCGCTTGCCTGCAGCCCCCCAATGAGAAGACCTTGCCGGCCATCCAGGCCATCGCCGCGGGCTTCTCGTCCAAGTCGGCCCTCCTGAAGCATGAGCTCGCCTACTGCCTCGGTCAGACCCGGAACCCCGACTCCGTGTCCTACCTCCAGCAGGTCCTGAAGGACACCGAAGAAGATGCCATGTGCCGCCACGAGGCTGCGGAAGCTCTCGGTGCGCTGGGCTACGAGGATAGTTTGGAGATCCTCAAGGCTCTGAGAGATAATGAGAAGGAACTCGACGTCATCCGCGAAACCTGCGACATCGCGGTTGACCGTATCATTTGGGAGAACTCTGAGGAGAGAAAGGCCGAGAAGCTGAAGCCTAGGTATGTCTACGCGATTTCAGATTGATTCTTCACGTATGTATTCGACGGGCTAATCTTTGGGATATGAACAGTGACTTCACCTCTATCGACCCCGCCCCGCCACTACCCATGGCCACCGAAAAACCTTCCATCCCCGAGCTGGAGAAGACCCTGCTTGACACGAAACTTCCCCTGTTCCAGAGATACCGCGCAATGTTCGCACTGCGCGATCTCGCCTCGCCTCCAGATTTGCCCACGGCCGTCCAGGCGGTCGAAGCGCTGGCCAAGGGCCTCAAAGATCCCTCCGCTCTTTTCCGTCACGAGGTTGCCTTCGTCTTCGGTCAATTGTGTCATCCCGCCTCCGTGCCTTGTCTGACGGAGACTCTCAGCGACCAACAAGAGATGGGTATGGTGCGACACGAAGCCGCCGAAGCTCTCGGCAGCTTGGGCGATGTGGAGGGTGTCGAGGATACATTGAAGAAGTTCTTGAACGACCCGGAGCAGGTGGTAAGGGATAGTATCATCGTGGCGCTTGATATGGCGGAGTTCGAGAAGAGCGGGGAAGTTGAGTACGCCCTGGTGCCAGACTCGGCTGCCCCTGCTGCGGTGTCTGCTTGATTGATGAATTATGCGAACAAAGATATTACAGTGTCGGTAAATAGTTGCTTTCATGCCTCATAGATGTACAAATGCGGGCCAAAAAATAGACGTCATGATTTTCGCTTTTTAGTTGTTCATCGTCTCCCTGTAGAAAGCGGTCAATGATATTGTCCGGGGATGGATGGGCCGGGAGGAAGAGGCATGGTACATACTTGTAACCACAAACACATGTGTAGAAGACTGTACTTCCTTCATCTGCACTGCGCAGTTGCACCGTTGTGAAGTACATTTCCTTTCTACCACACTTGGCGCACGTGTGCTGGGCGAGGGCTTCCGTCCTTCTGTCTTCCGCTGTCAAAGTCTGGACAGCAGATCGCTTGGCTCTGAGGGATGAAGGAAAAGCGCTGGGCTTGGATTCGGATACAATAGTCTGAGGAACGGTATCTGAATGAAAAGAGGCGTGTCAGTGACATGATCATATCTGCCGGCTTTGTCCCGTCTAACCTTTATTTTTGGCTCCGCAGACATCGCAGATTAGGATCTTGCTGGGGTCACCAATTGAGCCATCCAGCAAAGATCCACAGTCCGTGCAGAAGACGAGAGATCCGATGGCCGACATAGTGGGCGAAAATAAGTGCAAAGATGTAAGTTTTGTTGTACGTATTGATCAGTGAGCCTGGCAACTTTTTTTTTCCCGCAGTGAGGAAAGCGGCCTCCGGAAAGATTTCCACTGCACGGGCCACTTTCCCATCGCCCAGCACTACATTAGTCGCGGGCGGTCAGCAGCGGCAGCGGCATGAGAACCGTGCCTGGCATTAATTATTGCATCAGTTTGTCTTGGGATTTGTTGACATCCACTCAGCTGTCAAAGCATCCTTTTTTTTGGGAATGATCCCTCATTCGCTTGACAGATAGCCATGTCTCTGGATGGAGCATGTCTTCCCCCACTGTCTTAACTCTCTCGTCATACCGACCCCTATTCCCCAACTGGGAATACCGCTGTTATGGCTCAAAATTGGCATCCGGCCGTTCAGGTCGTCATCAATGGCCATCCACAAGCGCAACCTGTTGGCCCGGGTGGGCAAGCCCGGGGCTGGAATAGGCCCCTGTTCGTGGAAGAAGCTCTACAGTGCTCCCCTATGTATACTGCACCGGTATTTGGAATAGGTCAGTGTGATATAGATTCTGGGCGACAAAGGAGCTTAAACTGATAGTTACCGTCTCCCTTTAGATTGCATCCTACGCCCTGATGTCGGACGACCCCCCAGTACCACTTCTATCAATCACATCGTTCAGTCTGGTCGCACCACACTGAGCGATCTGAACAATGAAATCCAGTCGGGACGCGCCGAGTCGAATCGCTTGGAGACTTCTCGCGAGTACTTGCAGCAATTGCTGGATGGCGACCAGCTGACGGAATAGTGAGCTCAAAATGACCTTTCATATACAAAATATAAGCTCACTGGGTGCATAGCAAGTTCAAACTGCCACCAGGGATTGGGAGTATGCAGCCGCCATCGTCCACCGAGGTTCACGACCATGTTCCCAGTAGTAATAAGCTTGGTCCCTTTGCTCAAATGATGTTGAATGCCACGGACATTGCATTCAGATGTATGGAACTCGAGCATCCAGTCTTACCTGATACGCTCTCAGACTGACATTGAATAGATCCGACATCAGATGAAATGGATATTTCGCAGAAGCCTACGTCGGGGAATGAACAGATACCTCTCACAAACAAACCAACTCCCGCTCCTCAGGATCGGCCGTCCGCTCAGCCAGGCCAGCTCTCGGTAGTCATTCCCGTGAAACCACTCCCGCCTCATACCGACGATCATGGTGCCTCGAAGAGGCGGAAACTCAATGCAGACGGGCTTGACAATCTTGCATCAATCCGATTGAAAGATCAGAAAGAAGAGGCGGATGCCGCTCTTGTGAAGTTACAGGATCTTTTTCAGGAGATATTTGAAGCGGAGGATCAGCTTGATCCGGGCACAATGTCAGAAGGAACTACTGAGCAATCCAATGCGATTTTCATCGCAGCTCACGCGCTGGACGTGAACGGACTAGTTCTGTCATCAGATGCTCATACGCGGTTGCAAAAGGCCATTAAAAAGGTCATTAGCTTCAATCGGCTTCAGGACATTCCCTCAGAGTATATGAACAGGGCCCAAAAGCTCTGTGAAAAGCCCATCATTGCTGCGCAGTCGCCTCATCTAAGACTAGACGATCCATCAAGTGAATCGGACACTCAAGATTGGCTTAGAAAACTGGATGATATGCACAATGCCTTGTATGCGGTGGGCACGTTGCTGCAAACTATGTCTGGTTCTCAAACGGAGCGAGATCTATGCCCAGAAGACTTGATCGAAGCCATTCCCAATGTCTTCAACCAGGTTTTCGATCACTGCGTTATTCCTGCTGTTCAAGCACGTCCTGGAGGCAAAGATGCGAAGTATTTTGAATTCTTTTCGGCACAGAAACGAGTGCTAGGTGCGCTCATCCAACAGAGCAAGAAGGTACTTGCCCTCTTCGCCGATTTCCTCGCACGCATTGAAGTGTCCGAGGGAACAGTCAATGCGGCCGAATACTTTGCAGCTAAACTCATTTTCGTGGAGAATGCTCACACTGAAAAAGACTCCACTGTCGGCTATCAGAAGTATGAGTCGGTCCGGCGGGGCGCTATGGATGTTCTGGCAAAGATATTCTCGAAGTATCCTGCCCAACGGCCGTATATTCTAGATGAGATCTTGGTTTCTTTGGAGAAACTTCCTTCCACGCGGCAGAGTGCCAGGCAGTTCAAGCTTGCCGATGGCAAAAACATTCAGCTTCTTACTGCATTGGTGATGCAGCTTGTGCAGACGACCGCCTTGGATGTTCCCAGCTCTAAATCATCCAAAATGAAACGTAAGTTGCCAGGGGCAACTGATGAGGACGACGAAGAAGATGAGGAGCTTGTGGGAGACGGTCAAGAAGACGATCACCAGGATTCGGAAGTGTCGTTGGAGCGCCTTGCGACAAAAGTCAATCGCCTATATGATAATGCCGTACGAAGTGCCCAATATATTGTCAAGTTCATCGTACAACGGGCGATGACTTCGACCAAGACTGGAGACCAACCGTATCGGAACATCTTCGACCTTTTCACCGAAGACTTGATTAGCGTTCTTGGTTCAACAGATTGGCCGGCTGCGGAATTACTTCTCCGAATCATGGCGTCTCACATGGTTGGTATTGCTGATCTTGATAAGAGCTCTGCGACCGCGAAGAGCATGGCTCTTGAGCTTCTAGGCTGGATGGGCTCCGCCATCTCTGACCTGATCGCAACCGCTCAGCATCTGCTTCCAGCCATGGAAGAATCAGACAGTGATCTCACCGATGATTTGAGGCAAATGTTTGAGGACTACTCAAATCGCGCTCTACACCCGCAGGACCTCGTTGTAGCGGAGGGTCCGTACCGGATGACTCTTGAGTATCTTATACAAGACCGCAGCGCAGATAATTGGCAGCTCACAAGTGCTCGCGGGTACTTCCTCGCACAATGGGCCAAAACGTTTTGTTCCGTCTACTACAACGCCGAAGGCCAAGATGACCCCGCGGATGATGATTCCAACGATGATTTGGTAGAACTCTTTATGAAATCTATGTCTGATCCGCTGTGGCTTGAAACTAATCGGTAAGTGACTCAAAAGACTGCAGTGAATGCTGAGGACATATTACTGACTCTTCTAGACACTTTGACAACATCCCTACGGCACATGGCCGGTTGGCTTACATCATGACAGTCCTGAATTCGGGTTTCTGCAAAGCTTTCGATACCATTTTAAAAGTTCTGCTCAACTCAATCGCCAGCGACCAGGCCAAAGTTCGAAGCCGGAGTCTGAAAAGTGTTATCTACATGCTTGAGAAGGACCCCAGCCTTCTCGACCGAGACGCTTCTGTCATGCGTGTGATTTTGCGTTGCGCAACGGATGCTTCTCCGATGGTGCGCGACTCTGCGCTGTCTTTGATCGCCAAATGCATGGTCCTGAAGCCGAAGCTCGAGGAGGAAGGCTGCCGAAGCATTTTGGCCTGCGCCGCCGATCCGACTGCAGGTGTGCGGAAGCGGTGCATTGCATTACTGAAGGACATTTATCTCAAAACATCGCGCATCGAGCTAAAGCTTGCTATTGTGGACAGCTTCTTGCAGCGAACGAGTGACTTCGAAGAAAGCGTGGCCACACTGGCTCGCCAAACTTTCGAGGAAATATGGCTCACACCCTTCCACGACCTCATAGACTCTGCTCAAGATGGTTCGAAGCTTAAGGTGGGCCTTGGTGAGCGCGTGACTCTGATCGTTGACCTCGTTCAACGTAGCGACACAGCGCTTGAAACTCTAGGCAACTGTCTTAGAAAGATCATGTCCGATACTTCAAAGTCCGCACCTCTCAATTTCAAGGTGTGTAAGGCAATGGTCTCAACCATGTTTGAGAAACTAGTTGAAGACAATGAGTCCGGCAAAGACTTTCAGCAAGCATTGTTGCAGACTATCACCGTATTCGCGAAAGCTAACGCAAAGCTGTTCCGTCCCGATCAGTTGGAGACGCTGCATCCTTATATTGGACATTTGGCCACGGCGGAGGATCTCTTCCTTTTTCGGTCTGTGGTTGTCATTTATCGTTGTGTCCTACCGTACTTGTCGTCGGCCCATAATACTCTGCTGAAAGAGGTGCAGAACGACCTTTTCAAGAGTGTTGCCAAGCTCGCTCGCTCCGAACTCAACGAAGTCATGGCTTGTCTGTGGACCATCAACGGTGTTCTCAATAATACCGACAGGCTCGTGAAGCTCACAATCTCGGTGCTGAAACCCATTCAACACTACAAGAACATCGATCTCTCGGATAGCACCAACAGTGCCGTGTTGGCTAGAGCCAAGAGCTATATTCGCATCGCTGGATGTGTTGGAAGGCACTGTGATCTCGAAAAATACGAGCCTCATTTTAGAGCAGCCTTTCCATCTTGGAACGGCGGATCAGTAGCGGGCTTGATGGTGGATTCTATGATACCTTTCACCAATTCGAAGCAACCGCTTGAACTAAGGGTTATGTCGCTGGAGAGCTTGGGGTCTATCTGTCAGTCTTGGCCAGCCCAGTTTGGCCGCGAAGGCCCCAGACAGGTCTTGTCCGGTGTGTTCAAGGAAGATAACCCGAGTCTGCAGAACATTGTTCTCAGATCGTTTGCCGACTTCTTTGCAATGCATGAAGGCAAGGCAGAAAAGTCAGTGGTGGCTGCTGCCGAGATTGCAGAACAAGAGAAAGCAACCAGACTAGGAGGATCTCTGAAGGCCAGCGACAACGATGGCGCTGCGGCGTTGATTGCCCAACACTTCCTGCACAGCATGCTTAAGGTTGCGCAATCACGGCAAGACTCCTATGCCTTGACTGCAATTGAGTTGATAGCTAGCATTAACCGTCAAGGCCTAGTGCACCCTAAAGAATGTGCTGGCGTTCTTGTCTCTTTGGAGACGTCTACGGTACCAGCAATCGCCAAGGTGGCAACCGAGACTCATAGGATGCTTCACCAGCAGTACGAATCTATGTTCGAAAGAGAATACATGCGTGCTGTCCAGGAAGCCTTTTACTACCAGCGCGATGTCGTGGGCGATCCCAGCGGCGCATTGAGCCGCCCGTACATTGCGAAACTGGCGCCACTGTTCGAAATCATCAAGATCAGCAACAGTCGCTATCAGAGGAAGTTTCTGTCGAATCTTTGCTCCAAGGTCGATTTCGAATTGAAAAAGCTCAACGCCACCGGTGAGCCGCCCGAGCATCTTTTGCTCGCTCGGTTTGTGGCGCAGAATCTTGCGTTCTTCGACTATGGCCAGCTTGCCGAACTTGTGCCGACTATTGGGTGCATGGAACGCATTGTGTCTGCAACAGGAACTGTTGTAGCTCACTCGATTGAGACGGAAATCTTTCTTTCCAAGCCTGAGGTTCCTGTTGAAGACGGGACGAATTTACCTGTGGCACAAGGCCCAGGAGACATGGCCCCGAAACCGCAGGTCAATCCAGGGACTCTGCGGCTACTGACTACAGCTGCTGCATCGCTAGCGATGCTTTGGGAAGCCCGAACATATCTTCGTCGTCTCTATGGAGTTACGGCGCATGTCCGCGACAAGGAGGCTAAAGCTGGGTCCAAGGAGCTCAACAAGTCGGCTACAAAGGTGCACGGAATTACTGGTGATAAATTCTGGGATGCAATCGCACGGAACATGAACTCGTTGAGCAGTGAAGAGGCCATGATTGAGAAGTGTCGCGAGTTTGCCACTTTGCTTGCCATCGACGACGAATTCAAGGTGGGAGACAACGAAGATGCCGAGGGCGAAGAAGTCACCGACATGGATGATCCGGGAGCTGCATGGGCTTCCGCTGGTAAGCAGAGACCTGCGAAGAGAAAGAACTCGACGTCCGGGCAGAGTCCCGTGAAGCGCCCGCGCGGGCGAAAGAGCGGCTCGGGGAAAAAACGAGCCAGCACCGAACCGGGAGAAGAGCCGGATTGGCATTGACAGTCGTAGCCGAGACCGTTGATCGGATCGGTTTGATGGAAGGAGTGTAACTGAGCTGTTCACATAGTCGGAAGGTTGCATGCATATGAGACCGGTTACTGGCGTTTATGGAAAGACGACTTGCTTTGATATCTGAGCGCTATTTACGAACCCTTATACTTATTCCCATTCTTCTATACCATGAGGCATGCTCACTGGTTTCTTTCGTTTGTTATTCATATATTCATACTCCGGGAATTGTGGCTCATGTACTCATGTACTACGGGTTGGAACTTTTCCTTTTTTTCGGTCAAGTGATCCTAGCATGCTGGGTGTGGACTGACAACATAGATACTTTAAACACTTTACCAGATGCTATCGACAGCCTCCTTCCTCCTGCCTCTGTCTGTATGCTAAGTGTAGATGTAGCTCATAAGATCCATAAAATGAAGACCGGTAATGCCAAGCCGGGCCCTGCAGGCCGAGTGGGTCTGTTCTTAGCGTGCTTGGCTGCCAATGACGTCGCCTGCCACTCACTCTTTTTCGCGTGTCCGGCTCTCTCACCAGTGACGCCAGCCCGTTTTCTTGTTGTGTTCACTTCATCTTCCCTCACTCTCACTCTGCGGTGTAGCTTCGTTGTTGGGTGCTCTTCACTCGCTTTCTTCCTCAATTTATAGTCCCTTCTATCTTTAGGGCCTGGTGCGGGTTAGTGGTTATCGCCCCCGGACTTCTGACTCCGCGGTTCTCGCAGTGTTTCTCTCTCCCCTACCGCTTCCATGAGCGCAGCTTTACTCCGGAGTCGTCCGGACACTTCTGCGCTGCGGAGAGTCGGCCTTCTCTCCCGTCGCTATAACTCCTCCAAGCAACCGGGCTCAATTGGCTTGGTCGCAGCTCGAACCCGGTCGTCTCGACCGAAGCCCACCGCTCAATGTCTGGCGTCGCGTGCGTTCTTCACTCCCGGGTACTCGGCCCGCCATAAATCCACCACAGCACAAGCCGCTGAGGTCGTGCAACGATCCTCCCTTCGCAACATCTTATTCAAATCCTTCGCATACTGTGGCTTCTTCATTGTTATGAGCGGTGCGGCCGTGGTCGCTTTCTTTATCTACGATGCCACCACATACCGCGAGAAGTCCAGCGCCGCCGACGTCCCGGTTTCGGAACTGGCTCTGAACCCCCGACGGGGTGGCCCGAAGAACCTGCCCATTGCGGAGGTCCTCATCAGTGACAATGACTCGGATGATCGATTGGCTTCGAAGGACAAGCCTAGGCTAGTCGTGTTGGGAACGGGCTGGGGCAGCATTGCGCTGCTCAAGCACCTCAACCCGGGTGACTACCACGTCACGGTGGTGTCCCCCACCAACTACTTCTTGTTCACGCCGATGCTGCCGTCCGCGACGGTGGGTACTCTCGGCTTGCGGTCCCTTGTGGAGCCGGTTCGTCGCATCGTGCAGCGGATCAATGGTCATTTCCTCAAGGGACAGGCCGAAGACGTGGAGTTTTCGGAGAAATTGGTCGAGGTGTCTCAGGTGGATGCCAACGGCAAGGAGCATAGGTTCTATCTTCCTTACGATAAGCTGGTGGTCGGAGTTGGTACGTTCTTGTTCTGGCCGAGTTGGAAGCGTGTCCTGCAAACTAACGTTGCACTTTTCCATTTACAGGCTGTGTGACCAACCCCCATGGTGTCAAGGGCCTTGAGCACTGCCACTTCCTCAAGTCCATCGACGACGCTCGCAAAATCAAGAACCAAGTCCTGGAGAATATGGAACTGGCCTGTCTTCCGACCACCAGTGACGAAGAGCGCAAGCGTCTCTTGTCGTTTGTTGTCTGTGGTGGTGGCCCGACCGGCGTGGAGTTCGCTGCTGAGCTGTTCGATCTCTTGAACGAGGATCTCCTTCACTCTTTCCCCAAGATCCTGCGGAATGAAATCTCCGTGCATATCATTCAAAGCCGCAGCCACATCCTCAATACCTACGATGAAGCACTGTCCCGATACGCCGAGGTGGGTTTATGCGTTTTTGCACTTGGATTCTTTGTACTAACGGCCAACCTAGTCTCGATTCGCTCGCGACTACGTGGACGTCTTGACCAATGCTCGAGTCAAGGAAGTCCACGATGACAAGGTCCTCTTCACCCAGACTGAAGACGGCAAAACTGTCACCAAGGAGATTCCCATGGGCTTCTGTCTCTGGTCCACTGGTGTCTGTAAGTATTCCAAAATTGCTATCGATGTATTTTTGACTAACTGGGCAGCCCGCGCTCCTCTTTGCAAACGACTCTCCGACAGACTCGAATCCCAAAATAACAGGCATGCCCTGGAAACTGACTCTCACTTGCGCCTAATTGGCGCACCGTTGGGCGACGTCTACGCGATCGGCGACTGCAGCACGGTGCAGAACAACATCGCCGAGCACATTGTGTCCTTCCTGCGCACCATTGCATGGGAGAAGGGCAAAGACCCGCAGAAGTTGCACCTGACCTTCCGCGAGTGGAAGGAAGTCGCCAATCGCGTCAAGAAGCGTTTCCCTCAGGCTTCGAATCACCTCCGGCGGCTTGACAAACTCTTCGAGCAATACGACAAGGACCACTCGGGCACCCTTGACTTCGGCGAACTCTCTGAATTGCTACACCAGATCGACAACAAGCTGACCTCGCTCCCGGCTACCGCGCAGCGCGCCAACCAGCAGGGTGAGTACCTCGGTCGCAAGTTGACCAAGATCGCAGCCGCGTTGCCGGGTATGCAGGTCAACCAGATTGACTATGGGGATCTGGATGAGGCGGTGTACAAGGCCTTTAAGTATAAGCATCTGGGCAGTTTGGCATACATTAGCAATGCGGCGGTATTTGACTTTGGAGGCATGAACTTCAGTGGCGGCGTGTTGGCGATGTATCTGTGGCGGAGCGTGTACTTCGCCGAGAGTGTGAGCTTCCGGACCAGATGTATGCTGGCCATGGACTGGGCGAAGAGAGCGCTGTTTGGAAGAGATCTTATGAGTTTTTAGTATTATAGTTTTATGAGTTTATTCCCGACCCCCTTCGTCATAGTGGGGGTTAATTTAGATGCATGAATGACCTTAATTCTTCCGCCCACACAATGAATGTTGGATGTATGAGAGGACAAAGATCTAGGAATCTCCGTGAATTCACGCTTTTGCTTATTCCGAAGTGGTACCGAGTAAATCAGAAGGTGTAGGGATCTTCGGAGCTTGAACCATTTAGACTGCGCCACACGATGGTGGCTAACGTCATTCCCGAGTATTCCCTTTGCTTCTTCTTCTTTTACTCAGACTGGGACTTGTTCAGCACACACACTTTCACTTCCTCTTCCCCTCCCCCACCTCCTTTTCTCTTCCTTCTCTTCTCTATCTCGACTCCTTTGAACTTATTTATTTATTGATTGCTTGGTACTTACCCAGGGCTCATTCTGTACTTATCACTCCCAATACATTCCGTCCTTGTGGCTATTTTTTGTGCTGATCGTTCCTTCTCCTGCTCTTTGTACGCCGTCGTCATTGCTCTTGATGTATCTTTAGAAGCGAGCTTTCCTGCGTTTATCCTCCAGGCCGGGCCTGTGACGAACCGAAAGGACTGACAAGAAGCCATGACTGACGCTGCATGACTGGAAGTCGCCGCCAGAGATTCGAGCAAACGAGAGATAATTAGAGATCGCCATCCCCGCCAGACGCCGTTTGCTGGCCCGAATCTGAATTGCGATCATTGATCGATCGGATTCCCTCTCGCTCCTCTCGCTCTTTCTGCTCCTTTCCCTTCGACGTCTCTCTCCTCTACATCGTTTCTTCTACGCTCTCACCACTCTTCTGTTCTTCGAGTCTCCTTGTTCGGCCATCCCACCATGGCCGACGCCGCCGGAGACCGCGTCATGTGTCATGCTTGCGGCGGCGTCTGGCCGCGCAGCGAGCACGGCCTGATTTGTCCGCAATGCCAGTCGGAGTTTACCGAGATCGTACGTCTTCTGCCCGGCTCCCCTCGTCTCATCTATCCAATCTCTCATGTTTTAAATTAACCGGTCCTAGATCGAAATCCCCCCCGACCCCGATGAGGAACCGCCTCTCGTTTCCGACCGTCCTGACTCCGCATCTGCATCCTCCCCCCGATCCGCTGGCTCGCCGCTCAACCCATGGGCTGATCACAACCCCTGGGCTCATCAAGATGATCATGATCGCAACGATGGCGATCATCCCTGGGACTCCGGAAATGGGTTCCGGCATCGCACCTACCGATCCCCGGACGGCCGCTTCACTTTCTCCACGACGACCTACACCCATGGGTTTGGTGGGGGGCAGTCACCGTCTACGCAGGGTAATCCGAATCTCGACCCGTTGATGATGGTGCAGAATATGGACAACATCTTCCGAGGCTTGACGGGCCCCTACCAGCAACGGAACCGTTCGGCGTCTGTGTCTAGCTCTGGGCAAGCCTCCAGCCAAGCCCGGGGGCAGGGACAACGTTTGGGCACCTTCGAGTTCAACATTGATACTGGGAACTCTGCGACGCCTAGCCAGGATGGTGGCTTGCATCCGCGGGACGCCGATGGCCCGCAGCCGATGAACAATCCGCTACGGGCCCTGGGCGAGTAAGTGTTACTCGGTTTTGCGTTCCAGAGGGGACGCCCCGCTGAGCATAGTGCTGATTTGGATACAGTATCCTTGAGCTACTCCGCCCGGATTCAGCTGCGAATACGCAAGCGGGTGGGAACGGAGGTGCACGAATTGTGACGGGGGTCAACCCTTTGGCAATGCTGTCGTCGCTGCTGGCCTTCGATCGTCTCGGTGACGCAGTCTATTCACAAGAGGAGCTCGACAGGGTCATTTCCCAGCTGATTGATCAGAGCGCCAACCGAGGCGCGCCTCCTCCAGCTCCAGCGAGTGCAATCCAATCCCTGCCCAAGAAGAAGGTTGACGAGGAGATGCTGGGTCATGAGGGCCGAGCAGAATGCTCGATTTGTATGGATAATGTAGAGGTAGGAACTGAAGTGACTGTGCTTCCCTGCAAGCACTGGTTTCATTATAGTTGCATCGAGCTTTGGCTCAATCAACACAACACTTGTCCCCATTGCCGACGGGGAATTGATTCTCCTCCGTGAGTCATCCGCCTCGTCTTCTGGGTCATGGCTCCGCTAACTCTCTGTCTCTAGGACTGAAGGCACCAGCGATAACCCGGTGGTCGTGGGCGATAGCCCTGAGCCTGTTTCGCGACGCACAAGCGGCGCTGTGGCAGACCCCGGTGGATCGTCGCAGCCTGCGGCGGGCACTCGACTTGAACGATCACCATCGTCTTGGAGCGCGCAGTCATTTTCATCCTGGTCTGCTTCGTCCCCTGGACCCAGCTCCGAGGGACCTGCTCAGGGACAGAGTCAGGGTCAGGCTCAAGGCCAGGCTCAAGCTCAGGGACAGGGCCAGGATCAAAGCCAGGGTCAAAGCCAGGGTCAAAGCCAGGAACAAGGCCAGGGCGAGAATCAAGGACAAGAGCATCGACGGAATAGCCGTGGTGGAGGATCCAGCACTAGCTCTGGATTTACTGATTGGGTACGCAGTCGATTGGGAGGCGGGGGGAGCAGCAGCTGAATCGGAGATTTCGTATAGACTTGGGTTTGGCCAGCTGGTCAGCAGGTTGAGGATACGACGCGACGCGACGACCTAGCTTGTTACGTAGTAACGACCTTGTCTTGGCATTTGAGTGCGTAGCCGGTTCTTACTTGGTGTGAATGGTTTATATGCTTGGATTGGTATCTTTTGGCGCTGATAACCACATTTTACTACTGCCTCACCTGATGGACTGATTGTGTTTACTAATTCTCCGATAAGATCCACTTTCCGTCTTATCGCTTCGCTTCCCCCGCCTTTCACTTCCGCTGTTGTTCTCCGTTTCCGTTTCATTGGCTCATCTTCCACCTCCTGCTCTATACACACCCTCCTGCCCTCTGTCTCATTCCTCACTTTCTCATTCGATCTTGACCATGAAGACTCTCTTCAAGAATGCCACCATTATCCCGGGTTTCAATCCTCCCCCCCCAGAAAGCCCCACATGTATGATTATCGAGGATGACAGCATCGTTTTCGTGCGCACCGAGTCCAATCTCCCGATTGAATTATTTGACCGTGAGATTGTTTTGGCTGGCAAGAAAGTCCTCCCTGGCTTCATCGATGGGTCAGGCGCAGGCTCCTGTTGCGCCGCAACTGCCCCCAGCTTAGACCCAGACCTGCAGACACATGCATCTACTACTATTCGGCGCCTCCTTGTCCAAAACCGGGAGCGGTTGCTGGATGCTGTGGTTGGGGAGACGTGGCTTGGGGGGCAGAGGGTTCATTAGCGGACCGGATCCACGGAGTGAGATCCGTCTGGGGATAGAGAAGAGTGAGAGTGTTAGGAAGGTGGGAAACCGGCAGTATACATAAATATACTTGACCACACCCTGCTCTTTACCCTCAAAACCTGATATAAGCGTTCCGGGGGTTCTCCCCCGGACCCCCCTTTTCTTTCAGCTTCCTGGTAACCTCAATCCTAAGACCAAATATATAAGCACCACCCATCTACCTCAATATTATTCTATAACCCATAAATTCACTCCAAAAGCTCCCCCTCAACCCGCCCCACCAACTCCTTCAGCACAGGAACCAACCACTCGAAATCAGTTCGATCAAGATACACCTGCGCACTCAACCGCACCCACAACCAGCCCGCATGCGCGAACACAGGCACAAACGTGCCGTAATCCTCGACCAGCCTCCTCTGCATCCAGTCCACGACAGCAGGGACGCGGTCCGCCGGGACCACCGCCTGTGCCTCCTTCTTGTCCGTCAGCGAAGAATCCCCAACCCGAACCGGTAACCGCACGTTATTCATCGCGCATCGCCGCCAGGGACTCCTCGTTGAGTTTTCCCCTCCCTGATGTCCAGGGCTGATAGAAGACGAAGAAGAAGAAGAAGAAACCAAATCCGCCCCCAAAACCTCCGTCCCCAACGCCTCGGCAACAAGATCCGCCGCCTGAACCGCCAACTCCTCCAAATAAGCATAAATCGCCGTCTCCCCGCCGCAGACCTCCCTCCGGAAGTCCAGCGCAGCAGGAACGCAAAGATAGGGCGTATCGTCGGCGGTAGCGACGAACTCGAACAGCGACTCGAAGGGTGTCTTCGTAGACGATTGTCCCGAGGTAGACGCCATCAGCGAGGGTCTGATACTCTGCGACGGAGGGGGGATATAGCCCCAGGAGGTGGGGAGGGTGGTGCGGAGGAGGGGTTGCAGGGCGGGTTTGACGTAGAGGATTGCGGCGCTGCGGGGGGTGTATAGCCACCTTTTCCCCATCTTCTATTAGCATGTTTGTATGGATAGATAGATAGATAGAGGGTAAGGGAACAACATACTTATGACAATTACTCGTCAAAAAATCCACACCAGCCACTGCTCCCTCCGTTCCCTCACCACCACCACCACCACCACCAAACTCCCTCCCAAAATCGAGCGGAATCATCCCCACCCCATGCGCAGCATCAACACAACTCCACACCCCCTCCTCCCCACAAACCCCGATCAGCGCCTCAAAGGGAAACCTCACGCCCGGTAAACTAACCACACTCTCAAACACGGCGATGCGTGGCCGTTTCCCCTCCGCCCGGATCGTGCGAATCATCCCCCGGAACAACCCTACAATCTCCGCATGACTAGCCGGAAACCCGTACTCGATCTTCCGCACCTCCAACCCGACCCCACCCCCAACACGATCCAGAAGGGAGAAAATCCCGTTCTCAACCGCCCCGTAGATCGTCGAGAAGTAGATGAGCGTGTCCCCCGGCGAGAAGCTGGGGAGGAGGTTATGCAGGATCGTCGCGATGCCTGTTGTTGCGTTTTTCACGAACACCAGATCTTGGGGCGCGCAGTTGAGGTGCGCGGCGATTGTGGTGCGGGCGGTTGTTAGGGCTGACGGTTGGGTGTAGCGGAGGAAGGCGTCCGGGGTGCGGTCTGCGGCTTTTTGGTAGGTTTGGAGGGTTTGCGTTATTTGGGTTGGGTGCGTGCCGAAGGAGCCTTTATTATCTGTTAGTTTGGGAGGAGTTGGACGGTTTGGATAGAGGCAGGAGGGGTAAGGTTTGCTTGTAGCGAGGGGTAAGAGCGGCAGAGGGGATCACACCGTGGTTGAGGTTTTTGTAGTTCGGGTCGAGCTGGAAGTGCTCGCGCATGGGAGCGCCGAATGGAGTGGGCGGCATTGTTGCTCTTGTTACCAGGATTGTGGTTATTACCGTGGAGGAAGCGTCAAGACTGATAAATAGTGCTGGAAGTTATGTCAACTGACGCATGAGCCTTGTCACCGAAGGGCGTGTCGTCACATGATAGATAGATAGATAGATAGTAGATAAGCTACCGATCTATACTTTAAATCTCAGATAAGATACACTATCCCCTCCTGCAATGTACAAACATTACCACCTGATTTACCGCTTGCCCTTCTTCCGCGGCGCAACCACCTTGAACGCCGCGTTGCTCGCATCCTCCTCGCGGTGCGCATTCGACGACCCCTTCTTGGCCACCTCGCTCCAGCCGCCCGAGCTCTTCTGGTCCGCAAACGCACTGGCCGCCACCGGATCCACAATGCCCTTGTCCGCCAGCTTGCGCCGACGGATGAACTCCTCCGCGAACCGTCGTCCATCCAGTGTCTGCGAGTTAGCATACACCGAGTCCGAGATGATCTCTGCCTCGGCCGGCAGGAACAGCAACTGCTGCACAAAGTCGTCCACTGCATTCCATTAGCTTGAGCCGAATAACCCTTGACAAGAAAAACCCACCGTTGATGTTGCTGTTCAATCCCTTGCCCAGCGCCAACTTAGCCCACTTGGTGAACTCCTCCACCGCGCGGTTCGGGTTGGCCGGCGGGGTAGTACCCACGGAGACAGGACGCGGCGTGGCAATCGTAGCTGGCTTGGGCTTCACAGGGGAAACAGCCTGAGGCGCAACGCCAGTAGTCGCCCGGGGTCCTGAAGGAGCCGCAGGAGGAGCCTTGGCCTTGCCGCCGGCACCGACGGTGGTCCATGCTCCCGAGGAAGCAGCAGCGTTGACAGGAGACGGCGCAGGAGCCTTGCTGGCCAGATCCGCGTAGCGCTTACCAGTAGACGAAGGAGCAGTAGGGGGACTAGCGGCAGCGCTCTGAGCCGCAGCCGCGGCGGCAGCCAGACGCTGCTTACGAGCCTCTTCTTCCTTCTGGATCTGAGCAAGAGTCTTTTTGGCGGCAGCGGTTGGGGCAGCAGGTCCCTTGTTGTTCCAGACGGAACCCGCCGAGGTCGGGGTGGAGGGAGATCCGGCACTGGCCCAGTTGGCAGTGGATGGGAGACCAGGAGCCTGGACCTGAGCGGCCTGGCTGAGGCGCTCCTGCTCCGCAAGCATCTGCGCGCGACGAGCGGCCGCCGCCAATTCTTCCTTCTGAGCGGCATTCCGAGCCTCGGCCTCCTGGATCTCCTTCAGAGAGGGACCCTTGGGGACCTCGTTGGCTTCCTTGGCCCAGGGCGCGATCGAGGTGGTGGGTGCCTCCACAGGGGTCTGCGTCTGAGAGCGGGAGTTGGCAGCCAGAGATTCGGCCACATTCTGGCGGTTGCGTTGAGCAGCAGGCGCCGGCAAAGGGGAGGCAGAGGGCGGAGGAGGGAAGGGCTGCGGCATAGCGCTGTCACCCTTGCTCATCCAGGCAGCCTCAGCGGCAGAGCCCGCCTGTGGTTGTTCCAGTTGCTGCTGCTCGCGTTGCTGCTGCTCTTGCTGTTCCTGTTGCTCCAACTGCTGGCGTTGGGCGGTAGCAGCCTTTTGCACTTGCTGCGACAGAGTGAGAGCGGGCTCCTGCGGGGCGACGTCAACATCATCGAACTCGGGAGTCTCCTCGGGAATCTGAGGCTGTTCGGACTCAGCGGCCGGGTGGGTGGGAAGGCCTTCGACGGTCTGCATGCCTAATTCGGCTTCCTGAGCCCTCAAGGCATGGAACTGACGAAGTCGCTCCTCACGCGCCTGTTGATCGAAGAGTGTGTCGCCCTGGGTGCTATCGAACTGCTCCTGCTCCTGCTGCAGACGCGCCCGGTCTTGAAGCATCGAGGCGACCTGCTGCTGGTGGAAGAGGCTGTCAGGTTGGCGAGCGGCGAAAGAGCTAGGTCCAAAGGCAAACGGATCCGGTCGGCCAATGTTCAGGCGGTCCAGAAGCGCAGGGAGTTGATCCTGGCTGTTCACCAGATCCGTACCGAGCATCTGAGGGCCTACGTTCGGCAGAGGGTTGCCTCGCATGGCGGCAGCGGCATCGAAAAAGCCGGCCACGGACGGAGGCTGCTGCGGCTGCGGCTGCTGTTGTTGTTGCTGCTGTTGCATGGGCGCCTGGATCGGCGACGGCTGGAAGTTAACCGGAGAAGCGATGCTACCAAAGCTGGGCTGACTGTGAAGGCTATGAGCGCTGGAATGATGCTGCAGCTGATGAGGGTGAATGGAGTGAGGAACGCCCTGAAACTGCATCTGTTTCATAAGCGCCTGCTGCTGAGCCAGATGCTCTTTCTGGCGGGCCATCAAGTACTGCTCCTCCTGCTTGCGACGCTCCAAAGCGTTCTGCTGCTCGGCCGTCAGGGTTGTGCCGAAGCTGGGGAAGCTACCAGGGAAAGGAGGCTGAGCGGTGCCAGTCGAGTTGCCAGTCCAGGGTCCAGGAGCAGGGTCAGGACCGTGGGGGATGCCGATTTGAGGAACCAGGAACGGTTCGCGAGAGTTGCCGATACGACGAACCAGCTGGGCCAGTGGCTCAAACTCCGGGTCCTCGAGCTTCTTGATCTGCAGATCCGGGCTGAAGAATCCGGCCTTGAACCAATCATGCATCTCCAGTCCAGTCCAGGGTCCTTGAATATTGCCCTGAGGGTCACGGTAGATCCAGCGCATGCGATCAGGCATCACCATGGTCCGTTGCTGCGCTGGAGGCACAGACCCGGCATTGCCGGGGGTCTGGCTAGGCTGCGGCACGTCAGGAGCCATGGAGCCAGGACCGGAGCCAACGGCAGAGACGGGGGTCTGGGAGGTCGAGGTGATAGCTGGCTGGCCGCCCTGCCCGGACTTATCGGTAGGCTGCAGTTCTGCTCCGTGCGTCAAAGCCTGGTCCGCCAAGAGTCCATCAAAGATTTCACCAGATTGCCGAGCAGCCTCATCCAAGGCTCCCAAATCGGGCCGGATTTGGTCACCCTGCATCTGCTCCTGCATGGCAGGGGGGAAGAGCGAGCCTAGCTTACTGGAACGACCCAAGCTGCCCGTGCCCGTGATTCCAGCATGCGGGCTGAAGAGGCCACTTCCTCCCAGTGTGGACAAGCTTGGCGACTGCAGGTCACCCATGGTCCCGAAGATCGACTCGCCGAATCCGCCCGCAAATGCAGATCGCTCGCGAGTTGGGGTGCCAACGGCAGCACTCGAAGGCCATCCTGCAGCGCCTCCGATGGGGGGAAGACCACCGAGGCCACCAAGGCTGGAGAAGCTTCGGTTTCCGGCCGCACTGGAAGTTTGGCTGCGATCAATGGATGGCAGGTCCATGCCTGAGCCGACGCGTCGAATGGAGCCGAAAGCGGATGAGGTATCCCGCAGACCACTGATACCTGGGTGAGTGGTGTTCTGAATATCGGAGCCGTCAGTCTCGACATCATCCACCTCGTGTCGTTCGCCGTGGGGGCTCTGGTAGGGGTTCGTGTTGGTCGGGCTAGTGGGTTCGTGTCCTTGCAGAAGACTCGGGGTAGGGTTCCGGGAATTTTCGTGGCTTTGCATCAGTTCCCGGAATCCAGGGATGCTCGAGGTCATGCCGAACGCCGCAAAGCCCAGCTGGTCGGACGGTGCCTGGGGTTGTGGGTTCACCTCCTGAGAACCTCCAAGTGCCGCGCTGCCACTGCGAAGCTCCTCCTGGAACGGGTTCGTCTCACTGCGACCAGTGCGCGTCTTGACAGGCTCGCCCCACGGAGACTGCGCGCGCTTCTCGCCCTCCACATCCGCGAAACGCTCCAGACTGCTAAGCGACGACTTCTCCTTGAGAGCCGCCGCAGCCATGTCCTCGGAGCTATCCTTGGAGAAGAGTCCCTTCAGGCGGCTTTCCCCACGGAGACTGCCAAACCCAGCCTTCTTTTCCGCCGTGGGGGTGGTACTCGTTCCAAGAGAAAAGGCTCCGAACGCACCCATTGGCGAGTAGTTAGCATTGTGCGAGGCAGAAGCGGCCCAGGGAGAGCTTGGCCCGCCTGGCGCCACGCTCAGGGGATTAGTGGAACTCCGCTTGAGCGAGCCAAACGGAGAAGCCACATCCGCACCGGTCTCCTTGCCCACATTCTCCTTTTCCTTTTCCTCCCACCGAGCAGTGGAAGAGGCCGTATCGCGGAAGTCGGTCTTGCGGCGCAGCAAGGAGGGCGGCGGGGTAGACGTGGTCGGTTCATCCCGGAAAAAGCGAGAACCGCTGGTCGTCGGAGACATGGGATTCGCAGGCGAGTCCGCTGTCTCCCGACGCCGGGGACCAGGACGGCCAGCGCTGGGGGACGAGGTGTTGTAGTTATTCATATGACCCTGGGAAATGGACAGCTTGCGACCTCCCGGGCCGGTACCGGTGTTCTCTTTCGAGGCGTTCGTCGGTGGCGGCTTGAGAGGAGAGTTGACGGAAGAGGTAAACAACTGCACGATTTAGCAAAGGTGTCCCGACACAAACAGTTACGGACAACCGGTGGTGAGTAAAGTGGCGGGGTAAACACGTAGACACACCTCTTTCTCGTCATCTGTCGGTTCCACGAGTCCCAGCGGCTCTACCTGGCCCCCATGATCCCAGCAGACCTCCGGACCGGACGGATTGTCCTTGGAATCTTCGCGCTTGCCCCACGCGCCATTGACAGGGGAGGTCTCGGAGGCGTGAGGATTCCAGTCGGCGACGAAGTATTCTGCGACATTCTTCCCCAACGAGCCGGTGTCCCGTTGACTTTTGTAGAGATTTAGCAGTAGGTCCTTGGAATACCGAGTTTCCGTGGTGGCCCCGTTGCGGAGTGCGCTGGACTGGAAGTTCGAGGACATATGCGGGGGAGTGTAGGTGCCGACGGTGGGAGTGGTGGCCGAGTTCGGTTGACTCGTATCCCGGTTATGCGACGGGTTTGTCGCAACTGAGGGGCGGCGGAAGGTCTGTGTTGCTCCGTTCATGCGAGTGCGAGACCTGTACATCCCAGCCGAGGATTGAGTTGTCAGTTTTCTTGTTCCATCACAACAGGAGGGGCCCCGGATTGGATGGGCCGAGGACGAAGACACGGTGCTGATGGTTGGCAAGGAACAGCGTACCATTCTCCACCAGGAGCTCCATCTCCTCTGCGATTAGTAGAGTCGTGGATGTTGCCAGCGGCGGCCGAAGCAAAACTAGAGGGAAGTGGCGTAGGCATTATGGGAAAAACGATAGCTGGTCAAGACGAGGAACGACAAGGCCGGCAATCAAAAGATGGACAAATCGAGGGAAAAGGTCGACGTCAAGGGCGAGGCGAACGTGTTTATTGCAAGTTTTTTTTGGTGGGAGGAGTGTTTAGAGAGAACGAGGACGCAAAGCTGTTGGTATGTGGAGAGAAGAGAGGAAATCGATCAGCCAACGAACGAACCCGAGGGACGAAGACGGGGAGGAGGGAGGCGACAGAGGCACAATGGGGACTGATGGTAAGAATAGAAGGGTAGCAGGAAGAACATACCAAGCCTAGGTTTCGATCAAGAAGGCAGGAGAATTGTGTCGAGCAACGGTGTGGGAGGATTGCAGTTCGGAGCAGCAGACGGGATGAACGAAGTTCGAGATCAGAAGATCGAAAGGATCGAGAGTTTCCTGGCAAGTTTGGGAAGTTCAAGACAGAGAGAGAGAGAGAAAAATGAACCAAGGGCTGAACAGCGAATGAGCGGTAGGTCGTGGCAATACCACTCACAGGTGATGTTGTTTTCGTGTTCCTCCATTTTTCCTTTCCTTTCCTTTTCTCTAACACTACCAGCCACCCGGGACCAGCATGGAACATATATTACCTCATCAGTAAGGGTAATTCTCGACCTTGCCTGAATAATTGATGTCAAGCCATTCCCTTCATTATTACACGCACACTACAGAATACACAAGAGTTGTTGCCGCCGCCCCCAGGCAAACCCACACACACACACACACACACACACACACACACACACACATATCCAAGCTGAGCATCAGCTTATCGCCAACAGAGGCGATAATCCTCTAAGCTTTGAGGTCTTTTTCAAGCTAGCCCTGGAGTAACTTAGTTAAAGATGATCACCAAATCTTTATACCTGCAAGATGTACAGTACCTGCAGTACCGACCCAGCCCGTTCTCTCTCTCCAGTCCAGTGCGTGGCCCGATCTCTTCCCCAGCCAACTCCAACCCGATATAACCACGCCATGACGTTGAGTGGCCCACACGCCAGCCGCAAACGCTTCGGTTCGTCTCGACGTGTCGCTTTTCCCAATCATGATCCCGAAAAATGGGCAATGTAAACACCCACTGCATCTATCTCTATACTCCTGAAAATTCAGGGGAATTGACCCTCGTTTGCTTCAAGAAGATCAAACAGAAAAAAAAAAAAAAAAAAAAAAAAAAAAACACCAAACAGTATCGTCCCTTGTACACTCAGCATCAGCCACCACCGAAATTCCCACACTTCCTTCTCGGAAATGAAAATCATCACCCACTTCAGAGAGAAAGCTCGGTCATTGCGGTAATCCAATCTCTCTTTAAGGTTTGTCACTTGTCCAGTTCAAGTAATTCGGTGCTCCTAGCCGGGATGGCTATAGTTTAATTGCTGCTTTGCTTGGTACATTTGCTCGGTGTAAACCTGATTAGATCAGAAATTGGATCATGCTTTCTGGACTTGATTTATTAAGTAAGTTTGGTCGTGGCTGTATACAATTGTCCATATGCTTGGCATACAACTTGTTGATGTCTGCTCGTGTCTAGATCAACAAAGAAGTACTTGCGGGCAGGTCTTACCAGTCAACCAGATAGAGGAGACAGGATGTCACTTGGTGGCTACACACTGCATCGGGTCTTTTGTTTGAGCATCTTAACCAGAAGTAGTAGTGGCTTTGGGTGGAGATCTCTAATTATCAATTCTGCTTCGCCGGAACTTTTCACTGCACATTGTGAAAGATGCTCGATCGGTTCTAGCCAAATCGACAGGTCACAACGATCTATCCTGCACTGACATATTACCCTGTCCCTGGTAGAGCACATGTCTAAGTGATTGTAAGGAGATACAATTCGTATTGCTCCAAGATCACTTTTCAACTTGTGTTATATCAACAATATCACAACTCGAAGATATATATCGCAGCCCGTCTACCCATCTACAAAATCCAGTAGACTTATCCCAACTCACAGCTCAACTCCAAGACAACACTACTAGCAACCCAATAACAATCCCCGCGGCCACAGCCCCCCGTGACCGTGAAGGAGCAAACAAAATACTCCGCCGCCATGTCGTCGCGGTGATCAACAATCCCTGACACCGCAATGTAAGGTTCCGTTTGCTGCGATGTGTGGAATGTTTGCCTGCTGAGATACCAGACCGTCACGATACCGCCGGTCGTAATGTCATTACACGACGTACGTATCAGCCTGAGGCAGCAAATCCTATAGATCGCGTGCGCAGCTAGCGACTTAACGTACTTTTGACTGACTAGATAGGTGGAAGGCTAGGTATGCCATATCTGCAAGGTCATGCATCTGTAGGTATCTATCTCGCGGGATGTGTTTGTGCTAGTCAGTAGCAGCTAGATTGTCTTATAATTTGGCTATGGGAATTCTCATCTCGCGTTCAATCCTGCTGTTGTCATGGCTCTCAGTCGAGATATACCGTGTTCAATGGGACGGGATAGAGCATGAGAATAACACCTGAGTACCGCGATGTCTCGGATTTGACACCCTATGATACGTATCATCGCCGACCGAGGAAATCGTGAGTAGCCTTACTCTCCATCTGTCCAGCGCTGAGAATGCGAGAGCCAGTATCAGGGGTGAAGACAAGGTAGATGAGTAGCTCACTGAGACTCATTGGAACTCGTTCAAAATTCCAAAGTATAACAAAAGTGATGAACCTGGCATAGACACTGGATCCGAGGGTTGTCTGCTTTATCAGCATCAGACTGGACGAGGATGGAAAGATTTCTCTGGGGAACACCGCCAATGCTTCAGTCATGCTCCGTAGGCATACTGCAACAGCAGGGATTATCCTATGCGTACAAAAGGCACATAAAATTGCTCACTTGCCAGAGTATCATCTACGCCTAACACCCCGGCATCCGCATCGAGTAACTTCCTCGGCAAGTTATCGATAACAAATCCCCGTCTCCCTCCCCGCACTGATAACTAATGCTGGGTCCGCCCTTCATCCTCACCCCTGATCATTGACCATTCAGACCTCTTCACTGCTCTACTCATTAATCAATTACAATTTCACTACGACACTCCACCTCTACACCAGTATGTCTAAGGCCGTCTTCCTCACCAAGACCGACGGCAAACCCGGCCAAGTCTACTATCCCCTGTCCGTGCAGACCCGGGCCCAGCCCACCCCGCAGGGCCGCGAGTTACTCATCAAGGTGACCGCGGCCTCGCTCAACCACCGCGATGTCTTCCTGCGTCAACATCTGTATCCCGGGGTTACATCTGATGTGCCCCTTGGCGCGGATGGCGTTGGGATCGTCGTCGGCGCGGGCTCAGATGTTGCTGATCCGCAGCGCTGGCAGGGAAAGCGAGTGATCCTGAATCCCGGGGTGGGATGGGACAGCTCGCCTGATGGGCCGGAGGATCCCAAGGGGTATCGGATCATGGGCGGGACCAAATTGTACAACAAGGGCACGTTGCAGGAGTATTTGACTCTCGAAGAGTCGGAGGTCGAGGAGGCACCGGAGCATTTGTCGGATGCGGAGGCCGCGGCGCTTCCGCTCACTGGATTGACTGGGTGGAGGGCGTTGGTGGTGAAGGCCGGGGAGAGGAACTCGGGCAAGGGAGCGGCGGTTCTGGTGACGGGGATCGGAGGTGGTGTGGCTCTCATGGTGTTGCGGTTTGCCGTGGCGAGAGGGGCCGACGTGTATGTGACCAGTTCGAGCGAGGAGAAGATTCAAAAGGCAATTGAGCTGGGTGCAAAGGCTGGTGTGAATTATAAGGAGGAAAGCTGGGAGAAGAAGTTGTTGAATTTGCTCCCCCCTGGCAAGGCGGCTTTCGATGCGGTTATCGACGGTGCTGGAGGCGATACGATCGAAAAGGCTGTCAAGTTACTCAAGGTGGGTGGTGTCCGTTTGTTGTAGGTTTGTCAACAGTACTGACGTGTCCAGGCTGGCGGGATTCTCTCCGTCTATGGAATGACGGTTGCTCCTAAAATGCCGTTCCTGATGCAGGCGGTGCTGAAGAATATTGAGGTTCGTGGTTCCACGATGGGCTCGCGCAAAGAGTTCGGAGAAATGGTGGAGTTTGTCAGGACGCAGAAGATCCAGCCCGTCGTCTCGCGTGTGCTTCAGAGTGACCTGAGCGATATTCCGGCACTCGACGATCTTTTCCAGGATATGAAGGAGGGCAAACAGTTCGGTAAGCTGGTTCTTGAATTCGGCAAAGCGTCCGAAAGTAAATTGTGACCTGTGAGGTTGAGAACAAACAATCAGCACTATGCTCTAGTTTAGACACCTCCGCAGATAGACACAGCTATTGTTAACCTTGAATCGCTTAGATCTCTTCCGTTACTTCTTTCTCGGCGTTGAATTATGGCGCATAATCACGTTTGCTCTTTCCCTGTGTCGATGCGCTGCTGCGCTGTCGCACGGTCAACCGTGTTTTCACCTAAGCCTGACCCTCCATAACATCATTACACACAGTGCCATCGTTATTTAGTTAGCAGCACAGTTCATCTTTCATACCAAAGAAGACTCCCGAACCACTCATTCATCCTTTAGCCTCTAGTCCTTCGATTTCCTGCGACCGAATCACCATCATGGACGCCGAGCTTGTCCTGCGATATGGACCTGGCATGTCCTTCTATCGGGCTCAGATACAGTCGGAAGAAGACCTGACACATGCTGATAGTAATTCCTCAAACTTATCCCTGAAGGTAGGTTAGCTCAGTCAAGCTCGAGAAAACAAGGCGAAGAAAGGTTGACTATGAAACTGACCACCCGTTCGGACTTCAGAGATACAACTCAACGCTCCATGCCTTGGAGACGACCAATGAAATGCTGATCAACAAGATCGGCAAGTTACGGACGAACACTCATCGTCTCCGCCACGACCTGATGAACCTGGAACTGCATGTCAGAGCATTCAACCGTGAACTCTTAGCAACCTGGCAGGCAGACGCGTTGACGCGATTCATCGAGGTTGTATTCGAGCGTCAAGGCTGGAAGTTGCCTGGCAAGGTGGCCGTGGGCGATCACATCTATTTACCCCGTGAAACTCTCTCAACATTATACTTCAAGGCCCTCAAGAAGATCAAGAAGGAGACAGTCACGAGGAAGTTTGGACTGCCGATGCGGTACTACCATGCTCTACAGAGGTACCATGAAGTAAGTCTGACCCATGCGGGGGTGTGCTGCCGTCTCTCTACTGGCCCGTTGCCCCCCTCTCTGACATGGGTAGGTCGCTCATTTACGGAGCACCAATCCCTACCGGACTGAGTGCAGCTTCGCTCGATGGCTGGTCTCTGTGAAAGAGGAGAACCGGGGAGCGTATCGGTTCTGGGGCAGATTGTTTCCTCTCTGCTATAACCAGTCCGTCGAACAGAGCGCCGATATCTTTTGACTGGCAAGCGTCTGCGAAGCTGGCCTTGATTGCAGGACCTTGCAGGTCTGGCACTCGCATATTCGGATAGATAGTATCGAAATGAAGTCTCTGCCTCAGTCCCACCGTCTTGCAGCATCGTGGCGAGTCGGGTGAGACATGCTACCAAAACCGGTGACGCTATGATGGACTGGCGTGTGGTGTTATCACCGATCCCAATTCTGGCAAAGACCCGTGAATTTCCCAAGCTCTCTCCAGTTTAGTCAACACAGCCAACTGGGTGTCGATCCCAGAGGAAACGGCCCAAGTGTGACGCTGACTGGCCATGTTTCTGGCATTTCCGGTCAGTGCAAAGGACCTGCATGAGCTCCAGCTTGGTTGGACATGGACCGCCGGCCCGGACGCAGGATACGCTTTGGCCAGCACAGCGTGACGTCGGGACCTCTGGTATGATAGGAGGGGTTACTGATTAGTTAGGGGTGATAGTTATTTCCTCTTTTTTTCTCCCTCTCGTGTCGGCCGCCGCACACATTGCTTGCCCCGTGTCATTAAACCAGAATCATTTGAAAATGATAATCCAGCATGACTCTTTAGGGTGCAAGGCTTACTCACGTAGGGCGCAGCAGCAGCAAAAGCAGCAGCAAGTGAGACATCATTGGATGTATCGCCTTGGCCGTGACTGACCCTCGGTCTTTCCATTCCCCCGGGATGGTTGGATTGAGAGACGGATTGCGGATGGCAAAACGTCAAACAACGAGGAGATGGAGACGGAGCAAGCTCTACGGTCAGCTGACCCTGACCCCATATCATTTGTCTACACACACACAATTCTCACAGATGGAGAGACCGTCTCAAATTGGCCTCTATCTCAGCTTAGTCGCTAAGTCTACTCATTTTCCAATCCCCTTTCACTGGCTACCCAAATGCAAGCAGCGAAAGGTCAACAACACAACTTCAAGACATTGAAGACAAGCTTGGTTAGTTTTAGTTCCGTCGCTTAATTTACCGGTCCTCAGGCGGCCCGCGCTCGCCAGTCCACCAGCAAACCCAGCGCACCCCAATACCCAACCAAGTCCACGGCCACGCCCTTTCCCACGCTGTCCATCCCAAAATGTAATCCCTACCAACAAAAGATAAAGCCAGACAGAGTCTAAAATAATACCAATCCCCAAAGTCGGGAACATTAAGGAAAGAGTAACGGGATGAAGAGACCGAACTCGTATTGTGTGGGTGGCAGGGAAACGGGTTGACCGGTAGCGAATTGATATCGGAAAGAGAGCGCGAAAAAAAGGATGGTGGGGGAGGGAGAGGGAGAAAAAAAGGTCAGGACCCATTCTTGCTGCTATATATAACTTTTTCTCTCGCTCTAATTACGGAGTAGTGGTGGGTTCCTCAAGTTACTACAAGGTAAGTAGCCATTTTTACCGGTAGTGGGATTTCTTTTATATGAGGGGTAGTTTACTCGTTAGTTAATAGTTAGTGAGTAATTTGTTCGTGTAGTTAGTTGAACTTGGTGCTGGGTTGCGAGGTAGATACAGGATCTAACTTTGGTGTGGTGCGAGGGGAGGATCTATAGTTATCGTATACAGTAGACCGTGGACTAGTCAGTTAGCTGACTAGCTCGCAAAACTGCCGTCACTAAACTAGAATCGTCCCCTCTGACTTATAACTATGCTAGGACTGGGAAATGGTCGGGTTCACGATGGGGTTTCTCTTGGCTGCTTTTCCGGGTGTTTACTCTTGCTCCATTTTGAGTTTTGAATTGTGTTGTGGTTTATCACTTAGTAGACTATAGTTAAGTTGGTTCAATAGGCTGAGAGCTTGGTAAGTACAATAGGTCGTTGGTTGTGTGCCGATTCGCTGTGTCGGTAGTATGTGATTGACGCGGGGGGATCCTGAGGGATTGTTTCTCGTTTAGTTGACTCGTTCTGGGTGGAGGGTGTTGCTGCTTCTTGTTGTATGTTACGGGATACTTTGCTGGTTTGAAGGTTAGATCTAGTATGGTCTGATTGTGTGGTTATATCGTTGTGTAGAGAGTATATACTACTCATTTCTGGCTGGCTATGGCTTCGTGAGGATTGAACTTGGGTGTAGGTACTGTAAGTAGTAGAACACTACGATTTTGGGAGAGACCAAGTAATGTTTTGCGTGGTAAGACTATCATCCAGGGCTTGATTACATTCGAACATCGCTCAACCTCTACATCAACGACATCGCATACAAAGCACACCTTCACCAAATAGACATCTAGCTCTCTCATTGTGGCTGGGCTAAGCCTATAGGCAGTGGTCGCCGAACGAAGGGCAACCAGTCGCCGATTGACACTCCCTACGCTAGAAGCGGTGGCGCCTCGGTTGGATGCCTGAGAAATGAGGATACTTTATATGCGGAAAAATGCAGATACCATACTATATCTCTTTGCTTCCCACTTCTCTTTCCCTTCAAAGAAAGACAAGAATACAGGGAAATCAAGCCAATTTCGCCTCTCCTGAAAGCAAGTGTGTGTGTGTGTGTATGTGTGTGTCATCCAAAAACCAGGAAAGCTAGTGTTGGCGGTCTATGTCCGATAGTCGTCTCCAGACTGAGACATATTGGCGCCATATAGAAACCTGAACCAGTGGATGGGCAGAGACTTCCACTAGTCTGCCTGCCTGTGTCCTGACCTACCGTGGACATGATGATGGTTTGATGATGTCGCGGGACAGAGAGGGGGGGGGAAAATTGGATGATCTTCCCGGATAACACTGGAGTTAAGGCAGACAAAGGAGAAAAGGGAAAGGGTCATTGGGAGAGTCCATTGCAACCACTCATGGCATGTGATTGATTGCTTCTGGTTGCTCCCCGTCCCCAATCACAATCCGATCAAGATCTTGATCGGATTGAAAGAGAGCTGACGTGACGTCTCCTTTCAATTTCAAACATGCTCTCTCCCTGGATTGAATGTCATTGCAGGCTGCTGCGGGCTGCAGCTCTAGTTGCACGGATTCAGGATCAGTCCATCGGATGGGATGGAGGGTCAAAAGTACGGAAGCACAAAGCCAAGAGGCACCGTTACTCGGTGGCTGATCCTAGGCAGCTCGTGTTGACCCGGGATCTGTGCGACACAAGGCCAAAAAGTGAAATAGAGAATTCGTCCTGCACGAAACCGATGGCGAACGGGAAGGGGGAGATCAGGGTCAGCAGTCCAAAGTCCGGTGGAGGGGTAGGAGGGCAGTAGGCTTCCAATTTTTGTTCAGCTGTTGGTCTTATACAGCGGGGGATTGTTGAAGCATTAAGCCCACCCCCCGTCCCCTGGCGGAGTAGGTGTTGTATATGAAGTTCGCTCGACTATGGGGCAGGCATTGTATCACAGAAGCATTACTGACAAAGTGATGGGTAGCGTATCCCAGTTCTCCTACCAACGGCCAGTATATAGACCGCAGCACCCTGAGAGGAAAGGCCCTCCTGAAGATGGCACTAAGACAGAACTCACGCAATGCTTGCTGTCGGAGGTAGCCCTCATCTTCCTGACTGCGGAGACAGCACCACCGTTTCGTGAGGGAAGACTGAGGCCCTGTCTCGAGACGCTCTTGCCAATCTGCTCAACCATATGCGCCTACGCCCCCATCGCAGGCGTAGGAAGACACTTCTGACCAGTTGCAGTAGTCGAGGTGAGAAGGCCAGCAGAGCAGGACTGCGTAGTCTACCCGCAGCGTAGAAACATGACCACTCTCGACCGGCGCGGTAACGGGTAAATGATAGTCTCCCTGGGCCATCGCCCATTCATCAGTCCTTTCCCCATTGCTAGTCAAAAAGTTAGCATTACCCTATAGAGCACTATATTGGTACCAGGCAGGCAGGCAGGCAGGCAAGCAGGCAAGCAAGCACAAAAGACGGGCATTTGCCAATGCTAGCATCAACTTTGAGAATCTCTTAACCTACCACGGGTTCCTACGTCCTGTTCTCGAGCGGAGAACATAGATAGTGATTACTGAGTGGTATGGTAGGTAGGCTGAGGGCTTGATGGGAGGCAGGACCAAAAATAACCAACCTCCCGCGCGACCCTCAAGTCTCACTTGGATTCTGCCGCGGTTGACGAGCTTGTTTCACTTGCAACATCCCGCACTTTTCTATCCCCTGCCCTCTCTTCTTGCTGTCGCGTGGGACAAATAGAAAAGAATATAAAAAGGGTTGAAAAACGAATTTTGGTGAAGGGGGACTTACCGAGGGAAAAATTATGTAAAACAAGTCCCGGAGAGTAGTAGAAAAAAAGAAACAATCCCCCTCAGCCACAAGTCGTCCCAGGGGAACGGATGGACCTGGAGACGGCCCTGCTCAATTACTAGGCCTGACTGGAGGAAACCAAATCCGTTGCAGCGTACAAACAGGCTACGGGGAATTTTCTTTTTGGAAGCCAGCCCCGGGAAAGAAAGCAGGAACCCGTGCTCCAATATTGTGTGCGGATGTTGAGGAGCTAAAATTCACTAGCCAGGTTACATGTAGGGGAAAAAAGTGGTCGCGATGACTTTTGCATGCGATCGTCGGGAATAGAGGTTGGATGGATGTAGTTACTGTAAGGAAGGAGGAGCTCTCTTTCAGTCGGCGGGGACACTGGGGCTATGATATTATCCGAGGCTGTCATTTGTGCTGGACGTCTTGTTCGTTAATGGTTCCTGATTGACTACCTACATAGTAAAAGGTATCTCTAAACTGGTGCCGCAAAGACTGGTATCCGAGCAAGAAAGAAATTCGGTGAGACTTCGCGGGTTTGCATTTAGGGTTCGGAGGCTCCTGGATGGGTATGGATTGACAAGTAGGTATAGAAGTCTTGTCGGCGTCTTGTGGGGAAAGACGACGGAAGGGAGAAAAAAGAAGTCTAGTTCTCTCGGGAGTTTCAATAATATCCATCCCTCTTGACTTGTTTCTTGGTCGACGTACAGTGCATTGCCAATTGGAGTTTCAATCAAGGCCATGAAATCAATGTTCGCCATTGTAATCTCCTGGCCTCCTTTCACCGTCGGATCCGAGTTGGATTGAGTGGGCGGAACCAAGTAGTAGGCTTCAAATAGATTGTTTGATTTCAAGGCAAAGCATAAAGACTAATCGCGGAGAAGTCGGCATTTCCTTCAGATCCCAATACAGTACCAGCACTACGAACCGTAGCCACTCCTGACAGCCATTGGAATTAACCATAGCCAACCTCACTCGGATCGACCATTCCTTCCCCCATCCCTAAAACGTGCCGATCAGTACGGGCGGCGGGCAGGTGGACCGCCTGTGACCATCTGCTTGCTACGTATAAAGTCGATGGACGTTATTTCGGCCAGGGCAAGGCCGCCACGGCAATTTTCTATTTGATGGTTTCCCAGTCAGGGTGCTGCTCCGACTATGTACTGAACAAAATCCCGTGCGGCATGCAGTGAGCCAGTGACGCCAAGGAGTATTTCCCTTACTAACGGAGAGGGTTATCGTGTGGCCGGGCCGACCGAGGCTCGAGTCGACAGGAGGGGTCTTCGAAGTTCTAATTGTCTAAGCCGGCCGTGGAGTGGAGTCAGACCTGCCTTCCATCAAATGCTGATACTGAGTACTTCGGAGCGATACAAAGTGGTAGGTGGAAAGTGCAAAGGGGAACTTCAGCACCGAAGAGTAAGAAGCATAGCCCATCGGAGCAATGGTCAAGGGGGTGAATAGGAGGGGTGAGAACGGGAAAAGTACGCAAGGACGCTGAAAAGCTAGGGCGGGCATTGGGTTGGTACTGCGCTGCTGTAAGGGCGACCTAGACAATTAATCGCAGTTGAGAGAAGTCATCATCGATTGCTGAAAAGACAGCAGAGGAGGCCGATTTGGCATGATGCCATTCTGGGTATCGTTCGCAACTCCCACGGCGTTGCAGGTAGTCTGAGTGGGCATGGGAGATAGATCGGACTGACGCTTTTGAGCCTGTCAAATCAAGACAGGCAGGACAATCGGACTAATGACCTCAGATTGTGCTTCCTCGTATCGATGGCCAAAGGCGATAGGGTCAGAGTGATCGTGCCATCACATATACCCGCTGCAGGGTCCAATCCTTTCGGGTAATCTGGTGGATGCCAAGAGGGCACCAAGGCTGCCACCTCAATCTAAATGACACACTGCTAACGGGTTCGTGCTGCCCATTGCAATTGAGAGACCCTGAAATGCTTGGTTACATACTTTTTTTGGGCGGGTTACGTACCGATTGCCCCCTTCCATGACTACACCTCGGTCGACAGCCGCAAAGTCATGATGATGGATAATTGAGATTGGTCGAATTGACATCTCTCCCCGGATAAAAGACCCTCTCTCCACTTACCCACCACCACCAATGTTGCCTCAATTGGAGTCTTCCAAGTCCTCTATTGTTTGCCAACCTGTTGTCCGAGTTGAGTCCGATGGAAGTCCCAAGAATAAGGGTAGGATTAAGAGATTTCATAATTCCCCCTCGAAAAGGGCAAAAGGCCGAACCGGAAAAGCTGCGCTAATCTGTAGGAAGCGATAGTGGCTTAATCCATCTCCCACGCGCATCGACCCGTGGCTCCGTCGTCTCCATTCCATGAGCCTTCCGGAAGATTCACCTTCAAGGGAAACCAACCGGGGTTCGCAGCTGCAAACTGGGGCAGACTAGCTGGACCCGCCTTAGGCAATCACTTTTCTCCGGTCAAGCCCGGGGAAGTTCCGACTTGGTCCAAATGGTGCAGAGAAGCGGAACAGGGACCACCTGGATGAATGGATGGACGGACCATGCCCCCATGGCGCAGGCTTGTAGTTTAGCCAAACACTGAACGGTGAACCACCACGGCGAAACGTTGACACGGCATAACATGGAGAAACAATATGAGTCGCACTTCGTTGGATGGGTAGGCTTTAGGTACTTATGATTAATATATTACTAATGCGAGTTCAGTCCACTGGATGGTACTTATGTAGTTAGTAGGTAGTCACCTAAAGTATCCGATTACACCAGTCTTCAAAGCATTGAAGCCTGCTGATCCAGGAGGAAGGTTGCAACGTTAGTTATCATGACCAGGGTCAGTAGGACATCGTTTCAAAAGTACCTTCATCGTCCGACGCCCCGAGATACCCATTTGTACCTTTCCTCTCTTCGAATTATCCTTTCCTCCTTCGCTCTGCGGGCTCCTCCGGGTCTCTGGGGCTGGCTGCACTGCCGTCCTTCGGATAATAGCGGCACAACCCTAATAATAAGATACTTCCAGGTGCAACGGGCGAGCGGCATACTCGCAGGGAGTGGTCGGGTTGAGTTTGTCTGCGGAAGTATCCTCGAAGCCGAAGCGCACCACTGCGAAAGTGCTGTGGTACGGTCGCTTCAGTGATGGCCCGGGTAGGTGGGTAGTAGGGATTCTCCGAGCATTGGCCGATGTTTCCTCATCCTATCCGTGCCATTTGAAGACAAGAGTAAGGTAATGCATTAGACTTTCTTAGTCCGTGGGAACAGAAGTGAGGTTGTTCAGGCGTAGGTACGGTCCTTCGAAAGTATGTTTGATTGATTATATACCAGAGTTTTCCGCGATCGGCTGGCGGAACACGTAAGTATATATTATCAGGCAGCTGTAGCAAAAGATCAGATGATTGCATGATGCTAACGCCCGGATGCCATTGAAATTGCACGGCATTTATTGGTGTCTGCGTCTGCTCAACCCCTCGCCTGTATGCATGTAAGTTCAAATTACCAGCAGCTGGAGTTGATCCGATCTATACAAGCCTGCGACCCAAGAATATCTCATTCCTTCTGGAATCAGCATCATGATGCAGGTGCTTAACCCCCGTCTCTCCACACGTCCACTGCCGTTTGCCCTGGCAAATGGCAACCTTGTGGTTCTCTCGAATTTTATCAGCGGCCAACTCATCCCAATTGAGTCAAGTCGAGAACCACTATCGCAGGACAAGATCGCCGATCTTGGCTGGTTTTGGGGTGATTGATGGATCACCTCCATGATGCCATGCTGAGAAACCCCACTATCGTAAACCCCAACGATATGCATGTTTTTGGTTTCGGCTTTTGGCAAGGTCACTAAAGTAGGTACCGGCCAATAATTGCAGTGGTCAAGTATCTAGCATGTCAATGCTCGGGGTTCTTACTCCTTAGACTCGCCAGCAACGTGCTTGAGAACGGCGATCTGTGAAGTTCCGTATCCGCTGACTAAGGACAGATTCCATCTGCGAGGGAGTCATTGGTATCGGATATAAGCTTATACGTAGGCTAAGAGTAACTAAGTCAAGAAAGGAAATGAAAAAGAGAAGCTTGAAGCTTATGAATGCATGCTATTTCGAAGGTTCGAGGTTGTTGCTGTCGCTGTAGGGTGGCATGTGGCCCAGTGCATTTGTCCTTCCTTGTCCACGGCGAACAACAACCGTTCGTTCAGCTTCCGAGGCAAGATCGGAAACAAATTTGATTCGGATCCGGATATGCTCACGGTGATTCCGAAGCGAGTTCTCGCCGGAGATTTTGCTTGGTATAGTAACTTATATTGACGATTACCCGTGTCAATGGGGATTCTTGAAGTTCTTCGAATCATGACTCTGGACATTCGACTCTATAGATAGACTTTGATTGTGTGTGTATACCGCCCACAACCTAGGCTTCTTTTCTTCGGAGAAATGGCCGGCGTCTTCAATCGTTCTCCTTTCTGGTCGGCATGACCTCATCGAAGGTTAGCTCAACGGTGGGACCGGGCATGGCCATTGTGGTACTTAGTACTTTCTGTTTTCTTCGGCCGGGGCTTGTTTGTTCTTGACTTTGGCACAATCTTGGCCGAATCGACCATCTCAGTGAAATGATTATCCACGGTAGCATCTTTGCTGTGCGTGTTTTATCCTGTGGACGGTGAACAAGGTTGCCTGCTTTCCTGAGGCAGGCACGATTGCGACTGGATTGCCCTACCTCAGCCATGCCCCGTGGCGGAGGTGCCACCGCGTCAGATTTCAGGCTCAATCGCACCATCCATACCAGGGATGTCCTTTCTTTTCTTTTTCTTCTTCCCCTCATACAGCATTATATAATCGGTACCCGTGGTGTGGCATCAGATATATCTCATCATGGACTTGGCCAAGAGCCCGTGAATGATGATCATCCCATGCTGGTTGGCCAGGTATCAACAATGCAGCTCTCTGCTCCGCCCATAGTCGACAGTGATAGCTCTGAAGTATGGTCACAGTGCAGAGTCACTCCCTTGGTTAGTGCTACCATGCTGCTACCTTACCTCCCACCCTCGAGGCCGATCGCCAAAATAGCATTTAGGTGCATCCCACCTCCCATCGTGCCACCGACCGGGTTAAAGAGAACGAATCAGTGCGTATCGGGCCAAGTGAGGATTTGAGCCACAAAAACACAGAGTTTGCGCGCTAAACCCCGAAGAGTTGCAGAGGTGGGTGACCACCTGACATTCTGCCAATCAGGTGAGCCCATTTACTCTTGCAGGCTGTGAATTCACCGAATGGGGGTTAGACCGGTCAATGCAAGGCTTTCTATGTTTAGCATTTTAGATCGCCCGCTACTATCTTCGCTCTGTTGTTTGTGTTCCTAACTTTCTTAAGCCGAGTAGTCCGCGGCCTCCGATCGCTGTCCGCAATATTGCGCAAGTTGCCAATCCTTCTGCAGTCTGCACCAGCCGGTAGTCAGAGAGCTCGACCCTCTTATCTCCAATGCGCGCCGAATTCATTCACTTATGGTGGCTGGCAAGGCGATCAGATGTATAGTACCTATTGAGGGAGGTACCTATGCAGGTATACTACCGGTACCGCGAAGACGAGCTTCAGTGCCACAATGTGGACTGATTGATCCCGAATTACCGATCTGACTGCATCATGGACGAGTTTCCAAACCAGGACAATTAGACTTTTCCAGAAATCTTGGCAGGGTAACCAGTAATCAGCATCGTGTTTGCGTCCTGCGATGACGAAACTGATAATCAGGGCTGCTAGCTCTTCGGAAGTGCGAGGAAGCGGAGGGAGGGGGGTCGCAGCGTCGAACAATATTTAGCAGCAGCGGAAGAAAGTAAAATGGAGTTCAGCCATGGTTCGGTTCCCTCAAAGTCAGATCATTTCAGTGGGGGAGGGGGCACCTTCGAACCAGTCTACCAACCACTATTTAGATCCACGACGATAGTGAGGGGAGCTGTTGGGTCAAGCAAGAATCAAAGATGGTGATGCGAGTGATGGGAGAGTGACTAGGCGATTTCAGGTACGACAACGACTGAGTAGGCTTTCTTCTCCGTTCTGTTCCAAGCTCCAACAACAGACAATAGTCTCCCTGGCTCCTCTGGATCGGGTATCGGTCAGGAGTAGGTACCGACCGCTGGCGGTTGGGAAAAAAACCCGGCTCGATCTCCAGGGACAAGCTAGTATCGAGACTCCAAGAGAAAGACTAAAACAAACAACTATGAGCGATGCTGCTTGAGGGATACAACTTGATCCAACTTGATCCAAATTAGGTTCCGATAATATGCTTCCTCGCCTTCTTCTCCGGGAAAGGGGAAGAAGGAACCTTCTAGGGAGGGGAGGAGGAGGGAGGAGCTGAGAGGGCAAGGGAAGGTGGGGAAACTAAGCCGTCCAACTGTTTGTTGGAGAGCTAAATTTATGTCACACTTCACGAACTTCACGATCGGTCGCATGCTCTGCACCAGAACGGTGGTACCTTGGCGAAGCTGATAGATGGATGCCGTTGGGTCATCTGCCTCCCGTGCCGTATCCTGTTCGGACGTCCTCAAATAAGTTCGGTCGGGACGGTCCCAGGTTGAAAGGAGCTTCAAGTGGGCCATGGACGGTGAGCATATCTGACAAGCTGATCTCACGGCACTCATAGCGAGATAAGGGCAGGAGATTGTGGTGAGTGATGACTATCATCGGTATCGGTACCTGGTCCCCGTTGGATTCGGCCACGAGGATGAACCCTTTCTTGACTCTGACCATCGTGGAGAAGAGTCACCAGCTGTGACCCAATAGATGGGAGCGAAGCCTCCCGAAGAAGCAACAAACAGTGACCGCAGGCAGTGCGGTTGTGTCCTGACTTCATGACAGTTCAATCGTAGCCAGTAATAACAACGAGGGACTGGAATGCTAATGCAACAAGGTTAGACCAAACTTTCCCACCGGGAATCTGCCGGGGTAAGTTTTGAGCCACCTTTACTTAGTATCTAGTATCTACTACTTACCTGGTCTTTGCTAGCCACTACTGTTAGTTAGTTGACTAGACTGCCTACTAAACTGTTAGTCGACCAGGAGTTGCTAGCTATCCACAGTATCTTGCCCAGCTAAGGTTGTCCTGTCGGAAAATTGTGAACGAACAAATGGGAGGCCAGGATGACAGATAAGAAAATAGGGAAGAGAACAGAGAAAGGGCTTTGACGATCCGACCTCCGAGTCCGAATCCAGGGTAGAGTTCAGTCAAGCAGGACTCTTTCTTCACTATTATCCGGGTAAATCTGAATGATGATGCCAGTTGTTGCATCAATGGAATAAAAATAACTGTCAACCACATCCTGTTCAACCATTGTTCTTGCAGCATCAGTAGCAGCAGCAGCAGCCAGCCGGCCGGCCAGCCAGCATCAACTAACTATGAATAATCGGTTATTCATCTTTATCCTTTTTCTACTTGCATTTTCCGGATCCATTTCCAATTCCGAATTGAACCATTTCCCTACTTGGTACCTCCTCGGGGCGCCCCACTCGGTCATGGCGGAATGGACCGCTTGAACGGTGGTCTGCTGCTAAACACCCTTGCCAGATTCTTAGCCTGCCCGGTACTGAATTGGGGGTCCTGCTTTATTCAACCTGAGCTAAGGTCTAACCTGCTAGGTCATGGCAAACCCCGGCCCTAATTCCATTAAACCCAAAGGTCACTGAGGGTCACTGATGGTCACTGACGATGCTAAAGTCTTTCCAGAAATTGATGATTATGATTATTATTATAAATATTTGGAAATATTAAATCAGGATGACTTTAGCCCTGAGCTAACCTTCTTTCAGCAGTTCCAGCAAGAACACCTTCTTCCCTCCCTCCACCTTGGGCCCCTCTTCACTGGCGGGCATCAGGTGAAAGAGGCCAAAATAGTGTCCCGATGTTCCCTCTACCTACGATTTGCTGCTTCGGGTTTGGTCATTCTACCAGTGTTCTTGGTATGGTGAGCCGCACCTTTAATGTGAAGCTACTTTACCTTTCTTCACCAACGGCTGTGGTTCGCGCGGTGTGAAAGGGGTGGAATTCTTTACTCTTGTAGTCTGGGACCGGTAGTTGGTAAGTTGGTAGATTCCATCTATTCCTCCATGGGTGGACGGTTAGCGGTTGAGATGTGGAGGGCCACCAGTCCAGGGACTTTCTTTTTTTGTTTTTCTCCTACGGAGCCTCGAGGCAATCAATGGGCCAACCAGCCCATCTATTCAGGGTGTAGTGTAATGGTTTCTCCGAATACTTCCCAATTCAAGGTACCTATAATACTAATAACAGTACTTGAAGAGGAGACAAAAAGCGGATTTCATCATCCTCAATGTCTAAAAGTCATATATCTCCTACTCCATACCTTCCACGCTACCAGAATACTCTACTAAGTCTACTCTAACCTTAGCAATTTTTCCGATAGTAGCGATTGTGGTTGTTATTATTATCATCATTATCCTTCCTCCTACCAGCTGCATCCCCGCCACACTAAGGCCATTCGATCCTCCAGGGCCCTCTCCCTCTTTGCTACCAGCAACACCACTACTACGGACCCTACTTACCTCCTCGGCCCTTAAGTTGGTGCTAAGGTGCTAAGGAAGAAAAGAGAGTAATATATCTCTCGTCATCTTCGTACTCGGCCGTCACCTCTTTTTTTCCCTAATCTTTTTTTTTTTCCCAAAAACCCATTCTTTCTTTTGGGTTTAATCCATCCGTCGACCCTGTTCTTTTTTTAAATCTACTCTATTACTACTTACTGCACTACATCACTACTACTACCACCACCACTACTACTTACTATCGCCTTCTCTCTCTCTACCGCCGCCGCCGCCGCCCTCCTCATAACCCTCCCACTCCCCTCTCCACCACCGAACCCACCCCCCACCTTTTCGTGACTTGTTCTGTTATGGCAGATTAAGACTCTTCTTTTTCTCTTTCATCATTTTGTTTCTTTTTTACACTCGCTCGTCCCACGTCTACCTCACACTCGCTTTGTTTGGTATCGAAACATTTTCGACGTTCGCTACACTGGAGGTGATCGGCTTAGAAGGGAAGATTGTTTTCTTTTGCCGCAAAAGAAAGAGAGGACACTGGGAAAAAAGGACGAACCGGATCGATTGAGGGAATTCTTATCGTTGGAAAAGAAACGACAGGGACCGATAGGATTCATCGCAAACCTCACTAATAACTAATCTGGATCGATCTCACGCGCTCGCTGATTATTTCGAAAAAAAAAATCCCCTCGTTTTATCGCTGTTTTACTTACTCCCGGGATTCTGTCTCCGCGCCAATCCGACCCAGCCTCCAACCTTCAACTCGAGCGGTCTAATTCCCCGTAAGGAAATCCTCAAGTTCGGTGACTCGAGATCTGAATTTGACGGACGCCGTCCTATTCCCTGTTACGTGCGGACGACTTTGACCTGCGTTTGTTTCGGCTTTATTCCCCTGGGACTGTAAAGCGATTCCCGTTTGCTGCGCGGGAGGTATACCGACCCCGGACCTGGACACTCCATCGCCTCCTCCTTCAAGGTTGTCAACAACACACACCCCTCTCCTGGAAAAGAAGAAAACAGAGTTTGTTTTCATCTTACCGGGACATTGGGCTTGTCAGTTATCTCCCCAGTCGTGCTCAGGTGTGGATCTGGAGTCCGCTCGTCTACCAATCGTTCTATCGCTGCTAGCCCTTCAACGAGGCCGGACCTTGACTTAAACCATCGTGGATCTTTGTCTCGGCTGAAGGTACCACCTTATTCCAGACTAGCAGAAATCACCTTGAATCAAAGACCTTCTTGGAGGACAGGGTTCGCTCTTACTCGACTCATTGGTCTGTTGAGGTTGGTACCAGTCTCCCTCCCTTCGCCACAGACTCCGTGGTGCCTTGCATCCCCTCTCCTTCGTGTTCCCTTCCCTCTGGACTCCTTGCATCTTCAAGGTCGTGCCTTTGGTGCACAAGATCTAAAGGAAATTTGGGATCCAAGATGGACTCTGTGCGCTTGTCATCTCCCTTGAGGCCTCTGATCGCCAAAGTTTCGGATGTTTTGTTGTTGACCGTGTCATGGTGTAGGTCTCTTCTATCAAGCTTTCTGCGACCACGAAATTTGCACGATTCTTTTATTTTATTGCCCTTAAAACCTCAGCTGTGCAACTCTGAGTCTCCTGATTTCTTCCCTGGTAAGTCCTTGTCTCTGCTGCGGGTCGGATCCTCGCCTTTGGGAAGGTTCGTACTCATTAGCCGAGTAGTTCGTGGCCCATCGTCATTCGATCTTCCATAACCCCAGGAGAATCTTGAATCTCATTTCATTCTTAGGGTGAACAGAAAATTAAACTTGCTCCTGTCTCGCTCTGTGGACGCAGCTTCATTCGCTACCTTTTAAGACACCCGCCCTGAATTATCGACCATTAGTCCGTCACGCCAGACCGCATTGAAAGATTGATACATCGCCTTCAGATGGAAACACACCTCCTATAGGCCCTCTCAAGCAGTCATTGGCAGCGTGGTCTTAATTCGGTTCAAGTTCTGCAGCTAGCCTTCTGGGCTTTCACACCTGATCATTGAACACTGGCCGCTGATTCGAAGCCTCTCGTGGTGTCTTCCTTGCTGAGCCTGACAGCCACTTCGTGTCGTCACTCGTTTTGTCTCGGAGAGCTGCCTCGCGACTTTCCGACAATCTATCGTCTTTGTACGATAAATTCACTGTCATTCGCTTCTTTAAGCTGTTGTGACCCGTTGCAGTTTCTGCAACACCTTCAAACTGGCTTACTCGAAGACACACGGTGTTTTGGTGCGTTGGACTACTCCCGCCCGCTGCCCAATTACTGCGCTTTGCTTAATTCATTTCACTTCTCATCCTCGCCAGTTTCGAAATTTCTGATAAAGTTGTTGTTGTCTTGCTGGGATCTTGCCTGTATTTGCCTTTTCTCTCGCGGTCCTGTGCATATACGATCATCCACTGACAATCGTGGTTCTCACAGTTCAATCCGGAGCTGCAAACGCCGTTAATTCTAGACGAGTCGTTGGATTTTTCGGACCCTGAGGAGTCCCAATTTATTGGTGCATTTTCAGACGGCCTTCTGGCCAAGTCTGACCCCATCTTGTCTATGCCTACTTTCCAGAAGCCCCCACAGGCGGCTTTGATCGGTAAGTGTTCACTTTGGGCAACAACGCGCGCCCCCCCAGGCCCAGTCAGGGATTTGCGTTCTCGCTCAGATTTCATCCTGGGTCGGCTGAGACAGTTTGTGTGCTAAGTGTCCAATAGACTATGAGTCCGCTCGATCTTTGCAGGATGGTGTCTCATATTCAGCCTACGGTCAGGCACCATACGTAACCTCTACCCCACTGGTCCCATCGCCCATGGCCGACCACACCAGCCAAATCTCAGATTGTGTCCCATATATGGGGAACCAGGAATATGCCAGTTCATACGAAGAAGGCCGCTCACCGATGATGACGGGGGGTTCGCGCCCGACACCGGAGGTTGTCTCCTACACGCCTCAGAGAGGTTCCGAAGGAACAAGGGTTTTCGTTCAGATTCAGTCCCCGTTCGATCTCCATGAATCGTCTTATGCATCGCTCTATCTCGTCTTTGGCGCAAAGAGATGTGAATGTGTTCCGCACTTTCTGGGTTTCCAAGGCTCCTCTTTTCAATACGGATTTTCCGTTGAGACGCCCCCTTTCAGCTCAACCTGCTCTCCGTCGTATGCAGTTCCTTTGCAGGTCTCTATGGATTCGAACGACTGCTCGGCTACAACCCTCCAAGTCGGAGTCTACACGTATGAGCCTGGTGCCATTCAGCCACCGTCAGATGACTTCCGGAAGAGAGGCCCGCCGTCTTACTCGGAGGAACCCATCCATAGAGCACCAAAACGAGTCATTGGACAATCGATGCCCCCGAAAGACCAATCGCCAGGTTCTACGGCCTCCTATTCGCCTTATCTGCACTCCTTGCCTGCGATGAGTGGGTTTGTCGCCCCGTACCCATCGGCCTCTTCCCCAAGGGCTTCTTCCACTCAATATTCTACCATTTCCGCAACGTCGCAGCCCTCCATCCGAGCACCCTCGCCTCTTACTTCCGCATGGAGTCCATCGATTGTGTCTGTGAATGGCGACCACCGGAATCATCCCTACATCGCCAGCCACGGGTACCGTCAACAAAACGCCCATTCGCCCGGCCACTTCAGCACGAATCCGCAGCTGATTCGGACTTCGACCTTGCAGCAAACAAATGGCATGGGCCAGGCGCCGGCTTTCAATCCATATGCCATGTACCCCACAAAAGCGGTTCTGAAGTTGAATGGCGACTTGGACAGCATGACAGAGAATTGGACCAAGGAGGAACGCGATACCAAACGCCGGCTGGTTCAATTCAGCCGCGCGCAGAGAGGCAGTACGATTTCGGCCGACTTCGCCCCGGTTTCTCTCGAGGATCGCGCTCCCAACAGCATCTGCATCAGCTGCATATACTGGGATGGAAAGGATGAGTGCTTCGTCACAAGCGTCGATACAATCTACCTGCTTGAGTCTCTGGTTGGGGTTCGATTCACCGTCGAGGAGAAGAATCGCATTCGGAGAAATCTCGAAGGTTTCCGACCTCTCACAGTCTCCAAAGCCAAGGCAGATAGCGAAGACTTCTTCAAAGTCATCATGGGATTCCCGGCCCCCAAACCCCGTAATATTGAGAAAGATGTGAAGGTCTTCCCATGGAGAATCCTCACTCATGCTCTGAAGAAGATCATTGGCAAATATGTAAGGCCCCCGAACGATGTCTCAATTCCCATCTGTGGACCGAACCGAATGCTAACAAACCGCTATTTAGTCGGCGAGCTATTCTTCAACAGCCGGAGCATTGTCCACCCCGATCGGCTCAACCTATGCGAGCACCGGAGCCGCCTCGGATTCCGGCACGGAGCCTCATACTGCCCCATCCCCTCAGTCTGTTTCAGACACCGCTGCTCCCAGCGCATATGGGCCTCCTCTGGCGGCCCCCGCATATTCTACCCCTGGCGATCACGCGGGCCCTTCCATGGCCGGAACTTCTGAGATACGACATGGTCTGCCCGCGATAGGCCAGTCCTATCATCCCCTAGGCCCCTCCAGTTATTATTCTGCAGCTTGTCCGCAGCCGAGCCAAGTGGGCGTCCCTGCCCCCAGCACTCGGGCTTGGGAGTTGAATTCTCTGCTCAGCCCTCCGCTCGCCACTGGAGCTCCGAGCAGCACACCCGTCTACAATTATGTGCCTTATCCTGTCTCAGGTCCCCATGGGCATTGAGTTGCTGCCAACTCCAGTCCCTGCACGGGGCTGATTTGCATTGGCTGGCGTTTAGTTTGTTGAGTCGGACTTGGTATACCATTTTATTCCCCCTTAACTGTTTTTCCATTTTTCGCCGCTTCTTCTTTTTCTTCTTTTCTTGTCGTTCCTTTGATCGAAAACCTGGCGCCTGGTTGGTTTATTCCCCACGAGGGTTCATATTCCCGGTAGCGGGATTCACGAATATGCCTTCTGTTTGGATTTTCATTTTGCTTACGATCACCGTCCATGATCTGATGTCCCTCCTTTAGAGTATCTTCATGTCTTGATGCCCCCGTCCCCCATATTTCTGTGTTCTACGCATGATAGACGATCTGGTGTCTTATCTTGTTTTTGTTATATTGCATTTAGTCGGGGCATTGGGATCTCGCTCCTTTCAGAGTTGTACAACTATCTGGCATAGCATGGCGCCGCTGTCATTCCTTTTCATCATGCAGGGGTTAGGATGGAATATGTTCGGAATCGATGTAAGAGACCCCCGGACTGGTGAAGGGATCAAAAGTGTGGAATTGGCTGTGTTCTCAATTTCTGTGGGGTTCTCTCCTGCTTGTCGTTGGCCAGGCTCATGCTGTCGTCTCCCGAATGGGGAGGACAACAGATGGGCCAGGTTCATTATATATGCATAGCTGTGGCGTCTGTGGATACCTATCATTGTTGTTATTATTATTATTATTATTATTATTATTATTGTGATCTTCGATCTTTGTTTGTTGCCTGCTTCTCTCTACTTTCCTCTTCGTGTCTTACTTCTCTCTTCCCTGTCCTAGAGTTAATTTGCACCCTTGAAGTTTTTGATTGTTTAGAAACTAGCCAACTCTTGCGTATCTAATGCCTGGGTTTGATTCTTGCCTTGACTGCATTGATGGTTGATGGAGTATCCTTCTCATTCCTCTCTCTATGGTCTGATTGAATCGATGGCAAGCCTTCCTCTAGTGATGCGCGTAGGTTGATTACCGTACCGTACCAATTTCATACCATACGATACGAGAAGTTATCTTATCGCCACATCACCTGACCGGGAATGAATAATCTCCCCGACAGTGACTCAATTCTCCCCTCAATTCTCCCCTCCTCCACCTCCTCCATCACATTCCACCCACGCCCGCCCACTTTTGACTCCTGAGGCTTTATTGCCTACACTCTCTCCCTGGAACCCCTTTTCCTTTTGTGGACTGGATAGTTTATTCCTTATCTTTTAACCCTCCCTTTCCTCGATCCCCTGAAACCGCCACTCGTTCCTCTCTCATCCTCCGTCCCTCTCCGCCCTTTCGGTGTCGCCCCCCCTCCTCCTCCCCCCGCCTCCCGCACCATGGATGGAATCAAGAACGCGTTTGCTCGCGCCAAGCAGGAAAAGCGTGCTGCTTTGGTAGCCTACTTTACCGCCGGTTACCCTACCATCGAAGAGACTGTTGATATTCTGTTGGGCTTGGAAAATGGAGGCGCCGGTAAGATCCTGATGCTCCCCGCTTGCATTTGCTTCGATTGCGGACTACACTGACCTTACGTTCCAATCGCCAACAGACATCATTGAGATGGGTGTCCCTTTCACCGACCCGATCGCCGATGGACCGACCATCCAGAAGGCCAACACTAAGGCATTGGCCAATGGCGTCACGATCCCCTGGGTGTTGGACACAGTTCGCTCCGCCAGAAGCAAAGGTCTTCGCGCCCCCGTACTGCTGATGGGCTACTACAACCCCCTCATGCAATACGGTGAGGAGCGCATGCTCCAGGACTGCAAGGCCGCTGGTGTCAATGGCTTCATCATGGTCGATCTTCCCCCAGAGGAGGCCGTCCGCTTCCGTGACTTCTGTACCAGCTATGGGTGGGTTCTCGCACCGGTGTCAACGAATAAAATAACACGGATACTAACAAATCTTCCGCATCGCCAGCTTGTCTTACGTCCCCCTCATCGCTCCCGCCACCTCCGAGTCTCGCATGAAGCTCCTCTGCAAGATCGCCGATTCCTTCATCTACGTCGTTTCCCGTATGGGTGTCACTGGTGCCACCGGATCTCTCAGCACGAACTTGCCCGAGCTCCTGTCTCGCGTTCACACTTGGTCGGGCAACGTGCCCACCGCGCTCGGATTCGGAGTCAGCACTCGGGAGCACTTCCTTTCCGTCCAGAACATCTCCGAGGGTGTAGTTATTGGAAGCCAGATCATCACCGTCTTGGGTGACGCCCCTGCCGGCCAGGCGGCTCAGAAGGCTCAAGAGTACCTGACCAGCGTTACTGGCCGCAGACTCGAGAGAGACGCCCAGGGTCAGGTTTCCGGCTCGGTCCATGTCCTCGAGCCCGTGCTGAAGGAGGCTCCTCCGGCGCTTTCTCAACCCACCGACGTCATCACCAACGATGACACTCCCGCTGGCCCCGGCCTGGTCGACCAGATTGACGCCCTCAACGGCAGCGGGGACCCGGCCGCCATCCCCTCTCGTTTCGGAGAGTTCGGCGGTCAATACGTCCCTGAGTCCCTCATGGACTGCTTGGCCGAGTTGGAGCGCGGCTTCGAGACCGCCCGCAATGACCCCAAGTTCTGGGAGGAGTTCCGCTCGTACTACCCTTACATGGGCCGCCCCAGCAGCCTTCACCTGGCCCCCCGCCTCACCGAGAAATGCGGTGGAGCCAACATCTGGCTGAAGCGTGAGGATCTCAACCACACCGGTAGCCACAAGATCAACAACGCGCTAGGCCAGATCCTTCTTGCCCGCCGCCTGGGCAAGACCAAGATTATCGCCGAGACGGGCGCCGGCCAGCACGGTGTCGCGACCGCGACGGTCTGCGCCAAGTTCGGCATGCAGTGTGTGGTCTACATGGGCGCCGAGGACGTGCGGCGGCAGGCGCTCAACGTCTTCCGTATGCGCCTGCTGGGCGCCTCGGTCGTAGCCGTCGACGCCGGCAGCCGGACGCTGCGTGACGCAGTCAACGAGGCGCTGCGCGCGTGGGTGGTCGACCTGGACACGACGCACTACATCATCGGCTCAGCGATCGGGCCGCACCCGTTCCCGACGATCGTGCGCACCTTCCAGTCGGTGATCGGCGACGAGACCAAGCAGCAGATGAAGGAGCTGATCGGCAAGCTGCCGGACGCGGTCGTCGCCTGCGTCGGCGGCGGCAGCAACGCCGTCGGCATGTTCTACCCCTTCTCCAACGACCCCAGCGTCAAGTTGCTCGGCGTCGAAGCCGGCGGCGATGGCGTTGACACCGACCGCCACTCCGCCACCCTCTCCGGCGGCAGCAAGGGCGTCTTCCACGGCGTCCGCACCTACGTCCTCCAGGACAAGCACGGCCAGATCGCGGAGACCCACTCCATCTCCGCCGGCCTCGATTACCCAGGTGTCGGCCCCGAGCTCAGCAACTGGAAGGACAGCGACCGCGCCAAGTTCATCGCCGCCACTGACGCCCAGGCCCTCTCCGGCTTCCGCGCTCTCGCCCAGCACGAGGGCATTATCCCCGCTCTCGAATCCTCCCACGCCGTCTTCGGCGCCATGGAACTCGCCAAGACCATGAACAAGGGCGAGAACATCGTTCTCAACCTCAGCGGTAGAGGCGACAAGGACGTCCAGAGCGTTGCTGATGAGTTGCCTCGCTTGGGTCCTAAGATCGGCTGGGACTTGAGATTTTAGACCCTCCCCCCCCCCCCCCCCTTTCGCAAATATCAATCCATCAAAATGCATCAAGCAGTAAAAGAAGATTTTCGGGCTATAAAAGAACTGGGCTTGCTTGTTATATGATCTTTTTTACTTTGCCTGTCTAGAATTTAGGATATACCTTGACACTCTTCCTCCCATCTTATACACATTTGGAGATTTTTCAAATTATTTGGCTTCCATGTGGGATTCGCACCTAGCTGAGATCAAGCACCGTAACCTAGAATAGGCAATTCTTTATAGGTACTCGTCTGCTTGGTGGAGGGTAGCTTGGTAACATTTGTATAAGTAATAGAATCTCCTCGCTTACACCTAGGCTGTATAGAGTAGTCGCTGCTGTGAGCAAATAAGCAGGTACGTACACTCCTTGCTTATTCGCCGAACCATACTCATACGAAACAGACACTCTACAAAAGACCAAACAACAAATCGATAATGAATGATATACAACTACGCGAAAGTATATGCAGGGCCGTAGTAAACAAGAGTTTCGAACAATAGCGGAATAGATAGCGGGTGAGGTTGTGGGGGAGAACACGCATAGAAGAAGACTCAAGACGCCCAGCGAGCGGCGAAAACATACGACGACAGCAGCCACATCCAAATTCCCTGTCGACTCGTGCCCACCTTCTACGTCTCAATGAGATCCGCGGTCTCACTCTGAGTCTGCTCCGGCACGGTGTTGTCTCTCGTGTCCTTGTTGGCGATCTTCCGGGCCGAGCGGGCATAGAACTCATCCAGCACACGCTTGGGGATACGGTTGAGCAAGTCCTTGGGGTAAATGCGGAGCAGGTTCCAGGCGATGTCCAGCGACTCGAAGATCGTGCGCGACTCGTAGGGGGACTGGCTGATGAAGGTGCGCTCGAACTTGTCGAGGAACTCCAGCGAGAGCTTGTCTTCCGAGGAAAGCGCTTCCTCACCGACGACAGCCTTCATGGCGGCTATACGAATTCAAGTCTTAGTAATGTGCACCACTCAACACAATCGAAGAAAACTTACCAGCATCACGACCAATGGCGTACTTGGCGTACAACTGGTTGGACACATCGGAGTGATCCTTCCGGGAACGTCCCTCGCCGATGGCCGACTTCATCAGACGAGACAGAGACGGAAGCACGTTGATGGGCGGGTAGACACCCTTGTTGTGCAGCTGACGGTCAATGAAGATCTGACCCTCCGTAATGTAGCCGGTCAAATCGGGAATGGGGTGAGTGATATCTGCATCGAGCAATCAGTGGTTGACCTCCCACACAACAGGCAACAAAACTGACCGTCGTTAGGCATCGTCAAAATAGGAATCTGAGTGATAGATCCGTTACGGCCCTCCACACGGCCAGCACGCTCGTACAGGGTCGACAAGTCAGTGTACATGTAACCGGGGTAACCACGACGACCCGGAACTTCTTCACGAGCAGCCGAGACCTCACGGAGGGCATCACAGTAGGCAGACAAGTCAGTCATGATGACCAGGACGTGCTTCTCCAGCTGGTAGGCGTAATATTCGGCCGTGGTCAAAGCAAGACGAGGAGTGATGATACGTTCGATCCTAGACGCTGCATGTCAGTTCCGCACGTGCAATTGTCTTGATGCGGATCACATACGTAGGGTCGTTGGCCAAGTTGAGGAAGAGCGTCACGCGTTCCATACTGCCGTTCTCCTCGAAATCACGAGTGAAGAAACGGGCGGTTTCCATGTTGACACCCATGGCGGCGAAGACGATCGAGAAGTTCTCCTCGTGTCCGTCGTGCACGTCCTTGGTGGGGCGCTTCACCAGACCGGCCTGACGACAGATCTGGGCGGCGATTTCGTTGTGTGGCAGACCGGCGGCGGAGAAGATGGGAATCTTCTGACCACGGGCAATCGAGTTCATCGTGTCGATAGCGGAGATACCAGTGGAGATCATCTCTTCGGGGTAGACCTGGAGACCATCAGACGCATTAGCCACCCGGGTTGTCATGTCGCTCCGGCGCGAACAAAAGGGGCGAAGGGTTCATACTCGGGAGTAAGGGTTGATAGGTTGACCGTTGATATCCAGGTAGTCCTCCGCCAGCACCTTGGGGCCCTTGTCGATCGCGCGACCGGATCCATCGAAGACACGACCCAGCATGTCTTCGGAGACACCGAGCTTCAAGCTGTGGCCGGTGAACTCGACTTTCGTCTAGGGCGAGTCAGTAAGAGAGATAGTCGGAGTCTCCTTCTACAGTCGCTGGGAAGTACCTTCTTGACGTCGATACCGGAAGTGCCTTCGAACACCTAGTTATGACGGCATGTCCATGTCAATATTCCGTCCGATAAGCCCCATCGCAGCACTGCACTGGGGTGATCCGCACCTGAACGACTGCTCTGTTTCCTATAATGAGAGCATCATGCGTCAGCCAATCCGATCATCCATTTCCCCATCCAAGCACCAGAGCACCCACCTCGAGCTTCCAGAACCTGACCCGACCGCTCGGTCCCATCAGGGAGGGTCAGAGACACGATCTCGTTGTAACGGGGGAATTTGACCTAAGTAACTGCAGGTTAGCTGCTATCCCGCCTTCTCATATATTGAAAGCCGGCCAGATGACGTTGCCGATAACTAGGGGGCGTACATTATCCAGAACGACCAGCGGTCCGTTGATACCTCCGATGGTGTTGTAACGGATGCGAGGCTTGACGCTGGTCATCCTGGGGTCGACGAATTCGGCCATGGCTGAAGAGACCACCGCAGGGTACAACTTAACCAAAGACGATATGTAAAGAGAGAAACAAAGGGGAGGGAGGGAGGAAGGTGGGAGAAGGCGACGAGGGGGAACGGGACTGAGTGAGGGGAGAAACAGCTCCAGGTAGTGGTGGTGGTGGTGGTCGGTCGGTCGGAGTGTGTCGACGTATGCTTTGGTCCCGTCAGTTTGGCTGGTTTGCCCCGTTTGGCTCCACGTCCAGCCCGGGGCGGTGTGGACCATCCGACCACTCTACGTGATGTCTTCTCGTCTACGATCTGATCTATATAGTCTCATGTCGTGGTGGTAATATTATTAGGAAATAGATGTCCCCTCGTAGAGAGAAAAGAAGAGCATCAAAACATAGTAAGTAGGGAGTAATGCGTCTCGTAAAGCATTCTGCAACCGCCATAAATTGTCACCCTCCGAGATGTGCTGATCATCGAGAATCAACGAAATAAACGAACGCCAAGCGAAATGAAATCATCATCAGATCAGCTCGTCATGAAGGTCATACTGATACAGTTGAAGAATGAATAATCATCCACGAGAAAAGCAGGCTAGAATCGTGAGATAAGTACGCCAAACCGCCGTCAAACCGTCATGGTATCGTGTGCAAAAACAAATAACGGAGAAAGCAGAGAGTAGGTGCAATCATTCAGTCCACTTTGGCCAATGCAAGCTTCTTTGGCGTCGTCAAATTGTTGGAAAGGCGGACATTCATCTTCTTGTTCTTGGTTTGTTTCTTCAGCTTCTTGCGGGCCACCATCACCGGGACAGACGAGTGCATGACCAGGTAATTCGAGAACGACCCAAGAACCACCCTATTGAAAGCCTTGTTAGTTTCTGGCTCGTCTAGAATCCACAGGAAAGAGCCCTTACCCTTTAAGTGCGCTTCGTCCTCTTGCCCCAACGATCACCAAGGTAGGATCCAGTCCATCAATCTGAGAGATTCAGTCAACCAACGTGTATACCGCTTTGACACAAAGGCAAAGATTGTACTTACGGCTTCGGTTATCATATGCTTTGGACTTTTGCAGTGAATCACTTCAACCGCCACGCGCACCTGGAGCAACGTCTTCCTCAACAGCCGCACGCACGTCTGCGAAATGACCTCCACCGCACGTACACGCTCGGACTCCGCCTTGGACATGCCTCGCGCATCGACAGAGCCCGGTTTGCTGTCAGTGCCGCTTCCCAGGCGGTTGAAAAAGGCACGGGGTAGGTGAGAGCTGGAGTCGTTCTGAGATTTCTCCACCGTCTCGGCTGTCTGCGACCCAACCACGGCGGCAGCATCCTGCATGGCCTTGGCTCCGTCACCAATCTGCACCGCTGCCGGGGTGGCGGTCTCGTCATGCATGGCACAGACCGCGAACAATGTGTCCCCATCTCGCAGAATGGTCCCGATCGTCCATTCCAAGGCATACACCGATTCCTCGCTGAGGTCAGTCGTCACCAGATACTTGCGTTGGCGGCGACGAGCACTTTCTTCTTCCCGTATGCTAGGATAATCACCCCGGATAATCGTCCGAATGGACCGATTGTGCACCGAATTGTCGATCGCGGACATCTGGATGCTGAGCTTCTGGGCGCGTTTGATGTCACACAGTTCTGCTTCATCCTCGGAGCCAAATGGAGTGTTGGTCGCAGAAGCGGAGTCGAAGCTCGTTCGGGGACGGACATCCGGCTTCGAGACTGGGCCTGTTTTGGCTGAATGAATCAGATCAGACTTTCCTGTAGAGTTGTTGTTGGGCTCTTCAGCCAATGGTTAGTCGACGTCACGCAACGAGGAAGGGAGGGGGGGACATACGGAATGCCGGGGCCGTTTTCGTGGTCGTGCGCTGAGCCACCTTAGCAGGTTCGTGATCGACCGTCTCTTTCCGCCCTCTTTTGGCTTCTTCCGACGCACGATCCGGACTTTCCTCATCATCACTGGAAGACAATTCGTCGCCGTCCTCATCACTGGTCTCGATGGGATTATTTTCGCTGTCGAAGCGATCTTTCTCAAGACGCTGCTCTCCGGGAGCCGAGAAACTGGCATCTGCCTCTGTTGGCGACTGAGGGGCCGAGGGAGGTTGGGTTGTTGCTTGCGGAGTTGCCTGAGGGGTCGGAGGAGGAGAGACTTTTGGAGCGCTCGCAATCGTCAAGCCTTCTTTGGGGCTCTCTTTCGGCGTCTCTTTGATCGGGTCTTGGACGCTCTCTGTAGGCTTCTCCGCGGTATGCTCTTTAGGTGGCTCTTTGCTTTCTTTCCGTTTGTCCATGGGATTTTCATTCGGGCTCTCCTTGGGGCTTTCGAGTATCGGCTTTGCCGCGTCGGCCGGCTGATTCCGTGAACCAGGACTCAACCAGCGGCGTTTTGGCGAACTGGAGCGGGTGGAGCGGAGTGAGGGAACGCGCGAGTCGAGGGAATTGCCGCGCGATGAAGAGCTGCGGCCCGAATCCCTCCCTCTGACAAAACTCGGAAACCCGACCTTGATGTCGAGGCCTGACATCACCGCAGCCATGCTGGGCAGACGGTTCGAGGAGGAAGCGGCGGGAGGCTTCTCTTGAGACTGGCTGGCACGACGAGCACTGGGAGGCATATCGAGAGCCGAATCCCAGCGGATGCTAGGGCCTGATTTGTGTGTGGTGGTGGTGGTGGTGGCGGGGTTGTCTCCGGGCTTGTCCCCCCCGTCGGATTGAACGGAGGATTTCCTCGGCGTCGGTGGTAACGGAGGAGCCACGGAAGAAGTGGTCCTGGGCGGCGGAGGGGAGGTAGTAGTTGTGGTAGTAGTAGTAGTAGTAACGGTAGTGGACGACGTGGGTGATGTAGAGGGTGAGACGGGTGGAGAGGGAAGAGGTGGCGGCCGAGAGGAAGTGGTGGGAGACGGTGCTGTGGAAGTGGTGGGGGTCGAAGAGCGACGGGGGGCAGATGTGGTAGTAGTAGAAGTAGAGGAAGTGGGATAAGAATTGTGGTGATGGTGATAGAGACGGCCCGAGGGGGAAGTCACACCCACTCCAATGCCGGCGATGGAGCCATGGCGTGGAGGGACGAAGCCTGGGCTGGGCGCGATGTCCAACAGACTCCGGCGTGGGTACCAGGAACTAGCATGGTGGTGGTTGCCTTCACCGGATTCGCGCAGTAATTCCCGTCGTTCTTCCTCCAGTGCGGTCTCGAGCGACATGGCCGCCGGCTTTCTACTGTAGTACGGCATGGTGACCGAGGGTGAGCACGAATGCACTGAATTCACCCTTTCCTGTTGATCTTCAATTTCAATTCTTATTTATGTTTCTGGTCTGTCTGTCTGTTCTGTTCTGTTCTGTCTGTCTGTCTGTGTGTCCGTCTTTTCCGTCTTTCTGTCTGCCTGTCTGTCTGCAACAAGTTAGTGAACTGATGGAGCCACCCGAAACGGGGAAGGGATCAAGAAGAGAGAGAGTGAGACAGTGACACTAACGGGCTCGGGAATGTGGAGTTGAGCGACGATCGTCGGCCGAATGAGCGGCGCCTAATCAAGGTAAGGGGCGGCAAGTCACTGTCCAAATCCCCAGATTTCCCTAGTATTCACCTTCTGCTTTCCCCGTGGAATGTGACAAGGGTTCAAAGCAAGTTCGACCAGGGGGGGGGGGGGGGGGGGAGGGAAATCAGCAACAACAGCAGCAACACGGTCTGTCACTTTCAGCCACAGAACTGAGATGCGGAAGAACAGCCTCAAAAGACCAGGTTTCCCTCGGCCTGGGAAATGGCACAATTAATAGATCAATAGGGCGGACCTGGGAGATCCCCACGTGCGCAACAACGGCTGCAACTGCCGGCGATCGATTCGGTCGCGACCAGCCGCGGCCCAGGTCTGGCTGAGCTATTCTCCTTTGTTACAGGTCGCAATGGACGTATCACAAAGCAAAAGCAACGAAAAGGGGGACCAGCGCGTTCGGTGAGGTTTAGGAGCTCTCCCCACGGAAGCGAGTGAAGGGAGAAAGGGAGGGAACGGGAAGAGGAGGTGGTGAAGGTGGAGGTGGAGGGCAACAAGAACAACAACGACAACAACAGAGCACAGTCCACTCTGCCAAGTCAGTCACAGGGAAAGGAATCGAGGAATGATTTGACTTGACTTGACTTGACTCGATGAAAGACCGTCCAAGACCGACTGGGGATTTGAGAGAGCTTAAGAGGACAAGACGTGAGCCAAAAAAGTCGACCAACGAAAATCGCAGCTGAGCTCGTTAGAAAAAGCTCGGCATGGCGGGGTATCACCAATTATTACCAATATAGAAAGATGATTGAAGAAAGCAATATGGGAGAGGGGAGGAAGAGAAGAGGAGAAGTAGGCCGATCATTTTAACCCATTCACCCATTCACACAGCATATATCCCTTGCATGATTAACTGGCTACCTGATGTCTTTCCCTTGAGTGTTACCGCAGCTCTCGAGAGACTTTGCTCGCCAAAAAAGAGAGACTCGAGCCTGGAATGTGCATGCAGGCGACCGGCTGCTTATTTGTGCTTGACCAGAGCTCGAACCAGGGAAATCCCTTATCACATTCCACCTCTTCCACTTCTTACACTTCCCCTCTTCCTCTCGCCGCCAGCCAGCTGAGTTGGTCAACGATCGTCGGCAAAGCGTCAGTGTCATCTCACAAGTCAATCATTTTCCATTTTCGACACCAATACGATGCTCGTCCCTTATGTTACATTCTGCGTCATTCCAGCATGAAAGCATTACTATATGCATGAAAGCAAAAGCAAAGACAAGGTACACAACGAATAGCTCCGCTCCCAAGATGGATGCTGGATGGTTCATCGACATATCATGGATGCATATCGCAAGTAAAGAAGAATAAAAAAACAAAAACAAAAATCGACTGATCCAACGCCCCAATTTCGCCAATGTATCAGACAATGCAATCCAACTCCCAGACAAACATGCTGCAGAGACAGAAACCGAACCGACCGCTCCTCCCCCTCCTTCCCTCTAGGCATCTGTTTTTCTCTTCTTCTTGGCTGTCTTTCGCGCCGCAGTAGCTGCAAAGGCCTCCTCCGGGGGCTCGTCCACCTTGGCCGCCCGCTTTCGACCGGGTTTCACGAACTTCTCCTCCAACCGATCGAAGAACGCATCCGCCCTCGTGGCCTGGCGCTGCTGGATCAATCTCATCAGCTCATTGTCCCCATCGCTCTTCGTCTTGTTGGTGGTCTTCCTGCCGCCCTTGCCGCTCTTAGCCGACTGCTTCTCCTCGACCTCCGCCGCCAACGCCTCCGCCTCCTTGGCCTCTTTCTGCGCCCGCTTCAGTCGCCGCTGGCGCTTCGTCGCCGGCTCATCGACGTAGCTCTTGTGCTTCTTCGCGCGCCCCGCAGCGATGGCCCGGTCGATGAGCTCCCGGAAGCGCTCATCGTCATCCAGCACATTGCAAAGCATCACAGTCTCGTAGACCTTATCCAAGTCGCCCCGGTAAGTCTCATACGCCGCCAACACATCTCGCTCCTCCTCCGCGGAGCCCTGATACTCCTGCTTGAGCTTATCGATAGCATTGATATCGACCGCATGGGCGAACTGCTCGCGGTAGAAGTCCGCCCAATTGAAATCGTCGTCGATGTCGACCGCCTCGCTGGTGCTGCCGGTCAGGTCGTATCTCTCGCGGCGTTTCGCGTCAGAGAGGATGGCGTAGGCGAAAGCGATTTGCTGGAAGTTCTTGTTTGCTTCCTCGCGTTCTTCGGCAGGAACCTTGTCTGTATAAACGTTCGGTTAGTATCGGATGTTCTCAGGGTGCAAGCCATCTTTCGTCGTGAGTTTTTCTGCGTACCAGGATGGTGTTTGAGGGCTTGCTTGCGATAGGCGGATTTGACCTGGTCTGCGGTCGCATCGTTGGAGACGCCGAGAATCTCGTACAGATCGGTCTCCGGGTTGGGAGGTTCGGGGGATTCACTGGTGCGACGAGGTTCGGGGGAGCTGCTCTCGCGTAGGGACTCGGGGGAGTCGCTCTTGGGCGGAGGGGCACGAGACTTGCTCTTGCGTGGCATTGCGAAGGATTCGAGGAGCCCAAATCAGTAGAAGTCGAGGAAAGTGACGGTTGGAGATTGTAAAGCGAATGGTTTCATCAAGTATCAAAAAGAGAGAGAAAAGTCAGGGAAAGAGCTCAGTCCGACGCGCCACGCGGACGCGAACAAACAACCATTACTTGTCAGCATACGGAAGGCGGTCAACACTAGGTAGGGGCAGTTGCTATCGGATAAGCCTTACCGCCTTATACCGATAAGAAACCAGCTTGCCCTCTAGCTTCCCGATCAGGTTTAGAGCCTGTGGGCGGCGTCGAGCTTCCCCCGCGCGCCGATGCGGTCATCATACCTATCCGCGGGCATAGCTTCAATCCATCCTGAACCAACCCTCACCAACTCCCTTTACTCGAAACCATCCCAACCAAACACAAACCAACAAGCCCAATCCTTGATCCAAGCGAACCCTCCCACCCACCACACCACACAAACAAGAAACCTCCACCCCGAAAGAGAAGCAAAAAACCAAAAAAATGACCTCCCCCCACCTCAATTACATGCGCACCTGCCTCTCCCTCGCGGAAAAAGCGCCCGCAAAACCCACCAACTTCCGCGTGGGCGCTCTGCTTCTCTCACGAGATGAGAGCGACGCAACGCTAGAAACGAACGACCGGCTATTAGCGACGGGGTACACGATGGAGCGGGAGGGCAACACGCACGCGGAGCAGTGCTGTCTGGCGAACTACGCCGCGACGCAGGGTGTGACTGCCGAGCAGGTAGCCGAGGCGCTGCCCGACGAGGCCGGCCGGAAGCTGGTGATGTATGTTACGATGGAGCCGTGCGGGCGGCGGCTGTCCGGGAATGCGCCGTGCGTGGAGCGGATCATTTCAACCAGAGATGAAGGGCGGAGGGGTATTCAGAAGGTGTACTTCGGGGTTAAGGAGCCTGGTACGTTTGTCGGGGAGTCGGAGGGGTGTCGGCGGTTGACGGCTGCTGGGGTTGAGTGGGAGGTCGTGCAGGGGCTTGAGAAGGAGATTCTTACGGTGGCAACGGCCGGGCATGAGGATGCTGAGGCGGAGGTCCAACGGGCGTTGGAGAAGGTCGAGACGAATATTGATGATATTAGTGCTGAGGAGCGGAGGCGGCAGGCGCAGTTGCCGCGGAATCCGAAGAAGAGGGTTATGGAGGTTGATTTGATGGAGTGAGCTTTTTTATGTATGGTATTCTTGGTTGGGGTTGGTGGGGTGTAGATGATTGATGGTTGTGTATATATGTGAAATCCTGCAACTGGGACGGCTTGATGCCGTGGGTGGTGCTGTACTCGGCTTCAACCTTTTCAACCTGTGCCTCCAGGATCCTGCCTTCCCTGCCACAGCTGATGAGGGCTTCGGGGTTTAACTCACACTTACACAGCGTCAGGCTCTTCAGGGCGGCTTTCATGGAATGTCCGGCTTTGTCAGACAATCATGGAGCAGCCTTCTATTCATCTCTTTGAATACTGGCCGCTGCCGTGATAGTGCAGTGGACGTTAACAAACAAAGCAAAATCTGGAATTTACAGGTGCCTGACCCCTCAAGGTAAACGATAGCCAAAGCCGAATTTATTTACAAAAGCGGCGCATACTCCATTGCTTAGCTGCCTACACCCGCCGTTCCCCAATTAAAGAAAACAAGAACGGCCCAAGAACCACCAACTAACGCTGCTCATCCAAGAACCGCCGCACATCCCCATCACGCAGAAGAGCCTCATGCTCCCGCCTCAGAACCTCAGGCTTATTCTCCTCAAACCAGAACGCCCAGGTACTCCGCGTGTTGATCTCGAGATTATCGCGACTGGACTTCAGCCCGACATGCTGCAGCTGCTGGGGCGCAAGCGCATACCGGGTCAACCGCGTCGCATCCGCATACTCCTCGATGATGGAATCCGTCTGCCCGGCCTTCACCTCCGTCAGGTGAGCGATCAGCGCGTCGACCTGGTCGCGCGGGAAGATCAGGCCCTGGGTGCAGCAGCCGTGGGCGTTCATCTCGACCACGCCGCTCAGCGGCATCAGGCTGTATTTGCCGACCATGTAGATCAGCGCGATCAAAGCGGGGAGGCTGATGCAACTGAGGACGCCGATGGTGGGGTTGTCAAGGTAGGTGTGCGTGATGGGATACGAGCGGCGGATGGTCAGGAGTGCTGCGAGAAGTAGCGATGATGCGCCGACGAAGACCCATCCCATGTTGCGGTAGGCGAAGTCTGAGGAGGTCCAGCTTAGTGCGGTCTCGGTGAAGAAGAGCCGGAGGTAGAGCCAGGGGTTTTTATTGTTGTTGTTGTTGTTGTTGCCTTGTTGCGTTTGGCGCTCTCGAGCGATGTCGGACAGGCCTTTGAGGGTCTGGGCCATCCAGCCGTCCGCTAGGATGATGTCGTCCTCGAACATCGCGAAGTATCTTGCGTTGGTTGTCATGCAGGCTTCGAGCGCGTGAATATAGTCGCTAAGCAGGAAGACAGGCTTGTCAGAGGCTTGTCCCTGGAGGGAGGATGTCGTTGGAGGTATTGGGCAACTATCGGGAGAACTCACAAGACTCCCTTCTCGTAGAAGTTGCGCGCCTTTTCCAATTCCTGCAGGTGGCGAAACTGTTCTATGGAGATGTTCCGGTATGACCCAACATGGTCGGCCAGTCGATGGACCCATTTCTGTCCCCAGCCGGGATGCAGAGTAGGATCGGTGTCGACAAAAATGATGTTGAGAAAGAGGGCACGCCGCTCAAGCGGATCCAGTCCCTCCAGCAAGGATCCCACCGAGGCTTCAAGGTAATCCTCATCCCGCCTGACGGTCAGGAAAGATGCGCAGACCAAGGGATCGGATCCTGCCTTTGTATAGGTAGGAGAGTTGTCTGAGAGAGTGTTGTGGGTGGTGATCAGACGCCGGCCTTGATGTTCGCGATAGAGACTATATCTCCATTCGTAAACATGGCGGTCATTGAAGAAGGCCGAGTGAGGGTCTCTCCAGAATCGGACCCGACAGTAAGCGTAAGCAATCAGCCAGAGAAGTACACTGGCCAGGAGGACATTGATAGCACTGGATCTGCGTAGTTTTCGAACGGGGAGGGACTTCAGGGCGGTTTGAAGGGCTCGCATATTGATGGCCCCAGCTGCGGGTTGATGTGGACAACGGAAGAAAACATGGTAAGCAGCCCGATTTTGATTTGGGAGACATGCGACAGAGTTACAGTGTTACGCAGCTGCGAGGTTGACTGGTGGGCTCAGTGCTGCTGAGTGCCTAGTGCCTACAGTAAGTCTCTAAGACGCCAAAGGTTATTGGGTTTGCAGTCTTACCCACTACAATGACTTGGCAGATCCACCGTAACCACTTGTTCAGCCTGGGCAGTCCCTTTTTAACATCCTAAGGGTGTCGCTGCTCTCTTTTTCCAGCAAACAATGTGCTCACGAGTAGTGATAACCCGTCACTCTGACATGAACTCCGTGATAGCTCGTGGTCATAGCAGCCGTCTCCTCACCAGGATACAGGTAGCCTGGCAGTTTGATAATCCTGTCTAACCTCAAAGCACTTCTCACTTTTTGGACTGTCCCTGAGACAAGGTGGGGAGCAAGAGCAGGGTCTGTAAGCTGACTGGCCACTTTGCATGAACTATTCGGACGGGCTGTGCACTATCACAACTGGACCCTTCTTCGACGAAGGGCACGATGCAGGGATCGGGTAATTAGCCCTATAAGATTTCCTTTCACATCTGAGCGCCGAGCGGATCTGGGGCTGTCTCCCCCCTAGTTACTGGCTACAGTATAAGTGGCTGCCTAACCTCCGACTCAAGATGGTAGAATGGTAGTGCCATTTAGGAGCTCCTGTTCTATGTTTCTGTGGACATCGTTGACAGCGTTGCTGCCTTTTCTGGTTTTTGAATGTCATCTTAGTGAACCTGAGAAGAGCAGTCATCTCCATGCAGATAGTTGAGAGGGCATTACCTTTCTTTGCCCCGCTAGTAATGCCATGGTGCCAAAAGATAACGCTTGGCAAGGGGTAGGAGTCGCTCTGCACATTGCGCTGTACACGCTGTCACATTGCTGTTTTCAGTGTGCTTAGTTCAACTTGAAGCAAGTAACTCGGCAATCCGGCACAAATCATTACTAGCCAACTACTTAGTAGCAGACAGGAGCTTGGTAAATACCAGTGTGTTCAGATGCAGTACGTTTCCTCGGATCAACTCGGTCGGTCGACAGCATGGAACTGTTCAAGCGCGAGGCTGCCCCGAGAGCAACACTATGTAGCAGCCATAGCGCCGGTCATCTCTAAACATCACACAGTATAGCCATCATTCTCGAGTATAAGAACCTAACCTCACCAAGCCAGCTCAAAGGGCCATCCCAGCAGGCATTCGATCTGACAACCCGGTAACCGCGTCGATCGAATAATCTATGCCTGCGCTGCCATCAACACCCTATATCACTTCCAACAACTCAACCAACCTATCTCCCGCTTCACAATTACTTAACCCAACGAGTGCAATCTCAGCTTCTCTGCCCAGTTCCACGGCCTTTTCCCTGTCCGCCTCACAAGCGACCTTGTCGACAATCAATCCGTTCCAGACACCATAATCAAACCAGCCATCCCTGAGAAGTCCGAGGTGGGTGGCGACGCATCCATTGAAGCAGTTCGCCTCGGAAGCCCTGCCAGTCCCTGCTGGATGATGCATCTCCCCCGAACACATCTCTCGAACGCGGCCAAGCCGAGCCAGGACGTCCTTTGACGCTGCCTCATCGCCGGAGTCGGGGTGTATCTCTCCTGTTCTCTCCCGATGGATCGAAGCATGCTCATGCTGGTGATTTTCAGTATCGCCATACGCACCACTGCATGAATGGTGATTGGAAATGGCCCAACTTACCACCGTAGCCGCCACCAATGTGATCGAAACGAGGAGGCATACAAGGCCCTTCATATTATCTTCGCGGGGTCTTCTGCAGTTTTGAATGTACGAGTTAGATTGATAGAATTTCTGGTCGAGTCGTACCAGCCAGCAAATCCAGGTATGTCCATGGAAAGAATCCCTAGGGGGCTTATATTTTCAAGTATCCATGCTCTAAGCATATTCCATGGATATCACCTGCCGGATGTCAATGCGAAAGCTCATTATTGCTTTTGCGGATGCTCTCATGCAAGGACAGAGTGTGGTCTGGATTGAATAGGGCAAGGATCTTCCATATTGCTCTGTACTTTGACTGCGTACATGCTGATATTGATAATCATGAATATCATTGAGTTAGGGGTTCGATTTCCTTGTTCTTTTTGTCTGTGATCTGACCGGTATGGCAATATATTGTGAGTATATGCTATCTTATGATGTTTTTGATGATCAAGCTGGTTGGCGAGTGCAAGTGATACATATGGTTAAGCTGGTGGTGAGCGGCAGGAATAGCTGCCATCTTCAGTCCGTTTACTTTGCAACATGAGAACGTTCCCAGGCACTAATACTGCAAGACGTAGTATAGGAAGTATAGATCACAGAGGATGATGCTCTTATTGTACGGCTTTAGAGAGTACTGATATGGCTCCTCTTTTTAATGATTAGTGGGGCAAGATTCGACAGTTGTCGAGGCATAAATTGAGCGTTATCCAGTTAGGAAAGTGTAATGTTCATCCAACAAGTATGAGGAAGAGGTACTTTAGGGAAGGAATTAAGCTTAAATAAAGGAACAATGCTCGTTGCTGTGATAAGGAACCAAAGTGATATTTGTATCCGTGCTCGGGGCGACTAGGAGCGTGTATTAGACCTCAACAAGAAGCGAGCAAGGATTACTGATCTCAACTTCATTGTCTTCGAATCGTATTCTTATTACTTCAGCAATTCCCCGACACATATGTAGGATAGTAAGAGATCATACTGGTATGGAGCTCGGCTACTGACAATGCGATGCATGATGCGCCAAAGTGAAATTCATGACCTCGAAATAACTACCAGCTCTACACCAAAGCTGTCATTCAATCCATTCCAACGCCGTTTCGTTCCTCGATTGTCCAGACCACAACTGGACATCTGAATAGGCGACGTGGCCCCATCACACGTGGAAGATGCGGAGGGAAGGACAGAATGGGGAACAGATCGCAACCGGCATGACGTCGTTGACATCCGTTCCCGATCGATCCCAACCCAGCCATCCATTCTTTATATAACACGAACGTGTCGTCCACCCAGAAGACACAAACCTCCTATAACCCCCAATCATTCAACCACAATCCCAGAACCACCGCCACAATGCCGTGGTCCAGCGTTCTCCCCCAAACGGTCTTCACCTCGCCGCTCCTCTCCGTCGCGGCCCCCATCGCCGCCGGAACCTACATCGGCTTCCAGACGAACAGTAAGCGCACGCAGCCAGCCCATTCCCCCCGGGAAAAACAACACAACCTCTAACAAACCAACCCAGAACAATCCCAGACAAAGAACGTCTACCGCAACCTCCAAAAACCCCCGCTCTACCCGCCCGCCTGGCTCTTCGGGCCCGTCTGGACCGTCCTCTACGGCCTGATGGGCTTCGCCGCCCACCACGCAACGGTAACCGGCACAACGGTCTCCCCGCTGTCTTCGTCGACGCTGCAGGAATGGACGGTCCAGTCGCAGGGCCTGTACTGCTCGCAGCTGGTGTTCAACTACTTGTGGATGCCGCTGTTCTTCGGCCTGCGCAAGCCCGCCTGGGCACTCGCCGACATGCTGCTGCTGGGCGCCAATGTCTCGGCTCTGATGTACACCTGGTACGAACATGACCGCCCTGCATTCTGGATGATGGTGCCGTATGCCGCGTGGCTGGGCTTCGCGACGTATCTCAATGCCGGCGTGGGCATTCTAAACCGGTGGACCATCGGGGAGGACGAGGTGAAGAGGGAGTAATGCCACTTTGTATAGTATCAGTAATTAGTATGCGTGAAGTGTATAAATTGTCCTGTAATACCATTCTTCGATTCGAACTAAACTCCCACCCACAACCATATATAAATAGAAGATAAGCGTATCCGGGGGAGAACCCCCGGACCCCCCTTTCTTTCAGCTTCCTGGCCACCTCATTTGGAAACCAGAGAGAAGAGAGTATCCGGGGGAGAACCCCCGGACCCCCCTTCCTTTCAGCCTCCCAGCAACCTCATCCCAAAACCAGAGACCCGGCGATAGCCGTTATCACCACGTGACATTCAGACGCAAAACAACCCCCTCAACAATGAACACCACCAGACAAACCCCAAAATAAACAAAACACAACAAAAATGGCCTCATGGCCATGGCGCCAGCCACCGGCACAACCCCCGAATTCTACCCAGCCTACTGCTTCAAAGCCTCCCCCACGCACTTCACCTGGGTAAAGATGGCCGCCGCCGACGTGCTGCGCCTGCGCCGCCGCGCAGACTATCCAGGTGCGAAGCGGACCCCCCCTCCCTCCGAAACAGACTGGATCTAATATCAAAATAGAAACATACTTCCATCTAAACCACCCAATCCGCTTCATCTCCCTCGCAGGCCTCATCACAGCGCGAACCGAGTACGCGCGCGTCACCGTCCTCTCGCTCGACGATAGCAGCGGCGCGTCTATTGATATCGTTGCCGTCAAAGCCGATCCCTACCTAGCCCGCGCGGACGCAAAGCCAAACACAAACCCAGAGCGAGACGGTGGCGCAGACGCAAACCCAGCCCAAGCCCAAAACCCAGGAGGCAAACAAAACCACATCTCCCCCACAACCCAGCACACCCTCGACATAACGCCCCTCGTCCCGGGAACACTCGCCCACGTAAAAGGGACACCGTCGACGTATTCCCGCCCTACGGTAAACCCCCTAGGGACACGGACACGGACACGGACACGGACAGGGACAGGGGAAGGAACGAGCACGGTACAGCTGCACCTGGAGCGATTCACGGTGCTAGCGTCTATCAACGCCGAGATGCGGTTTATGGATCAGCGGGCGCGGGTGCGCGTGGAGGTGCTGTCTGCGCCGTGGGTGCTCAGTCCGGCTGAGGTGGTGCGGCTGCGGGGCGAGGCGGAGCGGGAGGAGGAGCGCGTTGAGGCGGAAGCGGAGCGTGGGGTGAGGAGGGGAAGGCGCCGGGTGGTGCGGGAGGAGAGGGAGTATTCGAAGATATTGGGGACGTGGGAGGCTGAGGAGAGGGTGCGGGAGCGGGAGGCGAGGATTGCGCGCGAGGCTGGGGTTGAGTTGATGCGGGTTCTGGCCATGGGGGATGGAGTGGATGCAAGGAAGAGGAAATGGGGATTCGATGGTGCTGGGGAAGGGGAGGAGGGATGATCTTTTGCTGACTTCTTGTATATCTTATAACCTAGGTGGGTTACTATGTACTGTATATATACTTCTACTCAAAACCGAGCGACGGAAACTTGATACCCCAGAACAAATGCTATTGATACAATTCATCATCCTAATACAATGGTCCGACCACACGTGGCTAAGGATGGACGTGATAGGTACAATTCCCTTCCCTTCCCTCCAAAGACAGTCAGTCATGAAAACGTTATCATCAGGTCGTGAAAAGCCATTAAAAAACCACGCAGCGCTATTACAATCACAAAAGCCATGAAACGCGACAAAACGTACGCACAATGGATATCTCTCCCAAAGCAGAACCAAAAAACAGAACCAAGAACCAAATCTCCCAGGGAAGACTTCACCGGTAGCCATACGTCTTGTAATCGTAGCCCGTGCCGCCCGTGCCGCTGATCGGGTTACTGCGATAGTAATCTTCGTCCCCGCCCCAGCTGCTTCGCTTCTTCTCCTTGTCTCGCTCGCGGATCGCTTCATAAAGCCTCTGATCCTCGGTCTCCGGGTCAAGGTCCTTGTATCGGCGACGATCCTCAGTGGGCACGTCTCCTCCCGGAAGAGTGGAAGCGTTGGACGAGTAGTAATAATCTCCATCAGAGGTTGCCGGGTACCGCGCGTTACCGCTGTGAGCCAAGAGGTCGCTTTCCGAGTGTCGGTAGTCAGTCCCGGCGTTGAACCCCCGCGGGCTTCGCGGCCGTCCAAAGGCAGTGGCTGGACGCTGTGACTGGGGCGTCCCCGCGCGGTAGTGATGAGGTTCTTGGTTGTATGTATCTGGCAAGCGGGTTGCAGACAGGGTCGGGCTGTCTCTCGGACCAGAGCTTGTGGTTGAACTCGCATGACGATGCGGGGCAGAGCCTTCATTGTAGACCTTCCCACCCCCCGGGTGTGCTGTGTACGGCTTTCTTTGGCGCTCGATGGGACGAGAGGGCACCTCCTTGTCCTCCTCGTCATCGACTACGGCAGACGACGAGGTGGTCGCCGACGTGGTGTGGTACGGGTGACGCTCGCGCTCACTAAGCGACGGGTTCGATTCTACCGAGCTCACTGAAGCTTTGTGTGCGGCCTTTTTATGACGTTGTTCGGCAACTTTCTTCAACTCCTCCTCCGAAATTGGAGGCAGGTCGACGCCACAGTGTCGCATGATAAACTGATCGATCTCTTCCCTCAACGACAAGTTGGGCAAGTCTGGAAACAGTCGCCGTGGGATTTCTTTCGGGAAGCGCTCTCGCCGGTTGTCGGGGTTATTGATAGGCATATTTAGGACCGCGTTGTGGAAGCGCTCATACTCCTTGTCAGGGTGGGCTTGGATCATCAGAGTGGCCCACCGCTCGAATCCCCGCGGAGTCAAGCCCGGGATATCCGGTCTCTCATTCAGCTTGTTCTGCACGAGATGATGTTCCGCCTCCACTTCGCGAAACAATCTTGAGATCGAAGATGTGCGGTCATCGAAGATGTCTGAAATCGAGTCAGCGCAGTTCAAAATACATAGTGAAGACCTACTAACCTTGCCAAGGATAAGGGTCGCTTTCGATTTTGGTGTCCTCATAAAACTTCTGCAGCTTCTCGGGAGTAACGACCAGGGTGTTTCCGGGCGGATAGTTTTCGATCTATTGTGAATTGACCAGTTAGTTTCACACATTATCTATCTCGTCAAGTAGATACACCCACCAAATGAACCGCGACACCACGCAAGAGCTGCCCCAGTCTCTCCGTCGGCTTGCCCTTCTCAAAGAGCTTGCCCCAGATCTTCTCCAAGGTGGTCATTTCCGTCACCGTGACATCCCGCGATGGTGGCTTTGGTCGAGACGACTCCACACTATGGCTGGGTTCACTAACCTGACTCGCCGGTGACGCGCGGCGGTCAGTCGAAGGACCGGAAGATGAGCCCGCATATAAATGGGGACTAGTCGGGCGCCCTGTGGGTGGCACAGGCGTCGGGTAATCACCAGGATCGGGGCCAACTTTGGGCGGAGGTGGTGGGGGAGCAGCTTGGGGCACCGTGGTGGGAAATGCCGGCTCTCCATAGGTGGGGGCAGCAGTTTGTGGAGGAGGAGGAGGAGCCCATTGCGGCGATGACACTGACGGGGGCTGTTGGTCGCTGTGCAAACCGTCCAAGCCCGTTGCTTTCAGCTGTTGTATTACTGTCGCCGTAATCTGTGAGACCACATCGGGAGACAGGTATGCTGGGGTATCGGCCTGGCGGAAGGCAGAGTTGACAGCCTCATTGATCCTTCCGGTGTGCGGCTGTTGCTGGGGCTGCGGCCATGCATTGGGGTCGTATGGCGGTTTGGTATAATAGTTGCCTGGGGAAGAGGGTCGGGGAGGCACTTGAGGCTGAGCCATGTTCGGTTGTTCGGGTCCAGGTCCATACTGCGCTGGGTACTGCGCCGGATAGGGCGGGGTGTAAGCCGATGCGCGGTTCTCGTTGGCATTCAGGTGGTTTGTGTGGGAGTACTGGGGATAAGAGCCGCCATTGTTGGAATAGCTGTTGTACGCCATCGAATCAGGGACGTGGTTGGACAAGGCAGAATCAATAGACTGTTGCCCTGCGCTCTAACAACGGCACAGGATGATCATCGATGCTGTGTGGTTCTGAAGATGAAACGCTGGAACCGCAAAGGACGAGGCGGGAAGGGCTTAAGGTTGAACGGCAGGGAAGGAATGGAGGGAAAAGGCGGGGCTCGAATGCGATGAACGCGACGCTTGTGTGGCGAAGCAGTGGTTCAGTCTTTCTGGTGTGTTCTGTGAGAGAAGGGAAGAATGGAGTAGAAGCGAAGAAAGAAACAGACGGAGTACTCGGGAGAGGGAGAGAGAAAGAGAAAGAGAAAGAGAGCGAGAGAGAGAGAGGGGCGGCGGGCGGCGGGCGGCGGGCAAAGCGGGCGGATCTTGAAACAAACTGTGTTAGCGAATTATTGTTGGTGTTCTTGAAGTCGCAGCAGCAACTGATGGGTCACGGGGAAGGCAGCAGCCCTGGTGGCCCTGGTGGAACGATCGCTCGGAAAATAAATACGTAGTCCAAAGTAAAATCTCTGGAAAATGCCAACAGACGAAGGCGTCCAACAGTTGCAGCGAAACAGCAAGAGAAAGAGAGGGAGAGGGAGCAAGACAAGATAAGAAACCTCCGGATTAACCTACGTCATGCTTGATTCGGCGGGTTTGCGGGGAAGTCAAACATTTTGTGCCAAAAGCTGAGCCTTCAGTCGCAAATTCCCCCTCTCCCCTCCTGTCACCCACCCCGGATTCGAGGGTCGCACACTATGCCACTTCATCTTCCCACCATTTTGGGATAACCTCCATGTCCATCTTTCGCCCCCGGCGGCTGTAGGATTCAAAACTGCAGTCCGGGAGGAGGTCGTGCGTCTGGCCTGTATTCACCAGCCAATGTCCGGATCTATACCTCGAAGTACATTAAGATACCAAAAAGGATGCTGACGTACTCCCCAGGGCGTGATTTCGAGCTTTGGCCCTCGAGCCAGACTGATGACAACCGTGGTACGCTGGTGGACAACGGGCCGCGTCAATCCCTGGGTGGCTCAGGGCAGGTTCCAGGGATCATCAGAAGAAAAGACAACACTTATCTGAACTGGTGATGAAGAACTAGACCGAGTGGATCAACATGAAAATGTCAAAAGTCAGTGTTCCATTGCTTTGAGATGGTAAGGAAGTACAAAAATCACTGCAAAATAGGCCAATCCGCCACCTTTTCTCACCAAGCATGCCATCTGCTGCACATCCATCTCACCGGTGCATAGAGAAAAAACAAGACGCATCAAAAATCAGAGAATGACATTGGTAGAGCGCGGAAGAAGCTTTCCCCCGAGTCGGTACCTGTCGCCCTGGTCGTACATGTAGTACACCCGTGTATCGGCTCGAGGTCCGCTTACAGGAAGTTCTGAAGCTCTTCCTCGTCCGTATTCTCATCAGAGGGAATGTCCTCGCCGACAGGCTCGGGAACACGCATGGAAGGCTCCTTGCCCTTGGGAATGCGTCTGCCCTGCACATCGTTAGTCAACATGGCTAGTCTCTGTTATCACTATGCAACTTACAGGAACCCTTGGCCATTTGGCATTGCCCCTAGTGGACTCAACTGTTCCAGGCGCGTTGTTGAAGTAGTCTTCGTAACGGGTCACGGGTTTCTTGTCCAGAGTGGTGACTGGGTAGGGCCGACCGTCAGCACTGTATCCGACGTACTGGCGATCCTGCTTGGTGGTGGCCAGGGCAGTTTCTTCCTTGCGGCGGGACTCGCTCCAGTCCTCATTGCCAGCGTTGACCTCATTGGCGCCGTTATCGATGGAACCGTACGGGACGGGGCGGTTTTCACCCACGTTCAGCTTCTCGGCGGATTCAGTCAATGCAGTGACTTCGGCCTGGCTCTGTGATCACGTCAGCCATAAAGCACACACCCCCTAAATCGTACAAAACAGAGCCTTGTTAAGACTCACAGTTGCAGCGCCCGCAATTGTTGCCGTGGCAGTGTCCGGAAACTGTCTCTGTCTTCCCGGCAGCGGCTCCACGTCCAAGGCGCTCTGGACACAGTTCAGGCATCTCTGTTCGAAAGCTAGAGTCAGGCAAACTTGTTGCTCCTGCCGGGTCTGCACAAGAACACTTACAGCAGTATCACGATCGCCGCGCTGATTCTTCGCGAAGTGCTCCAAAGTCTTGGTCTTGTCACAGATAGAGCATTTGAGCTCGACGACGGATCCACCGATACAAGTACGGCACCGTGCCTCGCAAGTAAAGTTAGCGGCCCGTTTGCCCTGAAGCACGACGGCATGGCGAATGATCTCCTGCTGACGCTTGGAGTAGGCGTTCGGCTGACGGAGCTTCTTGCAGCTGAAACATTTGACTCTGTGTTCTGTCAGTTGCGAGGCCGATGAATTATATCGAAAGAATAAGATCCTGACTTCTCCGGGAGGGCAACGTTGTTGATCCTAGAGTAGAATTGCGTGTTTTAGCAAAACAGGCTTTGAAAGTAAAGAGTCGATCGAGTGTTAGGCTTACTGCTCTCTGAGCGCATCACTGTATCCTCCGCCGTAGGCGCTGGGGGGCTTCCTGATCATACTCATGGTTGCTGGTAGGTCTCGGTGACGTCACGTGGTATGTAGTGTACGGCTTCAGCAAAAGACCAAGCGTGCTAAATGGTGGTGAGAAGAGGCCAAAGGGGAAAAGAGAGAAAGTCACTGTGCGTAGTAGGTTGTGTTGACTGAATCTCGGCGGCACCCATTGAATAACACTGGGGTCAAGGTGATTTGCGTGTTGGACTCTCCAGGCATGAGGGCCGCCGACACAGTGAATATATCCAGTCGCTCCCTATGGAATTCAAGAGTTGGGCATCTTGAGAAGATGTCGCCTGCAAGGCAGAGATGTCTTGAACGCAAAGCTTCATGGGTTGACACGAAGTCAGCCCCAGTCTATACATATCTATTTTAGGAAGGTGTCAGTCAAGTCGGTCATGTATACAATCGCAAACCCAGGCAGAAGCCAACCTTCAAATTCATTCTTCTGCCAAAAAAGAGTGAGACAGTCTGTTTTACGAATATACAAAGACAAGGACGGGCCATTAGACAGCAAGCATGTCTGCCTTGGGATTGTTTCGTTGCAATGTTTTTGCCCCTAATTCATGATTGGTGATACAGCACCCGTTTGGCTTTGGCTATGTCTTGCAACCCGAAGACATATATCTGAGTGACACAGAATCGTTCCAAGCACTAGCCAGACTGCGCCTGGGAGCCTTCCAAGCGTTCACAGCACACTACCGGTACAGTAAACAAAGGGGACAAAGAGCAGACCCCGGGGATTTCGTCCACGCCGTTCCGGGACCGTTTGTAAGGAAGCCTACGGGCCCAAACAAGCTGATATGACCCAACTGTCATGTCGACGTATGAATCAACAAAAAGCTTGGATGATACTACATAACAGAGGTGATAATGAGTATGATGTAAGTGCCAGGAGTCTCGAAATTGAGGAGGACACACATCAAGAGCGAGTGACATCTGCGCTGGGGTGGCAGGTCGGCTTAGGTACAGTTGCTATGGCACATCGATTCCGAAAGTGGACCAGGGGGCACTGTCCGTCAATATGATGTCGGAGGCAAACGACGACGGTAGATGGATCAGGGCCGATCTGGCATGCAGCATCGCGGGAGGACTGCAGGCACCCTGGTCCCTACTGCAAAGCACAGCCGCTCATCCAGCAATCATGTTTCATCCCAGCATCGAGGGAATCCAGCTCTCATTTCGCTTGGCTGATGACAAAGAAATGGGATCTCTCGGCTCGGGTGACTGATCGAAACAGCCCCTGAAGCGCAAGCCTAGTCGATTCCTGCGCACACAGACTCATAAGCACCTAGTATTCGGCGGAACGCAAAACGTAGCAACCATAGGGGGTGATAGGGCTGGCTGTTGGCGATGCGAAACTCTTTTGGACCGCCGTACTTTGGTCATCGACTCTGTGGCGGAGTCTTCAGACGCAGGAGAAGGATAGGTACTATCATGGACTAGTTTGCTGGGTGGGAATCCCTAGTGGCGTTCCAGAAGCATGTTTAGCCGTGTCTGGCGCAGGCAATGCTCTGGTGATCCTCGATGTTACGGCGTGGAATTGACTGCCGCAGTTCATCCGGGGCCAACGGTCACTTGTACTGCAGGCCAGATACGAGCGAAGCCCGTTCGACTCGCGAGCGTCCCTTCTCTTCTCTGCCCTAAGAGAGGATTGAGCGATTTTCTGTCCCCTGAAGATCCTTCGCTACCGCTTCCACGCAGCAGCTCAATCCTTCTGGAACACTCGTAGAATGCGACGGCTTCGAAAGCTATACCGTAGTGGTCGTTGGTACTGTAGCTAAGAGAAGTGTTAATTGCTAAGGACAGGCGGGGCCCAAGCAGCTTAGATGCTAAGATGCTAGGATGCTAGGATGGAGAAGACGGTCAAGCAGACAAGAGCGTCAGCGCGATGGGGGAGATATTGGCGATGGAGACAGGCCAGTCCACTCCGACGACGACGACTGGTCAACCGGGCAGGTCGGGAAGCGGAGACGGGAAACTACACCGAGTGGGGATCCGCATTCCCCGAACGCTCCGGTGCAAACAGAGCCCTCCATATGAATCCATTCGATCCATTTGAGACTTGACGACTCCACTGAAAGCCCACCCAACGACAAAAAGTCACTCCCTGAGTCTCCCTCACACGAATCATTCCTCGCATTGCTCCACCCCCCATCAACCTGGAATTGGAATGGAGCAAGAAAAGCATGGCCTCATGAAGCCTCTGAGTCTGAGCCATAGATGGATAGCTAAATCACTGGCTGCTGAGTGGGAGAGAAGAAGTCTTGCTCCGGTCGTCTAGTGCTCCGGACCAGTTAATCCACCCTTCCCTATTCTGCGCTGGCGCCCGAAACTTTCCCAGGAATCTTATTCCAGTTTGTTGTTGCTGCAGTCACCTGGCACTGGTTTATTAACCCTTGCCAATCTCCCAGCTTTTGGGCGGCCTTTATTGCAAATAAATCAACTCTCCTTAAGCCAAGGGACCACGGACATTAATAAGGGAAACGACCGGCTCGGAGGAAACTAGTGCTATTCAGGTTGTTTCGGAGTAGCGGACATTGCTCCCTAAAAAAAAAAAACAAGACACCGCCTAAGGAGAAGAGGAACAAGAGGCGGAGCATCAGTAGTATGATAATATCAACTTGACTGACAGGATGGATCTAGTAGCATGCACTCCATACTGTTCGCAAGACCACCCCCTCCACGCGTCTTGCCCCTCCCCCGCCACTTTATTCTGGATAGGAAAACGCGCATGAAAAGAGGGTCAAGGAACGGCAAGGAAAAAGAAAGAAATGAAAGAGAATGGAGCAAAAAGACGGTGACTGGCATAGCTCGGAGAAAAAAAGATAGAGAGAGAGAGACAGAGAGGGTCGCACACAGGCGGTGACACCGTAACGGGCCGTCGATTCCCCCGTCCCTTCCTTCTCTCTGGCGCCATCCTCGCTCGGACGTTAGACGGTTAGTTAGTTAGTTAGTTAGCGGGAGAAGAAGAGTGTGGGAAAAGTTGGAAGAGATTATCACTCACCGTATGGTATGGCCCGCGGAGCACATCGGATCTCCGCGACTTCAATTTCGATTGAGACATGATGGACTCCCACTTGAGAGTTGGCGTTGGTGTTCTTACGACCCCATCCCCATCAACAGTCATGGCAGCGAGTCTTATTCCGAATGTCGCAAAGCGATCCGCTGCAGCCTACACCCTACTGAGGCATTTCCTGCCTCGGTCGGTTTGTCGTTGTGTCGCATCAGGATACATATCAAGGTATCAACGGTATCAACTGACCGACTCCCGGAGAAAAAGAGCAGGTAGCAGTTAGCCGAGCAAACGCGACTAGCGGCAACAATGTTCGCTCGATCATGAGGTTGGCATCACTAAAACGAGTTGGGTCCCGGTCACCCCACGGTCAGGATCAGACAAAAGCTTCTAGTTGAAACTATGCTCTACTATCATTCTCAAGAATGGGTTCCGTGACCTGGGTGGCAAAAAGGAAGCAGGAGAGGTCAGGATCGACCGTCACTGTAGTAACTTCTTGCAACGATCCAGACCCTGGTAGCTGAACAGAGCTCATCGTACTTTGGACCGGACGACCGGATCTGATCTCGCAGCTTTAGCTACAGCTGATTAACATTCGCCTCATGTATGATAATTCAATAACGTAATCGGTAAGCGAGTCGGCCACGTAAGCAAGTCGGCCACCCTATCAACCACCACCACGCCCACAAAACTGCCTGTATACAGACATCAATTTCTCTACTAAAAATACCTTAATTATCAAAAGTTTCAGTAGAACAAGAAAACAGGCTCTGTCTTATAATTAAGGTTATAAAAAAAGGTTAAATTTACTCAATTCACAAAGCTATAGATACTTTTAAAGTTCTGTATTTAACTCTTTAAAATTATTTAAATGGTATTATGTACTGTAAGAAAATACGCGCTAATTACTATAAACTAATTTCTTTAGAAGAGAAATTACTTATTAAATAAATTATATTACTGGATTAATATGGCGCACCGCCAAAGCAACTTTATATATATAATATAGCATTAATCTTGATATAAAAATATAATAAAAAATTAACTAATTTAGTGGGTGAAAAATAGATATATAACTTTATTTCTCAGTATTATAATTTCTTAAAATCTCGGTTTATATATTAAATTAGTTATAAATATGCGAAGTATAAGGATCCTGAGATTATACAGGCCTAGTTTTAATATATATAAACTGCTGTTATTATATATATAATTACAGATACAGATATCTATAATTTTAATAAAATTAATTTTACTATAAGTTTAGTAACTGTAGTTAAGATAGTAATATATTTATTCTATTATAGAAGACCTTTCTTTATACAACCTGAAAACCGTAAATAGATAACTTTAATTGAGTATATTAATACTATAGAATAGGTATTACCGGTATATATAATATTAAAAGTAAAGACCTATATACAGATATAATATAAAAATAGTCTATCTTTTTTATAGTATATTATAATATTACTAAATAGATAGACTAATTAAGAAATTAGTAAATACTAGCTTAAGGAATACTTTATTTCTTATATTAAGAACTGAAGAACTAGTTAATATAATCTCCTTATTTTTACCGGACATAACTTCTATTTAATACCTTAATTTAATAATATATACTGTGAGAATAATATTATTCTAGTATATATACCAGCTAATTCTTCTCATCTCTACTAGTTTTTGGATATAGCTATATTCTTACTATTAAAATAAGTATACAGCTACCAGATTAAACACCTTATTTAAACCGGATATTACTATATTAATAAGATTAATTTTCTTAATATCTATCCAGACACCTATATTCAAGTATTTAAATTTATAAATATATAAAATATCTTTAAGACTTCTGGAATTATTCCTTTTAATCTAAGTAAGGTTCTAGATAACTTTATCTTTTATAGGGAGGAGAGCCAGCCAAGTAGTTAAAAAACTACTTCAACTATTACTAAAATACCTAGAAATTTAAAGTAATTTAAGAAATACAAGTTAT